TTAAATCATTCTTCTTGGTAAACTTCTGTACAGATCCTTTATATAATTTTGATCCAAGCTTTCCCAAGCTTCTAAAATTGCAGATTTTAATTCGGACACTGTATTATACTGTTTTCCACCTTCATATAATGTTCGGCTGAGTTTTCCCCAAACATTCTCGATAATACTTAGGTCAGGAGATCTTGCGGGCCAATTTAAAACCTTTACATTTTCCGTTTCAAAATAATTTTTTACTATGCGAGCGGTATGCACAGCTGCATTATCTTGCTGAAATATATATTTTGTCCCAGCAATTCTGCGAGCGTAAGTGTCTATGTGTCTCTTAATTAAATTTAAGTAACCAGCACTATTCATACGGCCTTGAATGAATTCTATTTCCGTTTTTCCTCTATAGCCGATACCTGCCCATATCATTACTCCACCACCACCACATTGTCTGCGACTTAATACCCTTTGCTCCTTTCTTAAATCGTGGAAATAGTATTTATATCCATCTGGACCATCCAAATTCAGTTTTTTTTCATCCGTGAATATAATTCGTTTCCACTGGTTTTTCCATTGAATGTGCTCTATTGCAAAACTTAATCAGGCGGTCTTATGTTTGTCTATTAACGGCGGCTTTATAGTAAATTTCTTCCGTTTTAAATAGCTTGTTTTTTGAATTACTCTTTTCACTGTTTTAGTCGATACGTTAACTCCACAATCCACTGCAATTTGTCAAGGCGTAAGTCCAGAATTCGATGCTTTTTTCAAAATTAATCTTTTTTCTCTTGAAGAAAAGGCTGCAGGTCTTCCCTTTGGCTTCTGTTTCCCATATTTTTCGGGGTTTTGTAAAAAATTCTGTATAACACACCGACTTCTTTTTAGTTTTTTTGCAATCTGTACTTGATTTTCTCCATTAGACTTTAACTGGAGTATTTTAATCTTCTCATCTTCGCTTAATGCTGTTCCTCGTCTCATAATTTAATTTTGGGTTAAAAAGTATTTAAACACTTATAAACTAACTATTAATAAGTAATTTCTACAAGATAAACTTGCAGAGAACTGCACACTTCAACGTTTTCTAACAGACTACTTCAAGTGCCTTAACATTTTGTCCACCTGAAATTTCGAAACAATGAAACTCAAAGACCACAATGCACCGTGTTTTGTTTGTCTAGACTGGTACGTGGCCTTGAAAGGAAGTTTCTCACTTATAACATAGTTTACTGCTAATAACTTTAAGATTTTACTAAATACATCTGGAATTTCTTATGTGTACAACGGTGCCTTATCATTTTGTCCACCAGTGTATGTACGTTGAAGGCAGGCAACGTGGTATGCAAAAGTGCAGAAGCGCTTTGGCGAAAAACATCAACAGCAGGAGGATAGGGGGGAGGGGGAAAAAGGCGACTACTTTTGGAAGTTCATGAAAGTTCGTTTACACAACTCTTTCCCGTACTGTGATGCATTATGCTCTCGAGACGGACTGACCTGAAATCTTCGGCCTCCGCTGCACTTCACGAAGGAAGAGCATCACGACTCGTCATTCCGGTACGCTTTCTACGGATTCGTCCGATATACTATGTGTCCCGGAAGTACTAAATAGCTTCTGCCCAAAGGATAAACTCTGGATCTCGGTAGCGTATGCTTTTACGAGTTTCGACTAGACTACTTATTTTGTTCCACCTTCGTTACGTGCTTTTTAACAATTCTTCGAACATTCTATAAAGATCGAACAAACCAAGAAGACACCAGAGCATTTCGTGTCTCAGTTTCCCCTTTTAAACTCTACAACGATAAAATTGTCCGTGATCGGTGGATTGTGACAAGCTCCGGCGTTCAGACATGAGGCAGTATTGTTCGACCGATAGAAAAGGCTGGGAGTCTCGTGTCATATTCTACCCGGTATGCTGTCCGAGCAACCGCCTCGTCCGATGGAGTACTTGGTCCGCGCGCGACTCCTGAGGGTACTCGAGGCCAAGTCGAGAGAGACCTCTCTACATGGGTGGTCCATTCTCCTTACGCATGCATTGTAGAAGTTCGGTAAAGCTCGCGCTGAGGATACATCGACCTGGGGAGCTGTCCCAGGAGTCGTCCGACGGAATTCGATAATTGTATCCCGAACCGTTCTCTCACGCTTTCGACGCTACCCAGTCGGGAACTCGTCGGGATCATAATCTAGTCGAGACCAGGTCTGCTATCCCATAAGATGAACCATAGGTGGGAACTTTTATGAAAAATCGCTCCTACAGATAACTAACTTTGTGTACTTCGTCGTCTAGGACATAATTCTAATTTTGGACGCCCAAATAGCCGGATTTCCGATGAAAGAATCTACCTCGCCCCGTTCGAGAGACGGCTAAGGGAAACATGGTCGATTCATCATGCCGCCTGTCCCACGCTGCTCCCAAACTTACGATATTACCTCCGAGATGTGGAACGCGAAGAGGCAGAGAAACGTGGCCTGTATTCCGCAGATAAGAACGGACCCTATATCCCCGCAACGTTGCCTCCGCCCTTCCGTGCGATCAAGATTCCTTCCGGTACCAATTACGTACCAGATACTTGCGTGGTCACGTGAGGATTATCATCCCTCTGTAGCCAGTGGTAGAAAAAGGAGACACATTTTTGCACACTAAATGACGTGCCCATTATATACGATGGAAAACTAATTTTAATTTATTTGTTAATATAACAATAGAGTTCTTGATAATTTAGATCACTTATAGATGCTTTGCAATTAACGCCAAAGACTCAAACTTGTCTAGAAACAATCCTATTCCTGTTAGAAGAACTAGGTACCCTAAGACACAGGTTAACGATGTCTTCTGAGAAGAATAGTGTCGAAAGCTTATTATTATTATAATAACAAAGTAATGCACTGTATATATACGTTCTCCACACACTAAAATAAATTTATACGCTTGGAATTTATATACACAGAATGTTTGTTATCCCCATTTTAATAACTTGTTGCTAGAAAGAGTCATTATTTCCCTCAGAATACAAAGTAATCGGTGACAATCATATGTTAGTTATTTCCTATGGGATTATGAGAATTGAACAGGACTTCTACACGTTGCATGAGGAATCCCATATGATTTTAATAATGGCCAGTTGCTTAGATAGATTATAGTATCTTGATGCTGCTTTGTTGGTTCGATTAATTAGGTATCGAGGCAATATATTGCATTTATTAAACGAATAGAGAACTTAGGCTCACAAAGAAAGACATATTTGTAGTTTGCACGTTTCTTTCGACAAGTACATGGTTCCACATCGCGTCAAGCATAATACACATTAACTTGAGACTATATGTACGTCAATCTAATTAATAAACAGTGTCTAAAGCTTCTTACTATTATAATAGCTGCAGTAGTATCGACATAAGTGCATTTATGCCCACTTAATTGTCCGTTCACTATGCCCCTTATCCCGAGCAAGGACACAATTGGGCACTACTCTACCTAATTCACTGTATATCTATATATATCAAGACGGCATCTACGTCCCAGTTTATCGTGGAATAGTTCCTTATTTTCAACGCTAGATGGCGCTCATTTTCGACCTCAGGCCCCCTGGTGCTAAAACGTCCAAGTTTGTCGTGGAATAGTTCGTATTGTCCACGCTAGACGGATTTCTCGACAAACTTGGGCCTTTTAGCACCAGGGGGCCTGAGGTCGAAAATAAGCGCCATCTAGCGTTGAAAATAATGAACTATTCCACGACAAAATTGGGCGTAGATACCGTCTTGATATATATAGATATACAGCGAATTAGGTAGAGTAGTGCCCAATTAATTGTCCGCGCTCGGGATAAGGGGTAAAGTAAACGGACATTTAAGTGGGGCAAAAATGCAGTCACTTATGTGGACACTACTGTAGTTATTATAATAATAATAAGCATTAGACACTGTTTATTAAGTAAATTGACGTACATATAGTCTCATGTTAATGTGTATTATGCTTGAAACCGTGTATTTGCTCAAAGAAACGTCAAAACTTAGAATATGTGTTGCAGTGTTTCTAAACAAGTTTGAGCGTTTGGCGTTAATTGTGAAGCATTTATAAGTGATCTAAATTACTGGGGACTCTATTGTTGTATTAATAAATAAATTAAAATTAGTTTTCGATCGTAAATAATCGTGATGCCATATAGTCTGCTATTAATTGCGCGTAGTGTGACCATCTCCAAAATTGCACAATTTAAATAAATAATCGATAAGAAAATATTTAAGAATACCATCTTGTCTATACTTGTTTAAAAAATAGATGTTGGTACTGCGATCGCGAAAAAGCACTAAGTCCATTGTACACGTGCCTTGCTTATAATTTGGTTTCGATTCTGTTGATACTGTATGGTTTGAGACAAAGTACAGCAGAGAAATATTTAAAAGATATTACGCGTGATAATGTCATTTGCCGCAAAAGCTACATGCGCGTTATGTTGCGTAACATCGTTTGGTATAATAGGTTACGTCCACTATATACAAGAGTACGACAGGTAATTTTTAATAAAAAGTTAGGTTACATAATGTGGCGATCAGATGGTGTCCCATACTTCTTTTCATAGTGCAACACAAAGTAGCGAAATATCAAAATAGAATCAAGATTAGAGAGGAATTTTTCATAAAAATCTCTTTTTAAAGCGAACTTTTGTTGGTAGAAAAATATAAAATTGAAACAACGTAGTTATGTTGGTACGAGTCACGAAGAGCATCAGTGCGCCGTGATGTAAATTCTAAACAAAAACATTATGAGCAAAGATATCATTGTTGGAATAAAATAATTTTTTCAATGAGAATTCCGTGTTCCTCGATTTGGTATTAAACGAAATATACTGCGATAACGTTATATGTGCCCATAATTTTCCCAGGAAACAGCTTCATTCAGGTGTAATTCGTGACATCGAACGGCAAGAACGCAGAAAAATACAAAATTTGTATTACCTCCAACAACAGCAAGAATTAACAAAGATCTTACAAACGTCCGCGAAACAGAACGAAAGTCAACGTAGTTTGCAAACATAGTTTATTCGTAATAAAAGTCGAGTAGTGGATTATAGTAAATTTATATTGTATTCATATTGTTATTTTATTTTCTCGGCGTTCGTAATTTTTTTTTTTACCAAATTCAAGTAAAGTTAAGGGACAGTTTCAATGAATATAATGACCACGGAAGAACCAGTAGATCAACCAGGTAAGTATGCATAAAGAGATGTTTCATGACGAGTCTACTGTTTATTTACCGTTAGTTGTAGATCTAATTTGTGTGGAAGAAAGTCTCATGAGTTTGGAAAAACTTGATAGAGCTTCCCCTGATTTATGGCCGGAACAAAGTGAGTTCGTGCGAAAGAACAATATGTTTTATTTCGAATAAAATGATAATATATCATATATGTAGTGGTTAATGAAGTTCCAGGTGTTAACGAGTTTGTTGCTCAAAATTCTCCCCAAACTGAACCGTCTGCTTGGGCTGCTGGTCTTACGCCGGATGATATAAATCAATTACATCGTAAGTTTACACTCAGCAAGTAGAATTTATAGATTGTACTTTACAGTATGTATAGAATGAAAGTAATTTTATTTCAGAATTGGGAAACTTATCCATGACTGGTTTAATATCCGAAGTTAAAAAGTTGCACGATATGGCTTATCAATTGGGATTGGAGGAGGCAAAAGAAATGACGCGCGGAAAGTACTTAAACATCTTTAAACACAAATAAGATTTTTTGGTAAGTTCCTCAACCTTCAATATATTTTTTGATTTTAATATACTTCCAATAAACGATCAACAATTTTCTAGAATCCAGCGTATGTGTCTTTGTATATCGACAAAGACGGACGGAAATTCGATGCTCAAGTTACAGTTGGAACCATACGACAAAATGCCTAACTAAAAATTACATACCAATGTTGTTATTACTTTGTAAAGAAACGATAAATGTACATGATCTTTTTGTAAATATATTACGGTTACAAAAATGAAAAAATGTATTATCATTCTTACCAAGAAATACGTGTCGTTGTATTTAAATAAAAGCGGGCTTCCGCTATAACCTGAACAAGGTGCTTCGTTTCCTGCTGCGCATAATTCAACGGAGAATCCTTGACCATAGTGACTCGAACATTCGTTAGTGGACATAATTCTCATTATCAAAGACTGTTGTTGGCAAGGCTTGGCTTAAATGAAATTAAAATATACGACACTTGATACACGCTCCTCAGATCGCGGTTACGTTATACGTTATTCTTACTAGTTTGACCGGCTAATTTTCCCCATCCAACAAGAACAGAATTAATACTCCGATTTAAGTATCTATCGTCTGGAGGAAGACATATGGGCTGCGCAGTTGCTAAACAAATAAAATTCTAATTTTCTAAAATCTCGATATACAGGGTGTTTGGCCACATCAGGGAAAAATTTTAATGGGGGATTCTAGAAGCCAAAATAAGGCGAAAATCAAGAATACCATTTTGTTGATGGAGGCTTCGTAAAAAAGTTATTAACAATTAAATTCAAAAATTTCAAATCGTTCTGGAAAAATTATTTTCGGTTACGGGGGTCAATTACAATGATTTTTTGTGAATAGACATACCCCCGAAATCCTAGCCATTTTCTAGAAAAAAATTCGAAAAGGTGTGAAATTTTCGACGAAAAAGAAATTTCTCTAATCATTTTGGAAAAATTATTTTCGGTTGCGTGGGTCAATTATAATGACTTTTTGTGAATAGATATACCCCCGAAATCCTAGCCACTTTCTAGAAAAAAATTCGAGAAGGTGCGAAATTTTCGACGGAAAAAAAAATTTCAAATCGGTTTGGAAAAATTATTTTCGGTTACGGGGGTCAATTACAATGATTTTTTGTGAATAGACATATCCCCGAAATCCTAGCCACTTTCTAGAAAAAAATTCGAAAAGGTGTGAAATTTTCGACGAAAAAGAAATTTCTCTAATCATTTTGGAAAAATTATTTTCGGTTGCGTGGGTCAATTATAATGACTTTTTGTGAATAGATATACCCCCGAAATCCTAGCCACTTTCTAGAAAAAAATTCGAGAAGGTGCGAAATTTTCGACGGAAAAAAAAATTTCAAATCGTTTTGGAAAAATTATTTTCCGTTGCGGGGGTCAATTACAATGATTTTTTGTGAATAGATATACCCTCGAAATCCTATCCACTTTCTAGAAAAAAATTCGAAAAGGTGTGAAATTTTCGATGAAAAAGAAATTTCTCTAATCATTTTGGAAAAATTATTTTCGGTTGCGTGGGTCAATTATAATGACTTTTTGTGAATAGATATACCCCCGAAATCCTAGCCACTTTCTAGAAAAAAATTCGAGAAGGTGTGAAATTTTCGACGGAAAAACAAAATTTCAAATCGTTTTGGAAAAATTATTTTCGGTTGCGGGGATCAATTAAAATCATTTTTGGTGAATAGACATACCCCCAAAATCTTGCGCATTTTCGGGAAAAAAATTCAATACGAGCGGAACTTTAAACGTTAATAACTTTTTAACAAAGGCTCCATCAACAAATTAGTATTCTTGATTTTCGTCTTATTTTTGCCTTTATAATCTCCTATTAAAATTTTTCCCACCGGTGGCTGAACACAATAGATTGTTATAGTGAGTAAATAATTACCAGTGTATTCAATCGGTTCTTTCAAACGTAACATCGCTATATTGTTCATAAAAGTGTCAGCTTTGTAATTTGGATGTTTTATTACGTACGATATATTACTTGTCTGGGTATTGCAATTACGATCGGTCTCAGCATTATATTCTCCAACGGTAATTGAATATCTGTTAGACGAATATAAAAGAATAACTTTGAAGATTTGCTTTAAAAATCATGAAATAGTTCAACGTACAATTTATAGTCGTCCGAGTTTGCGAGAGCGCAACTAGCAGTGGTCAGTATTGTACGTTTGTTCAAGATTACACCTGTACAGGGATATTTTATTTCTCCTGTTGTACCTACGATAAAAATGTTTGGGTCAAAGGCAGACTCGTTAAAGTACGAGAAGGGGTTAATAAAATTAGCAAATACCTACTTATAAAGCCAATCCTTGCAACAAAAGGGTACACTCCAGCAGCGTTGATGGTGCTTTGAACGAAGCTTTTACCACATTCTGAAATCGAATTTGACCTCGTGAAGAGTGCACCATCTTCTAGCGTAAAAGTTGGGTTTGCGATATTGCTGTCCAGATCACAGCACACCTTTGGTCTAGTGCTCTCGTAACCGCAGATCGCTTGACGAAATCTACATTAATCGATATCCAAACGCGCGTGCAATTAAAATCTCAATAACTAAACGTTTATTTATTATAGTCACTTTCTTTAGCTTTGGCCCACCTATGAATTGGAAGCAGATTCTCGTTCATCAAATTTAAAATAACCGGGCAGTGATCGACAAAAGTGCATGTCTTATCGTTCGGACAATTGATCGGATTGCTCGAATAGATTTCGCTCAAGATGCTCAGCGATTGTCCGGTAACGTTTAATGCAAGAGTAAGATACAACAATATAAACAAAAGAGACATTTTCTACAGTCGACTGACTCGGTTTAAAACATATTCTAAACTGATCCCTCCGACAGATTCCATTTCGTAATGTACGATAGATTTTATTCAACCGACTACCTTGGTTTGCAGCATTATTCTCGTTCTTCCGGCGGAAGTCTCATTGTCGCGCAAAAAATAGTTTGCAAATGTTCGCGCAGAAAATATCAAAAGCAATCCATCTATGCATCAAAATGTTTTATTAGCACAATAACGATAATTTATAAAATTCAATCGAAAGAGTGTTTAATATCGGCAGTGTAAATGGCGATTCTCGTTGGATTTAATGGCAGCTTCAACCATACCGGTGCCTCTCACGAAATCCACCGCCACGATATTGGCAGTGTATTGCCAAACGGTGCTGTACCAATTCGTTACATTGACATTAACTCTGTGCGCCATGTCACGAAGATTTCCCAGTCGATTATAAATTACGTCCATTACGTTCATTGTTAATTCCGCCATTGCTGATCGCGGTCTCACTCTGTAATCGCTGAAGCAAAGAGAACGATTAGGAAATAATGCTTTTGCCGCAATTATGCTCGCGTTGACCGACATCGACTCGAACCGAATTTTATACGCATCGTAAGCAAAAATGTGTCATCGTTCTTGACTTTGTTTCCCAACCATTTTACCTGTCTTCGTTTTCAATTTTATCCAAATATTTGTACAAATCCTCGATGCTCCTTACGTTGCCCCATTGGTGTCGCACGCAAGGCCACATGCTAGCGTGTTCACGAACAATTTGCATGTTTTCATAACCGATTATTAATCTTTTGCCGGAAGACCAAATGTCATTCATTGTGATAGCCCAGCCGCTATTACTCGTCAGGAAATAATCTCGAAACTGATCTTCCAAATACGATACCAATTCCCGATGAACCGATATATCGTCGAATCCTACGAAAAGGAAGATCTGATCACGGATCCAAGCACAAGATAAATGTACGGTTTCGACATCCATTCAGCGATCAAGAATTGCGTTCGAATGAAGTTTAAGAAATTACCAATAGGAAATTCGCGAATGTCCAATATCACAATTTCCTCGGTATTTTCAAGGAACTTTTTCACTTGATCTATGACAGTTTGCAGCGATACCGATCGATAAAATGGCCCGTGATTCGTCCACCAGTGCTCCTTCGTAAAAGGATAACTTCCTACTCGGATGTCCAAATACCGTACACCGTGTATCAATTGACCGAGTATATCCATATTCTGAAGATGTGCATAGAAATGTTTGCATCGAAGAATGCCGAAATATCAATTTTGCGGATTACCTGTGTCACAGCGTACTTCGAGACGAAGAGCTTCGTAATATTTTCCTGAGCATAACACGCTGAATCGTGCGTGCCAGGGAGAAAAATCTGGCTCATTCTGAGAGGACTCAGAATATGTTTCCTCTCTTTCATCCATGTCGGATTCGTCTTCAGATAGTTCGTTTCTTTTACGTTACCTGTTGTCGTCAGCACCGCGACGTAATATTCTAAGAAAACGATATTCTAGGAACAGTTTCGTCGTGCCCTACCCATCGATAAATAGAAAGATTCGTGTGTCACTTACTCGAGGATCGTTGCACGAAAGAAAGATTCGAGCTGGGTAAAAATTTCGTTCGTATCCCGGTTTTCTCGACGCCACTCGATTCGTTGGACGTAACGTTGTAAAGTATAAACGAAGAACTCGAATTATTCTCTTTCATGAGGACGATCTTCTCGTCCGGTCCAAGATTCACGTTGTTCCAGTAAATCTCGATCTCCTGCATCCGCGAATCCGACATTATAGGCGAAATAAGTATACCGATGTGCGACTGCCCTGCAAGTTCGAATTTCTAAAAATTGTTTGCAGCTCGATGAATATTACTTACAGGTTTCCGCGGACGATTTGCAAATCCTCGCGGTGACAGTTCCATTAATAGTCGCTAACAGTAAAGCGGGTATCAAGATCACTGTATGACGGGCCATTACTGTCGTTTATCTTGTTTCATGTTTAAGTGTCCTGTTACGCGAAGATTTATATTTTATTAATAACGTGCATGACATTCATTGTTAAGATAAAAAAACGATTTCAATCGATTCAATAATTTCGTACTATCGGTTTGGAGAACGATTGGAATTTACGCGTACCGTAAATCAGATTGGTCGGGCAAATTTTATTCACGATTGTAAAGATAAGAATCTAACGATCGCGTTGCAAGGCAAACAAATGAAAAATCAACGTTCTTACCAGAGAATATCTTTTCTACAGAGACTCGAAGATCGTGACCGGCAGTTATCGAGCTTCTAATTGGCTGGACTCGCGATAATTGTGCTCGGGACGGCGAAAAGTAAGCGAATGAGATCGAAAGACGCGGAAAACAGAAGAAAAGATAAACAGGAACTCGTGGGTATAGCGACTTGACCCCGCAATGCGCCGCGGAACATTATGCAACATGATTTTGCAACTATTCTTTCATTCTATTACGAACGCGACGCGTACAATGACGTATTCGCCTCTTTCGTTGAAAAAACTACTGGTCAGCGAAAATTACCTTCGTTTGTGCCCGATAAAAATTCTTCAACTCGAAATAATTGCTTGGTACAATTAAACTAGAAGATCGAAGGAACTTTGCTTCCTTTTATCTCTTTAGTTCAGCAATCTAGCTTCTAAGAATGTAAATGGGAGATCGATGGAACTTGGATTCCCATCCATTCTGTGCGGAATACGCATTGCAACTGATTGGGGAATAATAGGATGGAAATGTGATATCATAAATCGAGCCCAGATGTTTTACTCATCCTACTTTATTACAAAACTGAGAAAAAAGAAAACTTTGCGAGAGTAACAAACTTTTGGCTTATGTGACTAGTTGTAATACTCAGCGGCAATACTAAATTAGTGCAATGTAAGTATGTACATTTGTGTAATTATGTGTGGCGAGAGCGGCGAAGGCCGCGGCGAGAGATCGAAGAAGTCGAACGAGTTTCAACGATAAAACAAAAAAAATGGTTCTACGTAACGCAAAATAAATTAACAGAAATATTTGCGACGTGTAGTTTCGCAGAAACTAAATGTGTCATTGGTATGTGATGCATTCTACGCGATATTATTTGCTTCTAATACGAAACACTGAATCACTACACGGTGCGTCGATTTTTTCTCGAAACGATAATTCTTATTCGGTCCACCGTTTAAAATAAAAAGAAAAAACTAATAGAAATTGAAACTGTTTGATATCTCTGGTTCCCCAAGGGCCGCCGCCGATCCTCCGAATAAGTCCTAGTCGCTAAAACTCGTAACTTACAGAATGTAAACGTGTTACAAGTGCGCGTATATTTTCCGCCGGGGAAAATCAACGACGGGCGAACGAAACAACGTTCCCTGTATTACCAAGTACTCTTTCGATTCCACGCGATCAGACTTCACTCACCCTTTATGCTTACACACGTTCGCATTTTCTTTAGGGTTAACGACAACTTAACTTATTACAGGTTAGAGGTAGAATCGTACCCCGTCATCGAACGTAATCGGGCCACGCGCGTTAACAACTTCTCCGTTTCGCGCTGCTTTCTGAATAATCATTTTGAGCGATATTTGTTATCGAGACTGACCATTAAAAATTGATATCGAAGTTGCGTCTTTAACACGCTGTGTTAAAAAAAACTACGTTTCAACGTTACGATCGTCGACGTAGCACCGCGTTTTACGCGCTTAAAATCTTAGTATCGTCTACATTCTACGCTATATCTTTTCGAATACGAGTACCATAACACCACTGTATGCTTTGAACACGTTTCGTTCGTATTAAAAAGCGCCCAATGTTAAAAACTTTCGCGTTAAAAAGGTTCAGCTCGATAATTGTAACAGAAATTAACGTCGTTTCGATAGAAAACATGGCTGTCATTCGCGTGGGGCCAAGACCACGCGACCGATAACGGCGTACGACCGTGCATAAATACTAAACTAATTCGCTATTCGTAGTCTCTGTCTTGGAAGACACGGTATGGCAGGATTTTTTGATTAGGAATAACGTTTCTTAGGGAAAGGTCTGAATTTTGGTTGTTTTTTTTCGCCACGTTCAACGATTAAACGGAGTCGTTAGTTTTGGAATCATCGTTGAAAGTAAAAACTATCGCTACCCGTCGCGTTTCCCAAACTTGGAATCGTTCGAGCATCGAATCGTCCCAAAATTTTTAATCGACAAAAATTTACAAATTCGGAATTTGCTAGATCGATTACGGATGCAACCGAGAACGTACGGCATAGGTACTCGTTGGGAACGATTTCGATGATCGAAGAGGACTGCCTAAAAGTTTTGCAACACCCTTTGTTCTTGAGAGAAATTATTTCATGGAAGTTTCCAGCGAAATGAAATTGTTTTATTGTTTCTTTCGGATGTAATCGATATGTTTCTAAGAGAGAGGGAGTTTGAGATTCGTCGGTAGATGTCATGATTGAAAGCCTAAAAAATAATTAGTATTTGGAAAACAGAGAGCGTGAGCTTTGGAAATATAATATAGGGAACGAAGGGACGAGAGACGACGCGGGGACGTGACTGAACGACCATAAGCGATCACACTATTTTCCACCGCCCGAAATTACCAACCCGTGACGATGTTTAAAGGAATATTATAATAAATAACCGGCAATGAGAGGAACTGTGTTGCAAAGCTCTTTGGTCGACTCTCGTTACTTTGTGTTTCTTCGATGGCGTTGACGCTGCGACGCGTAATTCGATTGATATTTCAAACTTGGTACCGACAAACTGAAACGGACGTTGCAGCGGAAATGCGGAAACAACGGCCATGCGCACGAAAATCTAACGAGTTAACGAAAGCTCGAGAACGCTCGGTGATCTATTTTCTCGCGCTTTTCTTTCCTCCCGTTTCTAACATTTAAATCGAACGAGTACGAGCTCGTCGATCAAACGAACTTATCCGATACCGACGGGCCTCGCAAGGAAGCTTAAACGCTACTCGACGCTTATCATAAATAAAACGATCGTTTAATTAATTAAGAGAAACCGTGGATACCCGTAACGTGATCCAAACGTGTCGGAATCATTCGAAGAATTTTCGCGAACGCGATACGCAACTTTTCTTATAAATACTCAAGGTGACAAGGGCCGTACGAAATATTGGAGCACGCATATCCCCGGTTTTATTCGCGCGTTAAGAATTCGAGCCGACAGTTTTCCAGCGGCTCAGACGGTCCTGAGTAAAACGAGGGAGAGATCCTACGATTTAAATACGCGCATCGTCCGCACGAAATTAACGCTAACACTTTCCTTTATTAATTATTTGCCGCGAGTAATTTGCTGCTTTAGTGCCAAGGTTTGTGGGACGAACTGACGCGGAAGAAAATTCTATAGCAGAGGGAAAGAGAAAAGGAGAGGAGAGGGGAGGCGTTGGGTCGTGGGGCCTGCTAATGGACTCCACGGTAAGGCAACTGTAGCAGGCCCTGGACACCGGGGACGTTCGATGGTCGATCGACTACTTGCCAGAGAGGTAAAAGGTCGAGTCCATTCACCTCTTTTGCAAGTACTCGACCTACCTCCGATTCTTTAACAAAAACACGAAAAACATTTCCTGAAAAAATACCTTTGGTTGCCGCGCGAGTCATAAACCGCGCTGACCGTTTGCACGCCAAATGCTTCTTTTGTTTGTACGGCCAGTCGCTACAGGTTCTTTTAACTACCTGTTCGGTCCGTGCGCGATCCAGGAACGCGTTCATCAAATTGTACTCTACTTTTTTTAAAAGAGTCATTTAATCGTGGGCCAGTCTCGCCTTTTTTTTTACCAAGCAAAGTTAATCCGAAATAACGAAGTAAATAAAGTAATCGTTTAACTAATAATAAACCTAGAATCAGCGACTCAACTTGATCGAAAATAGACTAAAAATAAATTAGCGAACCTAACACCAAAGTGAATCCGAATGGAGTAACTGAACCGAGTCGATTCGGACGCAACAACTACGGGCTAAACTTAACCGAAATCTGGGTCAAACTTAGCGATTGCGATCGAACAAGATCCGGACCCGTCCGAATTCCTTTCTTAAACGAATTAACACGTATACGAAGGGCTGTAATTTTTATCGAAATAAACTAAATCAATATCTTGGGAATTCTTTCTCGAAACTATAAGATAGTCGGTTCTTGGATCACGCACTTCTAAACAATACCGTATTTACTATACTTTAGGAAACTGCGTCGGATACAATTCGCGAAAAATATATGTTTATACGTGATTGCGAATTGCGCATCCGAAGCGATTAATTCGCCGAATATATATTACATGAGAATATCAAACGAAACAAAGATATGCCTAATTTAAAAACTAAGTCTTCAGAGTCAGTCCATTGTAATTCTGTTGTACGCATCGTGCGTTCATTGTGCGTACACGCGCACCTAACAGAGTCAGGCATTTAAGGCGAATCGTCTGGATAGTTCGACAGTAAAGATGGAAACGAACGAGGCAGAAGTAGATTCCGTAAAACTCGTAACGCAGCAAGTTCTTTTCCGCCTCATTATTTTCTATCTTTAAAAATAAACGAGTTATCCAGTCGACCAGTCTTAAATAGTCTACTCTGTATGCATAAGTACCGTAACTAGAACGGTTACCGATAGAATTGGCACCACGCTCGGGGGGGGGGAAAAAAACGAACATATATAACATATAACGATAATATAGTAACCCGTGACGAGAATCGTGAAAAAGGAAAACACCGTACTAAATTAAATTAAATAAAATACACCGGTGTATGTACGTGATGCGATATCGTTAACTATTGCTGAGATTTTCCTTCTTGAAATTAATGCGAAAGTGTTCTTAACGTACATTCCACGGATGTAGACTCTTATCAGCTAATTAATCGATGAATTATTTAAGCAACTAAGACGCTAGAAGTTTCGAAGCTACGTCGGAGTCGGGCAAATTTTTTACGCTCGTAACGAATAAAAAATTTTTATTCGACAGTCGCGAATAGAATTTGTCCCACTCCGAGTCTACGTTTAATAAATTACACTATCGTAAAGGATAACTATGCTCTTTGTGAAAAGAATCAGGTGATCTGTAGTCGTTTCTCACGGTTGTAAATGTCATAACGAGAGAATAGGCTAGCCAGTGGCCTTGAGCAGCCATTGATTTAGCTCAGAGTACAGTAGAATAATTTAAGCTTCGTCTTTCACCCTGTAACCCCTATGAAATCAATGTGTACAACAAGATCAATACGTGCATATATTAATGTATCGCGATTGGACCACTCGTTTAGCGTTTACAATTAACGAATCGTTACGAGTACGCACCTACGGTATGTACAAACTATGATTCGTGGATTCGTGGTTAAATCATTGGCTGAAACGATTCCAAACTGTTATATATCGGTTTCACCCTATATTAATTTCAATTACGTCTATTAATTTTTATCGTAATTTGTGTGAATTTCTATCGTATAGAATCGAACCTATCATCGAAACAGAATCGGAAAACAATAGTTGTAGAACCGTAATCGAAAGCGAAGTAAGCCAGAACCGATATGTACGTAACAGTTATAACATTTTCGCGTGTTTTAGTGACTTAGCGAGCAAGGAAACGCCTTCTAGTTACGGCACTGACAACGTCTATTAATTAAAAATTCCCCCCTAAACGCGTTCACTCGTAAATACATGCACGCCTCATTCTTTCGTACGCGGAACGATTTTCTGCCTTCAGGCACTAGGCGACAATAATAAATACTAATCGATTACCCAGACAGAACAGTAATACGTACGATCAATTTTTTTTTTCACTTCGTTGATCCGATACTGGCCCGACATCGCTCGACGCCGTAAATTCCTCTTGGCGTAACTTATTTATTCCCGCGAACACGCTCCTCGTCCTTTCGATTCTAATTATTTATACGATTTACGCTCTATTATTGCAACGTTAAAAAATATTTCGTATTTACTTTTTCTCCAACCACGCGGAAGATACGTTAATGCCCATTAGAGTATTTTGATTTCAAGAATATTATATGTACTTTCCAGTCTCTCTTCTCTGTGCTCTTGCACGAATAACGAAATTCATTACTTTGTTTTTTTTTTTAAATATATGCATAATATATATACATACGCTAGGTACGTGTGTGCGTGTACGTAATGATCGATATAAAACACCGAAGGGAAACAGATTTATTCGCTCAACATTCTTCACGGATGAATTAGACTAACGTCGACACGTTCGATGGATAATTTTCATGTTTTTCGTTTAATTCGGATTAGTTTTCTGAGTGACCCGCCGGTATGTCACACCGGCAGTCAACGTCTTAACAATTAACGTACCGGGTATAATAAAGAATCTGCAAGGGTACGCGATAATTACGCGGGGGAGGATAATTCCTTTTGAAAAAATTGAGGAAAATGCTAAACAACTTTCGTGCCTAGGAGATCTCAATTTTTAGAAAAATAATTTCAATATTACTTCTCTAGTAAACGAAAACCCGTATGGGAACGATCTTTTACATTTAGAATTATTTTTTGAGACAAATGATCCCTTGACGCGCTATACCACACATTTTCAAACACTTTGTACATTGCAAAGTCGGTACCGTACAATCGAACATTCACATTCATTATTGGTCCAACATCCATATATGTAGTTATCAAAATTTCTATCAATATTTGCACAGTATTGAATCAACATAATCCCAATACTTTTTTTTGGTGTTCTGTCTGGGTAGGTATCGCTATTATAATATTAACGCTATTTATTACAGAATATGTACAACGTGTGTGATGTCGAATATCTCAGAGCTTGGTTAAAGATTCTCTTGAACACAGCATGATGGCCTTTACCGAAAATTGCGGGAAAACTTTTCTATTTATTCTATTCTAATAAGCGAAAAATGTGTTCAACAAAATTTTTATCCCATTAAATATAGTAAAATTCGAAGCCAATTTCTGTTTACTTTTAAAAATGCTACTCGACGAGAGTATAAAATAAAAAGTTTGAATTCCGCAAATTTCAGTAAATTCGAGCATACTGTCGAACAATACTACATGCAACGAGGGGATGAAGACCGAACGGTTGAAAAGTTCAATGTCGAGGCTAAAATTGAATTACGATTGCTTGTCTGATACTCGATAATGTTCTAAAACAGCTCACGCGATAAACGCTAAGAGAAAAATTTCATGCTTAATCTCATTACTTTCCGAACAACATTATTGACTACGGTATCGAACGTTATCGCAACAATATGAATTTCTCGCGTTACCGTAAATGTTTTATAATACCTCGCGTTTAAATTTAATTATTACACTTTCTTTCGTCCAACTATTTTCAAAACTTCGTTACGCAGCTTACATTTACCCGCCATAGAAAAAACCGATTTAATAAAATATGCCGTATCAGCACGAGTCAGACTTTCGATTACATGGACTATTATCCTATTTTTTTGTCTTCATTTTTTTTTGTTAAAAATAACTCTTATCGATATTAAAGTACCTAAATAAAGTATTCTACGAAACAAGTGATATCGAAACATCGCTAAAGTAAAGGAACTTCTAGGCATACTAGGCGAACATACGATAATACGTAATTAATAGTAAAGTACACGCTATTATAATAATATTATATAAATATCTCCTTTACGAAAATCTCAGATAATCGAGCCAAATAATCGAAAGCTTTCAAAGTATCATACAGCATATGATAAACGTGTTCGCGAGATGCGATCTCGAAATTTGTTGCGTTTTCGGCACTCTAAAGGGCACGCTACGACGAGTCGATAAAATCCTCTTCTTTTCACCTCAAGTATATCGCGCCCCTGTGTATTCCCAGTCCCCCGTTCGATCGATCAAGAATAAATACGATCACCGCAGAAAAATACTTATCCACCTATCCGTTATAATAAAATAGAGACACTTTCTCTTTCGTCTCTTATTAGATTCCCTCTGCTTACTCGTTAACTTACTTTATATACTTATTGCAAAGATTGTTGGCATGCTTATTGCAAGTTTTACCTACAAGATACCCGCACGAGCGGCAACCTGTGAGAACGGGACGCGCGCTGTTCCGTCTAGAATCCGAAAGAAGACCCGCGTGGCTCGACGACGATTTCTCTGTTCCGTGATAGAAATTTATGCACAGCGCCGAGGTCACAGCTCGTGCAAACGGTATACATGTAACAAGGAACTCTGATGTGTATGGATGTCTCGTAGTATAGTTGAACGCGCAACTTCTGACTTTCCACCGGCCCGAAACTCTCGATTCCTGCCCCAATCGTATCTTCCCGATAGACTGTACGCGGGCGAATCGTCAAACTTCTCGATTCAAGGTTGTTCGCAAGGACTTTTCGAATCACCTTCAACTATCGTTGAAATTACCAATCAACGGTGAAACATACTTTCAACGATCGTTGAAAGGTTTTAAGAGAAACGTCGGATGGGGGATACACACGATGTCTTCGTAGATAGAGGATCTAAGAAGTTAGAAGAACGACTTGTTCCTTGATGAACGAGTTTTGGATATTCGAAAGTCGTGGTTCTCTTTTCTTTGGCAGGACTCGATAGATCGAAAAGTAAGAAATTGTAATCGTTTCCGTTACGAGATAAAGAAACAGTTCGATCAAAACGAACCGATTACTCCATGGAACCTAATCCGGTTGGCAAAAAGAAAATCGGTCAAGTATTGTTACAAGGGCATACTAATTGATCGAATGGTTTGAACGTATGGAGTGCTACTGTACTTTCTCTCGCATAGTACTGTACCTAAGAGGAAAAGGATCGCTAACTATAGTTGGATCAAACTCGACCGACCGCTCAAGGCCAATCCCCCCCATTGTGAATCATGTCAGGCACAATTTCTACTTTTGTCTCATGCCAGCTTGATTTCCTGCTCGAAAGAGAAAAAGAGAGAGTGTGCGTGGGTCTGATGGACAAGTCTAACGGTACGGACTTGATCGGCCAATTGATTTTGATCCCGGCCTATGAACGTTTCGAATATCCGATAATTTTGCATCAACGACGAAGAAAAACAGCTTGGATCGTTCGTACGGAAGATATAGAAAAATCTGGATCTATCGCGAACGCACGGAAACCAGAACAATTGCCGTAATTTTACCAAGTCCTTTGAGAAATTTCTAACGGTGAGAGTATTAATAGATATGTATACGTAAACCTTGACGCGCCAAGAGATTTCCTTGGCGATGGAACACGACAATTATAAATTTCGTTCGATCGTTTCTCCGGAAACGGCCAGAAGAAACGCCCGACGAACGAAGTATTCAACGAATTGTTTCTTTCTCTGTACGCTTGCGCTTAGCAATTAATTTCATTCCCCTCCCTCCCTGCTTTTTACAGTATCTTAATCCTCCTACGTCTTAAATAAGTAATTAAATAGTCGATAACATGCGTTATTTGTAAAAGAAATAACCCAAAGTATTAAACCTTGCGTTGTGGACAGCACCTAAGTACGAACCTAACAGAAAAGGAAAAAAAAAAAACTTATCCACAAACGTGTCCATTTATCCAGAACCAACGTTCTCTGCGTCCAACGAACATCAAATAATAAAGAATTCATTCTACGCTGTTGCACAACATAGCAGACGACTCTACGACGACGCAGCAATTCCGTATAAGATTAATCAGTTCTTTGCGCGTTAGGAGGCTCTACGGTTATTATAACGCGTGGTTCTCTAGAGCGTAAGAATCCGCTACTCTAGACAACGTACAGTGGCGGTCATATACTTAAGGACGAGTTAAAAATCAATTTTTAAAACTAGCGTCCGCTTAAAATACTTGTACTGCCTTTGAAATTAAAGATGTTAATATTTTTTTTAGTATTGGAATGTAAGCAAAAATTTTTCGACTATTCCCTAAAACAGTGTTTGATCTAGAGTAATGAATTACACTTATTATACGTATATTCAAGAAATTTCCGATTAACCGCATTTAATGTTGCAATAAAGGTTGAAATGTTCAAAGGTCGATAATTATATGGCCACCGCTGTATATCCACGCGACAGGACAATGGTAAAAGTTACCTTTTCAAGGAATGAACAGTTCGTAGACTTGCATGACTGAGAAGTGAAGAGCTTTTGGTTGCGCTTTAGGAAACACTCTTTGCGTCTGCACGGTTCGTCGCACACCGGGCGCACAAACGCTTTTGGTTAAGCTCGTGTACGGACTCGAACACGAGAAACGATGAAAATCTTTTTAATGGCTGGTCGCCATCGTGCATTGCATCTACAAGAGTCTGTCACTTGCGAAGGTGTCGTAGAACACGTCGAGAATTAGCTACGCGATGATCGATCTCACCGATCGAGAGGTACGTTTTCCAAGTTAGTTACGTTACCAAAATGCTGGAAACCGTTCTTGAAGATACGGCCTCTGCTAGTGCCGGCTTTAGTCTGATCGAGAAGCGTCACGTTATCCTCGAACTCCTTCACCCACCTGGCAGTCTCGTTTCCCCAATGAAACTTAATAGGCGCGGGGGGATGATAAGGTTTCTTGATACCCAAGTTCCGACTCTCTACGCCCTCCGCGGAGTGGTAGAACGATTTCTCGCAAAAGTCTTGGCTGAGGAACGGTTCGAGCTCGGCCACGATCTCCATGAAGGTGGGACGGTCGTTGGGCCGCCACTTGAAACACTTTTCCATGATCATCTGCATGTTCTCGGGACAATTGCGCGGTATACTGAGGGTTCCTTTGTGCAGTACGTGACTGAGCACCTCCTCGTTCGAGAATCCTTGATAAGGCATGGCGGCGAGAGTCAAAATTTCGTAAAGAACCACGCCGTAGGACCAGACGTCCGAGTCGGAGGTAAACACGCCGTCCGAAAGGTTCTCGGGCGCCATCCACCTTATAGGCAACAGTCCTTTTCTCCCTATCTTGTAGTAGTCGGTTTCGTAAATGTCCCTCGCCATGCCAAAGTCACCGATCTTGCACACCAGATTCTCCGAGATCATGCAGTTCCTCGCCGCCAGGTCGCGATGAACGTACTTCTTCGACTCCAGGTAGGCCATTCCATCCGCAATTTCCGCCGCCATTCTCATTATTCTGCACGAGTCCGGGATCAGATGGGTGTCGCGAATACGACGCAAATACGTCTTCAAATCCCCGTTCTCCATCAACTCCATGATGACGAACGGGGGATTCTCGATGGACACGACGCCCAGAAGCTTGATGATGTGGTAAGTGGAGAAGTTCTTCATCACCGAAGCCTCGTTCAGGAACTCGTTCTTCTCCCGTTGACTGGCCGTTTTCGAGATGGTTTTTATGGCCACCGGCGTGGACTTGTCAAAGTATCCGCGATACACCATGCCAAAGTTACCAAGACCCAGCTCCTGCAGGATCTCGACGCTCTCTCTGGGCACCTCCCACTCATCGATCACGTACTTGATCTCTATGTAGTCCGGGTTCACGCTGGCTATCAACCTCTCCTGCTTCCTTTTCTTGTGCTCGTTTCTCAAGAACAGGAACATCACGATCAGGATCACGGAAAGAACAGCCATAGTGAGCAACGAGATCAGCGTGATGGGGGCGGTGTTCGAGGCGCCCAAGGTAAAATAAACCATGTCCGAGAAGACACCGTCCCCCGCCAGCGACGTGGACCGCATCCGTAGACTATACTTGCCCGGACTCAAGTTCTTGATGAAGTAACTGTTGAACTTCTCCTTGCGGCCTGTGTGCGGTATGCACTCGGTGCTCTTCTTCGCGTCCCTGATGTCCAGGTTCGTGTACTCTATGGTGTACGAGACCGTGACCGCGTTCGGGTCTTTCACCAAGTCCCAAGACACCTCCACGATAGTGTTGTTCGTCACACGAACCTTGACGTTGCAGACATCGTCCGCGTGTTCCCGCCTCTTCGTTCTGGCGTATGCATACTCGATCGACGAACACATCTGCGATTCGTCCACCTTGGTGGCACACGCGGACACGGACACGATATACCGCGAATAGTGACGCAGGTCTTTAACCACGAACGAATAGTTGCTCCAGTTGCTCACGTTGTAGACGACTGTCGCCTCGTTCATGTAACCCTTGAAGTTTCCCTTCTCCGATTGAGAGGAAAAATTGTTCGCCAGCTCGTAGAAATTGTTCATGGAATTGTAGTTGTTGTAGACGCAATAGTCCTTCCAGCCGGGCGATACGTTGCTGATGGTTATGTTCTCGTGACAGTATATCTCGAACTTGTTGTTCGACGCGACCCAATTGTTCCTCCCGTTCTTCGAGCAACAAGAGGCAGCGTTCGAGACCGGCGTCTTGTCGATCATTTCGGACACCACCTCCCCGGTCTCGAATTCGTTCTCCAGCGTATCGTTGCAGTAATCGCGCAACGAGATCAGATCTTGCTCCTCGGGTATTATGGTCCTGGAGACTATATAGTAGCCTATGATGCTGTTAGGAAAGCGTAGGGGGGGCTGCCACCTGACCAGTATCTCGTTTTCGGACAGAGGAGTGGCGATCACGTTCGTCGGACGCGAGGGTATGGCGCTTTTCGTTCGAAAGAATATGATCTCCGACTGACCCACCGGGTTCGCGGAGAAGTTCATATTCCTGGCGATGAAGGTCTTGACGTAAACCCCGTACCTGGTGTACGGTTTCAAGTTCGTGATATGTTTGGAAACGGTAGAGTTCAATTTTGGAATATCGACGTCGAGTATTTGCCAGGTGTTGTTGCTGCCGCAGTTGTTCACCTCGTAACTGATATTTACGTTCTCCGTTTCGATGTAGTTCAACAGGTAGCTGAGCAACTGCTGGCCTTCCGGTGGCTTGTAACTATCCCAGATCAAATCCACGTAATCTGCCCCTAGATTCTTCACGGTGATGTTTATGTTGACGATGTCGCAGGCCACTTTGTCGCCGTTCGACTCAGGTTGCACCTCCAGATCCGTGAAGTTCGACATGTTCACCATCTTGCTCAACTGTATGATCTTGGATAGACACAGCTTCGGATTGTAATGAAAGAATAGCTTACCCCTTTCGATTTTGATCTTCTGCTCCGGCGGGAACAGATTCGACAAGTTCGGGTTATCGAGTACGGCCAGACTCGCGTCGGTCGTGTCCAAGGTTTCCCCCTTGATGACTTTGAGCTTTTTAAAAAATCCCAGCGACGTGATGGGGAACGAACGAGTGATCTTCAAATAGTCCGTGATCTCCTCGATTAGGCCAAACGCTTCGCTCAGTTCGTTCATTATGTTCGAGTAATCGTTCCCGATCTGGAACTCCAGAGCACCTTTCACCACGGTTATGCCACGGAAGCTTTGAGCGTCCGAGATATGACGTATCAAAGCACCGTGGCTGACCTTCCGGCAGTGTGTCTCGCAAACTCGACACGTGGTCATCTGTAACCGTGCAGAAATTCGCGTTACGATAGGCTGGAAAAGCGCTAAAGAAATTTGTCGGGACCCTCTAAACATAATAAATCAATCGAAATCTACGTACATTGTTCTCATCGAGCGCATCTTCATACCCGTCAGGACACTGAATCATGCAAGTCCCATTGAACGGTCGCCAAGACTGTCCCTCCTCCAATTTTTGGTGGTGCAACCTCTTCAAACGATTAATTTGTATGCACTCGTCCTTCGTGACGCAGCGTCTCGAAAGATAGGCGTATCTACGAGTAACATTTCCTTTTTATTCTCGTGGCTGAATTTTCAAGATCGAAAGACTTTGGCAACGTCACTTACAGGTGACTAGGACAGGTTTGGATGCATTTCCCTTTGTGTCTATAGTGCTTGCAGACGTAGCATTCGCTGTCCGATGGCCCGTGACACTCCCCGAGACACTGTTCGTGACACTTTGGCGTTTCTATCCTTTGACAGTGCTGAGCCGTCCAACAGAAACCCTCCGGACAATGGGAACATCCTGTAACCACAAAAGAGGGATAATCGAAACTGGGATTACATATAACTTTTCTGGCTCCTCGAGTTCCCATCTTTCAAACGGGAGAACAATGTTGGTAATCACGGAACCACGGAACAGAGGAATTTGTTTTTAACATTGTTTAAATACTGCCACGAAACGTTATCAAATATTTCTTAACGTTGAAAATAGCAATTGGTCGCCTTTCGAGTGGCTAACTCGCATGACTGCACAAGTAATTACTAGACCGCGAATGTTTGTGCGCATAAAATATGTTGATATATGCGAACTTCATACGCGATGTATGAAAATAAACATGGAGAAAAATACACGACGTGCGTAATAAATTTATCAAAGTTTTTCTTATCTACTTCCTAAAGGTATATTTATGCAACCGCATAAACATTCCCAGTTTGGTAATTGGATTTGCAAAAGGACCGTAATATCGTCGCGCGATACCGTTTCGTCAAGAGGTCGATTATCGATGAAGGGACTCGTTGGAAAGGCTGAGAAAACATACCGGGACAAGAAGCTTCCTCCCCGTTGTCTTTGATAACATTTTCGCCCACCGAAACGATAAGGGTCCAGTTGAGGGTGTTGGTGTAACAGAGAGCCGGGTTCTTCTCGATGCGAACGCTGCCCCTCGAGATTTCCGTGAGTTTCTTCAGCCCGATCTGCGAAAAGAATACGCGGCCACGATTCAAGCGTAATATCGGCAGCCAGAGGTCGAACGGCCGGTTAATTCGATTGACTAATTAACGTTACTTGACCCAGCGGGTCAACTGGCCGCGCCGAGTAAATTAGAACGGAGCATCGAAGCCAGTACTCGTCCCGAACTCGCCCGTGGGAATGCGATCGGGGAAATTAACGTTTCGTGACGCAAATCGACCAACCGGGCCCGTCTATCGATCGATCCATCGGCAATGTTTACTCTATTTTTTTTTCGCCCGAGCTCTCCTCCCCCGCGAACGCCAATGAATCACGGCTGATAACCGAAGAAACAATTCTCCCACAAAAATGATACGGCAAATATTTGCTATCTAAGCGAATGTTGATCCGCCGTGTATTTTGTGAACCAACAGCCAAGAGTATGCGAATCGCGCGCGCCGGCGACGTACCGCGTCAAACATTGTTTCGTTTCGAAGAGGCTTGCACGCGGCTTGAAAAAATATTTGCTCCGCAAACAGAACTTTTGATCCGCGTTTACCTTTTTCGCGCGATAGCCGCCGGCCACGAAAATACACGGTGGTGTCCCGTGCCACGTGGGAGATCCGCTTCGATGATAGATTCTGCGCACGAAAACAATTAAAAAAAAGTTCGACGCTGTTTCCGAGTTACAGCGAAAACGTCCACACCGAACCCTTTTTTTCCTTTTCCCGCGTAGAACCCATCGCTTGATTTTTCCACGCGATTTTTCAGACAGTTGACCATGTGTAACCAACCCCGTTTAAAACTTTACGAGTGAAAATCGAAAGTAAAAAGTAGTATATGGGGAAATCGCGGCGACAGAGAACCTTACCTCTTGGAGATTCTGCATCTCGTACAACATAAACGCGTAATCGGTGAGCAGGGCGTTCCCTCTGATCACCTCGAGATTCGGGAACAGATTCACGAGGCTCTTTAGTCCGTTAACACGATAGAACAACAGATAACCGGTGATCTCTCGAAGCTCGGGAAAGTGAATGTTCTGAAAGTCTGTCTCGGTACTGTCCTCGATCAAGACGATCTGCAGATCACCCTCTATCACGCGGCAGTTCTTCAAGATCGCGAAGTGCGCCACGCTGTTCCGAATGTCTATACTGTGGCAAATACCGTCCCCGATCATTATACTTTTTATTCTTCCCGTGGGCCTTCTGTGGACCGTGTCCGTCGACTTGACGATCGGTTTCGGAAGATTCGACAGCTGGCCGGACTGCTGGTTCAGTTTCGCGTTCGCTTCCGTCGATCTACAACCACAGAGAAATAAATTTCCGGATTTTTGCATGGTAGTGCAAAGGAATTTCATTCTTTACTACGCTGCAATTACAGATTCGGAGTAAACTATGCCTATTCGCGGTTCTCGAGAAAGGTCCAAGTTCTGTTTAATCCTTCTCTTGCATTAACGAGGTAAATTCGATTGAAAAATTTCTTTCCTTCTCATAGAAAACAACCCTTTGAAAACGAGGTAGGATATTCTCACTGGTGACCGATACGATACTCTTTACAATGGAACAATTTTTGATCGATCGTGAGGAACAATTTCCCTCGGTGTGTAATATTCTACCCCGTGCGAGTCGCGTCTGTTTCCGGCGCATCGTGGAGATACGATTAATTGTACCAAAGTACCTGGAAGCATCGATCGCTCTGTTGTTCCTATGGGAATCGATTTGATCGTAGAACTCTTGATCGTCGTAGAGAACGATCGAGTCGCCGCGTTCGCGGTATCCGTCCTCGCGAAGGCCGGCGGCGTTCTTCCTGTCCACATAATCGGGATCGTATTTGCCCTTAGCGGTTTTGTCGCGGTAATTCGTCGTCTCGGACCAGCTCTTCTCCTGGCAGCACGCCAGGCGCGCCGCGACGCAAAGGAACACGATCAGCAGCGACCACCACCTCATCCTCATCTCCTTGTCTCATCGACACTGTACTATTGACGAAGCTATCGTCAAACCTTCTTAAATTATCCCACCCCTTCGGTTCTTCCACCTCCGCACGCTTCTCCCAATCAATCGGCCGACGATCGATCGTCGTCGAGGCGGACCCGCGCGTACAAAGACTATTACGAACCTTGACTAGCTCGATTACCGAGCCAACAACATCGGCAACACGCTCCCTCGCGATCTATCGATCTTCCTCTCCCGGTTACGCACCGAGAATCCGTAGACCCGCGTAATTTGGAATCGGATCAAGTTCCTCGGTTCTTCGCGAAGATTTCGACTTTCTACTTCGCGCGAACGATCAAGAACGACGAACTGTTGCAGCTGCTCGGTTAATGGCTCCCCGTCGACCTCGTTACGAACCTTTGCGTCTCATACTCTCCCTTCCACGTCCCGCATAGACTGCAATTTTCGAACGCTCGCGTTGTATCCTGGATCGAACTGTTTCCGGCCGCCGAGGATACCTTCGCCCGAAAGCTCCAGCAACGACCTTGCAAAGACTTCCGATTTCCATCGAAGGGGACTCGCGAGCTACGAGAACCCTCTCTCTCCTCTCCGCGATCACGGTTTCTACTAGCAAAAGTCTCTTTGGGAAGTTCCGGGGGCACCGATGATCACATCGCGGCTTCGTTCAGAGAAGCTGTCTGTCGAGGTTCAACAACTTCCTGGCCCTCATGGTTTCCCTGTTCGGATCCACTCGCCTGCAATCAATCCAATGCCACGTGGTGACGTTAGAGCGGCCCTTCGGGAAATTTCTTCCAGTTCGAGAGTCCTCCGAGAGTTTACCCGCGCTCGCAACAAACCAACCGACCCATTTATAGACTGAGCCGATATGTTTTGTCTCACGAAGAGAGCGGGGAATCGTCGGGAACCCTCGACGATCGTTCGTCATCTTTGCTTTCCTCGCGTTAAGGGTACATACGTAGAGATGTCGATGTTTTACATTATTAATATTGGCTATCAGCAATTTTGATAACTCGATCGTTATCATTTTGTAAATAATTTTACGCATGCTCGACACGTTTCCTCGGTAGCATTTTGCCGCGAGTACGCGTAAGTTAACCTAGTTAACCTAGATAAATCTACAGAGTTGTCCCAGATCTTTCATTTTTGAACGTCTCCCTCGCTGTGTCTCTATCCTCGATTCTGTTACGTTGCACAGGGCGACCTATATTAATCTATAAATGAACTCGACGGTATTTTAAACAATACCCTCTATCTTCGCATCTCTAAATTAAATTTCCCCCACGATTTTTGAACGCTAACATAGCAAGTGACAAATCGAACATTGTTTTGCTCTAAAAGAATTTATCAAACTTTTCTCTTGCCAAAAAATGGTAAGTACGCGATATCGCTTCGTTTCCTACATTTATTCGAGCATGATTAAATGTATTCGACGAGGGGGGAACAAAATCACGCTGGACTTGTTATCGAACGGTTCCACCTTCATTCTCTTGTTTAGTATTCGATAATCAAGAGCGCTCGTTGAATTTCAGTGGGAAGAAACAACGAACGGAAAGGGGGACGATTGATTGGAAGAACGAACGTTCCATTCATCTATGTATTTATTCGGAAGTAAACAGGATCAACTCGATGATGAAACGATTTCCAATTCATTACCTAAATAAAAACTTATCAACACGAAATGAGCTTCGACTCGATGCCGATGTTATTTATGCATCTTTCTGCAATTTAAAAGAATTCAATGGAGATACTTTAAGGGCCGTTACGCGAGAATAATTCCCCCTCGAGCAAGAAAATCCAAACGAGCTTTCGAGTTGGAAAATTGGAGCGGCTCGTTTGCTCGTGTGCATCGTCTGAAATTCCTGGAGGGAGTGGGCGATAAGGAAAGGAGGGCCCAGGCACGCGAACCAATCTGCCGCTTATCGGCTCGTTATCGGAGTCGCGTCAAGTTATGAATGGGCGGAAACGTGCCAGTTTGACCGCCCAATTTCATTCTCCCGTACACACGAACGAGCTTTTCGTAAAAATAATTTGCTCCCACGGAAACGTCTATCAACCCTATCATTAGTTTCTATGGTGAAAATGGCCGAGTTACCACGTAGAAAAGGTGTTGTAAAAGAAGGTACAACGACGTTAATTATACCGACAACTATCGATCGAGAGGAAAAGTTCCTCTTCGACGCGGGGTTTCTTATCTAAACACGTTTAGGTCTGGGTTAGGGAAGTGTTTCGTTGGGAACGCGACGCGTTCTACGCATCGAGTACATATTAAGAAAACTACGTGCGTTCGAGTACGCGCGACGTCGCGTTCTCACGTAACACATTTCCGGCCTCGTATTGACACAACACGATAAAGAATATTCTACGAACCCGTGTGGCTTTCGTGACGCGTCGACGTGGTGGCACCGATTTGCCAACAACTTTCCATTGTCGTCGGAGGTGGAGGCAAGGGTACTCGGTCGAACAGAGACTGAACACCACCGAGGTTAGCAAAACGTTTGAAGGAACGTCGTCAACAGCTGACTCACGAGCGACGCGTTATGTTAAGCGGACCATAATTAGATGGACATGACGTTGTAACCTCGTGCCGAAACTTTCCAGTCCGAGGGCCGATCTCGAACCGTTCTCAATCTCCCCCGACCACCAATTATCGTTCCATCCTAAACACGATCCAACGAACGATCAAGTTTCGCGAACGAACTAATTTTTACGAGATAAATGTGAAAATGAGATTCCAATCCCCAAGCTTTCGCGCCATAGAAGACCGAGATCGTGAACGCGAGCTCACGGTGGGAAGTACCGACGAACTTTTTGCCAAAATCGTGCAACGACTTATCCGAAGATCGAAACTAAAATGTTGCGAAATATGAATAAAGTATGAATATGTAACGAGAAATGTTCGCGCTCGAAGGAAGTCATATCCTGAAAATTACTAAGATTAGCATCGCGTAAAACCATGATCGATAAGACTATCTCCGTATAACGTATGGCGTATTACCGGTGGCCACGACGTAATACGTAGTAACAGCTGTCTCGTAACGATATAATTGGTTTACCCGTGATTAAAGCTTGCCGCGATCGCACGAAACACGCGGTATTTTGCAATCGTACGAACGTGTGAAATTACACATCGCTACGGACAAAGTTTCATTAATACCTTCGTCCACGATGACGCGCGTGTACGCGATTACTTATTCTCCACATTCCCATCGGTTGGTTACCTGTCCAGTCAACGAACTCACAAAAAAAAACAAATAAATATAAAAACGTTTTCGAATTTGGATCTGGCAGTGAACGCGTTAGGGAATACTATGATTTCTCGTTAACTTCGCGCTCTGGCTCGGGCCCTTCAAGGTATAACAAATAGGGCACGTGACGCAAACGATCGACGCTGGCTGACGCAACGATGCAATTTTTGGCTCTGTCGTTTGTCTCTCGACTGCGCGTGCGGGTCGCGTCACAATAACGCAAACAAGATTTCCCTGCCATCGGGTTCGTTTGGACGCGCACCGGTGTTATTTACGCGTGTAAATATAATTTACGCTTCTAGAAATAATCCGCTATTATCTGTGCTTGCATTCGTCTTAGTCGTTCGCAAAACTGGCCGTGTCCTCGTTCCAACGCGGATCCCGAAACAATTTTCCTCCTCTCATTGAAAAACGTCCATTTTTCGTACAGTTTCACCCTACCTCCGACTTTCGATCGTATAGACAATATACCGTGTGGAATTTTCACGGACAAACGTTTCGAGAGTAACGGACCGACCAGCCAGGTCTGCTCCAAAGGTGCTCCCGTATAAAGATTTCGAGTACACGGTGTGCATCTACATAACCGGAATGCTGATTTGAATGATCATCCAGCGCACAATAGGATGCCAGTTAAATGCTCGCTCGAGGGGTTAATGACTTTTGAAATTGCTCCGTCTCCGGATATCCGAATCGAGCATCCTTCCCCGTCGATAAAAGTCGCCGACGAAGCAGCTGGCCGGCTACCGACCGCGGCGCGGCAATTCGATCCCCGCGGATCGATCGACACGATCTATTTTCAGGCGGCGAGGAACGCCAGGATCGACAGACTGGACGTGCACCGTGAGAAAACGTGGCCAGGAAGCTCCGCGGCGCGGCCCACGCGTCGCTTTCGCGCAGATCCAAATTATGTGTGCCGGAGGATCGTAATTCCCCGTAATGACTTTTGCTTCCAGACACCCTGGACAACGTTTCACCGATTTTTGCGGTGCAAGGGTACAATTTAAAAGCCCCTGGATCCTGCTATTCTTTTTACAATTTTCAACTTCCGTTTACAGCCTTGCAACAAACACCTTTCGAATACCAGGCTATTACCAACGCTATTTCTACCCGCAGTTAACACTGTAAACGATCGTTAATGCGAAGTTACGTTGCCTTTTTGAGAAATTACCGCAGAGACTGCTGCGTAGTTCTTTAACAAGTAAATAAATTATATGAAAAACCATTAAATTGCAAATCATTCACGATACCGCGCTAGCAAGCAAAGTGTTCGTTCCAAGTTATCTTAGTAGTCAATCGCATCTCGACTATTAAACTGAAAGCAAGTTGCATTTTTCCACGAAACCAGTTACACAGTTGCATCTTTATCGTTGCGCTTTAAACCTTGACTGAACAAGTTTCGGTTAGGCGAAGACACCGAGAACATTTCAAGGCCGCCGTTGATGGAACGTGTACACTCGTCTTTCTAATACGAACTAAACAAGTATATGGAAACTTGTACAACCATAAAATACGTTATGTAAGACTTCTCGGCAAATAAAACATGTTTACCGCTTTTCCATGTTGCGACACTCGATCAGCCTCTCTCCGTTCGAGAGGCAGAGAACGAACTAACCTCCGGCGTTATTACAATTTCTTTCCAAATTTTTAATGAAACAGACCGAATTCCTTCTATGTGGTTTTGTTTCGGACTATCAAACTTATCTATCGCAGCTGACAATATGTATATTCTGATATTACATTAGTATTGATTTTATTAAGGCTAGGAAACTTTTCAAACAGTTATAGATAAGATTGAGAATACAAATTTGTTGATTGAGGCTTCGTTAAAAAGTTATTAAAAAATTTCAAATCATTCACGGAAAAATTATTTTTGTTTACGGGGGTCAATTACAATTATTTTTTGTCAATAGACATACCCCCGAAATCCTACGCACTTTCGAGAAAAAAATTCGAGTAGCCTAAATTTTTCGACGAAAAAAAAATTTTAAATGTTCTGGAAAAATTATTACTAGCTAGAGGGGTCAATTCTAATCAATTTTGGTCATTACAGATACCCCCGAAATCCTATCCATTTCGAGAAAAAAATTCTAGGCGCCTAAATTTTTCGGCGAAAATAAATTTTTTCAAATCGTTCTGAAAAAATTATTTTCGGTTCCGGCGGTCAATTACAATTATTTTTTGTCAATAAACATACCCCCGAAAATCTACGCACTTTCGAGAAAAAAATTCGAGTAGCCTAAATTTTTCGACGAAAAAAAAATTTTTAAATGTTCTGGAAAAATTATTACTAGCTAGAGGGGTCAATTCTAATCAATTTTGGTCATTACAGATACCCCCGAAATCCTATCCATTTCGAGAAAAAAATTCTAGGCGCCTAAATTTTTCGGCGAAAATAAATTTTTTCAAATCGTTCTGGAAAAATTATTTTCGGTTCCGGGGGTCAATTACGAAAATTTGTGGTGAATAGACATACCCCTGAAATCCTACTCATTTTCGAGAAAAAAATTATTTAATAAATAATAAATGTTTAACGAAGCCTCGATCAACGAATCCTTGATTTTAGTCTTATTTTGGCCTCTAGAATTTCCCATTAAAATTTGTATATACTTAAAATTAATTTCTCCCCAACTAACGAGTCGATACAATAATTTAAAAACTACTTTTTCGGATCGTTCTGTGAGTACATGAAGGTGCCAATTCGTGTCACAAGAATTGGTGCGATTCGAATCGAATTGGCGTTTATTTCGGCGGCGTCTCCGCTCGATCCGGCTCTAAAATCGCGCAAATTTTTCTTTTCGTGGTGGATATTCGTCCAAAATGACTGTTTCCCGCGTTTGGCATTGCCCCACAGTGTAACGATCGAATAGCGTAAATCCAGCTAACTGGAGCACCCTCCGGTACCACGATACCACGCAATAACCAACGAGGGGTTATAACACAGTGGCGGGACGCGACTAGGAAAGACCCGGAAGCTTTATTGCTTCCGTTCCGCGATGATGTCGAAGTTTCTCGCGATCGTTATCGCATTCCGGGATGCTAGACTCGCGAGACTGTTGCATCCAGCGTGTTCGAGACATCATTGTGTGTATTTTTAGACCGCAACCGATTACGTTCGAGCAAGATAATGGGGGCGATCGAGTGTAACGACGAGGAGCGCCACTGCCGCGCGCGTGTCTATCTTTTTTGTGTTTACTGTCCAAAATACTCGACGGCGAAAAAAGCTTTGCCCGCGAACATGCGACGCAGACACGACCGTTTGCCGAACGACCGACCCGTTTCTTTTCATCTCGGTTACGTAACCTTTTTTCCAATCGTTTCCGCTCGTCCAAATTTTCACCTTTTTCTCTCAAGGTCTCGCGACCGTGCACTTGAATCGATTGCACTGTTCATCGAGGCATTCTAGCCGTAACAAAATGTATCGTTTACAATGAATTCCTCTACTACGTCAAAACGTTACGCAAAGAACAGATAAAAATGCTCATTTTAATTACACGTTACAAGTTGAAAGAAATTCACACGTATGATACACCATGTATGAGAAAAGTATTTGGGAATTGTTTAAACGATAGTATTGTTACGCGAGCAATAAAACGTAATTTACGATTTTTACTATCACCGCGAGTAATTGTCAGCATTAATTCAATAACACGTTGCCCGTTGCGACGATTAATTAATTTTCGAACAATTTGTATTTTTGTTAATAAAGATTAGTACGTTTATCATGTTGTAATTGCTATCGACGACAGTCGTTAATCTTCTCACGGATACACACACGCTTGTACAGGAAAAAAGATCGTTTCAATAGAAAAATGACGTGTGTTTATTTGCGTTCAATCGCTTCCTAGTAATCAAATGTCATGGCAATGTTTCGACGCACGTGGTAGATAACTCCCCCGGCTGTGCGTGAGTTATCCACGAACAATTACGAAAAGTTACGTCTAGACAAGGCAGACAAAACATTGTTAGAACAATACGCAGAAGAAGCGTTACAAAGTCAACGTCGTACGCTTCAACATCTTGTACAACTAGAACGATGTAAAAAATGGAATAGAAGAAGCATTACAGTTGTTTTTTAATTCTATAAAATACCTCCTAACACCAAGTGCCCAAAACTGGATATTCCCGACAAATTTCGGTTATATCAAGATAATGGCTGCTATAGAACTGCTCGAATGTCATAAATAAACCGCCTCCGTCACCGAATTTCGCTGAAACGATACGAGGGACAGACTAGTTAAAAAATAGAAAAGTATCTGGTAACTAATAAAGCGGGACTGCAAAGCAGATTAGAAGATAAATGGCGCAATATAGACCATTTTTTTTTTTTTTAAATTGTAGAATCCATGCCAAAACGATTTTCCAAAGCGACGAGACAATAAGGGTTATCCTACAAAACATAAGATCGTTATATTAATTTTGTTACGATACACGGAATCGTGTTATTATTCTTGTTCATGGTATTGCAAGTTCACGGTCTAGACATTGTGTTTTTTCCAATAAAAAAGCGTAAAAGAAATCTTGTGTTATTTCCTTTACTCTTGGTATTTCTAACGCTTTCTGCGTGCGCCAATAATTTCGTGACTCACTGTATCTGCGTAGTATCTATTCGTCGAAAGAATTCCAAAGGCACGATCGCCTATTGCGCGCAATTATCGCGGAAAGCGTGTTTGGAATCAGTGTTAGAACGTGCTCGAACTTTTATGCGCAAATACTTACGTGTCTCATAGATACGTATTACATTCCAGTCCGCAAAGTGGATTCGAGCCGCGATGATGACACGTCGATAACACAATCACTACTCGAGCACCACTGCCGTGTCCCACATTACTCGGCACGCCGATAGTCCAAAATCACTGCGTAAATGAAACAAGCAAGAAAACGTAAAACGTTATAGATCATGTGAGGCCAACCTCCGTACGATCGATGTGGTCGTACGCGGACGATTACAAAACACACGCAACACGCTAATTCTGCTTTTCTCCGTCGCTTAGCCGGAACTTTTTCAAGGCTTCACAGCCCGGGCATTTCACAAGATACGCAAGCAACTCGTGGTCTCTCGACGCGCACGAAATTCCGTCCTTTTCCTCAACTTCGCTCGAGGGATTATTTAGGACAAAGACTGTGAGAGAGAGCGCGCGCGCGCGCGTCTGTCCCCACGAACGCGATGATTCGTGTCGCCTTAACGCGTAGTTAACGTCGCAAATAAAATAAATCGAACGAATCGCTGGAATATGCTGCCTACGAGCGAACCACGCGCCGCTTGTTTACCTTATCTCACCTTCGAACAGGTTGTTAGTCCACGCGTCGCAACGGAATCCTGGTTATCGAACAAAACCAACGTTTTCCTAAACGTTACGACGACGTATACGTATACGTATGTGTATCCCTATTACGTTCGAGACTTTAGTCCTGACGCGCATTAAAAATGTTTCATGCAACGCGAAGAAGTATCCTTTGGAAATATGGCAGGAAATCAGTTCAGCGAACTTGTTCGGGGCAGCGTGTTTGGGCATTGCTCGATCTAAACAATGTTACTCGTATTACTCGGTATTGGAATACCTTTTTAAACACGATACGTTTCAAGACACAACGCGGCCGGTACTCGTGGTTCGGTGGCGAGAACACTTTTAATCCGCGTCAGTGGTAAGAAAGAAAACTTTCGAGAGTGTCGGGGAGGGAGGGTAAAAGAGAAAGGGTGGTCTCGCGCGAAATTTCGCGCTATCTCGAGCAATTAGAGAATTTCTCGGTACCGAAAGGATACGCGGCGCTGTCAGCCTGGAGAAAAACAGAACGATTACAGAGGAGACACGTGCGAGATACAAAAGACAAACACGGTTTCGTAAGAACAAGACACGATAAAGGAAACTAATTGTGCAACGCGTGCAACGGCAACGGTCGGTAACACTAACAACAAACAACAACAAACGACGACGAAAGAGTTTCTTGCGTCGCCATTATTAAGAGTCAAGAAAAAGAAGGGTTGGATCGAGAGGGAGGAAGAAAGAGCGAGAGCGAAAGAGAAAAAGAGAGGTGCCCGCGTCCCGTATTGCGTAGTAAGCGCTTGAATGGATTACGTCACGCGCCAGAGGCAGCAAAGAGGGTAAAAGCGTCGTGTCAGACACGTTCCTGTCAGGGCGTTTGTTTATTACATTGATCGCGACGCGTTTTGCATCGGGGACTTCGGCCCCGACCTCGGCCGTTTGTTTTCCGGTCACCGACAGACAAGTTACGCCGCCGAGGAACAAGCCACACGCACTACCGCCACCATATGAAACTCTACACACGCTCGTGTGCGCAGCATCGTTTACCGTTTGCGCGTATTCGTGCGACAGGATGCCGTTTTCCAGCGTTTGTCGTGCACCTTCGTCGCGCCGAGGAACGATCGATCGTCAAGATACGGGAATTCTTTGGCGTGTCCTCCCATTATATCGGGCGAGAAAATAGTTGGTTTACAGGGGGAAACCCTCTCCCGCGTCGTTTCCCCACGTGTTATTCACGATCAAACAAGAGTCACTCGGCGTCTCGGCATCTTCATTCTATCTTTTTTTTTTTTTTGCCCCTCTGTCTTTCGCTCGTCGCCGTTTTCTATCCACCTCTCTCCCGTCCCTTCGCTTTTTCTTTTTCTTCTCTGCCTCCGCGACTCGCCTCCGGCTCGAGTGTCCTTTCCTGTCTCGTTCGCCTTTTCCTTTCTTCCTTCTGTCCTTACTGTTCGTACGGCCGACGACGAAAACTGGCACCGCGTTCCACGTGGGTAAACGTGTCCTTTCAAAACACCATCACGACACTCACCACTGCCGCCATTCCACCGCGCATAGCGCATTTACACCTCGATTTAAGCGTGTCGTTCGCGTTCTGTTTCGTCGACGTGTACACCCTACGAGCACCGCTAACTAACGATTTATTCGCGAGAGAGAAACGGGACCGAGGTTCCTTAAAAACGCGACAACAACACAACGCGGACAAACATCCTGACGAACAAGTCAGCTGGTACTGATCGGATCATGATCAAGCGGTGACTTAGCCACGGGTCACGGACGTACAAGCGTCGTGGAAACGTGCAAAGCCTCGTGTCTCGACAAGAATCTGACCTGTGCGCCGCCGACCGAGCGGAGACGTCAACTAAACGCCAGGACCGTACTCGACCGCTCTCGATCCCACCTCCCACTCGCCTAGCCCGCTAGTGCATTCAGCAGATGGCGCACGCTGCACCGAATATACGAGCCTTCAGGAAGTAATTTACAAGTTCTAAATTACTCAATTTTTCGTTCAACACCCTCGATACTTTCTTAAAGAGAATAAAACGATTATTTATTCGTTCTTACTATCGCTATTTCTTGTTCTATGATTACCTATCAACTTACGTTGAAAACATTTTTTATAACTTGAACCAAAACAAAAAACACGTTTTAATCTCTCGTTAATCGGAAGCGATTACAAAAAATCAGAAATCATTATGGAAAGTCACCGTGATTGAGAACGAACGCGATTAAATCATTCGTGATTCGCAAATAGTAGTTCCAGCCATCTCTAGCGCCTTCCCTCGATCTTCGATATTTTTCTACATCGAGCGATCCAAGGCTTGGCAGCCGACTAGCCTTTCGACCATTCCTCCGTCTAGTTGTCCGCAAAAACAAGAATATCTACGTACGTCGAGATCGATGTCGGATAGGTTGCGTTTTGATGGAACGATTTCAAGCGTGCGGACGAAACGTCCTGTCGTTACGTAATGTGGAGATGAAAATGAGCTTGCTCGTACGTGGGCGCTTATATTCGTGAAAACGTGTTTTTGTGATTATTTATTATTTTGTTAAGCTTCATCGATGTTCGTAACAAACATCATTATTTATACTTGACTCGATCAAGGTTGTACTTTCATCCGCGGAATATATTAAATTCTAATTTCCCTTTTTTTAACAAGAAATTGTCCATTTTTATATTTTAAACATTTTCAACGTGGTTGGCTTCCAAAAAAGAATGAGTCTGAGAAAGTAAATAGATTCCCACCAAAGCTAATAAAATGGTAGCGGTAAACGCGTAGTAGACGAGGTAAATCTACCTCCACCGATGGTCGGACGGATGAAAGGAAATATGTCTATCTGTTATTTCGATTTTCATTACCTTTGATGTATCGTTGATTACTAAGGAAGATGTAAATTATTCGATACGATAACCCTTGGTTTTTCTTCTTGTCCAACAATATTGCTGCTTTTGTACGTTTTTTCGCGCACGACTAGAAGCATAAGCATTGTAAATTATAAACATTTTCGCGATCTGCTGTACGAACGACGGTAAAGTGTCTATAACCACAGACGAGATATACGAGTAGACTTTTCACCTTATGGACTTTCGTGACCCAATCTGACTGCCATACCGACCTGAAAATTCGGAGGTGATTTTAGCGACCTCTTCACACGGATAGCGGTCAGTTAAGAAACTATTCACTGAATTAGGATTGATAGGCAATCAGTGTAGTGTTACGTAAATACATGTGAGAGAGATTGAGATTCATTTCTGAATCTGTCGGTAACGTTGCGAATGACACGAAAATGGTAATGGAGTTTCGAGATCCCATAAAAATAGGCCGCAAAAATATATTGGATGAAGGATCTACTTCTATACCACATCTGTGATACTCTAGAATTTTTTATGAATCAATGAGAATCAAAACTAACCTAGCGAAGAAGCTCTATATTTATGATGACCTATGCAAAGCGGATCGCAGCCAATTTGCTAATATTATTTAGTTTTTAATTAATAATTGCATTACCGAGCTAAGAGTGATACGATTATTAATTAAACGTTAAATAATATTACCCAGGTCTCACCACGTGGAGGTTGCTGCGAATGGAGACCCGCCCTAACCGATTCCCAACCACCCTCCATTAATAAATATCTTTTATGACCAGCGATCGTTGGTCGAAGAAGCAATAAACGAAAGTGCAACCAACGAAGGAAACAACCAACGAAAGGAGTTTTTCGAGAAAGAATTTGCCTCTAAATTCTCATCAACGAAACAGAGAAATAGACCAAAATATTGCCTGTCTGATATAATGATTGATATAGAGAACCAATCTCCTGCCTAACTATAAATCTAAATTCACTTACATCCTACCTATCTAATCATCTAACAAAATACATAGAAAATATATTCTTCCTTGTTGATCCTTCGACGAAGATTTCCTGAAACATACTGTTACATTCTACCGAACTATAAATCTAAATTATTAAAACATAAACTAAGCAATCTGAAACAAAATACATGAAATACATTCTTCTTTCTTCTATCTTCTATTTGTCCCACGATGATTTCCTGAAACACAAACAAAGCAATATCAAACAAAATTGTAACGATTCTTAATTGTTACTTCCATAAACCTAAAACTTCCATAGGAATATGCTCTGTAACAGAAACTTGTTTAATAGATTAGTAAGAGAACAACACTGAATCTGTAAAACTACAAATACTAAAACTACAGGCAAGTGCAGTGAGAAAGTAAAAATAGTACATCATAATATACGAGGTTACTTCGACTCTAAAATGTATTCGTCGCGAAATATCTTCTTGCGCGTCAATCTAATGATATATTTTAATAAGTAAAGAAAGACTTTGGGTATCCTCGATATCGAAGATAGCCAAAGTGGTCGACTCAATTATGAAAGTGAATTTAATTATTGAAGAGTGTAAAGAACAACGAACATCGGAAGCTACTAATTTGACACTCGTTCTAAAATTAATATAATTATAAGTATTATAAAAGATATTAAAATCATGACTCTACTTTCGATCGATATTACGATATTTGTCATATTAAAAATTGCGGCGTGTAAAAACATCGCACGCTTGAATAAAACGCGACGCGACACGTGCTCATAAGCGTGCAGTGAGTGTGGGTATCAAATTGATCCCCCCCGGCCTTGATTATCAGAAAAGCAAGTCGCGCCCCTGACCCACGTCTATCGGACCTCTCTACGTACAACCGCCGGGCCCTGGAGGACACACGATCACAACAGGACCCGCTTAGTACTCGAGAACGGATATGAGTCAAGAACTCTCGCCGGAGGTCATTCTCTTTTCCGTATAAAGAGGAGAATATATGCGCTCGGCGAGGCCCCACTTAAGCTGAACCAAGCTGCACCGGGGTTGAAGCGGTTAGAGCTATCACACCTACTACACAGGTGTCACATGTTTCATTCTATCAAACAGAGGTGATCGAGCAAAAAACTCTCCGGTCCTTTCGGTCGAGACATAATCTCGGAAAGCGAGAACCAGAGAACAAGCGAACGAGAGAAAGTAATACTACTCATATATGTTGTATGTACTCATTATATATTCATTTTAAAATGAGTGTCAAATTAAAAATGAATCTGCTATGGCATTTGTCATCTTAAAAATCGCGGTGCGCAAGAAGATTATAATTTTAAGTAAAAGGTACTAACTACACTTGCCAAAGAAAGCACGTATACAACCAGTCGTTTTACCTCCTTGCCTTACGATTTAATTTCCAACTGTGCGTGCCAAAAGCGTCGCCAAGGTTTGGCCCGGTAGACTTATCACTTCTCTGAGACATCTTATTCATGTTTGGCCCGGTAGACTCATCACGTCTCTGAAACATCATTGTAAGCTAAGGGGTTAAAAAGGAGGTTTATAAACACTTGAAAATGATCTATCACCTAGCTAAAGGGAATTGAACAGAGTATATCAGCAAAATGTTACAAGAATTTGAGCTGAAACGTACAAATAAAAATCTTATATTAATCAGTGTCATCGACACCATGTTATACATATCAAATTCGTAATTGCAATGAAAGAAACTTGGATCGAGACACCAAGTTGAATCAACACCAAACAATCAAACGAAACGGAAGAGTCAAACAAAGTACATCCATAGAATATTACAAGAATTCGAGCAAAGGAACATGCATAATAACCAAATAAAAATAATAAAATATAAATAAATGGAGTGGACTTACTACTTGTTGTCAGTACATAGGGTAGTTACCACTGGATCAGCTGTAAAGTAAGAAAATATTCATATTATAGCAACGTCAGTTAGGCAAGCAAGGCAAAATCAGTTCATTGTAGCAAAATTGGCATCAAACGATAGAATAGAAGAGGGGAGAGAATTTTTAAACAGTTCTTACCGTTGGTCATCACCGTCCGGCACTGGTCAGTAGTGGTCAGTACTTGTCAGCCATGGTCAGGGCGAGTCAGCACTGGTCAGTAGTGGTCAGCAGCGGCCATCAGCGGTCATCAGCGGTCTCCAACTCACTTCTGGCTATTTGCCCACTCCCGAATTCGCGACGAGACTGAAGAATTCTTCGCAGTGACCCTGCTTATATGTCTAAGATGATGAAAGGGTAGGGAGACCAATCAGAGCCAAAGTTAAAGTTAGCAATTAAGACTGTCTTGTCTACAAAGAAACTATTTCGATTGGTCCCACCTCTTGACCATTTCTGGATCTTCACTGGACCGCGGACCTTGATGGCAACCTCACTGTTGACCACCAGTGACCATAAGCGCGTCATTATTGATCATCGACCCATTAAAACCATTACGAAGATTAAAGCCTTCTTACGAGGATCCCCAATTTGATGCATGATCTTTTTAACATTTTGTTCCACTTTGAAAGAGTGTATCTCGTTAATTTTTGTCTTTTTGTACGTCAGTTCGAACAATCGCCATACGTGGGCGAAAAATTCGGAGGTGATTTTAGCGTCCTCTTTTCATGCATGGCGGTTAGTTGAGAAAGTTCACTGAATTAGTATTGATAGGCAAACAGCTATAGTTTTGCGTAAATCCATGTGAGCTGACTATGGAAGGGATTAAAATTCTAATGCTAAAATTAAAATGCTAATGGAGTCCCGGTGAAAGGTCTACTCGTATATCTCGTCTGTGCTATAACGAAGAACCTTACTTTATCGATAGATGTACGTACACATACTGTATACCTTTGGTCGATATCATCGTTTTCGCGCAAAAAAATATCAAAATCTTACGTGAATTGATCTATCGATGACTTGCGTATACCTGCTTCTATCGAAGGGATCAAAATGACTTGTTTCAAGCGTTTGCTTAAAACTCAATCAAAATAAAACGAAAGGAAACAGTTCGTGCAATAACTATTTTATTTAAACTTATTGCGAAGAAGGTATAGTTGTTCACCTGTTTGGGGTACTAATTTTATTTCCGTGGCTATTACAATGTTCCCAGGATCGGGAAACAGGCACTCGCTGGATGTCTGTGTGGCCTGGGTACTTACACACCTTCTATTAAAAACATTTAGGGTAAAAAGAAGTTGGAAAAACAGTTGTTGCAGTTTGAAAAGTTTAACAATTTCGATCGCATTACATTCGAAGTTTGGGATTCCTATCGATTACAATATACATAAAACACAATAAATACATAAAAAGTTCACGCAAGACACTGTAAGTGCAGTTCAGTCTAGTTTCTTTTTAATAACAACTTGTTTGGATATCGTCCTCCAGCATAACTTTTTCAATCCGTACACTAGTACCATCAACATCATCCCGTAAAACATCACGACATCGATGGAGTAATAATGGACGACGCTCATGTATCTGAAACAATTCGATTCTATTTAAAACCGTTCCAGAGTACGGGCAACGCGTTCGTAAATTCGAAAAAGCTTCCGATCTACCTTGTAGAACTTTTCAGATGTTCGGCTCCTTTGTACTCGATAACGTGCTCCACCCACCAGGTCGCTAATCTCCTGGGGCTAATTGGCAACTCTCGTAGTAACGAGCTCCTCTTTTTCGCTGCCATCCGATACGAATTGTTGTGAGCGGCCGCCACCTCGAGGATGCCTTCGCGGAGATTTCCGATCGATATGCTCGCCAGATTCATCACGAGAGCGTAGCCTAATTTCTCTGTGACGTACAATTTCACACGATCTATACTTTTAAATATCACGAACGTTCGAAATATACAAGACGTTCCGATAACGAATCTGCACGATGAAACACGCCGGAAATTTACGATTCGGATCTCTGGCTAACGCTGGAGTTGATTAAAGGTCTTACCAGCTTGGGCAGCGTTCCCATCGTGATCGCAGAAGACTGGCAGGACGAGCGTCGGGACGCCGTGATAAGCGGCCTCGTGGAGAGACAGCAGGCCGCCGTGAGAGACGAACGCTTGAAGCTTTGCGTGCCCGAGTAGATCTTGCTGCGGCCACCAAGCCGCCGTTCGGACGTTCGACGGTAGATCTTTGATCTTCCCGGCTTCCCATTTCCACACGACGTTATAGGGGAGCGTGGCAAAAGCTGCCACGAAGGTCTGACGAAGAGCCTCCGGCATACCCGACGCGCGAACCGACGAACCCATCGAAACGAAAATGAAACCTACGGCCACGCTTCGGTTATCATTCTCATCGAAATTTTCCCGAACGGTGGCGTTTCGTTCCAAGCTCCGTTACATTTTTTAATGATAGATTCATGGACCATCGATCTCACATATTTTCGTTAAAACTAACACAACTGAAATCTAAGTAATACGGTCGCTCACCCCGTTGCAAGAACGTCTCCAGCTCGGTGCTGAGTTTTGTTGCTGGATTACAATGAAGGCAAGCAACGTTCACGACGTTCGTCAAATAGGGAAGAGAGTCAGCAACGCTATAGTGACTGTTTTGTAACGTGAGTGGTATCTCTGTTGTCAGGTCTCGTACATCGGGCAATTGATCACCTGCAACACACGAGGGGATTAATAATCGAAGTTTTTTGATAACAATACTTATAAAACTTGATTCGTACCCAAATATTTCCGCAGAACAGGTTGAATATACCCTGTAATCATAATCCAATGCATGATTTTTAGCGTGACCAGGCAAGCGGCGTTTAAAACCCTTTGAAAAAAGTTCATATCCTGCGTAAAGGATTTGCCAAAGTATGGAGTGACCGACCATGGCGACGGATTACCTTGGAGTGCTATCGAACCGCTATACAAGGCAACCTGTATCGAAATATCGATCTCCTTCAATGCCCAATAATCATTCCACGAGCAATCGCGACAATTCGACTCGGAGGATTTAATCGAAACAGGATAATAAACGTGTGAATTTCATTTAAATTTGAAAAAGTCGTCGAATAGACTTAAGAGAGCAAGCAACTACCGTGTTCAGCATTATCGTGGGCACATTTTCCCCGTGGAGGACTCCCAGAAGGCACTCGGGGTAGGCTCCGTCGACGACCGCGACATCCCATCGAGCACGAGGATTCCCGTCCGGTTTTCTCAACCAGGAAACGGATTGTTCGTCTCCGAGAAGCGCCTCGCAAGCCTCCCAGGCATATCGCATTGCATCCCATGGTGAGATAGGCATTTCGTCGCGGAATCTTGCACCCACCAGGTCCCATTCCGACGTGTAATTCCCAACATAAGCCTGCCAATAACGATGCTCGGTTTAAATACAACTATCACCTACCACCCTTGCAACACGGCTCGAGAAATGGGCAAGTTCACTATAAACCTCCGTGGAAATTTCTTTGCTCTGATAAATGGGCTAATCACCTCGAAGATGGGCGGGACGAGCTCCTGCAGGCCGTTGTTCGAGGCGGGGCCAGGAAACGCGCTCATCAGGGTCACGTTGTGACCCCGGGCCTTCAAACTGTTGCCGAGGGCGACGAAGGGCACGGTATGCGACTTCGTGCCGCCCATCGTCGCTAAGAGAACGTTGGACCCGTAGGCGGTGTCGCGAACCCAACAAACCATCAGGATCACCACGATTCGATCGATCGGCCCGATCATTTTCTCGCTTCTTCGATCGAGCACTGCCCCGTTGTACGAAAAGACTTTACAAGTTCTGTATCTCGCGACGGTATAAACTAATCTGGCAAGTCTCCAAATAGCAGCGGCTGTTATTAAAACGATTCTTCAACATTGTCGAAACCGACTCGTTTCCCCGTCAGCTTCTCCTCTGGCTTCTTTCCGACCTGTCTTCTCGCTCCTCTGTTTCGCCGTGGTTCTCCTTTGGTTTAATTATTGTTCTTCAAGTTTCCGTTGCGGAGGCTGTAGAGCGGTACGGCAAGCGGAGCTTAACGGGCTCGTGAAAGAGCAGTCGAAAGAGGAACGACCAATCTTTCAATGCACCGGCACACGGAAAAAAGGCTGATCCATTATCATTGTAATGATCGGCTGAAAAGTGGCCATCGAACGACCGCGAGGCTTCTTTGTATCCTTTATTCTCTGGTCGGACAACGACGAGACAAGAGATTCGTCCGTGGAATTTCGAAGATCGACTAGTTCGTCGTCATTTTTTCACGAGCTCCGTAACATGGCCAGTCGCGTTCCTTTTCCGTGATTTTTTATTTCATCTGAAACCATAACAAAGGGAAATTTAATTAAAAAAGTATGTCTTATTATAGTAGAAACGTATGCCAGATAGGAGTTTTGGCCACTTTCGTGTTTCTGTCTCATTGTGAGCAGCGCAACGTAACATTACGCGGGTCGACCTTCCATTGTTTCTGCTTCTCGATTGTTGGTGGATCGGTAACCGAACAGAAAAGACCGTCTTGTTATGCAAATTGCATTTATCCTCGGCAGTTCGTTTAGAAATCTAACCCCTTGAATTCCTTACGCGTCAGGAGGAACGTTCAATTTACCCACCCCGTGACTCCATTTAATCCTAACACCGACTCAAATAACTCTTTCGACACTAAAAGTGTCTTAAAATAACACGTACGATGCTTTCGAGAAGAAACGTGCACGTTAAAGCATCGATCGAAATACCTTTTTTCCGAAAGCGTTATTCAAACGCGGTATCGAGCAAACGTAAGGAAGAAGGCTCGGTCAATATCTGCTCTGAGTGACCTTTATCCCTTTGTGCGTTGCGACACGAGCATGGGAATCCAACCTTGAACGGTATTCAAACGGTACCCTAGACTTTCACTAATAATGCGAGTTTCAAGTGCGTCGGTTCGCCGTTTGAGCAGACAATACGATCTCTCGAGATCGGAGACCAGATCCCGTTTCCTCGCTTATCCCCCTTTCTCTGGCTGCTCTTCGCCAATTTCGCGGCCCTCCGCCAAAAAATGGATCTCGATCGGTCGATTTCACTTCGCTTTGGCCGTTCCCTTTCGTGCAACCTCGAATCGATGGTCCGGCTGCAGCAGTTACGACGGACCAAAGTCAGAGGATAAAGTGAAATCTGCTAAATCCGTTTTCGAGAATGCGAACGAGAATCGAAAGTTCGCGGTTAAACGTTGAAGGATAACGCCCGCAGAAAATCGATCGTTCGATAACCAGCGGGAGCTCGTCGGAGCAAAAAATTAGAGGAAAATAATTACGACTCGATAGTTTAGAAATCGAACGCGCAAAAAAATTACTAGACTTCCGGAGAAAAAATTGCAACGGAATATCAATTTTTGCGAGTGGAAAGTTTCAAAGATACGATTTAATCGATATAGGTGGGGGAAAAAGCAACGAAGACACTTTTCGTAAAGTAAAGGGTCGCTCGAGCCATTCTTCGAAGGGAAGATTCCGAGTTTTAAAATCAATTTTGTCTGGAACTTATTGCTCTCGGAAACTACGATCGTTTGCGAATCGAGCGTCGTGGCAAATGTCACTTGGCACCGCGACGCTAATCGTATTAAGGATACTTTCGACCGTCTTCTTCGTCCACAGTCGACGCTTTCGAGTGTAAAGTCCTTGAAATTCGCCTCGATACCCTTAACGCTAGATTCACAGAGCTCGTCGTCGGTTCATTATTCGTTAACAATGTACGTTAATATATAAATAAATACGGGATAAACTATTTGATACAAATACAGTGTCTGTAGAGCTAGTGTTAAGTAAAGTGGTTCGTGGAACGCGATCAGGATCGTTTTTTCTTACATTGCAGGACGCCTACGACTTTCTTCTTCTCCCCTACGAGTGACCAGAGTTTCCTTCCTTTCTCGTGCGCTGGTTCGTCACCGTTCCGGTGAGCATTTCTGCGAAAGAAATTACCTCCGTCCGGCGATCTTTCCTTCACCTTGTTCGAACACTTTCGATCGCGCCCTTTCACGACACTAGAATCGAAAATTCTGCGGTTCGATTCACCGGCGGCGATCTAAATCGATGTCAAATTTTACGGAAACGAGACGTGATTGATGAAAAAAAAATCGACCGATCGATTTCCGGCGGACCTTCGAGTTCTCTACGCGTTCGAATGCACGAAGCTCGGCTATCACCGAGCGTGAAAGTTTGACTGGCCAGCGCAGCTTTAATGATCAGCTGTGCTCGAGAGAGAGAGAGTTTTGCCTCCCACCAGTTGACTTCTTGCTCTTCGACAGTCTCGTTCACGAAGATGTTCTGTAACGGGCAACCCACGAAACCAAGGCCTCCCGTCGAAAGACCCTAACGCGAAAGGGTTGAGCCATCGTTTCCCGCCGCAATCTCTAATCGTTCACAAATTTTTCCCACGCGCCCCTGTTCAAAGGGTAAATACAAATATAGAAAACGTCTGTCAATGTTTTATTTACGAATATATCAATCATTATCGTGCATTTAATTATACGAGAATCGATAACCGAGAACAGATCCTGATGCTCTGTTAAACACTTTCGACACCTTAATATCTCTTCCTCAAAAAATTCCCTCAATTTAATTTGATACTAGCTAAACGGTGTAAAACAGTTGCGTAAGAAAAAGGGGTAGCCGACGGTAAATAGCGTAACTAAATTTAGCGTACTATAATCCGATGGAAAAGCGCTAAGCATATTGCCATACGTGCTGTACTAGTGCTCGAATATATTCTGTCGAGAGGACGATGCACATTTATTACAGTAATATTATTTATGTACAGAAAACGATGATCGTAAAAAGTAGCCTTCTACCATAAACGGAGTACGTTCGAGCCTTCGAGTCCCTGAACAGCGAAAGGGCACAGGTGGTCTGTCTGTATCTTATATTTTTTAACCGTACTATATTGTATTTTCCGATCGAAGAATTGAAGATTGCTAATTTTATCGAGTCATAGATCGCGATCGGAAACTCGGAGCGCAAATTGTACGAAACGATGAATGAACAGCGTTCTACATGTATTAGATCGGCGCCAATTTTGCACGCTTGTCGCGATCGAGCAATTGTCGCGCACGCGAGAAATCAGGCATATCGGCGATCGCATGTTAATTTTATGCAATTATGCGGGGCCGGATTTATCGGATCGAGGATAAACCGGCACACCCAAACTTCGATATCCTCGAGTCTCGATCAACGTACTTGAATTTGCCTTTCACTTTTTTCGACCGGACAAGCCAATTTATTTTCGCAAACTGGACCGATTCGTAAAACGCGCCATGTAAACAAACGAATCTAAAGGCAAACAGATTAGCGATACGATCACGATAACGATAGTTTCGTCGTTTGATCGCTTGAAATCTCCGTACAAACTTTGTCAGATTTTCCTCGGGGAAATCCAAGTTGTGAAAAATAAAAAACGCAGACATTTTTGTACATTCTTTATCCAATACGCGATCTTCAATATCATGTCGTTCGACAAAGCGATAGAGTAATTAAAAATAATGAATGTTTGAATTCTAAAGTTTCGGGAATGAAATAAAAACGTCGATACTTCCCGTGTATAGTGTACGTAAAGCGTGGTAAGAGGTTAACATTCAACGTTCGAAGAAACGACCGACAGATAGGCTTTTGCGAATCGCCGCGAAATAAAGAATTAGGACGAATTTCACTAGTTCGATACCGTTACTCCAACGCGAGCGATTTACCATCGGAACAGTTCACCGGGTATCGAAACGGCTTCATGCCCGACTGAATATCGATACGACTAAGTCGTTTATGAATAAGTTCAAAAGAAAAGGAAATCCTCTCTATGGAAACGGACAAATTAGAACAAAATTCTTCACGGTTTCAGCCCTTTTCATTTATTTAATCCTTAAATTAAGTTCGATGGATGTACTTTATTTATTCGACCGGGAAAAATGCTGTGGAAGAAAATAGACATCGGTTAAAACGGAACCAGATAAGTAGTCTATTGTAGAGTGTTGTTCCCTGAAAAGGACATTCAACGTAAGTCGAAACGTACAAGATTTTCGCTTCCGCGACCCGATAAAATACAAGATCGGCTCGAATTTCGACAAAATTGATCGAGCACGGACCGAAATCTTCACAGCAATTTAACAAAAGCTGATCCTTTCATGGAAAGAGGTAATCATGGATCCTGGCAAGATGCTAATCTTCGTCCATCGAGAGTTCTTCATCCACGATGAATGGGTCGACGAAACCAGGTTACTTTGTCTGAAAAGCGATTAACGTCGAAGAAAGGAATTAACCAGAAGCTAAAAATTGTCGCAAGCTAACGGAGTTTCTAGACTTTCGAGCGATCCAATTGTAACGGGCACGCTCGACGTACCTCGCCGCAGCGCAGAGCGCCCTTTCTTTCGCTAAATAATGTCGATTAGGCCACTAAAACGCAGGCTTTTATCTTGGCAAACGCGGCGGACAAAATCACCGATTCGTATGCAGACGCTTTTAAATTCAACGGTTTGTAAAAGGAGCAACGTCTATCTCTCGCATCGATTGGAATTCGAATAAAACTCGATTTACCGCAAATATAAACATAAGCGATTGCGTTGACGCACGGTAAACCCGAGTCCAATATTTTCAACATTTTTATACCATTTAAAGTCATTCTCTTATGGCTCGTGTAACCAATTTTTCTGCATTTTTATTTAAAAACCGAATAACATTAAAATATTTAGGTGGTGCTATAGTTATGCATCGCGCCGTATAGGTTCGAAACAGGTTTTTGGAGCACACATGCGAATAAAACGAAGCGACGCGTGAATTTGTACAAGCGTCTCCGTGGAAAACGACTGCCCCTTTAAACGCCACAATTTTTACGTATTTTAACTTCATCTGCATTCGAATCTCGTTTAATCGTTACGATGGATCGACGCAATCGTTGTTTTGCTTGTTTTTGCAACGCGTTGCAGAATGCACACGAATCGGCGCACGAGTTTCGCAAAATATCATCCACCGACATAGGCAACCGTGCCGTGGAATAGTTTATTAGCCTTGTCTTTAAATGTCATCGCGGGGATCGTGAAAATCCGTTTGTTTACATTTATCGAACCAAGAGAAACTAGACGCTGGCAACGGGTGAAACAAAAGGATCGTTTGATCGTTGGTTTCACCGATTATGTTTCCAGCATCCACTCGAGAGAACGTAGATCGGTGGATAAAAATTATTATACCTTACCATTCGTCATCGATTCATCACGGTCGCGAGCGCGGATCGCAACAACCTAAAAGCAAAGTTTCGACGACCCAATTCTTCCATCTCGTGGCCGTTTACCGACGTCCATTTTGTCTTTATTTGAAACCTGTATCACGGTCGAACATGCAACCGCGTCGAATGGCTTTTCGCGGGCTCGGGACGACCAGGTAATCGTTGCGTAATATCTCGACCGTTCGTCGGAGTAAATTATAGCTTGTTTACTCGTTTCTCCTTTCTTTTTTCGTACTTCGAGATAAAGAAATAGAGCGATTACGCGCGCAGTTCTCGTTGATACAGCTTCTAGTTATCTACGAATCAACGCACAGCACCTATCGGTATAATTATTATTTACCAGCGCGATAATTACGCGCCAAGCGTCGATAGAATAACACGACCGTTTCCGAGTCCAAGAGAATAGAAACGAGACAGTTTTTTAGCTCATTGTTTAAAAGCATTTGTTTTAATTTCCTTTGGGGGAAGGAAGAACACTTGCAGTTTACAGAAAATGGCACCGTAAAATTGTCCTCGAGTCGCCCAGTCCCTCGTAATAGAGAAAATTCTTGGATCGTAGCAAACGGTTTACAGGGCGTGAAAAACATTTTTATTTCGTTCGAATGGAAAAAAATTTAGCTTCCCTATCGAATTAAAACGAAACGTGACGAAAGTTGGTTCTGGAAAGGCACGAATTGATCCTTGCAAACGACGACGCTGAATTTTCCTCGCGATTTCACTTTCGCCGTGGTGGCATAATCGCGCGTGCCACGAATTACAATCCCAAATTCATGGAGCGTCCCTGTGCTATAATGATGCCATAGGACAAAGAAATAGTGACAATATTACTGTAACGATTCTTATTCCAAAGGCGTGTGACAGGATAGAAATTTTATTAGCGATATGGTAGCGTGCGGTTTTTACGATCGAACCTCGCCGGGTGGGATGCAACGCATGCTCTGTTTATTAACGATTGCATTACATTTATCGGCGCTTCCTTCCGTGTATCGACATACCGATCCCTTATATCCTTTCACGCCACTGCTCTATTACACTCCCACTTTCGCAACGATGGCGCGTCAATTTTTCTCTGTTCAGTGTTCGCGCTTTAAATCAATTTTCTACCACTTATCTCTATTCGCGTTCTGACTTTAGCTTGCGATTTATTCGGCTTTTGCGCTCGAGTAGTTTAAAAAGACAATTGAAACGTAACAGAAAACTCAAGAAGATTTACACAGCACCGTGAAAAGTTTACTCGCGATTCGCCTTTCTGTTTTCACCGGCGCGGCGTCTGCCATTCATCAATTTAAACCTTCTTCTTTCTTTTTTCTTTTTAGAGTCCAATTAGTCGTATTTCGCGAGCACTTCATTCACGCAGACGCCGTTAAAAAGAAACTAACGAACTACGCGTGCTGTTGAAAATCCGATGGCCCGTGGAATCTCAGATACAGTGGCGCGCCAAAGTATTCGAACGCTTGCTATTAAAACGTTAAACGATTAAAAAAATACACGTTAGACGTACGTTCTTTGCTTTCGCGTGCCACTGTATAACGCAACGACGTAATCTTCTTTATTTCTGTCGTTCGAATCCTACGTCGTCGAATATTTTCGACGTTAAATCAGGCACTCTCGCGAGATTCTGGGGCCTGTTGAAAAATTTATACAAATTCCAGCAACGCTCGGCCAAGCAATATTTGTCGTTCGACGTTCGATGCTTGGTATTCAGTTTGTTAACCGAAACCAGTTACTCTCCGCCCCAAACAGAGTCCGTGAACCTTGTAACTCGAGAAAAAAAGGTTGTATTCTTCGGAAACTATCTATTGGTTTGGAAGTTGTGCGTCATAGCCATTCATTACACGTGTAATCGCAAACGTCACGCTAATGCGGTTTCCACGAAGAAACCATCGCGCTAATTAACGCGCGGCGAAATCTTGTATTTTGCGAAACGAAAAAATAAACCAACCAGAAGGTTTCGAGAAAAGAGACGAGAATAGCGTCGCGTTCGAGCATTGGAATGCACCGTGCGACGGTTCGGTCGATAGTTAAAAATTTTAAATTTTTCTACACGGTTGACGAACGTTTCGTGTTTTCTCCGAATCGCCAAAAACGCATACATGAATCCATAACGAACGCGCAGCGGCCATTCCGCTCTGAATCGATCGTTACGCGCCAACGTCGGGAACTTTTCACGATATCGAAATATGTTACTTCAACGAATCTTTGATTTTCTTTATCGTCGGTATAAATTCGGTTTAAAGATCCGGCAGACAAGGTCAAAAAAATGAACCACATCGTTCGATTGTTGTCCAACGGGTATATGTATTGAATTTGTTTTCACGAAAGTGCTTACGTCGATACTCGATGGACCAGCGATCGTCGATGTTCGAGCAACCCTGCGGTTCCGGGCTAGTCGGAGGCTGTTCCCCGAGATACCTCAGTTTCTCTGTTCCTGCTTGTTCAGAACGGTTAGCGCCGTGTTCAGACTTTCCGGTACCATGATCCTCGAGCCGCGCATATCGAATATCTTCTTCAGGGAACGCGGAAATTGGCTGTTCAAGCCCGCGTAGATGATAGGGTTGTAGCAAATGGATGACTTGGCCAGCAAAGCTGGAAGCACGGCCACGGCCGCTGACGGTTTCGCCTGTAAAGTCCATCCGACGATGGAAAAATCTTTAGAACGGATTTTAGAAATCACACCAGAATACATAATGTAATTTCGTAAGAGCAACGTTTGCTACTACAGCAACCAAGTTCAGTGTCGGTCGTCGTCATGGCGCTGCACGCGTTAATAATACTTAATCGCATTAAGGAAATCATAACAATACTTTCACCGCGCAACTAATTTAAAGCGCGTGCAGGAACAAAGTTATTTTGCGCGCCACGGTGCTCGTTTCTGCGCTTTATAAACGTCGCTTTCTTGAAACCGAACCGTACGTTTCTTTTCTCGTAATAAATATGCGTCTTGTCGATTAACATCTACGTGTTTATTAATTGGATTTGGCTGTGGCGCTGCTTTTGGAAAATCGCAAGCGAAGTCGAGTCGAATCGATTAGCTGCTCTTACTTCGCTTTCGTTTGCCTTTCTAGAAACAACGTAAAACGCGCTCGATTAAAGTTTATTCCACGTTGCGCACGATCGCGCCCCGCGTCTGCAAACTTGGACAAAATCGGTCGCAACGGCGTTAGATAAGGAACGAATTGGATTTTGTAGCCAAGCCACGGAACTTCCAAGCGTCGTCTAATTTCTTCTTCGTTTGAATAATGATCGAACCGCCGTTACGAAACGGTTACGGACAGTGCTAATGCAAAATCGTCCGTTTCCGGGTAATTTGTCCGAAGATGAAATTCCCACAGTGCGGGCAAACATTCGTGGCACGAGCAAAAAGAATCTGAGAAAAATGACCAAAGTTTCAGACACCTTTTCCTTGTTGCTGTTACCGAGAATTTTTATTCGCGTGTGTTTTATCCTTTTAAGACTATAACAGGTCCGTGACATCTTACAATGGTGGACTTTCACTTACGGTGTCGTGCAAGATTTATGTTACGAATAGTTCAAACGTTCGCTGGGTAAATGAAAACGTTGTATTCGCGCCTCGATGCTCGCGCTAGCTGGCAATGTCTATATATTTAAACAAGTATAAATCGAGGATACTCACGTCGAAATATTGAGCGGCGAGTGCCAAAGCAGCGTACGGCGACCAGGCGAGCAAGAATGCAGTTATCATCAACGCTACCATTTTTGTAATCTTCGCTTCCAGTCTTCCGCGAGAACCTAAATCACACAACCTAAATTCCCGATCGATGCGGAAAAAGCAGAGACGGAAAGATTCAGGCTTTGATCTTGACAAGATTTCGTTCTTTGCGGGGATCTAATAATAATAATAATGATCATCATCGAGCAACGGCTTCGAGCACTTTTACCGCTTTGTTACGAACGTTGCACATAAATTACCGTTCTAATATAAATGCTAAGCCGTTGAAGTTACAGAATTCCTTGCGGTGCAACGAATTTCTCGCCAGAAATAAAAACTTGTCCGTACGATCCGAGTTTAGCAAAGACCAATTTGTCAAACTGGTTTTTAAAGTAAACGAGAGTAAAGTCGCGACGTTACCTGCTCTCTTCCTCACTTTTTTCAGAGTTAATAAAATCGCCACGTAACTGCTGCTGATCACTAATACTGGAACAGCGAGACCGAAAATGAACAGGAAGCCGATGTAGCTGTCGGTTCTCGTAACAGGATCGTGAACCTCCCAGGTGACGCTGCAGGAAACGTTTCCTGCTTCAGGACCGTAGCTTCCCCAACCGAAAAACGGTGGCACGGAAAGGCAAAGTGCGTACACCCACACGAAGAAACCCAGCAGCACGGTATTCCTGTTAGAAATATCAGTGTTAGATCGAGTCGAGCAGAATTATAGAAGAGAATTTAATCTGAAATGTTAATTATTGTTCCAAGACCTTACGTTGCTTGGGGGGGGGGGGGATGCACGTCGCGTCGTTTTATTTTGCGGAATATTAGCGTAATTCGCGGGCAAACTTTGTGGAACAATGTTGTTTGCGGTGGAAAATAATAATTTGTGCAACCGAAGGTTATTTTATTTGCGGTCGGAGATGGAATTGCTGTAATTTGCGGTCGTAAACTTTTATTGCGCTTTGACTTGGAATTGGAATTGGCGCACGGATTAAAAGATGCCATCGTGCGTTTAAATATTTAAAATAAAATTTATCTGGCTTCTTCGTAGGTAACGCGTGATCGAAAAAAACTGTTAATTTTTCGTAATATCTTGATTGTAATACGAACTCGATAAAAATGTCCCTCCCTTTATTATCACGTTTTAAGCCGGCGCTGAAAGAAACTGAAAAAAGGAAGCTGCCGTTATTAATCCAGAGTTAATTAGGAATATAATTCATGCCAAAACACGACCTTATCCCCGGTAGAGATACTCATAATTACAGTTCCGATGCACTAGAGGCATTGTAAATTCTTTTACGGATTACCAAGGATTACGAACATTCTCGTGGTCTATTAAACCGATGAAAAATTTTTCCGTCGAGGATGGAACGTTGTCATGACATCAAATTTGGCTGGGGCATGGCATTTCAAGTATTCGAAACGCCGAGTATATTCTTACAGTCTATCGAAAACGATATTGGTAATTGGTAATCGCGTCTGCGTAAGGAGAGGCACTCGCGCGTTAAACGATTTGCATCGCAATCACCGTTGCCAATGAAAAGGATAAAGCGTGCTGTTTCGACCAATTACGATCCATTTCGTTTGTAAGTTCTTCACGCACATGTGTCTAGTTGCGACAACTCGAACTTTCTGGAGCGGAACGGGCCTCTCGATTTGTCCTACAATTCAGCTGTTCGAGTCGAGACGCTCCAAGTTTCTCGTAAGAGTAATTTTCCCCAAAAACTTTCGATCGAATATACATATACTGTACACATTAAATCGAACATTACCTTATGGACAATGCTTTCATTGGTCTGACCACCAGTAGCCATCTTTCGACGGCCATTACCGTTAGGTTCCCGATACTGGCGAATCCCAAGGTGGACATGAACCAGGCGTACCTTTGAACAGATAGAATCGTGAAATCGTGAAAAATTGTACTGTTTTAATATTTAAAAAATACGTGGCTCGAGGTTGATCAGCGTATCGCAAAATACATCCTTTAAGTAATTTTTCGACGAGTACAACACAGATGTTCACGGTCTGAAAGAGGCTCGATTTTTACCAAGTTGTACCAACCTAGTACCGGCGGGACTTAAAATTGAATGGAAAATTCCCACGGGAAATCATAGTGTCCTAGTCTCGAAGTTACACGCCGGGAATTAACTGAAAATCAAGATCCAATACATAAACAAAGACATTGGAGACACTGTTCGAGTTTTTTATATTAACAAACAGATTCTCCAATCACGAAGTTTATCCGAGCTATCCGCCTTTCGATTCAAATCGAGGCAAGTTTGTTTTTTTAAATTACTATTTGTCACATTTTATCAAATTGCTTGGCAAAGACGAGTAATTTTGTCGCGAAAGAAACGAGGAAAGCGTTAAATAGAAGAAACGGAAAGACTCGTGGGTAATAGGGAACGAGAAATTGGTCGGGAAAAGTACGATCTATAAAGACCAACAGCGGGAAGCCTCATTTTCAAAATCGATACAAGGAGTTGCGTATTAATTTTTAAAATTGATACATGACAAAGCAACGAACGAGCCGAACGGTAAATGAAAATGTAAATTGGCGAACGCGGGAGTCACGCGTTATCGTTATCGATGGAGCGAGACGACACGTTTGGCCGTAATCCGCAAACAAAATGATCAACGATGCTCGTTTCGGCAATTATGCTTAACACGCCACATCTTTATCGACGCATTCTCTTGCATAATCGTATTGTTGCCAATAATTAACACCGGTGTATCGAATCGACACGTACGCGAAGCAACATCAATGTGTTTCTTATCCAAATTCTGTATATACAATAATAGTTTAATTAATTTTATTGGTTTGTTATTTAATAGGTCTTGTTGACGCGTATCCTATCTCTGAATTTCCATAGCTACTTAGGAATCGAGTCAAGAAAGATCCGAACCATCCGGAGCGCCCTTACGCGAGAATTTACGTTATAAAAATCGTTGGAATGCTTTTCAATTTACCGGAACTCTCTACTTCGGAAGAAAGAATGAGTTTTGCAACGGTGGATTCAATTATTTGCTGCGACGGGAAACCGTGTACGATGCAACAGCTACAAAAGAAAGACCATGCTCCGTTCAGGGTGAAAGGAAACCGACCAGCGGAAGAGCAGGTCGTCACCGCTCCTCAGAGAAATCCCGTGTAATTTCAGTTAATAAACAATAAGTCGTACCACAAACACACTTTGTAGCCCCAATACCATCCTCCTGTAATCGCCGAAACCAAGGCAACCGGATTCCCAAGAGCGGCCACCAAAAAGTCGCCAACCTGAAAAAATAAAAATCATTATATTGTACGTGTTCGCAGAAATATCAGACCGTTTTTATAAAGTTAATTTACGTACCGTTGCTGTTAAAATGAAAAGGAAAGTACAATACACGTATAATACATTTCCTAAATCTCGTTCGATCATCGTTAAACGATTAAACCAGCACGTCGAAAATGGAAGAGTATCAATTTATTGGAGACCAAAGAACTTTTTCCCAATCGAAAGTTTCACGGCTTGTTCGAACGGTTTCTTTTTTATTTTGAGGCTTTAATGGCAGTTTTTTTACCGCAACGAATCCTCGTAAACCTACTTTTAGCGATCGCCTCTTCGCTTTGATTTCGGTTGCAACGGACGACGAATTCACCGTATTCCGAAACCTAAGCTGCTCTTAAGACTCCAAGTATGCGCTTCGTTCTGTCCGATCGAACGAAACTCTTCGAATTATGCCTTTCACCCCTCGTTTAAGGGGGAATTTTGCAACTCGAGCAACGCCGAAGTCTGGTTTTGCTCGGAATCAAATATCAACGACGTTTTAATAAATATCATATCGTAAAACCCGTGTACGTTATTCCGCGTTACTCGGTGCGTTTAAACCGCTATAGAAACGAGAATTAATTATCGCGTTTAATTAATTTTCCAACATTGCCGGGGAGAAAAATATTGTAATCTCTGTGCCGTGCAAATTGCTCGCGTATATTTCGTCGAAACGCTGCTAGGAATTCGAGTACGTTGCGAGTACATAATCGGCAATAAAACCAAAAATACCCGACGTACCCCGAAAAGTGGACGCTTTTCACATGTTTACACGTGTACATGTAATTTATCCATTATTATAGTATGGAAAATTATGGAGCGACTTTGAATATTTCTCGTATTTCTTAAAGCCGTGACTCTAACATGCAGCATCTTCAAGAAATTAATTACCATTTAACGTTGCGAGCATGCTATTTACCTTGAAAGTTATTACAAAATTGCATGGCTTGAAAAGAAGATACGAATGTTTATTTTATCGTCTATTTTATGCGACAATATTTTCATGTAAATCTTTGGAACGGCGCGAGGAATATATACATATATGTATACGTGAGCGTACGTGGCAATAAAGGGTGCGTAGAAAGCGGCTTATAAAGAGTGAATTATACGCGTAGCGAACCTTAACATTTCCTCAGTGATCGCGGGAATAAAAATTCTACAAATCGCATGAGATCTTCTACCCTTGCGCATTCCAACAGTTACTACGATTCTTAAATTAAAATTCAATTTCGATACGAACGTTTTCGCAACACTTTTTGAAACGTGTGCCTGCAAGATCTAGTAACAAGTATGTAGGACTTGATACTGAAATCAATTAGTAGCTCTGGCAGTTCCGTTGTCAAAGTTTTTAAAAGCTAAACTCTGTGGACCCGCTGTCCAAGTTAGTCTTGCCCCAAAAATGAATTGTAGTTGAATTTGAATGTTGGACTCACGACAAGATTAACGAGGATTACGTTAACGGGTGTCCACAAAGTCTGGGCATCCTTGACGATCACCACCGCGACCAACAGGTTCATGGTGAAGCCGAAGAAACCGATGACAGCGAGGGCGACCGCCGCGCCGATGTAAACCACCGGGCTAACGTGTTCCTTGACGATGTCGTCCGTCACCACGGTGCTGTGATTCAATGACATTTCTTTTTCGCGAGGGAACACGTACTTTTTCGCTAAGGACAACACTCGGTACCGGTCGCGAAATAAAAATGTCACGCGGTTCGTTGAGAGACGAACTTTTTCACACTTGGTGACGTCCGACGAAATTCGTTCGTTCGTCTCTGTGGCGCGAAACACGCGAAAAACAGACTGCATGCAGCGATCAAAATCAGTGGCGAAATTTCAAAGTCTACCTACCCTTATATAAAGCTCAGCTGAAACTACCCTCTCTCCTCTGACTGCACGCAGTCTCTACCTGTATATGTTGGTTCTCCCGCCGTTGCAGGGTAGAACCAACCCCCGCGGCGTGAAAAACCAGCATGCGCGAAATCAGCCACACCGCCGTCAACTGTTCGCTCCTCATACTACCGGATGATTAAATTAAGACGGGATCAGGTCACCCCCACACGGAGATGCTCTTCTTAACCCTCCGTTGATGACACGGTGTCGTAAGTGCCAAACAAGAAAATACAGGATCCGACTGTAATTATTCCGAAATTGTAATTCTTTTAATTAAATATGGGACTAACAATATAAAAATATGATTCGATTTTGTAAAACACACTTGTAATTTGCAGGGAATACTCTACGTGCTAATTACTAAACTTTGAAATTATTAGTTTTTCGTTTTTCTTTTTTTCTTGCGAAATGTTTTTATATATTCTAGCATCAAAGGATGATTTCCGATTTTAATTACGAGGGTATTCATTCAGTTTATACGCGTTTCTCTTTTGATTAAATTGAAAAAATCGTTAGTGGAGCAAATCGAAATATCTCTAAATCCTATTAATGGCACAGAGGGATCGCATTCATTAATCGTGGATAATTGCGAACGATGTGTCTCAGTCCGTCGCGTAACGCGTGTTAAATGAACGAACGCGACAAAAAGTAACGCGTAACAAAAGGAACGCTAGTCGGGATTTTTATTTTGCAGGTAGAGAAGTTACGACACGGCGATTGTTATAAAAGTTTCGCATCAACCGACAGTATCTGCGCATTGAAACGTTACTTAACGTAGAGATATTCGTGATAAAGGAAAAATCCAATGTTATAAGTTCCATAAACAGGTAAAACTTTTTATTTGGACCATTCATAGACAGAGGAGACTTCGTAGCAACGAGTTTTAATGTATTTAAATTACAACTTAAAGTATAAAAAGACCTTTTTGAGATTGTTAAATCAATTTACATATCCTCGGTGTCGCTATCCGAATCTTCCGCCATTGCCTGCTTCGCTTTCGTCTCGGCATTGGCTCGTATTTCCATTGGTACGCGTTCGTGCCTCCCGTTCGTATGCTTACCCACCCAGCTCATTTCCAGCTCAAATTTCTTATCTTTTAACTCGTCATGAACGAGATAGATAATGCGCGCTGCTTCCTTCACTAATTCCGGGCAGCTCATTTCAAATAGCTTCAACTTTTCAATTTCAGTTTTTGCAGACTGTTTTGCCTTACCTATCGAACGGCAATTTAAGGTAAACGTTGAAACATATTAAATACACTGTAATGAATGTATTATATATGTATCAATACCTACCTATAGCACAACCATAATAACTATACGATACACCAGACGGATCGATCATATACATCACTGGCCCATTGTTTTCATAGGCACCAAGAATTACAGCACAACCGTATGGTCTTACCGCCGAGTACAACGTATAAGCGTGCATGTACATGGATACTCTTTCGTTTAAATATTTTAAGGGAGTACCAACTCCATACCTAGACCTATATCCGGATGCTTCGGATCTGGCTGTCTCTGCGATTTGTCTAGCATCTGAGATCAAACCAGATGCTGCCATACCTACATGTTCATCAATATTAAATATTCTTTTATTTGTGCCAGGCTCATAGAGCTCTGACGTAACTATCTTTTCCACTGCAAATATGACACCATCTTTTCCCCGTAAACCTATAACCGTGCTGTAAAGAATTTGTGTAATTTTCAAATATGCGAAAATTACAATAAAACCGACGATATTACTAATAAATTATATACACTTTGTCGAGTAGCAAATAATGTAGTGTTCGTAAATAAATTAGGAAACTTTTGAAAAAAAATGTTATAAAGTTGCTTTAATAATTACCCTCCGCTCTCGACAGCTTTCTGTGCATATTCTACTTGAAATACACGCCCGTCCGGTGAAAATTGAGAGGCAGACAAATCATACTGAAATAATCAACGAGGTTAGGTTTCATTATTACAAACTAACGGTTCGATAATGTTCATCTGAAACAAAGTACTAAATATTTACCCCTGTGCCTATGGAACTCATTCTTCAAACAATTGTATTTATAATAAACTGTAGCACTTTGTGTGAAAAATTTGTTTATATACGCAAACAGCGTGAATAAGCGATAATCAAAACTTGATCGAGAGCGCCAGTCACTGCGACTAGTTACTGTTACGCAGATTAGGTTAGGTTCACGTTTCGGACTGACATCTCACGACATTTAAGGAAAGTGATCAGCGGGAAATTTGAAGATAAAGAATACGGTAACAAATTTTTTTCTCGCAAGTACGTAGGATTTCGGGGGTATGTCTTTTGACCAAAAATGCTTGTAATTGGTTCCCAAAACCGAAAATAATTTTTTTAGAATGATTACAAATTTTTTTTTTTCTTCGAAAAATTTAGGCACCTACCCTGTTGATTATTCTTAAAAATGTGTTTCTACACATCGAGCTAATGGCTGTAGTCTATGTAAGGGAAGAAAGATTGTTCTTGATTATCTGATGATGCGCATAGATACAAATAATCATTGCAGAGATAGTATATATTTCAGATTCCCATAATATATTTTTCTAAATATCTGACAATCGTATTCTAAAGTTTGTTAGAATATTAAAAACTAGTTTAAGGGGGTTTCACGATTATTTTCTTTCTTCCGTTAAGAAGTTCTTGATGTTATCTTTTTTACAAGTGTATTCCGTTGGACAGCCATCTGTAACGCCATGTTCAATGGCCTTCCGAAATTCCGACATAGTTTTCTCGTATTTCTCATCAACTGACGGACTTCTATCGAATATTACACATAGTATAAAGAATTGTATAATTTCTATTAAGTAATATCACTTACCGGGGCAATAATTTCATCGTTTCTATTACCATTTCTGCGGCCCCCATATATTCTTTTGCTACGTGCGGTTCTTCGCAAGCTGCTCTGTACAAACACGTATCTCCCATCAAATACCCTAAGGCTAATGCCATCTCACCTTCGGTTACTATATTTTCTACAAAAAAGTTTGTCAATAACCGAATATACGCTACAGAATTATGTAATATATTTTTAAGAAGAAACAACCTTCTTCCAATTCGCGTCCTTTGTGGCCATGATGCCCTAAATATCCAGCACCAAACACGACTGCTTTTAGTACCAAAAGCAGCAACAGATTCGACAGATTCAGATTTAATACCTACAAAATGATTAATGTCAACAGTTTTGCCACTGAATCGAACCACATCTATTTTTATTATTAAACAGTGTGATGGGAATAATTTTTTAGTGGCTTTGAGTAGCAAAATTACCTGACTACTGCTCGAGGACCTTTGCACGAGCTCCTTGGCGATTTCCATCAATATGGAACCCCCGTATTTATTTCTGTGTGCCTCTTTTAACAAATCGGGGTTGTTATTCGTAGTCCGAGCAAGAACACCGTAACTCATCAACGCTATGATTATTAAAAATTTCACGTTTAACGTCGCCATCTTTCGAGTCACTTGTACCGATGAAACTATAGCGGCGAACGACGTTTTCTTGAGAAACGAATCACAGATCCGCGATCAATTCGATCGAAATCGTTCGCGGTCTCGCGCGTGCCATAAATTCGAGATTTGCATCAATCGAGGCAAACGATCGCGAGTAAAAATTTCACTGTCATAGAGCGAAGATCGGGACGCGAGGAAACTAAGTGACGACGCGACGGACGAGGACAGCGATTTTTATAAGACAGCGTTTTTGCTTTCCCATCAAACCGTGAAGCCCGTTCGTTTTTATCCATGTGCATCAAACCGAGGGTGGCCAATGTCTCTTTGTTTTCTCCCATTGTAACACTGACACACGCACGATATTTAATCATATTTATTAGAGATCCCTCGACGCGTCGTTGTACAGCTCTACGCGTACTTTCCTTCGACGTTGACGGAAATAAGCGGTGAAAGCGTGATGTTTCTGAACTTTTACTTGATCCACGAATCGAGACGGTTGCGCTGTCCCGACGAGGGGAACTGTCCCCCTAATTCTTGCATGAAATTGTTTTTAGAGGTTCGCGAGATAATCTTTATCCAGAGAGCGTTCTTTGGGGCTTTTTCGATCCGTGAAATATCAGAAAAGTTTGGTGCAAAGTGTATCATTGTATTGAAAAGTAATAATAAGAAGAAAATATTATTTATTTAGAAGAAACAGTTTCGTTCGTATGGACGAATATTACGCGCATGATAAATACGAATTTACAACCTCGTATCATAAATATTTAACTTTTCGTTTTCGAAAATTGCATAATCGATTACAATACAAGCGTCAGTTTTGACAAAACTGTAGAGTAAGAATAGTCGTAATTGGTGGGTTGCAAGTAGTCTGTTTAAATATTCATCGATAAAGAGAGCTCGCGTGTCTGTGGCTCGTCCATAAGCAATCGACCGCAAATGAGCTTGAAACTGTTCAAGTATGCACCCAACGTTCTTAGACAGAAAGACGATGCATCCCTTAGCATGAAATTACGGGAGGGGAAATAATATCGTCGTGTTCTCGATGCATAGTTGATGCGGAACCACGGATACCTCCAAGAATCCCATTAATAGTTCATACCTTTCTTTCTTCGTCTGGTCCCAAACTTTTGAACTTGTCCACTATCTCTTTTTTTTTCCAAACACACACTCTATTGCTTTTCATGTATTTGTTTAATTCTTGTAACATTTATTGCATTTTATCGTACACTATTAGCATTTTAAAACAAATAAAATTCGATCCGGTTCCAATAGGCCGACTCAAATCGAATTTCACTTTTGGGCAGGGAATTAAAATATTCATATTCGTATGCTTTTTAAGCGACTTGTTCTAATTTAATGTTACGCTCATGGACTCGAAGACTCAATCGACGTTTAAGAGGTTCAAAGTAGATGAAAGACTAATGCGTGGGGCCCGAACAAAGCATACATACCCTGTTTTTGTTAATTCTTTTACCGTTAATAGATATTTTCAAACGTCTAATTGGTCTTCGTTGCATACAGAACGGAAAAATAACCCATCGATCTTTTTAAAATCTGAAATGTAAAAGAGCCGTTCGCACCATAAAATAGAATCATGGGAACGATTTTTATTCGTACTTTGTACAATGCAGAATATATGAAACGATACGTATTATTGGTTTTTAATTCATTTGTGGGTACTCACATCGGAAAAGAGCACCAAGGTGAGAGTGCAAAACTTTCCAGCGGTGATCCGCATTGGTAATCTCGCTCGCTGTATGATCATTACGAATAGCTTTGCATTCTTAGCCGATAGATTGTACCATTTGCAATTGTACGCGGCGTTAGCTAATTCTGTACTCTGCAAAAATAATTGCATTCTTTTCAGATTATTTTCCTGAGATTTAGTTTTCGTTTTGTCGAGCAATCGTACCTCGATTAACAGTCTCTCGCCAACGTAACAGTACAAATACAATTGCAGCATAATGTAACTGACGTAAGGACACAGGAAGGCAAGTTGCAATATTATGAGCTCGTTATTTTCTTCGCTGATCGACTAGAAGTAAAATCACGTTGGTGAGCCGCGAAATATCATGCATACGTTTTTCGAAGGAAAACGTTTCTTTCGAGAAAAGAAATCGTTTTCCCTACCACGATAACTTGGAAAGATTGAAAACACAGCTGAACGGTGCAGCCGAGCATCTGAAGTAGAAGCATCACGTTGAAACAGTTCTCTATCTTTTCCACGAACCTTCGAAAAATGCATATTATTAATAAATATATGGTAATCTGTTGAATTAACAGCGAACCTCTAAAATCAATTGCACGGAATGTGCTTAATAATCGTGCGAAATGAAATTTTACGATAGATAAAAGATAGAAAGGAGTGACGATCTTCTTTAATTATATTCCAAGTGCTATGAACGTTAAATTCTAGCGATACTGACATGTTAAGGTACTTGTGTTTCCGAATAACTCTTCCCAATTTCACCTGAATATCAGTTTGTCCGTGGGACGGAAGGTTCCTGATATCTTCGCTCAAAATCGAAAGCTGCCCGCAAACATGAAACACCAGCATGGCCACGAAAGTGTCGACCGCCGTGTAACTCACGGCTGCGTAAAAGGCGCCGATGAGCTGTCCACAAATAGTCAGCTCGTAACTCGGGCTAACGTCGAGGTCGTACGGGAAATAACCGCTAAAGAGTAACCTGGTTTCACTGTGCTTGATAGTGAAAAATCGCAAGAAGCTATATATGATCACCAGGATGATGCACATCAGCGTGCTCTTTATTATCGTAACTCTGGTGATTCTTGCAACATTTCTCATCGTTTTACGCTCGTTTACACTCATTTTATCGCTCCAGTCCTGGGCCATGCACCTCAGCAGAAACTGCAATGCTAGCGAACAAGGAAAAGTTTGTCATTAATTTAAAAATCCGAGGTGCGAATACGTACTCACATTTGCCATTGGTCCAAAAGATAGTCATTTTTACGAGCGAAATCGTAATCGTTATATTTCCCATTGTTAAATTCTCTACTATCAAATACAAATCGTTGCTGATTCTTGGAAGGTTGGATGTCTGAGGAACGCAAATGAAGCACAACATCAAGAAAAATGGAATCAACACTAGATAATTCGAAGGTTGGTTCCATTTTCTCTCTTCCGGCCAGATGCCCATGAATTTCATCGTATAATAATTCCAACTGCACGCGTATTTCAAATCTGACGATATTAAACAGGAATTCTATGTAGAATCGACGGCTTGGAATTTCGTTTCATGGCATTTGCTTGTACGGAGTATATTATTCGAAACACGTCACCTAATTATTAGCTTAAACGCGTTGTTGATTTGGTATATTATATAATATAATATAATATAATCTAATGTCCGTGCACAATACATTAAATTTATAATTGACCTAAGTGGAGAGATATTAATTTTTAACAGTGGAAAGCAACAAAAAAAATTAGTAACCTCGTTGAAAATCCATCGTGACCATTGCAGGTGTCCTTTTCCGGTAACTAAAAACTATTCTGTTATTCAAAACCCCTGCTTCTTTCTTCGCGCATGCCCTTTTCGACGACTGGAGATATACTTGCACGAAAATCACACAAGTGCATGCCAGTACGAATCGAAGAGATCGAAGCGTACAATCTGTTCTTAAGCACCGACGTAAATACAAACGTACTATTTTATAAATATTTATACTGAAATTTTTCTTTTAAAACACTGTACGCTTCTTGTTAATTTATTTCACTTGTTTACTTTTATTCCTTAGTCGTTGATGACTAGAAAACTAGAAGTATTTGATCAGTCGCGTCCTTTTCCCAATAATAAAGTCAGTTTTATTCGCTAAGAAATTTCTAATCCGAATCGGTACTAAAGCCAGTGAATCGTGCAGGAAAAACTCGTACTTCATAAATAGAAAACGTAAGCATCAATATTTTATTGATTCAATTACGTTACCGAGCTCATACTTCTTTACTTAACACTGTTGGATTATTTGGACAGTACTACTTTAGCATGTAAAATATTCAATGTGCGTAGAAATAACGTATGGAAATCGATAAAATTTTATAAACGGAATCTCGGCGTCTCTAATTACACGATTTTTAGTTTTTGATCGCGGAGAAGATCAATCGCTATTGCCTGTAACTGTCAGCAAAACTGAAAGATAACCCATTGACGTTCTTAGAATCTGAAACGACAATGAGTGTGGTAACTTTGGTGTTTAATCATTTAGAATTATCATAATTAAATTGCAAATACGGTACATATGTCCAAATATTCTTGATCCGTTTCCTCGCTAAAAATCGTAATATACATTTCTAGATCACAGTATCGAAATCGTACTTACGGTACTGAACATTTCCAAGGAGAAGATACCGAATTTTCCTGCTCTTAAACAAGCCGGATGATTAGATCTGCACATGATGAATATAAGACATCTTGCATCCGCAGGCGAGACGTTAAACCACTTCGAATTGTACGCGGAAATGTTCATTCCGGTACTCTGAAACATACCCTGCGACGTAGTAGTTGCTCCAGCAAAGAAGGTATTATGATACTAAACTATTAGATACTTACGTGAAACAGAAGCATCTCGCCTATGTAACAATAAATATACATGTGTACTATGATGAACGACACAAACAGCACGAAGAACGCCATTTGCATGTTGAATATTCCCGCCTCGTTGTGTATTATCTATGTAGTTCACATCCGTAAATTAATATGTTTCAAATTTATTTATTTTGAATGTTAAATTAATATGTGGGCGGGAAAGCAGTTAATGAATATTGATTTTAATTACGAGATTTTTCGTTTAAAACGAACACAAATTAATGGTATTGAATATTGATAAATGTTTTTGTAAAAAATATAATAATTCTGTGAAAGTGACTTACGTTAAAGAACATAAAGCCTTGAAAGCATATTTCAATGGTACAAAGCACCAACTGAAGCAGCAACAATTGGCTAAAGCATTTGTCGATCATGGTTGCGACCCTTCAAAAACAAAAGAATTCAAGCTTATAAAATGTTGTAAACACGTGCCACAATTTATTCAAAATTCATAAACTTGTATGTTATTTCTCATAAATTTTATATAACTTTTATTTATCTGTTCTTTTAGAAACTTTTATTCGTTTGTTCTTCTCGGAAGAAAAGTCTTGACTTTACGAATCCTTCATTCACCAGTTGAGATGCTCGTGTCTGTCTACGATCGATCTTAGTTCCTTTCGGATGTCGTCCATGCTTCTGGTCCCATTTCTTTCGTCCATCAGTCCCTCCAGTCTCCTTTTTAAATTCTCGAATTGTCCACAAGCGTGTAATACGAGCATAGCGATGAAAATGTCGATGCTAGTATAAAGACACGTGCCTAAACAACATGCGAACGCTTGGCCAATGTTGGTTAATAATAAAATTAATGGCGGCCGCACGTTGTAAGGGAAGTAAGCAGAAAACAATAATAGACGGTCCTGCATTTCGTTGCTTCTGTCGATCGTTACTATCGCGAATGTTCGCAGACTGATATACACGGCATTCATTGGGTGAGCCAAGAATGTACACCAGATGGTTATGTATTGTGTAAATTTTGCTCTATTCATCATTACTGTCCTTTCTTCTTCCGTTTTCGAAGAATACCAGTCGGCGTAGAAGGACTTTACGAGAAGTCTGAGATCTACGAAAATCGGGGGATTAATTTATTCAAATATGTTTCCTTGATTCCATCCTTACCTTCTCGATGATACCATGTAATAATCATTTTTATAATAGCGTTAGTCGCTGGAATATTGGCTAAGCACAAGTTATCCGTAATCAGTGCGAGGTCTCCGTCTAACATGAACAAATTCACGCTTTGAGGCAAAGTTAGGAATAAAGAGATCCACACACAAATTATCAATGGTCTGTAATTCGGCAATTGTTCCTTGGATAGTGTTAGATTTGGCCAGATGCCGACTAGTTCTAGGTTTATTCGATTCCATCCCATCGCCTTCTTCAAATCTATCCAAACATGGTACGAAACATTGGAAAATAATTAGCACTTATGTTAATGTAAGAAAAATGATTAAACATTGAAAATAATTTAAAGTAAAATTTTTAAAAGATGTCTTTGTTAGAAACAACGCTAAATAGGATGGGAGACTTTGTAACTTCGTACCTTGGTCGTAATCCATTAATACTTTGCACACGTAAACTACACGAACGAGTGACTAAATAGTACTGTTCTCCTTTGCCTCGTTTTTTGTACCAATCGAAAGAACGCATGCTCGTAAAATAGTTAGAAGCCACCCCTGTAAAGAGTGCAAGAAAGTTAGCGAGGTGGGAAGTCCGATGGACGTAATTTAGTTTCGTATCTATCTACCGTGAAATAAAAAAATTTTATAATCGATTTCAACCGCGGGCAAACTGTCTTTAAGTTAATCGATCACTCCAGACCATTTTTTTTCGTTTCGTCGAATAATTCATCGAGTGCAACGAATAACATCTCGTGGGCGACGATGCCTGCGTTCAGAAGTATTTGCACAAACACATATTCGCTCCGTTTCCTTTCGTGGATGTACCGATGAGTCGTGTCCAGTATTTGTATATTCACGTCATGGAAAAATTATAAAGGGTGAGTGATATTGTTGTTGCACTCTATTTTATGCTACGTCATGCTGTGTCAAAGTTCACCGTTTATATTAATAATAAATAAACATAGTCTAAGATGGAAAACATTTAATAACATTTAATTCAAAATTAACATGTGATTGATATAACGTTTATGTGCAAATGTCATGGTGTTTCTGCTTGGAAAATGTCTATTCTCTCGTAACGGAGTAGTTCGTTCAGCCGTTACCACCTGTAACTGACAATAGAACCGAAAGGTAACCCAGTGCTGTTCTTAATATCTGAAACGGAAGATCATTCGCTTCAGCAGTTTCTATATTCCCTACTTCAAAAAAATTATAGTAGAAATAAAGTAATCAAGGTGTCAGTTACGTAATTGGAAGCTTTTGATCGACTTCGTACTTACAGTACTGAACATTTCCATGGAGAATGTACCAAATTTGCCTCCTGTTAAACAAAGTGGGCGAGTAGATGAGCACATAATAAATATTAAACACTTTGCTTCCGGAGGCGAGACGTTAAACCAGTTTGATTTGTACGCGGAACTCCCCATTGCGCTACTCTGTTTGTGGTGAACATTAAATTAACGTAATGTACATATTTCTCTTGACTATTTGTAACGAATAACATTTGTAAACAAAACTGGTATGAATAATTTTGCTTCGTTGTACCTGCGTAGTGTGGTACGATACTTACTTCAACCAAAAGTGCTTCCCCTACGTAACAATAAATATATATGTGCACTATGCTGAAAGTTACGTAGAGAAAGAAAAAAACCATTTGAACGCTCAAAAGTTTCACCTCGTTTTGGATTAGTGCCTGTGAAATTCAGATTTCTTAATGTTTTTCGGAAGACTGCTTACGAGTTTCGTATAATAACGTTCGCAATTTATTTAAAAAAATATAATTTTTTGTTTTTCTATAGTGGGCCAGAACCTAAGCTGTCATAATTGCAGGGTAGTGCAGTACGCCTGTTCTTTAAGGGAAGAACAATAATACGGAGTAGAAAACTTACGTTAAAGGATAGAAAGACTTGAAAGCATATTTCAATGGTACAAAGCACTAACTGTAGCAGCAACAGCAGATTAAAGCAATCCTCGATCGTGGTTGCAACCCTTCATTAACACAAAGTATTCATCAGCAACAGTTCTTCGTTTTGTTACACTGTGCGTATCCATTTTTCTATTAGTGTTCATCATTTTATCATAAGTTAAAAATACGAATAATAACAAGGATAGCAAGGATTGTAAACACGGTTTGTAAATAATAAGAATATATGATCCTGTAAAATCGCGACTAGTGGAAAACGAAGCTTTCCATTTACCAATTCAAATGCTCGTGTCTCTTCACGATCGAAGCCAGCTGCCTTTTGATCTGGTTTACGTTTCTGGTCCCATTCTTGTCGTCCATCAATCTTTCCAGTCGTCTCCTCAAATTCTTGAATTGCCCACACGTGTGCAACACGAGCATTGCGATAAAAGTGTCGACGCTGGTGTATGAAATCGTGGCGGAATAAGCAGCGAATGCTTGCGATATGTTAATCAGTGTCAAAACTATCGGTTGTCGGATGCTGTAAGGAAAGTAACCGGGGTACAACAGCAAATTGTCCTGCGTCACTTTGTTTCTATCGCACGTCACGATTGTGACCGTTCGCAGAGCGATATATATGAATACCATCGACTGAGACAGTATCGTACACCAGGTGGATATATTTCTCGTGACATTTGCACTCTTCATCATGGTTGTTCTTTCTTCCTCGCTCTTTGAACGGTACCAGTCATCGTAGAAGGATTTTACGAGCGGTTTCAGATCTTTGAGTACAGATTAAACAAGTCATTCTCACACCCTCTTGGTTGATCTGTCATTAATTGTTTCGTTTCGGTTTTACCTTTCTGTCGGTACCAAGTGACGATCAGTTTCATGACTGCGTTGATCGCCGGTATATTGACTACGCACAAACTTTGCGTAATCTGTTCAAGATTTCCATCTAATAGAAAGATATTCGCGCTCTGCGGCGCAATTATGAAAACGACGGTCCACAAACTGGTAATTAAAGCTCTGTAATTCAATCGTTCGTTAGATATCACCGGCTCTGGCCAAATACCGATCAATTTCAGATTCACGCGATTCCATCCGACTGCCCTTTTTAAACCTATGAAAGTATTATAACAATGAGTACCAAAACTACTGAACACTCGAAAGGAAACATTCAGATTTATCCGCGTTGCAATGCACTTTGTCAGTAAACGAATAGGCAATAATTCTAGAATCGACAAGTACAAATAATTTTTGTAAAATTTTTAAGACTTCTGGATACTTAGAATCTCGACTTTGGAGGAATTCGCACCTCGTTCGGAATCCATCGATACCACGCGTACATAAACAACACGATCGTATGACTGACACGAAATTCCTGCATCATCGAAAGGACGCATGCTTGTCTAAGAAAGTCAGAGACCACCTCCATAGAGAATATTACAAATTCAAGAAGAAAGGAAACTTGGTGAACATAGTTTCATATCTACCGCGGTAGAAAGAATTTTCTAATCGATTTCAACCGCGGATAAACTCTCTATAAACTAATCAATCATGCAAAACACGTTTTCTATGTTATGTGGATGACTACGGTTTCAGTAAGTTATTTGAAAAATTTCTTCTTCCCTTGGTATCCTTTTTCCAGACGTAATGTGCTCTTCCCGAACGAGAATCTTTTGCTGTCTAATATTTGTTTATATTTTGCAATCATAGAAAAACGACAAACGTGAAGTTACAAGCGATGTAAAATAAAAAATCGAACATAGAGATTCATAGATCACGGGAACACTCATCAAACGACATTGAATTCGTTACATTGAATGTACAAAAATGTGTATAAAATGTGTAGACTTCATAAAACGAACGATCGACGATCTGCATTTTTACTGCTGCGAATTAAGGGCAACGGTTGATACTATTTCTCCTCGACTATTCACTCTTTCATCGCCAGTAACACAGACAGATATCCAGCGGATGTCCTTAAAACCTAAAAAGAATTTCGTGCTTAATTTTACAACAAACGGTATCCAAGTTCTCCGTAAAATTATTAATTTTAATATTGACAAAACGGTCAACTCACGGCGTTAAAGAGCTCTAACGAAAAGGGACTAAATTTTCCAGCGGTTATTCGAAAGGCAATTCTTGCGCGAACTATCATAATAACTAGTAAAACTGCCTTTTTCGGTGGCAAAGCATACCAATTGCAATCGTATACAGATTGGCCGATTCCGATACTCTGAAAATTACGATATTAATAGAACACTAATAATCGGAGCATTTGCGTATCGAGATACGGAGATGTTAACACACTTTGTGCAGGTGATTGATCGGTATCGATAACTTTCCAGCACATAATTCGGCAATGTGTGAAAGTATTGGTTACTGGAGTTCTGTGGTTTTGTTGCGTTTGAGTATCGGGATACTTGAATATTGTGTTGTGTGTGTATTGCGGGACTTCGTTATTAACAAATTGTGCACCGCCGCAGACCATATTCATCTTTTTGCACTATGAACGCACTAATGAAATTCATTAAAAACGAATTAAGAAATAGATTAAACAATCTCAGAAACACATATTACGATTTTGGTTTGCTGAATAACTCACTTGACCGAGAAGCGTCTCACCCACGTAACAATAAATAAACAGATGCAACATCGTGTAGATTACGTGAATAACAAAAAATATTAATCCAACTATCGGTACGTCCTCTTCTTCCTGATCTACAGACTATAACAGACAAGCACGAACGTAAAATATTTATCGATTCTGCGAATCGTTTACAAGATTATCAATGCATTTAACATAATCGTACAGTTATCATTCGATATCCAGTCAGGCAAAACATCGTCGTGCAGATTAGCGTTTGAATAAGCAGCGTGAAATTGAAGCAGTCTTCTACGACCACTGCAAACCTTCGAACATTTCAGAATGAACAATCTTAATCTGAAAATTTAATTATCCAAACTTCTAATCAGAAATATTCTATTCCTTTTAGAAAGCTGATTTTCTGGAAGTTTGTCAGAAAGTCAGCGTACCAACCTGAACAATTGATTGTGTCTGTTCACGATAAGTCCAAGTTCGTTTCGAAATTTCGCGAAATCGTTCTCGCTGGTCGCTTCAACCAAATTCTCCAGAGCGTTTCTAAGAACGTTCAATTGCCCGCATAAGTGCAATATGAGTACTGCTAGAAACGTGTCAAAGCAAGAGTAGCAGATCGCCATTAGTGCGGTGCCCATAAATTGTCCTAGCCAGGTTATTTCAAAGTTTGGACTTTTCTTGGTGTCGTAAGGGAACGTAGCTGGATGCAAAAGCCCCCCCAAATCGGCCTCCGACGCGTTTTGCATGTTGCTCCAAATTTGAAACGATATAAACGCGAAGAACATCAAACAACTCAGCGTGGAGCAGACGATAGATATCATTCGACTGATTCTAGCGTTCTTTAGCATCGTTAGACGCTCTTGGTCCGGAATCGGTTCGGACCAGTCCTCGAATATTTGACTGACTAATAGCGTGAGAGCTAGGAATATACATATAATTTTGTTTGCCTCTCGAAAAAATGTACAGGATACAAGATTGATATTTAAAATAAAATTGCGAAGCGATTTTCAGCGAAAGTGTATTCTTAGAATTTGCATAAAATGTATAACTTTGATGTTGACACTTTTATTGTTATTCTTTTCGTATACTATTTAAATATAGAAACAAATATAAAAGTAAACATTTGTAATAATACTTTCAAATGTTTATAATTACCGTTCTTATGGTACCGCAAAACGATTTGTTTGACCAAAGCGAAAGCGATCGGTACGTTGATCGACAAATTCTCGATCGCCTCGTCCAGACTCGTCGATTTCAGTATTAAATTCGCCGTTTGGGGCACGCAAATGAACGTGAACGTTACAAAACATGTCGACCAAAATATAAACGTTGATAACCGACGCGAGGTCTTTTTTGGTTCCGGCCACACGCCGAGCAGCGTCAAATTAAAACGATTCCATCCCATGGCAAACTCCATTTTTGCTCGAGCACGTTGTATTTTTGCCTCAATCCCGACGATTATAAAAACCGATTATAAACACTTGTCAATTATTACAAAATCGGTAATACCGTTTTGATTATCGGAATATTGAAATTGATCGTTTCCCAGAAATCTGTTAAACCTCAGAAAACCACCGATTCCATAATACAAATGATAAGGCTGATACGACAGATCATAACATATAGCTAAGATAAATGCCCCAATTTCTAATCATACTAAATTATTCAAACTATTAAAGTAATAATCCATTTGTACAGACATTGACCCAAGAATGATTGTTTACAGTTTCTTTGCAAAAATTTCGAAATTGAATTCGTTTTCGAATCGAAGAGTATGAATTGTTTTAGGCAAATATCGATACTTTCTGAAGTTTCTCAGAATGTCGTCACTGTGCGGATATTTCGAGAACTGATCCTTCAGATTGCGCGTAACCCGTTCCCAAACATGCTGTTCATTACGCATTCGTATCCGTGACGCAAAAACGTTTCTCCATGGGAAGTTTTAATAGCTGCAATCTGGAAGTTTGTCGGCTCGAAAGGAAGCCTGTAATTCGAACCGTTGAAACTCTTTCGATCTGTCTGAGAAGTACAAAGAACCCTGTACGTCTGACGTTAAAAAATTAAGTTGCTCAGCCTTTAGTCAATACTAGAATTTTCGTTAGAAATCGGCGAAACGTGAACTCGACCATTTTCACAGAAATACGAACGCAATCTAATATGGACCATTAAGAAAAAGCACTTACTATATGGAGAACTAACGTGTGGAGGTTGGTGAATTTTTATAAGCGATATCTTAGTGTTTCTAATTACAAAATTACTAGCTTTCGGTCATTACGAAGTTTTCAGTTGTCACCCCCCGAAACTGTCAGCAAAACCGAAAGATAACCCATCGCCGTTCTCAGGACCTGAAACGACCATTATTTATTCCTGCCAACAATTATAATATTAATAACGCAGCATTTTATCGCTGGAGAAAAAATTCAGTCTTGAAGCAAAGAATTTTGTTTACAGATCATGGTCTTGACCCCATGCTTACCGTACTGAACATTTCCATAGAGAAGGTGGCAAATTTGCCTGCGGTTAAACAAAGTGGACGAGTGGATCTGCACATGATGACTATGAGGCACCTTGATTCCGGAGGTGAGACGTTAAACCAGTTCGATTTGTATGCAGAAATGCCCATTGAAGCGCTCTGAAAAATATTATATAACTGTAGCATTTGTTCCATCGAAAAAGATGTTATTATTCCTATTAGTGCATTTGATACGATATTTACTTGAATCTGAAGTACTTCGCCTATGTAACAATAAATATATATGTGCACTAGGATGAAAGATAGAAAGAGAACGAAGAACACCATTTGAAAGTTAAATATACCAGCATCGCCTTTTAGCAACACCTGTGAAATATACGTTTCTAAATTTTGTCAAAAGACAAGCGTAACTGTGGTCAGCTTACGTTAAAGAATAAGAAGCCTTGAAAGCATATTTCGATGGTGCAAAGCAATAGTTGAAGCAATAACAATATGTTAAAGCATTCCTCGATCTTACTAGCGACCCTTTAATAAGAACATATATACAATCAGTATATTACAAGTGGCTTCGAGTAACCCAATGAATTTGTCTCGATTCTATGAATCCTCAATTCACCAGTTAAGATGCTCGTGTCTCTTCACGATCGATCTAAGTTCCTTTCGGATGTCGTCCGCGCGTCTGGTCCCATTCTTGTCGTCCATCAGTCTCTCCAATCTTCTCCTCAAGTTCGCGAATTGTCCACACGTATGCAACACGAGCATGGCGATAAAGGTATCTACGCTAGTGTAGGGAATCGTAGCGCAGTAAGCCGAAAACGCTTGCGCCATATTAGTCAGCACTAAACGTACCGTTGGTCGAACGTTGTAAGGAAAGTAACCGGGGTACAGTACCAAATTGTCCTGTGTCTCTTTGTTTCTATCGCACGTCGCGATTACGAATATTCGTAGACCGATATATACAGTGACCATGGTCTGAGTTAGTACCGTACACCAGGTGGACATATTTCTCGTGACATTTGCGCTCTTCATCATGGTTGTTCTTTCTTCCTCGCTCTTTGAACGGTGCCAGTCATCGTAGAAGGATTTTACGAGCGGTTTCAGATCTTGGAGTACAGATTAAACAAGTCATTCTTACACCACCTTGGCAAGTCTGACATTAATTGTTTCATTTCGTCTTTACCTTTCTGGTAGTACCAAGTGGCGATCACTTTCACGATCGAATTGAACGCCGGTATATTGGCTAAGCATAAATTTTGTGTAATCCGTTCGAGGTTTCCATCTAACAGAAATAGATTGATGCTTTGCGGTGCGGTTCCGAAAACGACGACCCACAAGCAGAGTACAACAGCTTTGTACTTTGACAATCGTTCGTTCGTCGGCATTGGATCTGGCCAAATACCGATCAGTTGCAGGTTCATGCGGTTCCATCCAATCGCCCTCTTCAAATCTAGAAGAGCATTATGTCATTGCAGAAATGCACGAGCAATTACACGGAATCGCTTAGTAATTATCACTGGAGATCAAACTTTATCACAGACTGAGTCGAAGCTTGTCCTTTGGGATACTTATAATTGTAAAATCGTATACGTATGTTTAAATTCGTTTGGATGTATTTTAATTTTGATCGTTTTTAAGAGTACAGAACGCTTTGCGTGAATCTGAATGATTTCGAGAAACTTCGTACCTCGTTCGGTATCCATTGATACTTCGCGATGAATACTTTGCGACATGAACTGCACGATCGAATGACGGGCACGAAATTCCCGCATGATCGCCGAGACCATCGAAAGTACGCATGCTCGTTTAAGAAAGTCAGAAATCACCCCTGTAGAAAATGTTAGAAAGTCAAGTAGAAGGGAGACCGGGTGGACAAAGTTTCGTACTCGCCGTGGTAGAATAAATTTTTTAATCGATTTCAACCGCGCGTAAACTTCGAGCTAACCAATCATACGGTGTACTTATTTTTAATTCATCGCATAATTAATTTCATTCGCCGTGCAGTATATGCCAATGGTTCGTACTAGATCGATATTTATTCCATAAAATTATATGCAAAACGCGATGCAAATGTCCGAGAAACGAGGGAATTAAATAGACACGAGTAATGTAAAAAATACCATTTATTACTAATTTACATACACTCGATGCATCGTACTTTGAAAACTTTGTTTCTACTGGATACGAAAAGAACAGAATAAATATCTTTTTAGCAGTAAAAGTTCATCGAATTTCTACAAAAAGCGATTCGATCCGTCCAGACCCTCGGAGCAGAGTTGCTCTTCGAAGCTCGAAACGGATCGAACTCGTCGATCGAGGGAAACTCAAATTTAGATCGTATTTCGGCTACCTCGTCTCTGAACTTTAAACTCTAGTCTCTTAAATTATGAGTTTAGGTGCGTATTAAATACGGTGGCTGATATGTACAGTTTCGGTCCAAGACCAATTCGCGATTTCTTGAAAAGTCTCTTCGAATCGTTTTTGTCTAATCGCTGTTGCAACTTGCACTAAACTATAGTCCGTTCCTTCTTTCGCCTTGCAAGTTTGTCCGGAAACTTTCTTCGTAGGATCCTCGGTTACTTATTCCTTTAGCTTAATTAAACTAGAATTGTAATATCCCGACCGAAGGGAATAAAAATCATTCCAACTTCAAAATTGCTAATGTCGACGTTGCTATCGAATCGAACAGTGATGAAAATCGTTGGAATTTCAGACGATTCGAGCCGATCTCTGCTTTCACCGGTCGTGAAATCAACGATTTATCGGTTCCGCTTTCCGCGAGGGAAGGTTTCTTCTAAGCAGAAATGGACGCAAATTTAGAAGAAGACGTTCCCCGGCCTAGCCTGGGGGCACAGAAAATTGGAACAATCGTGTCTTCGAATGGCATCCATGACTTGTTGGAAGTGGTTGGACACCTGGCCAGCTACTCCAGGCTGGACTCTGAAAAAGGTATGCAAACGGTAAACGATTAATGGCGAATAGAAATTCATTAGAAAGCTCGTAGAGTGTTCGTCGAACTGTTGCGAACCATCGAAACGCCTCGCGTTATCATATTATCGATAGCTTGCCGGGGCCAATGTCTCTGTAATTGGCAGGACATTGCTCGAAGTTGTTAATAATAAATTGTACTACCGGAAAAAGAAGGAGTTCCGTCGCGAGCAACAGAATCGAAAGCTAACGTTGAATCACGATCGTGTCGTAGCAATAGAAGTGAAATTGAGGTCTGGTTTGTTACAAGTTCCTGACGAGAGCCGAATAATTTGTTAAAATTATTCTACAGAGCACGTTGTAAAATTGAAATAAAAAACAGTATTCAAGCTAAGCTCGCGCCTGTATCTCTCGACATTTTTAGTTTATCGTAATCGTTATCGGCTAGGAGCGAGAAAAGTCATTACGAGGCGTCACGCAATGAGAAAAATCAAAGAACCGAGCAGATAACTTTCTTCCAGCTTTCGCCGGCGACGTCCTACTGACTGATTCGACTTTTACCTCTTAGCACAGTTTCACTCTGTGCATACATACACGCTTCGCGATTTGTCACGGCATGGCGCGGGCCACGCGCGTCTTAGAAAAAATCCGAGAAAGGGACACGAGGCACAGTGGGGCAATCGCTTGTCAAACAGTACAATTCAGCGATCTTTTATTAATTTCATCTTTTAACACGATTGCGTTTCAACAGTTGGATTTCGACGAAATACTATATTATACATTGACTTTTTAATAATAAACCACGTTTACCGGTAACTAGCACGATTTCGTTTTAAAAATTCGACATTTCTTCGACGAAACTTGGAATCGAAACGCGAAGCACCGTTGCTATGAATTTTCCGCGCGCCAAGACCAAACTTGGTGTGGCAATTTTCTTGCCGGTTCGCCTATTTCCCGCGAAAACGAAAGTCTATTATCCGTCGGCCAAACATGGACAGCTACATAACCGTATGCTAACGAGGGCAACATTATTATATCACCGGTGAAACAGCGAAGCTTCCGGTTATTTTGTAACGCGCAACTTGCTATTGCGATCGCGAAAAACAATTCGTAGAAATCCGTCTTGTAATCGAGCCATACTCACAAGCCCAAAAGGGCAGCCATTTTCTTCTCCATAAGTACGACCGCGTCCGAACCTCTTTGAACCATAGCGTCGCAGAATAACCTTTTGGCGCACGGAGTGTTGCTCCAATCCCCATCTACGTGAGTCACCTCGGCCACTTCGGCGTTCTCCAAATTCTGAAGAGCCTCCTCCAGCTCTCGATCCTCGTCGACGCTCCTTCGTCTTCGTCTTCGTCTCTCGTCTCTTCCCTCCGCGGAATTCGCATCCCCCTCGATCCTAACCAGGCTCTCCAGGTCATTTTTGTCGAGCACCTCGGCGTCCAGATTCTTGTCGAAAAGCTTCACAGGCGAAACTCCGTCTTCAACCACCAGAATCGCCGCCGCGTCATCTTTCTTGCCGTCGCTCAGTTCCCGTGTCTTCTTCCTCGGAATGAGTAACTCCGTCACATCGATATTTTCTCCGCGAGCTGGTAGATCGATCTCCACGATCTCGCTCATGGAATCTGCCCCCTTCCTCTGAAGACGCTTGTTCCTGACCAAACTCTTCGAGTTTCTCTCCACTTGGAAGATGTCCAGATAGTCGAGACTCCGTTTTCTTCGTCCATCGATCGTCGTACGATCTCCTTCCTCGATTTGCGAGTCGGTCTCTCCGTTTTCCGTTTTCCGATCTTCTTGGAGAATGACCAGGACATCGTTCCGATTGTTGAGAGACTCGACGTGATCGTCGTTCTTTGGCACATTCTCCAGGAGGAACACCGTTCTACCGATCGTTTCTTCTCGATTCGAATCGTCGATGTCCTTCGAAAACGACTGGTCGTCGTTCAGTGCTCTTTGGTACTCCACTTCGGTTCCGATTTCGTCGTTCGATCGTTTCAAAACATCTACGTCGAGGTATCTGCCAACCGCGACGGCGCCGATACCTAGTGCAGCACCCGACGCGACGAGACCCAACGCTGGAATCAGGATGCTTCCGCCGGAAGCGACGGTGCCGATCTTTTCTTGAGCCTCCTTGCCCTTAGAGAGACCAAGGTTCTGAGAAATCTTATGCGTAGCCTCCACCAGAGGATCGATCACCGGTCGCGTAAACTGAGAGACCTTCTCCACGCCGTTCGAGAACTGACTCCTCAGGTTCTCTGATATTTTAACCCAAAACGGCGCGTCGTTGGGCGTTTTCAAGCCATAGAAGCGCTGATTCGGGTAGTAGTTCTTCGTCGTATAGCTGTCGATGATGTTCTTGTCGTTCAGAACGTACTTTTTCTTCTGTCTTTGCTCCGTGAACGAATACTGGTTCTCCGGGAAATTCTCCGGCCGTTTCTTCTCGTTCTTGAGTATCTTGGCTGGTTGGACGCCCAATTCCGGATGAGCGTACTGAAGAACCGGAGCCCTGGCGCCTGGTTTCAGCGCCACCGGGGCGATCTTCTGGCTCTCCGGGGTGTACAGCTGAGAAATTGGATAAACGGCTACACCGTCGGGATGCAGCATCCTTTTGTGCGCGCTGGCTCTGTAGTTGTCGTTCCTCGGCTCGTACACTTCCGCTTTCAGGGCCTCGTTTTTATAGTTCTTCGGATCCCACTCGAAAAAGACGTTCTTCCCCTCCGCGTCAAAGTCTTTGCCGTACCTGTTGAAAGAAATCAATTAGCCGCTCACCACTATCACACCGTCTAATACTCTGCATCGTGTACGTTTTAAAAAAAATTTCTACCTTCGATTAACAGTGTTGAAGAACCTTTCGAATCTCTGTCTCTCCCCGGAACTCTCGGTCGGATAGGTGCTCGCGGAGGCTTCTAAGCTCTCCGTGGATGTTCCTTCGCGTATCAATTTGTTATTGATCACCCTCGCGTTGCGCCACGTTTGGATTTTGTCGATAGGCTCGTCGGGAACTCTCTTCCCGTGAATCACCGGCGTGCCATCCTTGTCGAGCGTCATCGGCGACCTCTTCGGACCCGACTTGACGTTTATTTCCGACCTGATGATCACTTCAGGCGGTACGTTCTTCGCGTCTCTGTTCTTCGACGCGTTTGCACCGATGTTGGTCCTCGTGGACCGAGTCTGGTGCGGCAGAAAGGCGTAACGAGTCTTTTCGTCCGACCGGTCGCTCATCTGCACGTTCCTCTGCGATCGATCTTGGAAATGTCGCAGCAAGAGAAGTCCAGTGGTAGGAAACGTGGGGTCGAATCTAGCGTAATTCGTCCTCTCCTCCGTGGTTGTCTTCGAATCGCCTTGAAGCGGTTTCCAGCTCTGATACTCCTCGGTGCTCGACTCCTGCAACAGTACCGCTCGCCCGTCGGTTCCCAAAGGCGTCCAGTTTCCGTAATCGATGTTTTTCTCGCTGGCAGCCTGCTCCTTTCCGGAAACCACCAACTTCACGCTCGTGGAAGCGTTTTCCGCCCCCGAAGAACTCTTCTGATCGGCAGAGTCCGAGAGCTTGGCCCTGAGTCGTTCTATCTGAGCATCCTCCAGCTTTCTGACCTCTTCCTTGCTCTTCGCCTCGTACTTGATCGTTTCCGGTTCGCTTACGGTTGACGGCGTAGGGTTTTCGTTGTTCGTTTCTTCGAGTCTGTTTTCCTGGGTCACCGGTGGAGCGTTCGAGGATTCGCTGATCTTGGACTCCCCGAGCAAGGTCTTGTCTCGCCTCTTGACGATCAGAGTAGCCAAATTCCCTTCGCTGGTCCGCACTTTGAGCTCTTCGGTCTCGCCCGGAAGGCTTCGAGATACTTTTAGCATCGTTCTAGCATAGCTTGGCTTTGGTAGCTCCGCGGTGTCGGCGTTAGCCACGGCTAAACTCAACAGTACCAAGAAGATCGTCGCCTAGAGAACACAGACCAAGTATGAGAGATCGAAGCCCAAGGTAAGAAGTTAATAGCAATTTTTATCCTCGGAATTATTGACTTTAATTATATAACATTTTTGTCGTAGAATCTTCAGAGAATGAGTACAAGTGTCTGTGCAAACATCCGACGAAGTTACTTCGAGCGCTGACAAAGCGTTTCAATTATTTTTCAAGATAACACAAAGTATTACGTAGCAATAAACTTTCTGCGCCTTTGGCATACCGCATTAAACGAAGCTAGAAAAAGCGATGATTTCTAGACGCTAACGCCGCAGGATTTTATGTAACTATCAATGCGTTACATGCTCGTACTTCGATGGAAACAAGTCTGCCGGAAGTCCATTGTGCCTTCCTCGAACGTGGATAACGCTCGTTACATGCGCGAAGATCTACTCTGTTACCCACGTGCGACCTAATTTTAATTATTCTCGACGAAAAGCTTTGGTCGTTTTTGGGTAATTATAATATCCAAACGGTAAAGTTAAAAATGTAACGTCCGATACGTTCACGATTCGAAAAATCATCGTGGGTACCTGGCAAGTATTCTCGTCCGTTGGAAAGTATTTCGAGGTCATTGAAAAAAAGTGCAATCGCACTTTCTACACGCATCGTTTCACTAAACAGAAAAGGAAGGGTCTGCGAACTTGTGCCTTATCAAGTCACTGGACTTTCTCCTCCGTCGTTCCCTTTTACTTCGAATTAAAGAGGAATACCAAACGGGCCCAGTTTCTTGCGGCTGTATTTTGCAAATAGAAGTATTCCAAGGTACATTTGTCTCGAAACTCGTAATTCCCGAGACTTCAGCAGCTTCGACTTTTGTACAATTTTCTGACAGAAATTGCTGCATTTTAACGGGAGAATCGAGAGACTATCCGAGAATGCAATCGCGGCGAGAGAAATTTAATAGCTCCCAGAAATTGCCGGCATTCTTTTCCCTGGATTAGAAAATAGCGATGCAGTAACAAACCGGCCGGATACTTTCTATTAACGCGGCAATTTATTCATTACTATCGAAACAACGCCGCGGCGTTTGCATTTATTCCGTTGCCGTTCCGCGTTGACATAGATACTCCGAAGATTGCAGCCGCTGATGCAACTGCGATTTTTGAGCAACGATTCGAACCGTGTCTAACAAAGAATTTCACGGAAAAGGTAATAGCAGTTTCCAACGATTACACTGGTCATCGGCAAATATATGCTCTTCGTCTGAGCGATCGATTTTAGTCCCTGTTATGGCTCTGATTACGAAATCGTAAACGAATTATTTTTCTATCGCAAGAACGTGCATTCGGTTTCATTCGATTTTGCTCGTTCTCGGAGGGGGAGAAATATAATACTTTCGGGGCAAAATGAGCCAAAATAAAATGGTCAGCTGGACCGTACGAGCGAACGATCCGCCAACAAGTGAAACGGAACGACATGCTTTCCCCGGGCACGTTTCGCGTATGGTACACGCGCTCGTCTATGGACAGCACGCGCGTCGACGTCGGCGGGACGATCCACTTTTTCCGATCTAGTGACTTTCGATCGGCGCTACTCGACCGGCGATTCCCAACAAGAAATTCTAGTTCGGCTGGTCGAAGCGATTCTTGACCTTAACGCGGTCGCGAACCCGCGGAAATTCTTACTCTTTCACCGCCCTCTTTGAAACGCGCGGAAAAGCCTAACTCTCTAAGCCTAAATCTCTGGACGCTGTCGCAAAAAGGGACGAAAAGAGACCGAGAAACTGACGCTACCGATCGATCGCGAGGCCACAAACGATTCGTTCAACCATGAAATTGTTAGATATTTATGAATTATCGAGCTTATGAGAACATGAAATTTGCAACATCGACACGGTTAATGAACGATGCTCGATTAATGCGAGTTTCGTTGGAAGGAAGTGCACGCAGGTGGCCCCGATCCGTGTCACACTGCGTTTCCGCTCCAGAAAGCTCGCGGACCGACGTTAATTCGCTGGCAATTAAGTCGATCTATTTTTTTCCTCTGTCTTTCCCTTTATTCGCTCGTCTCCCGTTGCGATCTTTCCTCGGTATTTGTCTCTTGATGCACGTGACAGTGAAATTCGAATCGCCGGATGTGAATCTTTTACCGTGACTTGGGCGTTAGAGTGCTCCGAAAATGTGCATTAAAGGACAGTTTGCGTTTAAGCATAACGCGTATACGAAGAATGTCTATTTTTGTAATTCTTCATCGTCGCTTCGAGAGGAACGGTACTTTTATTTGAAAAGGTGATAAAAGAGTGCAGAAACGAATGAAAAGAATAGTACGTGAGAGAAGCACGACAAAATACCTTAAATTCGTCCATTTTTGCGTGTCTTCGATGCTCGTCGATCCAATTGCCCGATAGTTTCAGTTCCCAGCGACGAGGAACTTCCGATCCGTTCCAACGAGAAACGTAAAAAAAAAAAATGATGAGTCCAGTTCAAATCCGCATGATACGCGCGTCGCGAACAGAATCTGCAAACTATCGGCTCGTCGTAATAAAGAAATTGAACGAAAATAGCAGAGAGGAGAGCCGCTCTCCTACGCACCTGTTGACTCCCGGAATATCTTGGTGAGACTGACGAAGGCGCTCAGTCAGCGGCTCCTCGTGTCTCCGACGAAGGACCGACGACGCTTCTCTCCGACCTACTTCCCGCGTTCGCCTTCGCCTTCGCCTTCGCCTTCTTTCGTCGCGACGCCCGCCGTCTTCGCCGATTAAGGGGGTACTTTGGTCTAGACGTGTAATTTTTAACCCCTTTTTTGTCATTTCTTTTTTCGCGGGACCCGGTTTGAAAAACTATCCGGCCTTGGATATTAATAATTTCAACGTCGGTACTTATTAGCGATCGTTGGCTTTATTATCGACGACTGGAACCTGAAAATCACTGGTTCGTAACTGCTCGGCAATGATTATAATTTGGTAGCTATAATTGGATAAATTCTTCTAATGTAATTTGTACTGAATTATAAATTCAAGATAAATTATACGATTTCAGAATTATTTATTTCATGATGATTATCATCCGACGACCGTCGTTCGATAATTACTAACTTCGCGGCGAATAAGCCGAGAACGTTGCACTGTTCCGTTTACTGTTACCTTGAACTTCGTGATTGTTAATTCGACGATGAAAAATAGTCGAAAACCAATGCGGAACTAAAAAATAAACAGCATGCGGAACGACGAGAAGTTACATTTAGAGTCGATTCGTCGATGATTCGTCCGACCACTTTCACCGCGCAACCGTTTCATCTGGGTCGCGTGTATATTGTAAAAGAAAAAAAAAAAAAAATCGGCATTGGTCAGTAGAGGGCGATTCTGCGCATGGCGATCGACGTTCGCGAAACTTTAGGACAGCAGCCGGTCCGGTCTGGTCCGGTTTTCAAGTTCACGAGCGACGACCTGGCGGGACTGAACCGGAAGAGGCCGTTCTTAAAGTGCCCAGCACCGGGTTCAGAGACCCGCCAGTGAAAGTCCATCGTTTCAAGACGACAAAGACGACCGGCGCGCCGACGAACACCTGCGCAATCTCAACCCTCCATTTTAATTCCCGCGTAATTAAATCGATTCATGTTATTTCACAAAGCATCGACTACATTCTCTCCTATATCGACGAACACAAATAAATAGGATCTGGTGATCATAGTAATTTAGTTTCGCGACAACTGCCCCCCGTTTCTCCTCTGTGTTGATCACCCTCAATGAATCATGTTACGCGCTACCTGTTCGCCCATGTTGAATCGATCGGGAGGAATCTAGAGAAACGTGGTACTATCAACAGGTCTATTCATATTTTATCACATTCCTCGAGTCTCTGCGACGCTCGTTAACCACGAATAGAAGCCACTATTGCGTAAATGCTTCCTTCCTGCGGTTGCTGATCGCCCTTGAGCAGCGAAAGTCTACAAATTTTCTCCGCGACGCGTGTCCATTTTGCGTTTAGCGCCGTTCGTTTCCGTGGATATCGCGAAAAATCGCGTTTCATTACGGACAACTATGCGAGACACTAAACCAATCGGAAGCAAGGTCGTAGAAGGTCGTCGGCACGATGTCAGAGAGTCACGCGGACAGATCGCCACTTTCTTTTTCTCGAGTAGCCGTTTCAACGCTCCAGCAACCAAGAATAAAACATCTTTTTCTAAAAATCTTCTCTTTTCTTGACCGTTCGTTGTCAACCTATCACACAAATGGAAAAAAGTAATCAATGAGAATGGTACACGCATTATAGAGAAGAATATTTATTTTCTACAAATATACCGAGTTTCAGTTTTACAATCCAATAATTCGACCGCAAGCTATTACTTGGCTCTCTAGACATTTGTGTCGCGTTAGCAAAACATAGTCAAGAATGAGCTTGCGAGCGGAAATAATGGGGCCGGTATCTGGTGAGTAGATCCGTGTCCTTCGATAGAATTCATCGGCCTCGCGGCACTCGTACGATTAACAATTATAAACGCGTACTCGTCCCATTGTGTCCGATACAATCCACGAAGGCCTCGATGTTTTCCAATATCGTTCGACGTCGTCTGTTGCACACTCGTTTTCCTTGACATACCTCGAAGACGAACCTACGCGCGCACCGCCATAGCGAACAACCCACGTAAATGCATGGCGATCGGACGGATTCCGCCTTCGAGAATTCCCTTAAAAAACCTCCACTGGCTTACCCAATATTCAATTAGAAGAAATTAGAAAGATGTTTCCTCTGGACGTTCCCTTATCGTTAGCGTAGAAAGCCGCAAGAAAGTAAAAGTGTCAACACGACGAAACGTTGGAATTAATTATTTTGGGTATTTTTTAGGCCGTTGCTGTTGCCACGTCGTGAACACTCTACGTGCGACGATATTTTCTGATTTCTATTTTTCGATGCAAATGGGTCGCGAGTTTCTTTTCTTCTTCGTAAATGGAATGCAACTGCTTTAAACATTTTTCAAATTTCGTGCATGATTCATGATCGTGCAAGACATGTTTTTTAAATTTTTTCAATACGTAACCACTGACTCGTTAATTGTAATTGTTTAATATTATTCGGAACGTGTTTGAACTCCACAGAAAAGTACGTCGATGATGGAATATCGTTTTCCAGAAATTCCAATTCCGAGCGACCGTTCGAATACGCAAAACCATCGAACTGTTAACCGAGGCGAGAAAAATTCAGGACTACGTCCCAGAAACCCTAATCGCGAGTCCCCTTAAAATTTCTCATCCGCGATTTCCCCCGTTCTTTTATTACGCGGAAACGAATCGTCGAGACGGTGACGTTCGGTAATCTTGGCCATTTCGTTCAGCACGGTTCTTCCCGCGATAAAAAAACGCCACGAGTATCTGCGAGGCCGGCTGTCGCGATGACCGGAAATGCCAGGCCATTCTTCCGTTTTACGAGCAAAGATCTCGTGCTCTCGAAACTCTCGACTATGCTCGCAAAAGTAGAACCGTCGGTAAAAAGTGGCTCACTTTCGTTGCCGCTAAAACTCTTTCGATTCCGCGTAACGCGAGAAACCTATGCCCGAGCGATAGCGATACCGATGGAACCATGACCTTTCGGAAAGTGTGCCTATTAGAGAAAAGAGACTTCTAATTGGAGAGATAGGCGGCTCTAATTGGTGAACTTTCTTTCCTGTGTTCTCTCGCGAGCGTAGTTTGACCATCGTTTATTTGCATTTGCAACGAATAACGAATAACAGAAGCATTAACGAGTACAATCCAAATTCTAACTAACTATCTAAGAGAAACGTACCAATATTCTATATTAACGACCGTGGTATTAGTATATTCTTTTTAGCGTTCGAAGGAATAGGCCATGAGGCAATGAATTTAGGTTAATGAACGATTCAGTCGCAAGAAATTTGGTTGCATTCCAAGAATTTTAGTAGGGTGTCATTAATCACTCCTCTGAGTACGGATAATCAACATAGGTTCTTTTGCATTCCTGGAGTGAAAATGGAGTCACGTGACTCGTTCGCGACCCAAAATTCGAGTCCCATTCGATATTTGTATCCGATAGCTCGTGACTACTCGCTCTCTCTTTGTTAGGAAAACATTCGAGTAACAATGTTCTATAATTAGTAATTTCACTAATAAAAAGCCAAATTTGACGTACCATTTATTTGATATACCGACTATTTTTACTACCACTTCGGTCACAATTTGTTACGGAAAGTGGTAGACGGTTGGTTAACCATTTTCTATTTAAAACGTATCGTCTCCAGGCATCGAAATCACCTTAAATGCAAATAAGACACGAACCAGAAAGAAAAGTACTTTTCATAGGAACGAGGATCGATATCTCGTCCGGTTTCGAGATGCAACGAGTGCTCGAGATGCACGTGAAAGTTCGTTGCAGCCACCGATAACCCGTATCTCATCACGGGGACATAAATTCCTGGGTCGAGCTGGCATAGAGTACCGTCGACCCACTTATACACTGTGACTACTTTCACTTGTAAACCAAACACACGCGACTCGTTCGAGGAATTCCCCAATAATCTCTTCGTCGATTCATTATTAATGCGATTTGATTTTCCATTCTTATGGAACTGCGTTTCCTCGTGTGATTTTCGTCTCAAAGAGAGCATCGTCATTGTCATTGGCAATATGCTTTTTACCTTTTCAAGTTAACAATCAGCAATCAACTTTCGTGCAATCCTTTTTCTTCACTGCCTCGAAAACGTCTTCAAGACCATTCTCCTTAGCAACTGTTACCGAAGTTCTGTCAACGAGAAACGTGAATGTATCATGAATGTGAACATTACTTGCAGAGTTGGACAAATTCTGTTCTCGAATAACGAATAAAGAGACACCTTTTGCACGTGATTTTGCTCGTCTGAATATTGGTTGATCCATCTGAAATTTGTACTTGTTATTCGTGAAGAAAAATTGCCCAACTCTGACTACTTGCCGAGTATGAATATTCAGACTATAGCAAATTAAGGGAAACATTACATTAATAACATTGATCCATATCAAATTTTCCTCGGCTCCGATCGAGTTTAAATCATTAATAGACCACTGTATATGCAAATCTGAGAGTACAAAACAAAGTATCCGGAGGAAAATTGGTATAGAAAGCGTAGTAACAGTAAAAGCAACTGCATAGAATCATTTTACCGCGTAGATGAACTTCAAGATTCTTATCGAAACGTTTATACTTCCCTAAAATTCAGACACCATTCCAGGACTCTGACTTGAATTACCTGGTAGCCAGATTCCACAGAAGATTTTGCAATATGCTCGGACTTGCTTTGCCACCAGCTAAGATCAACTCGCAGATTGATCTCTCCTCGCAAACGTCAGCAGATTCTCCGACGAATCGTGCTTGTTTGTGTTCCAGCGGCAGGTCGACAACCCTTAGCTTCGAAAGGACTATATTCGGTTCGCTGAAAGAGATTCCCCGTACGATTAGAATTGTTTCAAATACTCTGTATAGAAGGGAACGAAGCTACTTACGATGCATTGTTGACCTTGACGATATTGGGTGTTAGAGCTGCGAGAAGCAGCCCGAAAGGTAGAAACGTACCAATTAAATGCAGGATCTTCTTCCAAGGAGAAACCCTGGAAATTAAGGTGTTTTGAGGTTACTGTTCGAGTTCAGCGTGCAGAAAAATAGTGAAACCGAGTGCTTTGTCTAGTTTAAATGCAAGGCAATTATTACAGGCGCGTCATTTTCATTTCGCGCGAGAATACTTTCAAAAGACTTTCGATGGAAAGAAAATAGAGAAGAAACAATAGAAAATTATTAAATAATAATAGTAAAAAATTGAAAATAAATTCTGAAAATCGGATTTTTAAAATGAAAACTTAAATGCGCACCTTCTTCTAACAGGATACACCGGCTGATCGTCATTAACGAATTCAATCTGATGGTATCCGACAGTCGGCTGATAAAATGAATAAGGAAACTTTCTAGTCCTCATAAAAGTCGACTCTTGGGCGTAGACGATTCCATTATTCGTCTTTTTCAGCGCGCCAAAGTCATGAAAAACAGGCTGATGACTCTGATGGCCGTAAAACCCACCGTAATACGGCAATCTCGAGTAATCGGTGCTCGTAAAACTCCCCAATTCGTGTTTATGCGACTCGCCGTGGAACTTGGACGGTTTTCCAAATATGGCAGGTGTGTCTTGTTCGTAGACCGGTTTCTCCAGGTTTTGGAAGACCTGCTGGTCTATCGGATTCTGCTGCGTTTCAGCGTTTCCAGCGATCGAATGAACAAAGTGCTGATGAATCGGCTGATCCTTCAAGACGGTGCCATAGTAAAACCGCGGTACGTCCATCGGTTCGTTCTGGTATTTCACGTAAGTCTGCTGCTCCGTTCCTTCGTTCGTATCCTCCTGTGGAGACCCAGAAACGGCTCCGAAGACACTTTGATGAAAGTTTCCATGCTGTTCGGGCTGGATTACCAGCTGATAGGCGCTGGGTTCCACTTCGTTTTCGAATCTGACGTGATGAACGTTGTTGAACGGACTCGTTCCAATTCTGGACTCCTTGATCTCTCCCAGAGGAGCACTGGGCTTGAATTCCTTGGAGACGTTCTGCTGGGTTTCTGCGATGATCGTGTACTCGGTGGTCGCCACCGACTCTAAGGTGAACTCGTTTTCGCTCGAGGTTTCCTCCAAGGATTCTTCCATCGACTTCTCTTCGTCTCTGGTCGATTCGTTTCCATCTTCTCCGAGATTTTTCAGAATGATCGAGCTTACGGACAACAGTAGAGAAAGTAACAGCAGTTCCGTTGCAGGAGTTCGAAAACACATTTCGCCGATGGGGTCTCTATTATCGTGGACAAATAACGAATGGAGTCTTTTCCATCGCGACGTGTCCGTTCGACTAAACAGTTCCTTTGGACGTTTAGCGTCTTTAACGCGACGCTGACGCGAGCGTGTTTTTTAAAAAGCGTGAACGCGAAGGCAATTTCGTCTCTTAATCGTCAGCCTCAGTCTAATTGTCGTTGACAAAGTGGACCGCTTAGTTCCAGCACACGGTACAGGCAGAGAAACACTTTTCAGCGTATCCAACCAGTACGATAAGTCTCTCTGTAGTCCCGGTAGACACGCTAAACGCGAAATTGTGTCAGGTTCTAGTGGAATACGCCAGCCGTTGTCAGACATCGAACGATGAAAAAAAAGAAGCACGAGCAACGTAAGGAGAAGCGAGTCAACTTGGATTTCTACGGACGAGATGCGTAAAACTCAGGAAAAAATACGTTTACTACAGCTTTACGGAATGTGGGCAAAGAGCGGAAAGGGGTGAAAAGACTTTCTAAGGCGAGTTTTATCAGCGAGCGGCGAGAGTCTGACCTTATTTCAGCTGGAGGTCAGGTCTCGCGAAGAAAACTGGATGAATGCTAGCGTGTTAGATGCAAGATAATTCCTTTGTACGATTTGTAGCCGAAAGAACTACCTACGCTAGTTCGTACACGCAATATTACTCTTCAACGTTTAAATTCTGTTGGAACGTATATAGATATTTCGTTTCAGAGAATATCTATCGAACTAATCGATAGAAATTAATGATATAATCTTGCGACGAACACTCTCCAGCAATCTTCCAACAGGAAATGACTTAATTACCGGTTCCATGAACTCCCTATTCAAAGATACCACACCCAACTCACGAGCTGTCAATCTACGATTTCTAGTCGTTCGATTAGCTTTATTTTCACGTACCCTTTCTACCGATCCTTCAATTTCTCCGTCATGACAAAGTAACATCCCTAAGGTACGAACAAGCGTGCAAATCATTGCCGTGACAAGTTCCTCGTCGTTCCCCTTCCGTTTAACCAGCCGACAATGAAAGTAGACGTTCCCTGCACTTGACAGGCGTCGCTTCTTTCTTTTTCCGTTGCCTCGTGTTGGTCGTTTTCGCGGTTATCTACGCCTCGAACGACCCGATTCCGGTTTCGAGTAGGCCAACCGACCGCACCGTCAGACCGGAATCGGAAGAGAAAAAATCCTGACCGTTGCACATAAAACGGAAGTCCTTCCACCAAACTAGCTCCATCCGCAAGCGAGTGTGCGAACTCTTTAAAACCTTACTTATACCGCTGGAATTTATACGGGTACAAAAATGATTGGTAATTGATTCTGTAATAAATTAGGATACAACGAGTAATTGCCCGAATGGAATTCGTGGTATCGTTTGTACGTTCAGCTTCCCTCGGAGAAGTCATGGTAAATGCACGCGATCGTTTATTTTCTTGCGCGAAGCATCGATCGTTTCTTGGTCAAACGGAAAACAAGCCGAACGATTCCGTGATAAAATTCAGCTCGATCAGTAGTTACCAGAGTCATGGCGATTTCCTCTCGAAGAAGAACAACGGTTAGTTTAGTGGGTCGAGGATGCAAAAATGTGGGATCGGTGAAAATCTGGTCCAGGGATCGGAAACTACTCGTAAAACGGAAACGTTGAACGCATTTCACTCGTTGGCTAGCAAGGAATCTCGGTGATTCTGCAAAACAAAAAAAAACCCGTAGGTTTCTGGGCCGAGAAAGCGCAAAAATCGCGGAACGACCGACTCCCCCTTGACGATTCGCGGCACCTTCGACCAACAGAGTCGAATCGGTGATTTATCGACCATGAAGACCCGCCGCCTTCTCTGTCTTTTTCGTGAGTCCTCTAAATCGTAGAAAAATTCTATTTTAAAACGAGATCCATCTCGGCGACGATACCCCGACATTCCAAATCACGACCAGAAAAACCAGCGTGTAAAGTAGCCGTTGATTGTCCACGCCGAAACAATTAGTGCGTGACGGATCCTCGCTTTTTCATGTGACTCACGCCTTGAAAACAGTAGACGTATTCGTGAGATTAGGGGAATTAGAAAACGCATTTCCATTCTTCGAAAATCTGTCCAAGTTTGTACACGTCGTAGCTTGGTCTTTCGGGTTAGCGCGTCTCGGTAAAAATTTATAAAGTGCTGAAAATAGCCGTCGAGTTCCCAAGTAATCCAAGAGTCTCCTCCATGTGCATTCTTCTTGCTTCTGCAACGTATCGTGGGACGTATCGAATTTCCAAGCGCGAGTCATCGATCCGAATCCACAAAGGTCGGAATCTGTGTCGATTGTCTCATCAAATGCTCGCGATGATCCTCCCCGTTCCCGGGGACAATTATCATCGGACAAGGAGGCGAAAGAATAGATCCCAAGATAGGAGAGAAGGATGGTCTCGGCGCAGGCCGCGAGTCCGTTCTCCAGGGGGACCAGGGGGACCAGGAGAAACAGAGTGCACCACAAGGCCGCGAGAGAGAGAGAGAAAATGGACCAAGTCACCACGAAGTGGGGACCTGGATTAAAAGCAAACGAGGGCAACGTCTCGGCAACAGAGCCATCTCTGCACCTTCAAGAGTCGAGGTCGAACGGAAAGTCGCCATCGTTCATTGTGCTATCACGATCAGGGCGGCCTGTGTTGCATTTTCTAACGGGGTTTCCGCTGTTCGAGGAGGCGATCCTGGTTGTCCGCGCGGTTCAACGTTGGCGCCAGGCTGAGCCAAGGAAGTCGAACGGCGATCAACGACAAGGTCAGTGTTGCATCCGCTTATTCTTCTTCTTATCTGTCGCGCAGACGCCGTTTGCTTTCTTCGGAGGATAATCAGTGTCGATGGAGTCCCCCTTTTGCATTTTATGCCTCGATAACTATATTGTTTCTCAGCAGAAGTTTCTTCGTTCTGAGAGAACAACTGTTACCTGGTACCTGTCCAACTATCGAAACAGTTAGAACGATATGCCGTTGTTTGTAGGTAAAAAGTTACTTCTCCTAAGATTTAAAAAAGAATTACTTGAATTCCTGGAATAAATACTTCCATGTTGGGTAATTGAAAGTATCGATCGTATTGATAGTTACCAGCGTTATATGTTTGAGGATCTGAAATATTATTGAGAAGTATACCAAAGTATCTCGAGAGAAAATTTGATCTTATCTATAGAAAGTGCAAGTTCAACACTTTCCACGTGCGTTTCAGATGGTGGCGAGAGGAGCGATCTGTCTGCTGTTGGTGGCCTTGGCATTGAGAGGGACCCAATGCAGCACGAGGTACTTCGTGAAGATGAAGACGAACGCGTCCGAGCTGTTCAAGACGAGAGGCGACAGCTTGAGGGTACTTCAACGGCCGATCGCGGCTACGCCGAATCCATTGTATGATGAAACAAAGACTGACTTTCAGGCGGACGACGAGAGAATGATCAAGGACTTCCCTAGGCCCGGGGAAGAGCAGAGGAACGCGTTCGAGACGTCGACGTTCAATCCCGACGTGTTGAACAAATTTCTCGAAGAGTACGCGAACAAAATCAAAACCACCACCGACAAGTACACCGAATACCCGTTTAAGATCTTGAAACCTGCCGAACCACTCGCCCTCGAAGTGGACGATCCCACCACGCATTCCACCAGCACGATTTACGATCAAGAAACCAAGTTCGAGGTGATCGCGTCCAATACCACCACGGCAGAGAACGCGGTAACTTTTTGTTATTTTTTAGGAAGAAAATTAAATTCTTTCGATAACGAATTAACGTTCAGAATGCAACATCGTTCGTTTCACAGCTAAGCGATACCCTGAACGACACCCTGAAGAGAAACAAATACTATGGGGCGAATTCGTACGAAGACAGAAACGGTTGGGTCACCCTAGAGGCGATTCCATGGTCGAAGAGCAAAATTTCTAAATGGCAAGCGACCGCCACTACGCAACGTCCGTGGCCGGAAATGAAGCCATGGGACAAGCCGAGCATAGGAAAACCTTGGACTTCCGACTACTCCATCAGACCAATCGTTGAAAACAATAAACCGTGGTAAATGTACACGAATATTAAGCCTAAGCGTCCACATTTTTCGCTTCTCATAAGACTTAATATTAATAATAATCGATCGATTTCAGGTACGAGAAGCCAAAGCCAACCTGGCCGGAGAACAGCAACGAAAAACCCTGGCAAAAGCCCACCTCCCGTCCTTCCTATTATTCGGACAAGAACGAGGAGAGTCAAGCCCAAAAATGGCCGCCAGAGAGACCATCCTGGAACAAATACACCGATCGCCCTAACAGCGAAATAATCACCGACAATCGTCCTGCAAATTTCCCCAATAATTGGAACAGGCCCCAGCCGACGAAGCCCAGTTACCAGTTCATTGATCGATACTCCGATAAGAACCAGGAAGAGGGCAACGATTGGCACGATTTCCCCACGAGATACGACGATCGACTTCGACCTTCCACGGAAAGGCCAGGATTCTCGCAGTATCAATACGTTAATAACCATCCGCAGACTTATCCTGGAAACAGTGACGGACAATGGGTACTTTTGTCGACGAACAGGGGCTACTCGAAGTCCAGGCAGAGATCGATCAAGATCGATTCGGTAAACCCGTCGCAGAACGGAACGAAGAGCATCAGTGGGAACAGGAACGATAATGATCCGGCGGTCGCTGTGATGACATCGAAGCGACAGGTGATCAAAGAAGTTTTCGCCATATATTGTAGCTTTAAAATCTGCACAAATAAAGTTCAACTTAGATACGTCTTTCTTCGTCTGTTAGATTTGATTTTAAACCTATCGATGAATTAAAAATCTCTAGAGATAGTTTCGACGTCGACGGTCGCTTGATGAAATATCGTTTTCCTAGGTCAGGCTGACGGTGTTACCGTCGATCAACGGCACGAACACTACAACATCCCACGGGGGTCTGCTGGAAGTGGAGAAAACGTTCAAAAGCGTGGACCAGAGTCGAAAGGAATACGAGATGGAGAAACAGACCTTACCCGCTATATTAAAAAAGAGACCCATCAGGAACACGCTGATCAATCAGCCATCTAGCTCTGCTGTTTTGGCAGCCGTCGGTGCAGGTACTCGTTATTTTCTATTCTATAATGCAAAACTATTTGTTATTCAACTCTTCATCGACTCGATTATCTTTGAAATGATTTCTACGTAGGCATATTACCAGCAACTATGGCGATGATGATACCAATGATACTTGGCCGTAAGAAGAGGGACCTCGCGCGTTCTAAGTCGCGACTCTCCGATTATCACGATTCGGTCATGAATATTCGTACTCTCACGAATAAAAATCGAGTCTCAGAAACGAGACGCAGATAGGGAACGTAATTTAATTCTACAAAGAAAAAGTCTTGAATAATTTTTAAACATAACGAATAAGGGAAACGATGAACGATCTCAGAATTTAACTGCGAAGACTACGAGCCTTCCAACGACGATTTTGAAATTGCGATTAAATATTTATATGTATTTTGTATTTATTTAGCAAATACTATTTTGTAATAGTTAAAGAAGGATCGAGAAACCGTGTATAGTGATTAGTTTAACGATAGTTCTGTTAATTGAGAATAGAGACGCGAACGAAGCGAGCGTTACTTTTAAAAAAACAAATTTCTTTAGTTCTATCGTATATTTACATATATGTCAGGGTACCATATAGATGCATATCTTATTTATTTATTTATATTTATTTATAATATACTTTACAATGTCGTATATTCCGTCGTTCACTTAAATACTTAATAAAAGCATAAGTACCAGAACAAGAAATAATATCGAAGTAAAAAGGCTTACTCGCCAAAATGAAATAGAACCTTTCGCCAAACGTTTCCTGAAACCTCGTCGTTTATACCAACAACACGAGCTTCGAAAACACCATAGAATGCATTTTTATGCGCGCGTCGCATCGAAATGCATTCCATGCGAGAAATCCTATTCCCTAATATCCGTTTTAAAGCTTATCGTTCTCGCTCTCGTCGCGTAGCACCCAGGTGTTGTGCCACCTAATTCCTAATCAATGATTCCGTAACAAAAAAGAAGATAGCAAAATTTTCGACAAGTGACTACTAAAGATATGAATCTTATCCCGCGAACAAGGATGTTTAAGGAAATCGAATGATCCACAGCCTGAAAGGGATAAGTACAGTACGACTATAGACGAACAAAATATGCAAGGATTTTATATGCAAAACGTTATGGTAAAACCAAAACAGTGTAGATTCCTTTAACGATTGTTAAATGCATTGTCGACATTCTATGTAGCAGAAGTGACAAACTTCTCGGAAAATCACTATCTCCGAGACTGCCACAGTGACGAAGATCTCTCGATCGTCACTTTAAAGTTCATTGTCTCGCGGCTCTTTTAAACGAAGCCATTCACTCCTCACCGTTGATCCTCTTCTGCACGTGGCCGAGGTATCTTGCGAAGCCCTCGCTGGCATGTTTAAGCAGCGTCAGCCCGAGCCTGAACTTTATCTCGGCGATCTTCTTCACGACACTAAAAATATTAAAACCATCCTGCTGTTCCGGCGGCTGCTTCGTGGTCAAATCGATCCACTCGACGTTGCTCTGCTCGGAAGTCATCGAGCTTTCCGTCGGATTAACCTCGTGATCGATCTCCGACGAGACCGACGAGACAGACGACGACGTCGAGGAATCCGTAGCTTCCTTCGTCGCCGAAGAAACGGATTCTCGAGTGGACGTCTCCACGCTGGTCGGTGTACTTGTCTCCGCAGTCGAAACCTTCGTCGTGGACTCCTTGAAGCGTGTCTTTTCCTCCTCCTTCTGTTTCCTCCTCTGCGCCTCGAAATCTTCCACCTCGTTGTCCTGCGTCCTGTTTTTCTCGTCCTTTTCCCCGGGCAGAGCCAAATCAATAATGTTCAGAATCTCGTTGCTCAGATCTTCCTCCTTTTCCTCTTCCTCGAGCTCCCTCTTGGTTGGTATAATCTGGATCACAGAGTCCCTCTTCTTTCTCGACCGTAGTTTCTCCATCGAAGGTGAACCTATCGAGTCGGGGAAAGACTCTCTCTTCAGAGACCTGGGTCCATGCTCTACGGCGACCGCAGTAGGCGTAATCTCGACCTCCTCGTATCCGTCGTCCGGTCTGGCGGTTTGAACCTGACCGTAGCTCTGAACAGAGCTCCCTGGAAAGTTGTAATTCTGACCCACGTCGCGATCGAACTGTGCCTGGCCACTCTCTGTCGGCGCGTAACTATTGCTCAGCTTCCCGGAAGTGGACAGAGCCGGAATCTTCTCCTCGTAGGGCGGATACTCTTTGGGGACGTTTCCCACGACGAATTGACGATTCGCCGAACCAGCCACGGATTGCCCGACCACGTAATCCGAGTTCTTAGGTTTCTCGTAATAGTTGGCCGTACTCGGCGCGTCGGCGTATCGATAATCCGTGTTCCTGTACTTCAAACCGGAAGCCGTGTTCTCTGGTCGATACATCGGCGACGAAGAACCGCCGAACCTTTGCTCGTATTTCTTGGTCGTCTGCGGCTCGTAACCCCCGTCGTAATGCTGGTACTGATAATAGTTGTTGTCGTAGTCCTTAATACCTGGATATTTGCTCTCGTCGGTGATCATACCCTGAAGAACCTTCGATAGGACCTCTTCTTCGCTCTGCCCGTAATTTCCGCCGTATTCGTCCAAATTGTACTTGTACTTGGGCTCGATCTCGTAGTTCCTTCGAGCTATCGTCCCTCCGAAAGGATACAGGAAGTAGGAGGCCAAACCTAGTCCAAGTCCGACCAAAGACATCATACCGAAGCTGGGCATCACTTCGCGGCTCAAGAAATTGTAGATCTGAGTACTGATCGGCTTCTGCACTGGCTTCTTCTTCGTCTTGGTCGAGTTGGCCACCAGCTTGGTTTCCGGCGCGATTTTCGATTCCTGTATTCCGTTCTCGACGATTGCCTCCTCGGCCATCAACTCCATTTCCGTCGAACTGGAGATCACGGATGGAACGGTGGTCGTGACCATAGGGGTGGACGGTTTCCGTCTTCGACTCTTGTTCTTCTTCCTCTTCGAACTGTGTCTGGGCCTCTTGGTACTCAACGTTGAGGTTGGGGTCGTGCTCGAAGTCGAACTATCCGTGTCCACGTTTATTTTCGTCAATTCGGGATTAAAATCGAACTTCAAGTCTATCTTCGAACTGTTCAGATTCTCCGTTTCCTTGTTCGTTTCCTCCTCCTTGGGATCCACCTTCTCGACTTTCTCGATCTTCAGAACGGGCGCATTTACTTTGATAGGTTCTATCTCGATCTTCGTATCGTCCAAAGGTTTCTTCAGCTGCGCCTTTAGAACGTTATTCTTCGTCGCAACAGGGTGTTTAATCTTAGCTGGTATCTCCACCAGGTCGCTGTTGAACGAAGTCGATTTCGAGGTTGTCGCGAAATACGTCGTGGAAGAAAGTGGAGGTTGTACGGTGGTCTTCTGGGTATCCATCAGAACCGAGGCTTTGATCTTCGTCACGAACATGGGCTTCTCCGTGCTCTCCAATTTGCTCTTCGGGATCGTGATCATTTGCACAGGCCTGAAAGTGACTTTTTCTATCTTAGCCGTCGAATTATTTTCGTTCTTCAAGTTATCTGGCTTAACAGTGGTTCTCCTGATCAAAGGCTTCGGTCTAGCCTGCTGGTTCGGCCTGGAAGTCTTCGTGATCGATGGTTTCGACAACAGAGTTGTTTTCGAAGTTGCGGTTTTCGGTTTGGGAGTCGTTCTAACGGTGTGAATCTTTTTGGTGGGACTAACCGAAGTATCTTTACTTTCGAAATTGTTTCCAGTGGTTTGAGAATACTTCGACGTAGTGTTCTGAGGGGATTCAGCTTTATCGATGCTCTGGGTCTTTTCTGAATTCGTCTCGGTCGTTTTCTTCGTCGTCAGGATGACTTTCTTCGTGCTGGCAGGCTCTTCTAACGTTGCCGTGGTGGAAACAGGCATCGTTATTCTTTCGATCACTCTTTCGGTCGTTTCCACTCGCTCCATCAGAGTCGTTGGCTTGATAGTGGTGCGCGTTTCAGTTTCCAAAGGTTGTTTCACTTTTTTCTCCGCCTCGGTTGTTTTTATCGTGGTGGACGGTGGATTTAAAAGGATCCACGTGGAAATACCACCGGTGGTCGTCGGGTGATTCTTATACGCAGTCATTAACCGTGTCGAGCTCATCTCTCTCTCGAGTTCCTCTTCGGTTATAGCCATGGCTTGACCAGGATGGCTGGTCTCGAAGTAGCCAAACTTCGAGTTTATGGGTCTGCCAAAGCTCATAGATTGGCCATTGTTAACGGTGATTTCTTTCATGGGCAAAACATCGTTTCTTTCAGCTAGTTTTTGACTATTGGACTTGTTGATTATGTTGTTGTCCAGGATCTTTCCCGTTTCTTCCGGGTTGGAGACATTGAGCAACTGGGTGGCAACTGTTCTCAACGACTGGTCGATGTACTGCAGGTCCTTTAAGTGACGTTGGGGATCGTTCGGCTGAGCACTGAAATAAAATTAATAAGTTAGTATAGTCTTTTACGGATAATAAGTGGTATTGATCGGAGCAGTCGACGCGCTGAGTTTGAAACCGGATTTTAAGATCAAATATATTCTAAAAAGGATAATTTATGTAATTGCATAAATTGTTTCGATCATGGTGCTTGGATGTGTATAGCAATGTTTTCTTACCTTTGCATATCTGTAAGATTTTGAGAAGAGTATTGATAATTTTCGATTTCGAGTGATTCTATTCTTTGCTAATTTCTACTTGGACAATAACTATTTCTGGATCGGGATCCATTGCTGAAATCCTTCGTCAAAACTACAATTTATTTTATTTGTTCTCTATTATCAGTTTCCGAATAGGACATTCTACCAAAGGCTTAGGATATTTGGGGAATCAAGGAACGCTAATTACCTTGAACTATACTGTCAAGTACAAACTGTAAATTTCATGGTTACATAAAAATAAGAATGCAAATTTATTCGTTTTAATGGTTTATTTCAATTACAATTTACTGGCACAAGTACTAGCAATGCCCTAGAATGACATAAAATTAAATTAAATAAAATTCCAATATTTTAAATAAATTCTGATATTAAGATAATTACAATGTGAATTCGTTCAACTTCACTAATACTGCTTTTTATATTTCTAATCTACTCCCCTATAATCGTTCATTTATAGTAATTAGTACCTATAGTTTTAAAGCTATTTCTGGCGAGGTTAAGATTTATTTTCTAAAGGCAACTTTATCCTCTCTTAAATACCTTACCGTTCCTAAATAAATAAAATCTAACAATATTATTTATTATATTTAAATAAATAGATCGCTTTGAAAAATCTAATATGTACATGGTCTACAGCCCCAGTTTACGTATATACAAGCGTATTAAAATCACCCAAACCGCTTCAAATCTTTCACAATTCTACGGATCGGAGTTCACAACGTCTCAAAAGAAGAATTTAAGCGTCACTCCTTACGAAAAAACCTTCGTCTTTTCCTCTTCTTCTTTCTACTTTTCCATTCGTTCAACCTTCCGTACTTATCTATCGACTGCCACACGACCTCCTCGATGCTCGGCCAGAAACCAACCGCGTCGTTGCCATTGGCACGATTAAAATTCAACGAACTGGGGAACGCCCAAGGGAACAGGAAGCTGAAGATCCCGAGGATCCCGGCTGCTAGAGCGGTGAACGGGGCAGCAGCCAGGCTGAAGAATCCATAATGTAACGGATTCACGAACGTGAAGTAAGTAAACACGGAGGCAATGGACTCCATGATACCGGTTGGAGAGAGATCAAAGTCGTCGTCGTCGTCTTCGTTAGAGGGCGAGACCGTAGACGAAGAGCCGTCGGTCAATCCCGTCGAAGGAGAATCGCTGGAAGAACTAGGATCGGAAACGCTGGTAGCATCATCTGATTGCACCGCAGAGTTCAAACCGAGAACATCGTTCGCCTGGATGGTTTCAGACTCTGCCTCGACTGGGGGACTTTCAAAAGTCACAGAATTCAAACTTTCATCCGGCAAAACAATTTCATCGAGATCCTCGACCGGAGCCTCGTCGAACAAGGAAACATCGTCCTCCTCAGTATTGGAAATACTGATCTGAGCGCCCTGAAACACTTGGACGCTATGAACTCCGTTTTCTTGAGGAACGCCGGTCTGTGGGTCTTTTTGGGGACTATAGTAACCGTTCTGAGGCCACTGAGACGTCCCGGAAGAACTCGACTGATCTATAGGATCGGACTGATGATGACTGGGGCCTGAATCAGCTTCTCCGTAAGTCTGGTAAACCTCGGGCGACGGAGTGGACTTGACCGTGTTCGTGTTGAACACGTGGGAATTTATGATGATGTTCAGATCGTTACAGCCTTCCTTGCTCTGAATCGTGTTGTTGATCCTTGTGTAGGAATTGATCAGAATGGTCGGGCACTTCTGGTCGTAGGTTACCAAAGGAGCCTGGGGTTCCTGATGCTCGGGTGTTTTGTTGGTGTAGGAAGTGAAGCCTATGTGGACGTTGGGTCCTGGCCTCGAGGTAGTCGTGAAAGGGGATAATTGTGAGAGAAAGAGGGGCGGAGAAAAAACAGGCTTGCCAGAATCTCCGGGCACTTTCGTCGCGATCATAGTCTTATTAGGCTTCCTCGGGTCGGTATTTATTAGGTGAACGACCGTATTCTGGGAGACCTGAGTTTGAGGATTATAAACAGTTTTGTTTTTTAACACGATGTTCCCTAACCAGCTGGACATTTTCTCCGTCGTGTAAGTCGGCGTTTGGGAATTGAACGGGTAAAGGAAAGCGGGGTTAAATGTCTGCAGGGTGCTCGGTCTGGCGGGTTTGTTTGGCTCCAAATTTTGGTAAACTGGGTCAAATACCACGCTAATTGGATCGTTGACCTGACCACTTTCCACTACGTGACTGCCATTCGTCATGAAAGCCGGGATCTTCAACCAGTGGACGATTTCCTGGAGATTGGGGCTCATGATAGGCACAAGATGATTAATATTGGTGTTCTCCGAGGAAACTGGTTTATCAAGGTTTGAATTATCGTTCAAGGAAGTGTACTTCTCGTAATTTTGATAGTCATCGACATTTTGAATAGCCCCGTTGGGCCAATTCTTCAGGTGCAAGTTTTCAGCAGATGCGTTCACTTTGCTAACGAGAATCTTGTTCGAAACGATCTTGTTACGATTGTTTTTCTTCTGGCCGCCGGAAGGCTGCCGAAATTTTGTTCTGTTCGAATGTTTAAGGTTCCAATGACGATTAGTGAAACTAGAACCGTGTGGAAAAGAAACGACCGACTGAACGTGATCGCGAAACTCGTGATTTGATTCGGACGGCAATTTGGCGACATTTTCGTTGGTCAACGAATCGGTGATCTTCTTGATGGCTGCAACGTGATCGAACTCTGTCGAAAATTCTACTCTTGGATCCACGAAATCTACTTTCGGATTATAGCCCAAGGCCAGCTCCGACCGTGAATTATTCAATTCGATTTCTGTCCTTCTATTTGATGCTTTGACGTGCACGTTGCCAGAATCTCTTAAGGAACCAACTGTTTTACGATTTTTTAAGTGCGGACTTCTCAAATTTGAGTAAACCGAATTGAATCTACGATGCAAATTCCTCGAAGAAGGAATCGTAAAACTATTGCTCGAGCTACCCGAATTTACCCTGGATACCAAAACCTTAGATTGACGACGAAACAGATTCCTAGATTTCGTTAAATTTTCGTTCGTAATCGTTCCTTCGTTGAAAATCTTCGAGATACGGTGACCACCGTCTCTGACAGATTCTCCTAATTTGTTCGCTACATGTTTATTGGCAGAATATTCGGAAATATTACTGTTGTCGGACGAATCTCTATCGTCAGAGAACGTACGCGAATTTCGAAACTTTTCAACGCTTACCTCAGCCTTTATAAAAGGATTACTATTATCATGATATTGATTAATGTACGGAATTCTACAATTTCCAGAATTCCACGTATACCTGCTATCTTCTCGGATATTTTTCGGGGTGCTGGAGACTTGAGCGGATTTCCGTTCCTCGGCGTTTACTTTCGTCGTCTGCGGTTGCAACGATTCTGAAAAATCGGATTTCATTTCTATTACAATGGCTCGAGAAAACAAATTTCTAAAAAAGCTTGATTCGAAAAAGAATGAATTTTAAATGAAACACCTATGAATAAACCATAGGGAGTTCACGCGTGAGTTTACCGACATTCGAACGATTAACGACCGATGGACAATTTGAACAGGAAACGTTATGCATGTAAACAGGAAGAACCATGCAAGCAGGATGAGAAAAGAAACTTTCGCGTTATGAAATTGAATTTTGTAACATTGAATTCACAATATGGAATCGATGCACGAATATCAGTCCCGCGGTCGTTCGATTAGAAAATTTGCATGGAGACTGTACGAATTACGTTTCGCCGTTAACGTGCAATCTGCTTGCGTATTGATTCGCGTAATGAGGTATTTCGTGTCGTGCTTTCCTCAGACACGGAACGTTCTTGATACGATGCATACGAAGAAGTACGAATCGACAGTAAACAGTTATTCCGGGAGAAAGATACAAGAGAAAAAGCATGAAATAGAGAAAACTGCGTGCGTTCAAAGGGAAATTAATATAAAAAATCGATGAATTTGTCGTGTTAGAATAATTTCTATATTTTAGTACGCTCGAAAGTAAATTGTATACCGCTTTGTCCGATTAAAGACTGGCTCATCTCTGACTATAGTCTTTTACGGAGCTCGACAACGTTCGAATTAACCGATATGCAACTGAATAAACACAGTTCTCTTCCAACGATTATTCAACGATCGAAGACATTTCCAACGAAGGACCGCCTCTTTCCTTTTCACTATTGCAATCGTTTCCGCGATGATACTTCCCTTCGAACGCTCGTTTTCTCAAGGATGCTTTAGGCTTTTTTTACGGCGGTTGTCGCGTTTTACGTCCGTGAGAAATCACGAATCTTACCGGTCTTCTGCGGTCTGGAGTCCCCCAATCCCGATAGAAGCAGAATCACCACGATTTTCACCAGCTTCGTCCGCATTTTGGTACTAAAACACAAAACAAAACGCTGGTTAGAAGGATAGTATTTCTTGAGAAGAGGTACGCCTTGATAGAAGCAATTTTACATGCCATCGAGCGAGTTTAAATATCGAGAAGCACGTGTCTCCGCGACCCACTGATCCGAACTCGATCTCGATCGAGGATTTAGATCGCTCGTCTTGTCAAGAATGGAATACCTGCGTGCGTCGAACATGGAAACTCGTCCGGTTTTTGTTAAAACGACTTCGACCTTCCAGCGAGAAAAATTCGCAAGGCCGTGGGTCTTGGTCCAAAAATTTCTTCCGCGACAAATAACAGGAAGAATGACGTAACCGTGAACGAGAATGGCTCGAGCGTCTTCGATATCAACGCGATACGAATGCTTTATCGTCGATTACGGTACGAAGGTCTCGATCGAGGCGATCGTTCGTATTCGATGCCACCCATATGCGCCGATAGTTTTGTCTGGCGACGCCGGTCGCATGGAAACGACAAAATTTGCGATCGTTTGTCGGGCCACGAAACGGCAGGGACGTCGAGAAAGATTGAGTTCGATCAAGCTAAATAAAAATGTTGATTGGGCTAAGGTATTATCCAACACCGTAAGAAAGAGTTCATGTTTTTTCTTCGCTGTGTCGTGTACACTTTCGTTGATATTTGTGTCCAGTAACGGTACCAAGTATCAGCCTTCTTAGGTCGTCATTTGCATGTAGACGCGCGTCGCGTCGTCCCGGGTGCATATCCTGTGCTACGAGGTCGGTCAGCGTGTCAGAAGACGTTGCATACTGCACAACGCCAATGTTATGACCGTATATCTACCGTTAGATCGTATTCAATATGTGTCGCATATGACAATTCGAGCAATCGTCCCTCTCGCAGACCATTCGTCACGGTATTTTATCGCGTTGGATAATTTTCAGTCCGATCAAACTATCGTCGTTTGGCCTACTGGCTTTCGAGGTCGCCTACGTTTTCGAAATTCCTGAATTTTTCAGCCCGTTCGGAGGCACCGTTGATGCGTACGACTAAATAATTCAAAGAAGAACGGAAGTAGACGATATGGACGAAGATTCGCACGGAGAACTCTATTTAAAAGGCAGATAGGAAAGAATAAAGTATGGCGGCGGTACCGGTAGATAGGAAACGATGAAGAAGTTGATAACATTCTCCTAACGTTTAGTCGAGTTTGTTCAATACTATTTAATAAAATTATTTATTTAACTCGCTACCTTAACAAATTCTTCAAGGTATTAAAAACTGTGGCAAACAAATGACGAGAGAGGAGCCCCCTTGGGTGGAGGAAAAACGCGCTTACGGAAATTAGAAGTGCAACTAATCGGTAACTTGTGCAGCTGCACGCCTAGCGCGTTTCATTTACCCTCTTTGTATTTCTCTTTTGAAGGAAGTTCTAACCGCCGCGTTTTCCTCGGTTCGGATATCCCTAGACCTACACAGAGTCTGAAAACGGTACAATCGGTTCTTCTTACCTGAACGATTTAAAGACCACGTTGAAGCCGCATTTAACCACCGACGAACACGCAATAAGTGACCGAATAAAAAAAATAAATAAATAAATAAATAAATATAGAGAATCGAGATTCAACGAAAAAACCGGAAAACTGCTCGGAAACGCGATTTCTGCGAACGCGAAGACGATATATGTACCCGAAGATCGAGTCGATTCGATCGATTCGTAGACGCGACACGACGAAACCGAAGAAACGTAAACTGGAACCCGGGAGTGTCGTCGAGCTGGACGATCTTTCGACAATGGTGCACGGCTGACTGAATCGTCGACGAGAAGGTTGGAGAAGGCTGGCCGCGTGCACGCAACTGGCCACCGGTTAATCTACGAAGGTGGAGGAGAGGCGCCTCATGCACGAGTCATCGGGAACCCGTTACTCCGTTGGATACGAACGAGATCCGCTCGGGTTGAATAACCTTCGCGCCAACAGCCCGAGCTTCAGTGTATGCTAAAGCGTATTCGTGACTACCTTGGCCGATCACCTCGGGAACTGGGTGAATCCGAACCCACCGACGCGACGTCGAGGATCGACTTCAAGGGGGCGTGCTACGGGTCGCCAGGAATGCTTCAATGATGTAACCACGCGTCGAACAACACTGTCCGTCCGCCATTTGGGAAACCGAAGCCTCCACCAGGTATATCTCATGGTTGAACAAGCGAAGAAGAAATATCTACCGATTTTATTGTCTCGAGGTAAAAGTAACAAATATTCTGGTACGCCCGTACACTAACACTAGACACGAACTAAACGTTTTAGAAAATCGAATCGACGACTATCAAACACGTTGATAGCGTTGTTGAGTGTCTCCTGAGTTTTCTAAAATCATCAGGAAGTTGTTGAAAACTTTCTCGAAGGAGCTCTCGAGTGTCTGTTCTCGTTTGGTGGAAACTGTAGCCCAAACGATGAATAAAATATCGGTTCGGCGAACGAATTCTGTTCCACAGATTTTAGTACCGAAAGATTATGGAAAAGAAACTCGCATAAATCGATTTATTTCGCGTTGTTGCGTGGTAAGAGCTGTTCAAAGTTTTCTGGCAATTATTCTTTATGGTAGATAAGAATTGATCTTCCTGCTCATTTTGAAATTAATTTCGGACGCACTTTATGCGATTTCACTTCGCCTGGCAATGTCAACGTCGTCGTTAATCGACGGGCCGAGAATAAACCTTGCGGAGAAACCTGTTCCAGATGACGGGAGAACGCGTGGAATCGGTCGATCGAAACGAAATCGTCGCAAGAAACTCGCGCGAACGTGACGAAGCGTGGGCGGGTAGGTACTTCCGGTATAAACTACCGCATTCACGCGTAACTGTCTCTTTTCCTGTTAAACGCGAAAAAAGCCCCCAATTTCTTCCGAAAATCGCTTTGTTCGAACAAATTAACAGGCAAACTCCGGTGAATTTTTATTCAAACGAAATCACGCGTTCAAACTTCTTTTCGACTGTTTGATATTACAAGCAAATGTGGCCAGGATTCGACGGTGTTTAAGGATAGAGTATAGACATATTTGTCAATCGCAAGGAGAGGACCGGAAGGTCGTTTAGATATACATGGTCGAGTGTGTATGAAAGGGTGAAAAGAGTCGACTCGAAGGAACCACCTCCCGGAAGATGTACGATATAATAGGAGAACGTGCTCACCGTCCCAGAATCGTAGACCGTCGTGGCTCTATGTGGGACATAGCGGCACTTCTTACGGCGTGGATACCTTTCCCATCTGTTGCCGAACGATGCCTATCGACGTTACTGTCGCTAGAACATTTCCATGCGTGTCTACGGGCTGGAAAGAAGGATACTAATTAAAGTGTTGTCTCTTCCGCGATGACGAGACAATCGTGAATCCGGTTGTTCGTGAGAAACCTTGTTAAAGTAACTCGCAAAGATTTGTAACAGGCCTACTGTACGCGCATTGTCGCCTTTGTACAAAACTAGGAACTAGTCTACCAACCCTTTACCAACGCGTTTCATAAATCGCCAGAATATTTTACAAACGTGAACGCAACTAAACTCGTAAATCAGCTGTTATGACATCTTTAAAGAGAAACAGAACCATTAGCAGCGTTCTATAAATTTATTGCAAGACAGTGAATAATCCGATGACGCATATATGCATGTCTAATGGAACAATGCGTTAAAATGGAACGTTTCGTACGCAATGAGTATTTTTCGGTCCGTAATCGCGATACGCGTTGTTGCGCGGAGGTATGCGGTATAGTCGGAACAACGACCGATTGATTATCCTCGCCATACTCGTCCGTAAACTGCACCATCGCGTTGTTTCTCGTCTCGTCCCCGCGATCCTACAATAATTGTTCTTCGCGGAGAAAGCTATCTCTTTCTTTAACAGTGAATTAACATCATTTTGTGTATTACATCCTACACCGCAAGATGAAACGAGACTCTGGATATAGACCATCGTCGATGATTCGAGACTGAACGATTCCCATGATAGTAATCCAACACGACGGGACTAGAAAATTATCAAGAAACGTTAAGTGCATCCGCGGAGATTCGTTATTACCGGTGCGACGAGCTAATGAAAGGTTTCGTGCACGAAAAAGAGCAAGAAAAACCATTCGTGATGTCGTTAACGAATCGAGATTTCTGGAACGTCAAACCATATTATTTATGATCTTATTTTTTATCCAGGAAATATGGTGGGAATAACAAATAATAGTCAACAGATATCCGGAGTTTGTCGCTGAATGTTCGCGCTCAATTACAGATAATGCAAAGCTCGTCCTAATTAGTAATTTGAAACCGTAGTACTATGTTGTACATACATTGCTCGGGAGTTGGGATCTCCGGACTACTATAGCGCGTAACACATACTCTTTTCGTAACGTTGCGTCATCGACGACCGTAAATAATTAAAAGCAATGCCCGCGTTTCGTTCAACGGGAGCGCTTCCGTGACAAGCACCGTTATCGATCAAAATGTTTTAATGGCGATCGAAAGCAATCGTCGATCGGTCGTCGGTCGATCTCTTAAATAAGTGGTTTGCATATTGCTCTGTTTTCAACGATAGAACTTAGCCGGTTTCTTACGATATTCAATAACAACGCCCAGGATTGGCTAATTAGAATCTTGAACTCGAAGCCTCGTCTGCCCGCGGCAACGAGAATTCTCGATTAGCGTTAACAGGATACGCACCCGGAGTACCATTCAACGATCGCGGTTCTTTTGCGATAGAACTCGATCCTTCGCGGCTAAATTAAACGCGAGCCACAAAACAAAAATACGATCAATTTTACTTCATCTGTAATCAGAGCTAATGGGATTTTAAATGTTTCCAGCGTAAATGCGCTCAAAGTTTCGTACACGCTTAATATGGTATATTTATAAATGGGAGAACAGACATTAGCATGTGCATCCGAATATAGGGTAAATGATTCACTGTTGCTTACAAAGTGTACGTATGTTTACTATCTATATTTTACGCTGTTGATTTCATCGATATAAAATGAAATAAGAAACAGCTTATCACGAAAATAGTGATTCGTCTTTCGACCAGTTTAGTCATGCATTAAAAAAGGAAGAAATGATCGTAATAGTTCGCCAAGTAACCAATCATTTCGCGGACACATAGCAAAGTAAACGTAACAGCGAGGTCATCGATCGGGAAGAGAACGAAAGTTTCGAGGAAGCGCGGTGCAGCAACGCCGAAGAAGGAAAAAGTGACATTGACTCCACGGAACGGTACTAATTGGCTCGATCGTGATAATTGATGAACGTGCATGTACGAACGAGACGCGGATACACGCCATCGCGACGCTCCGCGTTGGACCGCGCCGCGACGACCAATTATTAGATCGCATCGCGGCTGTAACGGCGTAATAAATTTAATTGCTGCTCCTTAATCCGTACGAGAAATATTACGACACGTGTAAGAAGCGTTTAAGCTTTCGAACAAATCTTGATTCGTGCAAGTACGAAATTCCATCCAGTTTAAGTATTTCATAAGCCGCTGTTACAAAATATACTCGATGATTAAGACAAATTTTTCTCACCGAACGATTAAGAACAACGTTAACTAACGAGCAAATTGTTTCATCGGAAGAAGGCGTTTTACCGCTCGCGAAAGTTCACGTTAATTATCGCGCAATTAATTATATCTCGCGTAAAAAAAAGAATGTTTGTAAACATCGCTCACGAACGTACTAGCTGTTCACCGACGATTTCCTCTATGAAATTCTGATTAGCTTGTCTTTATTCACCGTGACGTCTGCCTGAATTCCAACTCTAATGCAATTTTTACACTATGTTTAGCGTAATTTTATTATTTGTAAAATTATGAAACAACGAGAAACATTATCTTACATTATCGTACAGAAGCGTTTCTAAGTATCACAAATTAAGTTTCGTTTTTACTTTGCTTAACAGTCGAATGATTGTTTTCATCGACTTGATGCGTGGTCGCTATACTTGTCGTAAAAATCCCCATTATGATCGTTTCGGTTCGATCATTTAACTTTCTCTTCTCACAGCTTACGTTTCGATCGTTATCGTTTAAATTTCCATACGATGCTAATTGAAATTTCAATCTCTATAAAAGTTTCGGACAACTCACCCACTTCGAATCGTGACTGACCCCTATCTGTCCCCTCTATTCCTGTCTGGTAGCACCAAGGGAATGCGGATCGGCCTTGTTTCTTCCTATATTCCCGATTAGATCGGATGTTTCCACACGATCGAACGATAATAACTCGATTTTTCCGCGACACGTTTATCCTACGATCGACAATTTAACGAATCGTGGCGACATTACGCACTTTCCACCTCTGAAACATAAAGTTGTTCCTATTCAGAGCGAGTCGGTGAAAAGATTCCAGTTGAAATAAACCATTGGTTACGAGGGAAAAATAAAATGACACAGGTCAATGGCAATCATGTTTTCTAAATGACTCATCTGCGCGTCAAATCAATTTTTCCAAGCTTCCCCAAGACTAATGCCACTTCTTCCAACTACAAATAAATAAGCGATATTCAAAGCTTTCTATTCTACGACTTATCGGTCCATGAGCAATAAAACTAGTTGCGTGGACTGCATTAGGCGCTATCGATGTAGGTTTTCATTTTTACAATCTCGATAGGTCTGCTTCCAGCATCGAGGATCATGAATCGTATGCAAACTGTTGCATGCAAAGTATTCTAAATGTTCAATTGCTATTAAACGCAACGGGGACAAGAGTTTCTAACTACAGAAATTCAGGTGAACGCGTGCCATCGTCGTTTTCGAAATATCAACCACAAGACTTCTACGAATTATTACCATAAATTGTTACCACCTTTCTTAAATACCATACGCACTTTCGAAAACCCGTAGAATGTTGAGAAAATGGAACGTTATATTTTTGAAAATAAACATTGAAAAGTAATCGAATGAACACCTCACCTTTAAAATCTTTCACGCTGATTCGTCGTGTACGACATATTTCTTCTTTCCTTTCCTCTGTCGGTGACGATGCAAGAAATAAAGTACAGCGATTGACACAAAAACGGACGCGATCTGTAATCGTCGATCGAAACGATCGGTCTCTAAACTCCCGAAAAACTCGATGCACACGATTTTCTTCTTCTCGGTACTCGCTTTCGGTATTTATCTTAAATATAGTTTACTGTACGTTGCCCGGTTTTGCGCCTTGAAAGATGTTGCGCTCCAGTTTTCTCAAATGCAATTTATTTGCAAATTTTATACTCGTCGCAAACTTCTTTCGCGGCTTTCCACGCACCTTCCTCCTAGCTTTATATTCGCGCGTTCATGTTTTACCTCGTTTTGCAACCAGTGTCTTCTTCCTTCGTCTCTTTGGCAGACAATAAACATCTGTTATGAATTTCGTTTGACAGAACAAACTATTTCATTTCATCCTCGCAATTTCTTTTCTACAAGCATCTTATTAGTTCTTTCGCCTTGTCGGACAGAATTATAGTCGTTAAAATATATCATTAGAATGTCTCGTAATCTCTTTAAGCGTTTCATCTTGTTTTTCGCTTCTTGAGACGGGATTTTTGTACACCGAGAATTCTTTGCTAATTCCCTACCTTGTGTCTCCCTCGTGAGTAGTTTCTTTGCAAATTTGTATCCAAACTTCCTGCGCTCTTCTTCGTTCCCCGAAACAAAGTGTTCTCGATCGAACACTCGCAGCCCTCGTTTCACGGCTCATGAACCCCGGGGGGACAGTCTGCTAACGTCGGGTTCTCCCTTTTTGCCAATGCTCGTTCTCTTCTGCTTTCACCAGCAGATTCGTCTTCCAGAGTCGCTTTTACTCTTCGCCGACTTGGCTTGTCGTCTTCGTTTCCCCTTCACCTCCGACGCTCCTAATCTTTTCCCCCGACGTAATTATGACCATCTAATCGTTACGGATCAGAGATTCAATTTCCTCCCGCTGAGTCCAATTCCTCGTCAACGGATCGCTACCTCTTAATTGCTTTCTCAATCGGGACTCCCTGTCGACCCGAACTCTCAAACACATTATTATCCTTTCCGAACGATAAACCTCCTCTACCCTAGTCGCTTGCATTTCCAATCGAAGATACTAATTGGACCGGCAATAAATACGTGTTCTGTTTCATTGCATGCAATCGAGATACTTTGCATGTTCGACGGCAGATTACAATTCGTGCTCCAATAAGATCGCAGGAAATGTTCAATTTCAGGTTCTTCGCCGTTTAGATTTCTTTAGCGCTTATATCCTATTTTTCAATTCTTCGAGCCTTTTGCAGAATCTTCTAGTTCCCCATCGAACGATCGTAACCCCGCCGTCTCCACGAGAATTTCAAAAGGTTCTTCGAACACTTTGGGTGAATCCTTTCGTAACAACCTCCTCCAATCTTACTATCATATTTTCTTCCCTGTCTTTCGATTATTCGTCTAACGACACCTTGCTTCAGCAAAAATCTTCCAACGAATCCAACACGCCCTTCGTTCGAACGATTCGACGATCTCTTCTTTCTCTCCGATCTCGCAATTGCCAGGAACCCTTGTTGATGCCTGCAGAGTGTCGAAATTGCACTGAGCTTGGATGGTGATCCACCGCCCCCGATGTAGCTTCTCCTTTCCTGCGTCGTAGTCGAGCTACTTAATAGTGGGGACTCGGATATCCCTTCTTTTGCGGGAACCAACTCACGCGGACCTCTATTCGTGTCCTTGCTGTACGCGATCGTGATATCTTCGTCGCCGAGACCTTATTCTCCCTACTGGTTGACTGTATTCTTTCACCTCCTTCTTACTGTTTCTTCTTCTTCTGGTTCTTCTCCTTCTTCTTGCCGCACGTTGTTCCCACGATTCTCTCGTTTAACCGGTAACACCATTCTCGCGAATAATACCGCTCCTCGAAAGTAGAGATTCGTGTCGGTGTTTTCGTCCTCCGCGCGATCTAGCATGTCGTGAAACACCTCGACGTCCGTCCTTTTTTGGCGGTTGCTGAACTTTGTACCGTTTCGGTCATGATTCTGACGCCGTTTCCGATTCTCGACAAATTACACCAGTCCAGAGGCTATTTTTAACCCCTCCTCGAATTCTGGCCGAACATTTACAGTGGGTAACGAAAGTAAACATCACGATGCGTAACGGTAAAATTCGGTACATGCCACCTATGATAGAACAGACTCGTAACAATGGAACCACCCCCCTCCCCCTCCAGTCTCAGTGCTCGTTATAGACTTGTTCTATTTAGTTTTCCCAAATTATTATTCAAGGAGGGGCGAAGACGAAAGTTTGACAAACTAAGAAAAGATGATCGCAATCAGAATGAAAGACGTGGATAAATCGGTAACTGTATCATTCTTAGCCAGCAAAGGAAAAGTTGCTTTTAGAAAACTGTATCGCCGATGTATTCTATCTGTTCCTCTCTCTTTTATTGCTTGCTTCTGTATCCGGTGGTAACGTCGATCGTACGATATCGATATCAAATAAAATGCAACCGCGAAGCAGAGACTTCGAATCAAAAATAAATGATCGCGACAAATTGTTGCTTTACTTTACCCCCTGTAACACGTTTCATTTGACAAAAAAAGAATCGATTTAATTTGTCGATCGAGCGAGTTCAACGCTTGGATAAAAGAAACAATAACGACGATAACTTAATAACTTTTTAATACATCACGACTATTTGTTTTAACTGGTAATGAATAATGAAATACTATTTAATTACAGGGTCTTGTTCCGCTCAAAATTGTGTAAATTGCAAAATTTTGATCCGGATCAATTTTCAAACTTGAATGATACGTGGATACATAATCGATGCCCGCGTAATTAAAGAGTACACCCGCGAATAATAAAACAAGAATTTATGTCTTCGACGCACGATACTTTTCAATATCAAAACATGCCGTTGTAATATCGCTCCTCGACCACGGTTATTTTCTTCCAACAATTAACACTGGCAATTTAATAAATTCCGCTTTTCGATCCGCGAACTACGAAGCGTACATATCAATTATAAATTTTGTTTACCAATTATTATTACTTTGCTTGCGCGTGACGTAATTATTGCGAACTTTATCCACAACTGGCACTGTAATCTGCAATTTTCGTGTCGGACCGCTAATTCTCTAATGACAGAACGTGCGTTCAACACACAAATCATTTACGATGATCTGATAACTAGCACCGCGAACGTTAACCTCCTGTAAACTTCAACGGAACAGCTTTCAAGGAAATCACTCTGGCCGTAAGAGCAAGATCTTTGTAAAAAGTACGATTAGCGAACCGCGTACACGCGTACGCCGAGTCTATAATTAAGGAAACAATTATTATTGCGGTACATTTGCACGTGCGTAGCCCAGTTTCGACTTCCACACAGACGTCCCGTAGCGTAACAACGCCGACGCATCGAACACACGATGTGGAAACTTGGTTTTTTATAATAATCGTGTCGCACTTAAACGACTGCTTCAATGCAAATCAAATTTTTCGGCGAAAAAAAAAAATTTCAAACCGTTCAAATTAAATTTTGAAGTTTAAAGTTTAAAGCTTAAAATTAAAAATTTAAGATTAAAGTAAAATTAAATTAAATTAAATTAAATTAAATTAAATTTCAGCGCCTATCCCCTGTCCTGACAACTCTCCTCTCCTCTCTATTTCGGTGTAAAACCCAACGTTATCAAACGAGAATAGATCAAGCCTGCAGCACTATCAGTTGCGAGAATTATATCTAATTGTTGGGACCGTTGAAATTTGAAAGTGATCGAATTGGATCTAATTGCTATAATTATACTACATTATACGAGGAAGATTGCAGCCATTAGCTCATATTATTTGCTATGTAATTAATGATTATATTATACAGTAACAAGCGATAAATTTAATTACATACTAAATAATAATGACCCAGGTCTCACCACGTGGAGGTTGCTGCGAATGGAGACCCACCCTATCCTCACCCCAACCACCCTCCTTTGATGAGGAATCCTAACACCTTTGGATACTTTTTCCTTCGAAAAAAGCAACAAACAAACAACTAAGGGAGAATTCTCAGAAGAACTGCCCGATAAAGAGATAAAAAATCTAACAAAATGTTGATGCATGCGAGATGATCCCACCACATGTTTTCTACGAACGAAATAGAGATGGCAACTGCACATACGAACCATGACTATTGGAATACCAATATGTAGTTTAATATTAATCATTCCTACTGAAATCTACGTTTATGTTTCAGTAGTACCTAATAAGACACTGCAGTGTTTAACTTATAATCTAGATACATTATAATCTAGGTAACTCGGCACTAACATGAGAAACCAAGTATCATAGCGATGTAAGTAAAATAAAAACTAAATAATTGAACTATACAAAGTGAAGCTCAATCGAAGATAATGAAAGAAATACAAGAAAGCTGAGTTTTTTTTCTAAGTATGCTATACTTGACATACACCGCTATAATTCTTAGCTCCTTTTACAACTTGACTACACATTTATACTTAATTCTAACGCAATCTGTAGAAACATGGAAAAATAAATATAATAAATATGAAAAGATATTTTCTTCTTAGTGTTTTTGCTAATCTCACGATGTTTTCCTGAAACATAAACTCAGACAATAAATAGAATTGCATGAACTAGATATTTCCCTAAAAACGATCAAGTTTGAATCCATTTACCATTACCAATTCCATTCTTCAATGCTTCTATACTCTGTAAAAGGAACTTGTACAAAGGATTAGTAGCTGAAATGAAAATATATTAGTGGACACAGAAAAAAATAATTATGTATCGTCAAGATTAGACAGTGTTGAGATAAATACCGAATAGATTTTAAATGTTATCCATTCGTTACTGTAAGTTTTATTTTTCGTTCTGTTTTTCAAATCAAATTGATGATAGCAAAATTGAACAATTAAAGAATTTTCTTTATATTAAATGCGTGAATTAAGACATATATATTGAAATAATTATATTTAACTGCATTGAAAGCTAAGTTTGGTTCGTACGCTAATTTATAATACAAAAATTCCAAGCGCGATTTATAAGAATAAAAGCAACCGCGAATGGTGATTATTCGCGACACTACCCTGAAAAGCAAACGCGAAAAATAGTAATTCGCAACGCTAAGAGCAAACCGATCGGTGCATTCGCAACACTATTCTTAAATAACAATAAAAGCAATCGCGTATGGAATTCGCAACGCTACCCTGAAAAGGAAACGCGAAAAATTGTAATTCGTAACTCTAGAAGCAAACGCGATTATTGTATATTCTTCGCGACTCTATCTTTAATGAAAATATTATATTTATATCTCGCAACGCTAATGCAAATCGCGTTGCCCAAAAATGCTGGATCAGATGCTGGCGTCTTCAGTTGTAGATACAAATGTACATACATGAAATAAACTAACTACATCAAGCTACTTCAAACTACAAGAGTGGCACACATGGGGATGAAGTTAGACGTTTTAAATATCGCAACACTACGGGGCAAACAACGCGATAAATCAACAATCGCAACGCTAATTTATAATAGAACAATTCCAAACGCGACTTGTAACAATAAAAGCTATCGCGAATGGTAATTATTCGCGTCACTACCCTGAAAAGCAAACGCGAAAAATAGTAATTCGCTACTCTAACAGCAATCGCGTTTACTAATAATTCGAAACGCTATTTTTAAAGCAAACGCCCGGTTCCTAGGTTTGCATAAAGACAACCGCGAATCGTATTTATTCGCAACACTAATACATCAACGCGATAATTATTTGTTCGCAACTCTACGAGCAAACGCGAACATTGTATATTATTCGCAACTCTAACTTTAATCAGGGATTAATCGTACATGTAAATGCACATGTACTGGCCACTGAATGAACTAACTACTTCTATTATTACAGTTAGGGTAGAATTTGGGCATTGAAAATATCGCAACGCTAAAGAAAAAATCGCACGAGAAATCAAGATCGCAACGCTAATTTATAGTATGAAAATTGCAAACGCGGTTGATGTCCATTATATGTATAAAAGAGTAAAAATGCTACGCGAATCGTGACTGTTCGCAACACTACCCTGAAAAGTAAACGCGAAAAATAATAATTCGCAACTCTACGAGCAACCGCGTTTATTAATAATTCGCAACGCTATTTTTAAAGCAAACTCCCGGTACCTAAGTTTGCATAAAGACAATCGCGAATCGTGTCTGGTCGCAACACTACCCTGAAAAAGCAACGCGAAAAATAACAGTTCGCAACTCTAAGAACAGACGCGATTATTGCACATTCGCAACTCTATGTATGTTAAAACCGCGAGTTGCCTTGGTGGCTGGCACGTATGGTACAATCATGTACAACATAGATGCATGTATGAGCCATCCACAGGAACACAGGGAAGGGATGGCTGGCACGTATGGTGCAATCATGCACAAAGTACATGCATACGTGAGCCAGCCAAAAAAAACAAACTAACTACAAAACTACAGGCAAGTAAAGTGACATGATAGTAACTGGAATGACTCTCCATCCTCATCCGAAGATGAAGATGAAGAGCCATTTGTTGCAGCCCGCTCTTGAGACAGTTTGTCAGGGCCTCTTCGACTCATTGAGCCTTTTCTTTCTTCGGCGGTCCTGCCAAAGTCTGAAACTTACGTAAGACTGGGCTCGAGATTTTGTGCAATACGTAGTCTTCCAACAATGCACGAATTGTTGGAAGAGCGTACGTAGTGAATCTCGAGGGGGACGAGCGTTTCGTAAGGGATCTAACCACGACCGCGAACGCGAGAGAGCGACTTTAAGAGTCCCGCGATTCGAGGAGTCGAAAATAAAGCTAAAACAAACAGCGTAGACTGTTTGAATCAGGAAGATTTCTACTCTTCAAATCGTAACTACAGGTACAGAACTGCCACGCGAAAACGCGCCTACCCGAGTGACTAATGTGGACAGTCCTGCCCTGGCCCTACCTACTTAAATTTAGCACACATACCAAAAAGGAAGTTACCTACCTACCTAACCCTATATTTAAAAAATAGCAAAACTCATTCTCGCAAACATACACTCCACGGTTCTCAATCACTATGTCCGGGCGCGACCTAAACTAGAGAGGATTCCCCGGGGTTCCTCCGACACCCGGACACAACTAACTCCATTCATACTCTAAATGTACATACCAAATTCTGAAATCGTCTGACACCGACTAGCGACCATTGCGTATTTATATTATAGATTTTGATATAATATAAAATCTTTATATAATTTAATATAATACAAAGTCATTCATCGAGGATATTGTATTTATTACTTTATTCTAGTATGAATTACTAGAATTATCGTGTATGGAAACGAATACATAAACAGCAAAATCAATAATTAATTTGATAAATTGGTAAATAAAAATTGAATGTTGCAGTTAATAGAAATATAGCGAATTCTAGTGAATTGTTTAAACGATGCAATCCCACAACTTAACCACAAACACACACATGTGGAAATTACATCGTGCACGATGCACTAGCGCAATGTCAGACGCACGCATATAGATTATTATTGTAAATTGTTATAAACAAGGTCATCGTACCCGTTGCATTCGCTCATGCAAATAGCACCTGGGCATGTGCATGAACTCAGGCAACGAACACGGAAAAGTATCCTGAAAATCCTGACTAGAAAAATTAATTAAATGTAACTAACCGGTATTTCTGGTTTAATTCTTAGTTAAAACGACTCGATTTTTCATGTATTTAATATATCAAGAATAAAATACATTAATATTGAAAAATATTATTATTAAAGAAAATTATTATGAAGTTAATTTAATTATTTGAAACGAAAGACTTTAATTGAGATTTCGTAATAAAATAATTTGCTTTAAAAATTGGAAATACATTATTGAAATAAATTTATTAAACTGGTATTTGAAATATTTAGTTATCCTTGGTCGACTCTGTCGTCAAAGTAAATTTTTCAAAAGATGAAACTAATATACAATGCATGCTACTTTGACTCAAAAGTCGACCAGTCGCGAAATGCCTTCTTGCACGTAAAATACATCGTATGATGTATTAATTAAGGAAATGATCGATATTTAATTATTATATTAATGTTTTCACATTATATTAATTCATATTCTATTCAATCATACAATGGATATAAAGTTAATAGAAATATTTCATATATTTTCTAAAAAAATATTTATTATATTGTAAAATATTTATTTGTAACGTTAAAAAACGCGAGTGCAAGAAGACCCTAGCCTGCGCTAAAGAAATATAACAATAGATGTTACTAGGCGCGGGTATGAAAAATACCCGCGGTCACTAAACTTGCCAAAAATACTAAGTATACAACTGGTCACCCGTGTTGATTCGGATCTTTCATCCTACAACATGATTGGGGACCAGAGGAACACAAACAACATGCGACTCACCAATGATGAACTTCATGAGATGTTCATCAAGGAAGTTATCAAGGAAGTCATCAGTCATCAGTCAGCCTGGTCCTGCTGGTATTCAGGATCAAGTCCAGGAACTGTAAAAAGACTACAAGGAAACAATTATAATCTATCGTTAAAATTATAGAGACTTTTAATTAAAAATTCAAAGTACAAATTTATACTTACATTGTTTGCTTGTGGAGCATCACCCAATAGTCCTCTTCGGTGATGCACTGACGCTAATCCCGGTAATGGAGAGTTTTAATTTCAATGAGAAAAAGTAGTCAAGTTCATTAAGAGATATTAAATTAGATTATCACGACCAAAGATTTAAATCGGCGAACAAATGACTCTATATATAATTTAAAATTATGTAAAAAGCACTGACTCTACTCTCGCGTTTGCCTAACATCTAATTGACTACTTACTGGGGTCACTATGCCCCAAAAAACAAACTGTTACTACGCACAACCACTGAAGCTACTGGTCGCATTGCGCGCAACCAACAAATATCCTAGAAAGAAAATTGGGAAAGGACACAAAAAATATACAAGAAGCACATCTGTGCTTATCTATTCCTTTTTCTTCTTTCATTTGTAACTCTTAATGGAAATACAGTTGTTTGTCTAGAATGATAGATGTAGTTCTTTCTTATTGAATTAAATCAGAAAGATAAAAAGTTAAATTTTCATAAATTTGAATGATAAAATATTACTAATGAAGGTAATTATAAATATATATTATCGCCATCAAAATGCAATAAAATACGACAATTAATTCCCATTTAATTTGCCACTTAATTGAAATCGATAATAAAGCAAATTAAAAAATTATCTATTATTTAATCTCGATTATTTAATCTCGATTATTTAATCTCAACACTGATATAATGCTTCCGACAAAAATATATAAATGTTTTTTATTATAATAATATACGTATATAAGTTTTACCAATCCTTCCTTATTAGACCATTTGAAATTGGCGCGATTTCAATGTGTCCGAGTGTAATGGCCTCGATTACGTGCTGCTGGTCAGACACTCCAACAGAAATAAAATACAAATTAAAATCAAACGCACTGCACTAAACATACCTAATCACAATTAAAGAATAATTGAATTTGAAATAATATGTACGAGATATGTCATTTCGTGTAGAGAGATATAATGAATCGACGCCGGTTAGACATTGAAGAAAACGCGCGAAACCCGATTCAGTTTTGTTATAATTTCGACTGAATTGGTAGTCAAAATGTATTAATATTAAACGAAGGCACTGTTAGAGCGTAATGGAGAGTAATAGTGGTGATTAGAAGCGTTTAGATATCAATAGCTAAAACGTACATACCTTATTAGTCTGGAGACTGACGATACGTCCGCTCGCGCGAAAATTCACAGAACTAATGAAGGCGACCTTGGACTTGTCACATTAGCAGCACTGTCGCTAAGTAGCATGCCGGTAACTTCCCTTGTACTCGAATTCCAATCAGAGACTGCAGCAGAAATAAACAAATTAAAATCAAATGCACTGCACTAAACATACCTAAACACAATTAAAGAATAATTGAATTTGAAATAATATGTACGAGATATGTAATTTCGTGTAGAGAGATGTAATGAATCAACGCCGGTTAGATATCGAAGAAAATGCACGAAACCCGATTCAGTTTTGTCATAATTCCGACTCAATTGATAGTCAAAATGTATTAATATTAAACAAAGACACCGTTAGAGTGTAATAGAGAGTAATAATGGTGATTAGAAGCGTTTAGATATCAATAGGTAAAGCGTATATACCGTATTAGCTAGGGACAGACGATACGTCCGCCCGCGCGAAAATCCACAGAACTAATGAAGGCGACCTTGGACTTGTCGCATTAACAGCGCTGTTGCTAGGCAGCGTGCCGGTGCCTCGAGAAAACTGCTTCCCACCAACTTACATATGCTAATGCGTAAACACCTCGATCGAGCCTTGAAGTTTATTTCGCAGAGAAGATTAAGGCTCAGCATTGTTGATACTTGTAATCGAGGATACCCTAGGTCGAAACCACGGTCGTAAAAGAAATACAATAAAGAATCGAGGCCAACACTTCATTTACCAATGATTTATTACCTTTACACTTTTACGATGTCACTCTGCGAAACAACCGTTTTTCGACAGATTGGATTGTTTCTCTTGAAGAGTAGATATTTAACTTTATTATAGATTATCGATCCAATGAACAAATTTTAGCAAACACACTTCCAAGTACACGTATAAACGATGAAGTTACGTCGTTCGTATTGGAATGAAATAAAAAAATATAGTAATTACAATTCAAAATTAACATTTACGAATGGTTATAACTGTATATTTTCCTCAAATTAGCTCTGAAAAGTTTAACGGAAATACTCAGTTTCCTAGGGAACTAGTTCATTGTGGAATCAGTCAGCAGACACTCTTGTCATTTCACTTTTTGACAACTATACGGTGGATATTGCCGTCGGAAATGTCTGTTCTTCAATTGCGAGTAATGACCATTCAAACGAACAATATCGTCTTTCAAATTGCTTGAACGGATTAAGAAAATATGTGAATCAAAGTACTGCAAACTAAACAGTATTAAACAATAGTAACATATATTTGATATTCTTTAATTAAATAGAATTTAAACAACATTCACGGATAACAAATAATACTGACATTCGCTTACCTGTAAAGAAAAACATTTACATTAAAATTATTAGCAGAAAACCGTGACTATCGTATATACTGTGACGCGTAGAGCTCTGTTTTGTATGTACAATTACAAAGAAATTGTAAAACGAATGTAGCAAAAACATTGAAGCAGTTTTATGAACTATTAATCGTTAAATAATGATGGAATTTCTAAAAATTTAGGAAAATCTCGTTCAGATCTACAACCGTGTAGTAATAGTGTCGCTGACGTCAAAGTATTAATGTCTTATTAGTTTTACACAAATTTAACAGAGCATTTGGTAGTATTGGCAATTAGGAATTACTTCATTATTATTTTATTACATAATAACGATGATATTAAACATGTATTTACTTTATTATGAAGCAACACGCAACCAGTATGCGCGACAGTCATTTCTCTTTTCCTCGAAAACAAAATCTCACTTCTCAGTGCCTTAATTTCATTTATTTACACGCAAATATATTATATGTATACGTATATATTTTTATATATTATGTATATATCACTGTTATATTGCTATAACCCTTGAGATTTACACGTACAAGCTACGCACCCTTAAAATCGTCGTTCTCGCGAAACTGGACCGAAATATCCGAGTCCATCGTTCTCGTTCACCCTTGTTCTCGTTTCTTCTTTGTGTAACAATATCGTGTTAACAATGTAAAACGGGTTAATTGCAATCCCAACAACGCTTTATCTCAGAGTATTCGTCGAATATTTGTTATCATTTAATCGCATTAAAATCGACAAAATTAAAAGTACTGAAAACTACAAGTTGCATACAAGTAAAACCAAACACAATCAAGGCAAAATAAAGCTCGATACGCGGCAAAATTCGATAATAAAAATTTATCAGACCTTTTATCGCTTGAAAGTCGTTGGAACGTTCGACAAAAAATTTACAACAAAGCCGTCTGTGGTAACTTAAATATTCGAATTTATAATTTACAAGTTACTCATTAGAAATACCGAAAACATTGTTTCTGAGATTAAACACATTTCAAGTTGAAACCGATATAAACCTAGTCGTTTAGATGCGACGCAGCAACGAACAGACCTTGATAATACTGCTTGATACTTCCTATTCCCAAACAAATTTACCTGTCTATCCTATCTGTTGAGCGATAAATCGTTGAATCTTCGTTCGACGTATGCAAGTTTACAATCGTGTATGATCTCTCCGATTAGACTTAAAATTACAATGACGATTTTTTCTCCTAAATAAAGAGGAAATTCTAATGACTTCTCGTACACGCTTTCCTCTCAAGAGAAAATTACCGTCGACCTTTCGTTCGAAAGGAATAAAAATTCGGTTAAAAATCGCTTTACGAACATTTCAAGTTTTGTACCTAACTAATATTCCATGAAATTAATCGATTCCGTGTATAAAAGAGGGCATCGAACTAGTTCGCTGAAGACATAAATCTTGGATTTTTCAAAGCGAGTTTTCAATATTAATAGAGCGAAGTTACAAACACGTCCAACCGCTTCGTTTATTTATTATTTACATCTACAGGTTGTACCTTAATACGAGGCAAGTACTACAAAGATTCATATACAAGCTAGAAACTATCAAACAAATTCACAGAAATCCTATATCCCAAAAGTAATATGAATTATGCTATGCAAAAATTCAGTACGTGTATAAAAACCTCCGTAAAGCTGGTAAAACTGAAGTAATTATAAAGAAATCCAATGCGGTGCTTAAGAAAGTTTTTGCAAAATTAACATAAAAAAAGACTAACATGAAAACAATGTCGTATGGAATATATATTTACATGAACATTTATTATGGTTTCAGGATCTGAATCCATCCCTACAGTACTTGCCACATATTTAAAAACACTGTATAATAAAATCCAAACGCTGTCCCTTTCTAATGAAACTGTGAACCGTACAGTTTCACCTGAACGATGTTCAAGGCAAAACGTACTAGTTCCTTGATCAGCAAAGCTTAAAAGATACAATTTGTTTTTAATGAAAAATTATTCATGAAATTGGTGATCCAATCATCTGCTTCCTTCCTTAGTGAACCACGACCTAAGTATAGAGTCACCAATCATCGTCGTCATTATACTGAAATGATTAAACTAACGGAACTCTCACCGCTGTCACAAGCTTCGTGGACTTTTTCTTAAAGTATGAATAAGCTTATTCGAGTGTCTGTGTATTACATAAAAAAGATTTATTACAAAAAAAGTAAAAGGCGCAGAGCGAATCCGCTCGTATAAATGCAGACTTTGGAGAAGAAAAATTTCTCAAAAAGGAAAACCCAACGGGACTTCACTTTCCGTACGAATATTCCAAAACATAGACGATGAAAGAACTTCGTCATAGTATATATGATTTCCTCATTATGCATATACATACAGTAGAAATCCGTATGAACGTCATTTTATGCATGGCATCTCGAAAACGTTCATGGGTTCTGCGGTTCGGTACAAAATATTTACTATATATACAAATTACTCTCTCTCTCTCTCTCGCTCTCTTTCCCGTTTTCTCTCTTTCCCATCCCCTCTCCCTCTCCCTTTCTCTGTCTCTCTCATGCGCTGTCTGTCCTTTACAGATATATCAAACAAGAGGTTCCATTTCTGCGGCCCCGCCGATATAACGTAAACTTAACTTTCCGTATACTAATCAATATCATGTACATGTGTAATTAGATCTCTAGACAACATAAGGTGATGATATGCAAAAGCTTTCATGTAAGTGCTCTAAGCAGCCCGTCTGATCAATCTGTATGTACTATAATTAATGAAGTGTATCAGTCTTGAGCCACTTCCATAAAAGCTTTCCACTTTTGTGATCAAGTCTTATCTGTCCTGTATGTTTCTTTGTTTGTCTGTCTGTATTTTTGTGTAATTGTGTGTGTATATATGCGCGCGCGTGCACGCGTGCTCTAAGTTATCATATTAATAATAGTGTCTTGGCACATTTCTCCTAACATGTAAATATCATATTTATATTCATGTACGTATATATACGTGTAGTGTAGCTGCTGAGTTTGTTACGCATGCTCGTTAATGTGTGTGGGTGTGTATTCGTGGAGGGGGAGAGAGTGTGTATATTTACTACAGACGCTGTATGATATCTGGGTTTATGCTATTACCAACGGTTCATCATCAGAAAAGCCTCGGATAACAGGGCTATCTTCTTCTTCTGCAAAGAGATAACACAATATTAAGTAATTGTTTTAACGTTTGCAAAACGTCAGCAACTTGCTAAACTTAAACGCGACATTCCTCCGGAAGCTATGAATACTGACACCAACACCGGCCGAGAAACCCTCAAATCTCGAATAATCCTCTCGCTTTTCTATTTAAACAAAACTCAAATATCAAATAAACCAACCTAGACCATCTGTAGTTCCTGGGAAAGTTGCTTGCCCGCGTCTAGTATCATAGTGACTATTGGCAAACTGCGTGAAAGTATTAGACAATCTTCTATGTCTTACGACGAAATAAGCCAACGCAGACCCAAGAGCCAAAATAAGCAAACAGATCGGTATTGCAAACGACAAGATGTTCGATGTGTTCATCGTTACTGGCATCGATGTTTCTGAAAGGATCAATTGTCATCGTTTATGATGAAAATTCTATAAATTATACCTATATAAGTTTTAATTTTAAAACTCAAACTAACGTGACGTATACAATGAGATAATTACCTGCAGTGTTCCTGGTGCTCAAAATCTCGCTCAAGACACTTCGATAACCTTCATCGGTGACCAAACGAACAGCAATTGTATAAATTACACCTGGCTTAACGCCCTTAAAAATGTACGGTGGCTGATTGCTTTTGTACATAGTAGAAATCGATTCATTCATCGTGCGCGATTCTTCAACCACCAGAATCTCATAATGATAGTTTTCGTTTTTCAGGCTTTCCGGTAGATCATGCTCTTGCCAAAAGATAACATAATCCTGATCTTTGTGTATAACCGTCAATTGATGAGGTGGCGGGATTGGCGGGGCTGTATAGATGTATGGCTGACTTGGTATAGCGTTATCAACATACGTTGATACGACGATTCGATATTTTCCGCCATGCTTTATCGAGTTAAACGTGTGCTTCATTATCGTTTCGTTCGTTGGTGGCAAAGTGACAGCAAAATGTTTGTTCAATACCATCTCTATCACGGTAATCTAGAATCAAGGCAATACACCTACAGTAAACACCTTCTACAGATCTATTTTTATTTGTAAAAGTTAACCCAGTTTAATCTAGGGTAATTTATGATTAATAAAATCCGGTTTAAACTAAATTTAAAAATCTGTATTTCATTTAAATCAGCCCAATCGAATATCCTCTAAACTGTTCATAAAACTACAAAATGTTTCGGATATAAAGATATGAACAAGGTGTCAGCTAAACGGAACCACCTAAATATATGTCTTATTTACTGTTGTATGAAAAAACTTATACTGTTTCAATGAAATGTATCGAAGTGTCAGAACTCACCGTGTACTGGATCGGTTCGTCGATCGTGGGACAACTTGAACTCCATGAAACAACTATGGTATCATGTTTATCCGACGGCATGACCCTTAATTTCTTCGGCGGAGCGCGTTGATTGAAATGTGTAAATACTGGAACAGGTGGAGTCAATGCACCCGCGCCATAGTCTCCGTTAACACCAACCGCGAACATGTAGAATTCACAGGCCTCCAAATCCTTGATAGTAGCTGACACGTTCGTGGTGAGAAGCTTATAATCTGTAAACGTAATTCCCTAAGATTAATAAAAACCTGATAACACGATACACATTCGTCCTCCACGAAATTACCTTTGAAGAATTCCACTATATCGATAGCATAATGAACCGCATACTGCCACCTGATCTTCCGAGTGCTCTTCGGCGGCTCCCAAGACAATTTCACCGTTGTTCCGTGCGGTTTAACTAATTGAGCAACGAATTGTGTCACCAATGGTAAAGGTGCGCCTTCCGTAGTGGCGTATATAGGAGCAGCCTTTCCGACATACTTCTTCTTTACAGCACTGATCTCAAAAATGTATTTAACTCCCGGAGCCAGTTTAGTAATTTCTATTTGATTCTCCAGCGTCGAGATCGTTCGCAACGAGGGATAATGAGCAGGAGCCTTTGGTGTAATGTGATATCCATCGACGGATTTCATTGGCTTCCAAGCTAAGGTAACAGAGTGATTCGTGGTCGCGACCACCTTCAGACCCTCGATGTCGTCTACATTCGCAGACCCGTCGAAAGTCAAGGTTGCCACGTTCGAAGAAGCAGACTCGTATTCCTCGTTTTTGGCTATCACCCAGAAAGAATAATTCTTGCCCGCCTCGAAAAGCATGTAGATAATCGCTGACGTCTTGAGTCTAAAGCACGAATTAAAAATTGTTATAACATCGAATTTCTATTCTCGTAACAATTATGAAGAATTATTGTATGGGATCGGAACAATTATTATTTTTAAAAGAGTTTCAAACCCTGGTCTAAAGAATTGCATGGGCGGTATAGGTGGTGCAACGAAGCCTTCGTAACCGATGATGGGTCCGTTCGGATTCAAGGGCGGCAGCCAGCTGATCTCCACACGAGTCCCATTACCCTGTCTGACGGTAACATTCCGTGGTTCCGAAGGAACACCTTTCCCGGTCGTGACAATCTGATATTTCGCCGGTGGGAATACGGTAGACTGCCCCTTTAGCCTAACGTGAACCGTTGCGTTGTAACGAGTATAAGGCTTGAGGTCATTAAACTGATACTCCATTTCCTCGATCCATTCGGTGGCGTTGGTCCAATTAGCACCAGGTTCTGCATACGCAATGGATGGTAAGAATTCGAAAGTGACGTTTATAGGTACAGGCATCCACCAGAACATGAAAAAGCTGGTAGCATTTACTGATCGTTCATCGACTCCCATCATGAGGACCTGATAAACGCGGGAGCCGTTCTTTTCGCAGTTGCTCTCGTCAAAGCCGTCTAGGCAATCCGGATAACCGTCGCAATAAGCCGACAATGAGTAGCAACGAATCTCGTCACAGGGAAACAGTCCTACGAGACAGGACGGCGTGGCAGCCGGGCTGGAATGTTGTTCGCCCGAACAACCTAACTCATCGCTGCCGTCGAGACACTCTTCTATACCATTGCAGACATCTCTTATACGTATACAACCGCCGTCCATGCGACACTTGAACTGGCCTTTCTTACAGGCGACCTGGACTCCGTCGCATCGCGCCTCGTCTTCTCCGGAAGGGCAGTCTTTCGACCCGTCGCACACCCACGCGTCCTGAATACATTCACCGTTTAGGCATTGAAATTGTTGTTCCCGGCAGACTTTGGGCTGTTCGGTGATAGAGACGATAGTGGCGTCGACTTCCTCGGCGTTTCCGCAGCCGATCTCGTCGGAATCATCCCCGCAGTCGTCCATGCTGTCACATTTCCACCAATAAGGCACGCACTTCTTATTGTTGCACATGAACATCCAGTCGTTGCAGAGACTGGTGGGCAGCATCGGTGCCAATGGTGCCGGAGGAACCGTGACGGTACAGTTCGCTTCGTCCGAACCATCGACGCAATCTTCGTCCCCGTCGCATACGAAAAACTGGTAAATACATCGGTTCTTGGCCAACCGCGACGAATTACACGTAAATTGCCAACTCTCGCAAACCATATTGGTACAGTCCGCCTCGTCCATACCGTCGATGCAGTCTGGATCGCCGTCGCACTTCCAACTAGTCGGTATACACGCATGGTTTGATTTACACAGTATCTCGTCGGATCTGCAAGTGCTCGGAGTCATTTTTCCCTTACAAGACTTCTCGTCGGAGCCGTCCCGGCAGTCATCCTCTCCATCGCAGATCCACCTGTGCGATATACACCTGCCGTTGTCGCACCTGAATTGGTACTCGGTGCAATTCGAGTACGTGCAATTCATCTCATCCTTGCCGTCCTTGCAATCCTTATCCAGGTCGCAGACCCAGTACTTGGAGATGCACTTGTCGTCGCATTCGAATCTGTTCGAGTTGCACATGGTCCTGTTGCAGTAAATCTCGTCCGAGTTGTCGCCACAATCGTTGTCGCCGTCGCAACGCCAAAAAGCGGGGATGCATACGTCATTACGGCAAGCAAACTGATTTGCCGCGCAGGTACTGGCTACTCGTGGACAGGTGGAATTTGCGAACGGTTCGATGCCACCCGGACACTTGCATTTCTCCTCGCTCATCTCCATTCCGTCCGGACAAAGGCACACGTGGCCACCGCGAGGCGCGCCCACGCAAATGTGCGAACAGGTACTGTTGCTGCAAGCGTTGGTGCCAAACTGCGTGCTGTGGCCGAATACTTTCAGATCCATCAGACCAGGCAAATGGCCCATAATCGTAGTTATACCTAAACCGTAATTTTTATCCGCGACGAATATCATAGACTGTTTCCAATCGTCCCAATACATGTTGTCCTTAAAGACCGCAACAGCGAAAGGATGCGATACCCTGCCGTTCTTCGAGATCACCTTCTTGAACTTCTTGCCATCGAAATCGCTAGACCCAATATAATCCTGTCTAGCATCTACCCAATAAATACGTTCCGATATATAGTCTATCGTTATTCCATTTGGCCACTCGACGGTTGGTTCAACGAATAACCGTTTCACGTCTGTACCATCAAGATTGGCCCTTGAAACGGAAGCATTGGACGGAGCCCAATCGGTCCAGAACATATACCCGTTCATCGGATGAACTGCTATACCTCTGGGCTTTATCAAATTGTTAGGCCCGAGAATGGTTCTTCGCATTCTACCCATAGTGGATATGTCCGTCCTAATTACTTGAATTCTCATCTTAACACCGTCCACGAAATAGAGAAGATTCGACACCCAGTCGAGGGCCATTCCTTCTATAGAACTCAAGTCGGTTTCCACCAATATCTCAGGATAACTAGTGCCATAATTGAAACACTGCCTACCAATTGTATCGTTCACAATGTCCGCCCAATACAGACAGTTATTTTTCATATCAAATTCTATGGCTATCACGTTCTTTATACCGTGAACTGGCAACCTTTCCAGTTTCTCTTCTACCAAACTGATGCGCGATATATGTTCTCGTTGAGCCACCAACAAAATTTCAGACACCTCCGATATAGGACACGGAATTTCGTCCGGCTCGAAGTTCCTGGCCAAGCCACCGATGCACTCGTCGTCGGTTATCTTTATATAACCCTTCGTCCGATTATAAAATTTTCCAGGTTTACAGGTGCTTGGCACAGCGTAAGGATCATGAAGAACTATCGATTTGTCGCGGATGCAATGATACGGGTAGCCATCTCGCACGAACCCAAAATCGCACTCGTAGTCGTTGTAATCGCACTGACATATTTTTGTCTTTATAGGACGATCGTAATCCACGCCTGTGTAACATTTTGCTTGCGCTGCTCTTCTCTGGTAAGTCTCCATTCGGCCCAATACACAGGGCATCACCGGTTGCTCCGTGCTCGACGGAGACCAGAACTTAAAGTCATCTTTGGTGCAATCTCTTTCGAACACATTCCGCAAGTCAACTTTAATTATCAACCATTGATGCTGCCCGCTGTCTGAACCAAACATCGTAAACACCGTCGTGTTTTCGCCCGGTTCGGTCATCAATCCGTACACTCGTAACATTTTTTCGTTAAACTTATACGACTGCCATGTTTCACCCTCGTCGACGGAATAGAAAAGATCGCTCGTTTCGCCGCGTGACTTGAAATACTTTACAGCTACCAACAGACCACCATGATCGCCCATATTGAAAAAGAAATAATCCTTGAGGACTTGCTTCCAAGTGAGACCAGCGTCTCTAGACACGTAAAGGGCAGGATGACCTTTAAGATTTGGCCCTATAACCCCGGTTGCCATTATAATGCCGGGAGCAGATTTCGAGCTCATGATCGACACCGACCTCGTCACAGGATATAACTGATTAAAACGTTGACTCAGATGTAACGAACAATCTTTTGTACAATGGATATAGAACCCTTCGTGATTCGCAGGAGGTGGAGTTATGGGGTTCCATGTTGCTCCGTGATCGAATGTTATTAACGATACTAAATGCTCTGGTGCGATAGAGCCTGATTTCGGTGTTCCTTTTACTTGCGACGCTATGTAAATACCACGAAGACCCTCAACCTTATACAAGTCTGTAAATGCCTCGTCGGCTACATCACTGAAAAAAAAAAAAAACAAAGGGACGCGTATAAATATATCCGACATTTTAATAATGAAATTCCTAAATTACTGAAGATGTTCGTGATCAAATTTCATACAACAAAATTTTATTATACCATACTTACTTTAACCAACTGTCTTTCCAAGTGCTATTTGGGAAAAATGTAAGAATTCCGTCAAGTGATAAAACGAAAGTTGCCTTCTTTTGATCGATCACTTCTGATATATAAAGATTGATTTGAGTCTCATTGTGGGCAACCGCAACAAAGACTCTATTATGAGAAACATCGACGATGTGGTAATTTTTACAAGGTAAATCTGTATTGAACTCGGCCTTAACAAAATTATTAGTCTTATAAGACACGAAAAGATTCAAGTTTTCTGATCCATTCTGTTGAACAAAGTTTTCTTTGTTTTTATTCACCTTCTAAGCTTGATATATTTCTAAATATATAATATAAAAATAGTAAAATAGTCATCGCATACCTTTCCGTCCTTCGATGTTGCGAACCTATAATTGCCTCTAATTTGAAAATCTTCGACGTTAGTGATTACGACTGTCAACGATCTGTTGAACAGTATGTTCGACGCAAGCGATTCGAATCGATTCATAAAATCCAATTTTTCCTCTAACAAAGGCATATCCAATTTTTCCTCTAACAAAGGGAATTCCAAAACGGTGTTCGATCCGGAAGGCAGCATATGTTCGATCATTATGTTATGTGTAGAAGACCAAAAGAACGCTTTCACGTAACGATATAACGGCAACCACGTGAATCCCATGTTATTCGAATACCATAACTAAGTTAAAACAGAATAATATTTATACGATAACACACGGGCGACACGTGAAAATACAGACTGAAAAACTTACTTTTCGTGCTGGACCTACTTTATCCAGAGCAAGAAGAATTCTGGGATCCATTTCATAAAATGAAATTTCGCTTGGTTGGAATGGTAGTTTTACTCTTTCAATACGTTCGCCGTTATTAGATGTAACAAAAATTAAACTATTTGTACTGTCTACAAAGACACACTGCAGGACATAATAGATTATGAGAATAACAAAAACAACTAATGGAATAGTAAATTATACTAATTTGGTATAAACTTACATATTTGTAAAATTTTGGATGATTGGTAAACTTATCCAAAGTTGCATATGCTGCATTTGGTTTAGAAGAAATCTTAAACTCTTCTGTCTTGTTCTTAAATGTATCACCATAATCGTAACTTATATATACAGCACTGGGATTGCTGGGTACAGAAACCTTGCTTCCTTGCAATCTTACTGTAGGTGTACTATCCCTTGCAAGACATATTATTACATTAGATCCTTCACCCACCCAATGTACCATCAACTGTTGATGCGAATCATTCATAGCATTAACCTGCAAACACAATTGCATAAATATCTGTGACAATGTTTTAAATAATATATCCTTTTACATTTTTTTTTACATTATTTGCATATTATTATTATTGCTTATTTACATATTACAAAATATACATGTATAAGAAGAAAACAGTATTTTTAACTGTACCTTTAAATATTGTTCTTGATAAGTAACAAGATATACTAAATAACATTGATCATAATATAGATAGGGATAAACTGATAATAAACATAAAGATAATAAATAATATCATCCATCAGAGGTATATACCAAGACAAGACAAAGGTTGCAAAAAATTAATATTATTAATTCTAAAAAAAAGTTGGAATATACCCAAAAAAATCTATGTAAGTACATTAACTTAAATAACAAAATATTAAAAAATAGTTATTTCATCTTATAATAAATGGGTGGAAGTAAGAGGTGAGTCATAAATGTGATGCAAGAAATTTCTACAAATTCATCAATAGTTACACTTTACGTTTAAAAAATGGTTGAAAATATTTGGTTAAAATTTAATGAAAATTTAAGAATCATAATTTATTACAAAGTAGTAATATAAACGTTTTTATTAGATTAATTTTTGCTATGAAAATCAATGTTGTATCAAAGTTCTAACTATTGTTATAAGTGTAATATAATATTAATCTTAATTACTGTAGTTTACTTTGTCATACTATAGTTTATTTTAGAGACTGATGACACATTATACTTCTTTGTTATCAGTTGTACATGTATTACCATGCATACAACCTAGCATTTCATTGTGGTCAGAAGTATGACATACATCTATGACCAATTGGCACATACTTATGTATCATCAAACTATTTTACAAATGTTTCTTATACAATATTGTTTCTTGATGCAAATATAATACAATGTATCAACTTTGAGCAAGTTTCATCTTTTCCTTTTAATTCTTATTTCCATGTTAAATACATATATCTGTTCTTTTTATTTTTAAGCATACACAATGAAAAACAAAGCAACTATTATTATATACGAGAAAAAAAATATCGGATGTATAATACGAATAATTTCGATGGTTCGATCATACAAGAATCTCTATTCGTTAAACATAAACCGTTAGTATACGTAGAAATAGAAAATGCGAAATGTGTCGTAGAAATGATATTTGAACAAAAACATAGACAACATTTGTTCGCGATTCGTGCACCAGAAAACGATCAAATCAATGCACGAATATAACGATCAATAAGTGCTTTATTTATCTAAACGGATATTAATGATAAAATAATAAATAAACAGAAAATTTTGTTAAAAATGAAACAGGAGACGTGCAGAGCGGTTACTGACCTCTGCATGTCAATAACAGAACGACTATGACGCTATTATGTTTCGTCAGGATTGATTAAATTTAGTCCGGAAGGGACATAATACGGCAGTTACGCTCTCCGTTGATCGACGCACAAAGGCAGTACTGTACACCGACCTTATTAACTGCTGCATAAAATTCTAAAATCATCCCTATCGGCGAACAAGTCCGCGAAGATAAGGCAACAAAAATATCGCAAATTATGCGGAAAACGAGTTAATGGCATTTCCGCTCGTCGCGCACGATCGAAAGAACCGAATCGTTCGCGATACGCAAAAAGATGATCGCGTACCTTCGTTATGATGTTTGCTTTATTATTTGAATGCATTGGAGGGACATCCCTTCGATTTCGACTAGCTGACGTTTCGCTGGCATCATCCGAATATTCGTTCCGATTGATGACAAGTGGCCGTTTGTAACCAAACGATTCATGGTCCTCCGTGATGTGAAGTGTAGTCGCTTTATCACCATACCTCTGTCCATTATTCGAACTCGTTAACAATATTAAATGAAAAACAAGCACGGAGTAATAAAAGGCCGAACTGATCCGGCCGGCCATCTTGCTCAGACTGACTTTCTTTAATGACCACACACATATATATATATGTGTTTGCACGTACAGATGTACAGGGTGTCCGAAAAATCCTCACTTCTTTCGGGTAATTTCGAGGGACTAAGGTACATTTCAAACGAACGTCTTTACGACAGGTTTACTTATGTATTTATATTGCATTTTAGTTGTTTCGAATTATATATTATCTTTCTTCAGACCTGTGTTATTTCTGACGGATGTTCAGAAACGTTCTTTTATGGTAATGTAACGTACATAGAGAAAATAAAATGTAGTTAGCGATTTAACCAATAATTTTATGTACTCAACTATATTGACAAAACAATTTCTGAATTGTGAAATATGTTGAAAAGTATTAAATTTATGCATGACGAAAAGTTATCTAGACATTCAAGGATAATAAGATAAAGTAGGGGAGACAGAAAATAATCCCAGAAATACTTGTAAATGTGTTCAGCGACACACTGTACAAATGTGAGACTTGCAGATACGTTGTAAAATGTATGAAATGTAATAAAACGTTTACAGAAAACATTTGTCAAAGTTTGCCAGACGTTGAACACTTCTGAAACAAATTACAAGGTTTTGAATGAGTCATCGTGCGTAAGTATGTAATAAACAACGGCAAACGGTCATCATTGGGTGCATTTTGGAACACCGGGTGTATGCAAGGTTACGCACATATACTTATCTACGTCCCTAAGTTGCCAAGTTTAACATGTTTTTCGTTCATGCGCACTGGAAATAATCTCAGTATAGTACTAAAATCGAGGCAAAACGGGTATTGTATGGTCCCTGTTTTGTTGTTGAAAAATTGAAATGAAATAACTATTGAAACAGAACAAAATAAATAAGCGACTCCTTTTGATTCTGTGAATAGTATATGGCAGTCTGTAACATAAAACAGGTACTGACAATTTGATATCATCAACATGCAGGAAGAAGTATTAACTACACACCTACTGGTCTAATATCAATTTTGAGCAATAAAATTCGCCCAATGTAAAAAACGTCGAAAACACGTTAACCATTACTCCAACTATGCATATCGCTGTTTTCCAGCGCGCATGATCGAAGAACTCACCAAACCTGGCAACAATGCTTACGTTCAAATTACTGTTATCAGAAGAATAATTTGCAAGAATTATTCAAACTATTCATTGCAACGCGTACGAAATTTATTTAGTGTCGTTGAAATCGATCGATCTTTGCGTAAATTATCAGCGTAGCAGATAATAGAAAAGATCATTATAACAAAAATGAAAATCGTTGTTGGGGGAGTAAGTACTTTAATGGTGGCTCTAAGTAATAATAAAACTACATTAGATAATGGGTTTCATTTCCTGGTGACGTCTCCCTTGCACTGCGTAGATAAAAGAATATATAAAGAACGCATTTTCTAAATCATTAAATAGATTATTGCGTGGGAACTCGATTTTTTAAAAATGAAAACTATTTTGCAAAAAATAATGCATTTCGAGATCAATACTTTAAAAATCTTTAGATAGTAATTGCAATTATAGAATTGAACTATATAATTCTTGTATTAAAAATAAATTACATGGAAACGATATGCTTCAATTTGAACATTACTAATTAAAATTATTAAAAATAATTAAAAAATTATTAAAAAATTTTTTGTAGATAACTGTTTTATGTGCAATATGTTAGTCTATCTTTGTCTGATTAAAATCAATTTACGACTCTGCTGATTTGTTGTCATTAACACTGTGTATGTAATCATATAACAAAACTATATATATATATATATATAATTTGGACATGTACAAGTTAATTCAAAAGTAGTATTACAAAACTTTCGAATGTATTTTATTCTTCAATTTGAAAGTAAAACATTTTAATTTAACGTTTCATGCTTATTACAACTTTCCCATAATTTTGAGGTATGAAATATCCCTGTAAATTTTTGTAGCGCTATTCTTGAATTACCCTGTACAGAATGTTCATAGGAATTACAATGGGGAGATACTCTGTACATGAAGTACAATCGAATATAGTTTTACAATTATCATATATTATCTATTATAATAATTTTTATTTCTTATAATTTACTGTTCTTCATTATTTCGTATTTATATATGTATATATTTATATATAAAACACATAGCTATGACATATCAAGTTGTGTGTAGTGTAGCAATGCGACTCCAAATATTTAAAAAATATCTACTAAATGCACATGCATTAAGTTAGAAAAAAAGCGAACGTATTATCGATTTTGATTAGACTGTTGTGTTATCATTATTTTTATTCTTCTCTTAAGCATATTGCGTTGCCCGTGATTGTATGTACAAATCAGTGAAGCGCACGGTACAATAGGTAAAAAACATGAGACATTTCTCAAAACACAGTCCCGGCATGTGCTACGCAGAGGGGTCTGTTAAGAAAAATGTTATTATAGATAAATAAAGAATAATTCGTTCCAAAACACGGAACAAGTCGATATCGGATTGCTCGAGCCGCATTGAAATGAGACGATAGAACAGAAATAAACTTTATGTAAAAAGTCAATCGTTAATCAACGCTAAAAAAAAAAGTATTGAGCGCGATCTTTCATAATTTCCGCGATGATCTCATTCTTAGATGCTATACGAAACAAAACGAACATGATAAATATTTAAAGAAAAGGAAAAATAAGGAAAATCAACAATCGCGCGGGTTGCCACGCGATTGACCGACCAGTTAGAATCAAGCGAGACACTGTAGGTAAAATTAATATCAATTAGTTTGCATTTTTAACGCGATAATAAGCACATGCTTGATAAAAACTGTATCACGTGCAGAGAAGTTTAACGAATAATTAAACATCTCTTCTTTTTTAATTCCGTAGAATCATGATATTTGGGATCTTATAAGAGGAAACTCTTCAAATTATTACACAGTGTTCCATTCTTTTATAATTCTCCAATGCGTTATTCCCTTAGGGCGCAGCATATTTAACAATTTGTTAAAAGCTAATTTATATTTATATATATAATATTTATATATTTATTTATATATTTATATATCATGTCCCAAGTTAGTGTGCTTCTTAAAAATATATGGCAGTCATCGAAACGCAAACATACCGTTTGCGGAAGAACGGGAAATCAAAGTACGAGAAGAAGTACGAAGGTGACAGAAAATGTGACGAAACTATAAACTGTCTGACATGAAACAAGAAGGGGACAAATTATAAATTAGAAAACAACGTTCTCTTCGGCTTAAGGTGATCAGCGTATATCAGGTTGCCGCATAAGTTCTATAAACAATCATATAAACTCTTGTTGAATACAAATAAGAATATAATCGTTTCTAAAAAAAGTTATGCTACAAAATTTTTATACAGAACATGTAAAAATCTAGCGAAGGTATTTTCATTATACTAGCGTTTACCAAGCACTTTTTAAGTATTTAAAACGACAGACAGTACAGTCCCTTTAAGGCACTGTTTGTTTCATTAATTTCTTTCTTAAAAGTATAACTAAAAACTGTTATAGCAAAGGCATCGTGCAGGCATATAAAAAAAATAATAAAGTTTTCTAATTAATATTGGTAGATATTCTGCTCAAAGTGGAGGCTCGTCTACTCGAATAACTTAATCGCGCAATAAAAATATCCTATATATTTTTAAAAAATAACTTACGATATAGAAACTGAATATCCGATGTTAATTCTCATTTCTAACATTTAATTCTTCGGTTTAATCAGTGCGTATAGTTCAACTTTGAATAGGTATTTTATAATGATTGCATCCTCTATCTCCTATGTTTATTAGACGATAGAACTCTTGCAGCAATCTAATAACAGCTTTAAAAGCCATTTTTTATTTCCGTTAAAAATTACGAACACATTATCAAACATAACATAGTACCGCATTAAATTAAATTAAATTGTGTCTTTCGCGATTAATAGATGTTGAAAAGATGGCTCAAAAATGATGTTCGACAACGAGGTACACTAATAGCATGCGCGATAAACTTTTTTGATGATCAACACATCCAAGCGAATAAACGCTCGATCACGCTAACATGGGACATACCGAATGTGTGTCACTTTCTCAGCTAGCGATATATTGCAAAGTGTCCAAAAATTCCTTGAAGAACTAAAAACGCAAATAGACTTCGAATGGCCTACATGCGCGTGAAATATTTAACACATACAGACAGCTGTTTAAATATTATTTCTATTATTCCGTGGCTGATAGTAGTCGAGATGTAGGCATTTCGTTAAATGACTTATTTAGTCAAAATCGTCCCTTTAATTTATTTTTTAAAACACCATGGCCGTGTGTATGTCTCCTAATTTCTTATGTTAGCGTTGCTTTAACCACACAGAGCGACGAAACATTTCTCTTTAAACGCGTGTGTTGTGCTGAGCGGCTTATACCGAACTTCACTGCTCCGGTTTAGCTGAAAATTGGCAAACAAAACGAATATTAAATTAAAACATTAACGCATAGGAGTTCTGGGATTTAGAATAATGTGTCTGTTTAAAATAATGCGAGTGGTAGGCTTGTAAAATTTTTCAACCGACATCGGCACAGTCCATTTTTATCCTTAACACATTCTTATCTCTAAAACTGTCTGTTGGAAGGAAAGTATTTAAAACAAATACTGAAATTGGTTCGAATAAGGACTCCTTGGAGATAACATCGTTTCCACTTACAAATAATCAAATGTTATGATCTTAAATGATCTTTATATGAGAGATCTATGTGAATTATCAAGACAAAATATAAATTAATATTAAAGAAATGGAAAGAGCATAGTTATCCGCAAAATATCCTCTTCAGTACCCTTTAATCTCTAATTGAAAAATGTTGTCTCTATCGAAGAACAATTTTGAAGATAATAAAATGGATAGATTGAAATGGACCACCTTTGTATTTTGGGGGAACATTACTACGTCTCAAGATATCTTTTGATGCTGCTAAATGTATGCTATCCTATCGTTCAAGGCCTGACGGGCATACGAATGCTACACACAAATATGAACAATTGAAGTAATATGCGTGAATCAGTTCCGATCCTCGGGAACTGCACGCTTTTGGGTAATCGCGTGTATGTACAATTTATCTCCGATAGAAAGGCAACAAACGTTTACGTTTTACAAACGAAGATCTCTGAAAGTTCTCCGACAGCAAAGAAGCATGAACAAATGAATGATGTAATGAATAAGCAATCATAAAAAGGATATAGCCACAATTATAATCCAACAACAATACATAATCATTGTAATGTGTCTACGCATATAATAAATACGTCATACTAGGCGAACGAAAAAAACGTTTTATGAAAGCAATGAAAAATGCGAGTAAGAAGCGCCTGTGAACTGAGAGCTGTTGGATAAACATGACGTGTTAAAACGATTGTGTTTCATATATTTGAGTTGTTGAAATGTTTTGTCGCTAAAATACAGCAATCTGTTACATAGTAGGTACAGTTAGCAATCTCGCTATTCGTTGATCAGCTAATACGGAACCGAGTGTCAATGAAACCGTTTTGACAGTCAACGATTTCTTTATGGACTTTGCTTTCAGTCTTTCAGATTTCACGCTAATTCATACACGATTCTTTAAGTAACATTTATGACATTGTTGACGTACTTACGGATATATAAACTCGTTCTACAAGTCTCAAATGTATAGTCTCAGAAGTTTAGAATGTCGAAACATTCAATTATTATATAATTCACTGAGTTTCATTTAGAATGAAAAAATCAATGAAAGTAAAGTAAAAATTAACAATCGTCGGTCGTAGGAATCGACAATTTTTACTTTACTTTGAATAAATATTTCAAGTCTTTAGAATACTTTCACTAAGCGTAATGTATCGGAATCATTAATCGCTATTATAATTTAATCAGTCTGAAATTTATAATGAAATTTGTTTAGATTCAAATTCTGTATAACTATACCTAACGGATAACGAAATGTGACTGTAGTTAGCGACTCCAAAGTTTCACAGAAACTAAGGGAACCTCTAGAATATGAAACACAGTAAGCACTGCACATACACGTTCTCCTGCTTAGAGAACCTCGGTAAATCATTCCGCATTCACAATTGGAAGAACATTCCTTTTGTACTTCTCGAAATGCTAATTATAATTAAAAAAAAAAAAGAAAAAAAAAATGGAATAAAAAGGAATAGAAGGAGAAAAACAACTGGAAAACGATGATCAATTAATCGTGCAATAGTACGACGGTAATGATCTAGGATTTGTTATGCGACTCACCGCCAATCACTAAATGTTGTTCCAATTGTGTACTGTTTTCTTACGTTCATTGGTTTCACTTTCTACTTTTTGGCTTTTCTAAAATATGATAAATGCAATATGATCGAATGAAATGGATGTCTGCCAGCACTAATCGTATGATGGAATGACTGGGAAGACCTCGAATCTTTTAGTTGTCATTCATTCTGATGCTCCGAGGTGATCACCTGCCACTCGTATAAGGATGATCAATAACACTCAAGGGAAAGAAGCAAAGTATCCGTTAATACCTACACTTTCAAACGTACTTGAAATGGACTTGGTTACTCAACTTTCAGGGATACAGACGGCGAGGGGGGAGCTCTATCAAATTAGATCACTGGACAATTAATACAAAAATAGAAAAATATTAAAACTTAACTCGATGCATAGCGTTACCCTGCAAATACCTTTACAAGGTTCTCCCAAACGAGCATTCGATAATAATCTATTAACATTAATTACGTTAACGTCCGATCGACGCAGCACTCGGGCAAAGAAATAAAATATAATTAACGTTCGTAAACGATGAAAATATGAGAAACAGCGTATTAAAATCGTGACGATTTTATGAAACTCGCTATCGGCTCGTAAGACGAATGATGAGAAAAAAAGGTTTGGACAAAGCACGTGGATAACAGATGCTCCGTTTGCTTTCAGGTTCCATGAATCTCATTACTTCACGTGATATGTTGGTATTACGTGATATCATATGCGGATTACCGTGAACTTTCTCCAGAAACTCCTATCTCTAAACTCACTTTTTCTTGAGAGTGAAGAAGCTACGCCGCTTGGTTTCGGCTTGTGTGGGCGCGGGCAAGGTATGAGCCCTAGACGTACTTGCACCCGATGCACCCTGTGCTGCTTGATTTAGCACTGTAACCCATTCGTTCATTTCAGCGTCGTCTTTGGCCTGGAACAGGAAATCGGATCCGCTTTGCGATCTGCAAAACATAATAAACGGTTCGTTCGATGATCACCAATTCTATCTACGTTGTACCAACTTATTGCTAGCAATCCAAAGGACAACTTACTTTACTCGGAAGACGTGTTTCTTCTTAGTGTAATCATTCGCTACGGTAATAGTCGCGCCTCTCAGGTCGAGAGGAGATTCTCCTTTGTACGATTGATCAGGCGCAGCTTTGAACGACTTTTGGTCAGTATAGACGAATAAACTTTGTCCACGGACAACCATGTACACCTTGTGCCAGGATCGGTTGGACGCTTTCTTCGTTGTGCTCTCCCACTCGTGTTTTCTTTGCAATACACCTTCGAATTCATCGTCCGTAGGACTTCGTTGTTCTGAAAAATCGAAACGTAACGTGAAACAACCGAGGAATACGAACGGAAACATAAAAGAATTATTTCACTTGATGAATCATTAAAAAATAAAAAATAAAATAAAAAAAAAAAAAAAGACAAAATTATCTACATTACAATCAACATCCACAGTTTCCTTTGTAGATACGGTAGAGCTGCGAACACGTAACAGAATTAATTACTGGTACATCATATACATTTATAACAGAAACGTCGATTTTAAACTGGAAAACCTAAATAGCTCCCAAATATGTTATAATTATAATATTAAATGCAACTTAAACACCCAAACATACACGCATTCATGGCACAACACCATTTGTAAATATATTCAATTCCAATCGCATACAATTAGTAGGATGCAGCCTTAGTATGTCACTTGCTGTTAATAATTCTTGTACCCCCAGGTTCTCGATATCTTATTTCCCATTGCACGTCCCAATATCATTTAAAAACATATTTTAAACATTAGAAATGTACTCGTCGAAATATTCCAGTTTCATTCAATAATAACACTCAAACGTGGCTGAAATTAGAAAGATTAGTAATTCTTCGACATCGGAAATGGTTTGTTTATCCAGAATCATTAACAACTGGATAACAGAGAATTCATTAATTTACTTAAATTACTAATTAATACGTTGTTAATGTACTCTTAAATTAAAAAATATGCTAGTATTAGATTCCGTTGTATGAATGAATTGTTTGAAATTTTCGTAAAAGGAAGATGACGGGTAGTATGGTGGAAATGTAAAGGACAGTTCATGTAAAGAATTGCTTACCGGAAATACTGCGTTCATCATCACTCACACCACTGCGATCTAAACTCGGCGATTTGGCTGATTTTCTCCAGCGGAAACTTCTGAATGGCGATTTGCTGCGACTACGTTCCTTACGTCTTAAAGTACCAGACTCGGAACCGCTTCCACCTTTTGGAGCTTTCAACGATATACGTAACACACACGATATTATTAGCTACTTACTCTTCACATTGGGAGCCTAATTAGAAGAATTGGTCAAGGATAAGGGTACGTCGCTACTACATAATATCACATCTACACAAATCATGTAAATTTCAAGTTTGTTCTGTAAATACTCATGCAACATGCTCATGCGAGATTTCTGGGAAATAAATATTTAGCTTCAAACAGCTTTCTACGGATTACATGACTATGAAAAAAAAAAACTGATCGTCTCTTCTGCAGTTTTTGTTTTAACGCTAGAATTTGTAATACGACAATGTTCACGTTTGTTTTTAGAGAAACATAGTATTTTTTAAGAGTTTTGTCAGCAAATAATTATAATGATTTTTGAAAAATCTTTCGAAGAGAAAGAAGCAGGAGACAACGATTTCTGTTGTTGCGCACCTCCGCAATCATTAGAAGAACCGAAATTACAGCTAGTACCCGTACCATTAAGTCGTGCGCCTTGTTGGTCGGGCGTTGCAATAGTTGATATGAAAATGAAAACTATATCGCTGAACGACTATAAAGGAAAATATTTAATATTACTTTTCTACCCTTACAATTTTACTTTCATTTGTCCTACAGAGATAATACTATTTAACGATCGTTTGGAAGAATTCCGAACATCAGGTATACCCATTTCGATTATTTCTTTTACTTGTACAGGGTGTCTGGCTACCCCTGGGAAAAATTTTAATGAGAGATTTTAGAGACCAAAATAAGACGAAAATCATGAATATTAATTTGCTGACGGAGGCTTCGTTAAAAAGTTATTACAGAATTAAATTTAAAAAATTTCAAATTTTCAAATCATTCACGGAAAAATTATTTTTAGTTACAGGGGTTAATTACAAGCATTTTTGGTGAATAGATATACCCCCGAATTCCTAACCACTTTCGAGAAAAAAATTCGTGTAAATACTGAAATTTTTTGACGAAATTAAAAATTTCAAATCATACCAAAAAAATTATATTTAGTTACAGGGGTAAATTACAAGTATTTTTGGTGAATAGACATACCCCTAAATTCCTACCCACTTTCGAGAAAAAAATTCGGGTAAATACTGAAATTTTTTGACGAAATTAAAAAATGACAAATCATAATAAAAAAATTATATTTAGTTACAGGGGTCAATTACAAGCATTTTTGGTGGATAGACATACCCTTGAATTCCTACCCATTTTCGAGAAAAAAATTCGAGTAGGTGCTGAAATTTTTAGACGAAATTAAAAAATTTCAAATCATACTAAAAAAAATATATTTAGTTACAGGGGCCAATTACAAGTATTTTTGGTCGACAGACATACCCCCGAAATCCTGCGTACTTTCGAGAAAAAAATTCTTCACCGAAAATATATCGTGTGGCCAAAAATGTTTCTAAAACTTTTTAACGAAGCCTCAATCAACAAATTAGTATCCTTGATTTTCGTCTTATTTTGGCCTCTAGAATTTCCTATTGAAATTTTTTCCAGGGTTGACCGAACATCCTGTATATAAATTAACACGTTGACTGTTTGTAACACTATCCTTATCAGATATTGGATTCTTTTACCAAACATCCGTTATTTAATTTGGTGGTTTTATTTGGATGCAAAAGGTTGCGAGGTAGTAGCAATATCTACGGACTCTGAATATTCCCACCTAGCGTGGATCACGACTCCACGGAAACAGGGCGGTCTAGGCGACATGAGAATTGCTGTTCTGTCGGATAAAAATCACAAGATATCTAAGATGCACGGTGTGCTTAACGAGGAGGAAGGTATATCCTTGAAGGCGCTGTTCGTCATCGATAAGTATCAAGTAATCAGACACGTCGCGATCAGCGAAAACTGTATGGCACGTTCCGTTGACGAAGCATTACGGATCTTGGAAGGTTGTCAATTCGCGGACAAATTTGGTCGCGTTTGTCCGGCTGGTCCAAGAGAAAGAATGGATAGTTCACACGGACAACCAAATTACTTTAGCGTTGCATAATCGCGAACATATGATATAGGCTACGATTGCCAATTTACAATCGTGGTGTAACTTCGATCGGGTAAAATATAAATATTCGATTTTAGATATATTTCTTTTACGACTTTTGTAAAGTTTTTTGTTTCTTTTTGGACAACGATGAATAAAGTGATTAGTGATCCTTTAAGTAGACTTACTTGTTGGACTGGATAGACCCTGTGCAGATTTCGTAGACAAGGGCGTTGCAGATGGCATTTCTTCTCCTCGCACAGATAGACGTGCAGGTTTCTGAGCATGCACTACATACCAGATACCAATTTTATCATGCTGGAGTTTAGAATTAAATACTAATCGAAAGGGCGAAGGAGAAACTTCTACTTTATGACAATTGTACGATAACTACACGTTGCAAGTTATGTAAATTTTAATTACGAGTCGAATATCAACCACAACGTTTAAAGAGAAAAGAAACTACTGCAAACTGATATTATTTACTCTTGGTAGCAAGAATACTCGTCATAAATAACTTAAAGGGTTTAATGATTGAGAAAGAGATGACATGATGAGTGATGCAGATAGAGTAGTGCGCAATTAATGAACAAGTTAATCTAAAAAAAGCATCTGCTGTTACAAGAAAATATTATGCACAAATGAGCGTAATTTGAAACATACAACACACCTTCAAATACAACGTTTTCTTGGTTACTACGTATGCTTACCTTTTCTTTTTAGCGAAAAATTAGTTTCTCCTCATACGTATCAAAATCATTATTTGAAGAGATTCATTTGTAATTTTTAATCTTACTTAATCAGATTTAAAGAACGAATAATATTAGTTTAAATAGTTGTGTTGTAGCTGAGCTAGAGCGACTCCTCCACCTGTTATAAAGTGTTAATAAAAGCAAATAAATAATTACAATTATGATTACAGCGGGTAGACGTAGTTGTCCTACGAATATGCTGAAAGAGTTAAAATTCTTGTGAAATGCACGCCTCAACCTATATTGTGCAAAAGTTTCAATTAAATTACGTTCGTTTAGGAAATAAAAATATTTGTTACAATACGGGTTAATATTAGTGCGAAAAGGAAAAAGGAGAATTTGCTGCAAAACGCCTGCTATTAATAAATGATTTAATCTTAGACCCATCACCAGCTTAAAGGATCAAGTAGCGGGATCTGTATGTAAAATTTAACTTAATTTAAATCATGAAATACCAGAGTTTCATTTATAGAAGAAGACACAATAACACCAACGCAAGAAGAATAGAATCGATAACCAAGAACAAATTATTGCTTTTTATGGTAGTATCGATCATTTTATATAAACAAGACACTGGTATTTAACAAAGTGACGTAATTACGGACAATAAAATTAACATACGCTACACCCATTTCATTTCTAACAATTTCTCTATATATTGAAAGAAAAAAAAATTGTTTAATCCTTCGAACTCGGTAGTCGTAGATAAATGAAACAAAATACACATGAGTTATAGAAAGAAAAATGCGGCGGACACAAAATATGCTTGATCGATGCATAAGTGTCTGAGAAATAATGCACTGCTTGGTGATACTCGGAACAATGATAGACAAATATACCTTTTTGTCAAAGCAAAAATTCAATGATGAAATAATTTTTAGAGCAAGAAGGGCAATATTTATGTCGTCAGAACACTCACCTTCCTTGGGTTTATCTTGAGGCTGTGGTGTACGTGTGGAAGCCTTGCGATGTGCCACTGTGGTTTGTGCATTCCGTGCCGCATTTTAGGGTGCATCGAGAAAGGATTTACGATCAGAATAACCGGATATTCGATGGAACGGAGTCAATTTCGAAAATAGGTTCGGGGGGAAAAAGGCAAAAATAAACGTGCTGTTAGCAATTTCATGCTTATCCAAACAAACCAGTTGGTAAAACCAGTCGCCTGAGAGTTAAGTATACAAGATACGTAACAAGCAAACCCGTAATAATACACACTGTATTAGTAGTACAATAAAAAATATATATAAAAAAAAGAAATATCCTTATTCATTTTTGTAGTTCGATCGAGCATTCGGCGATTATCATTCCTGTATTAATCACTGTTATCGTGAGACGTTATTTAATTTGTCTAGTCAGAAAAAGATTGTAACCAAAGCTTCCAACGAAATTAGAACCTTTGAAGATCAAACTATTTTTAACTATTATATTGTTATACGTATTGTCATTTTCAAATGCGTTGCGGAAGTAGAATAAAAATTTGCAATGCGATAAGTACAACACTCCTATCAAAATGCCTTTTAATATATTGTGCGATACAAGTTATTGTCTTACCATGTGATTCGTCTTCGCCGACAGGACGTTCTCCACTGGGTACACCTTCAGCTTCGGCTCTATTGCATAAAGATTAGTATATTCATTAGTACTTTGTGTATTGAATAAAATTTTATGTCTCGTTATAATTAGATAAAATGAATTAATAAATTTTAATTTTTATTATTCAATTTTAGAACCCAGTACACTATAATTTAATTACTGGTCGAATACTCTCTACTTAATTAACGATTACGCAGTCATATTGAAACGAACGATAACAGTATAAAGTCTCAGTATACCTTTCACTGGGCGGTTCATCCGGACTAGTTACTGGCGTAGCTTTAGTTAACCGAGCTGCCTCGGCAGCTGCTGCTTCTTCTTTTTTACGTTTTTCTTCTTCTTCTCGTTCCTGTTCTCTCCTCTTCAATTCTTTCAACTCAAACTATAACATCACGTGTTTCCAATCAATTAAACAAAGTAATGCAAATAAGATTTCCTGCAGCTCTTATTATGTACACGAAACTACTGACCGTGGTAAGTCGATGCAAGGCACTAAACCTTTCTTCTTGCGCAGCTGCCGATTTTTCGAATGCTTCGTGTTTCTTAATTAAATTCTCAACTTCGTCGATAGTGTGCTACAACGATTTATAATTGAAAAAATAGTACATTGAAATTTTATAGATAGTAAGAAATAAATCGTCAATACTACTTACGCCGAGTTCTTGGCTCATAAGATATGGTTCTTGAGCAATTAGCCATGCTTCGGCAACTGCTGCATCCCTAGCGAATTGATAGACTTCCAAAACTGAAATGTTCAAAAAAGAAATTACAGTCATTTATGAGACATTGGATGTAATATTCTCTAATATTATGCACATACTTAGCTGCAAGTTTTCCCAACGTTCCTCCCATCTATGCAACAACGCGTTCCTATGATCGGTGAGTGCTGCCAATTTCTCCTTGATTTGAGTACTGGCATAATGATTCCTAGCTAACAAGTCCTTTCCGAGATTGATACACGCCATTAGGTTATCCTCTCTGGCATCTATCTCAGCCTTCAAACTTTGATGGTTGTTCATCAGAAGCTCGACGCCAGCAACGTCGCGTGGCTTCTCGGACGTGTTCATTTGACGCACAACGTCGTCCATCCAGATCATCAGAGTCCTGACCATGTTGAAGAAACGGAACAGGTCGCCGGTGTCCTCCAGTTTCGTTCTTCTTTCCTCGCAAAGCGACTGTAGATTGTTCCAAGAAGCCACCACTTCTCCCTCGCGGTTCGTTATCTCTCTAGCTTTATCGCCAGCATAGCTCGCCTGAAGTTTGGCAGATTCCTCCTGGATCTGCGATACCTGACTCTGTAGCGTGGACAGATCCTGCATGAAGTTACCGTGTTTTCGTTGAAGAGCAGACACAGAGCCAGCATCGCGACCAAGCTCGTCGGACATGGCGTTTTGTTTCTCTAGGATCCTTCCAAGCACATCCTTGCAATCGTGGAAGAATTTGTGCAGTTCGCGGCTGGCTTGGAGCATTTGCGTTCGCGTCTCGATCAGCTCGAGCAAATCTTGCCAGACCTCGTTCAAACCGTCCTTCCATTCGGCGATGGTAGCCGCGTCGGAGTGGCCGGTTGCGATCAACGAATCAGCGATTCCGTTCACCGCGGCAACTCTTTCGGAGCCTATCGCTTCCGTGTCTCGAGCGAATTCCTTAAATCTTTCCCACAGGAGTGTCACGTGGTCGTAATCCTGGCCCAACTCGTGGCTTGCCGCGACCAGTTCCCTCTCGGTGATCCATTGTTCCAAATCGCCCACCTCTCTATTAAGCATGAAGAGTTGGAGCGCCTCGTCCAACTTGGCTCGTCGTTCCCCGGCCAGATCTTTCAATCCAGCGTACAACTTATCCACCTGCGACTGCTTCACGGCAATCTGATCGGCCAGTGGATGTTGATCGTTGATAAGCTGCCTCGCAGTTTCTCCCAGCTGACGAATCGTCTCCGCGTAATCTTCTACGGCGTGCTCCAACGATTCGTGCTTCTTCATCAGATTCTGGGCAGAAATCTCGTCCTTGCCACGATCCTCTACCATCATGTACAGTTCCTGCTCGCTCATCCACGACTCCGCCTCGGTTGCGTCGAAGAAGTACTGTTGCGCCTTCTCGTTTTGAAGCAGATGCTTGTTCCTGTCGTCCACGGCGTTCTTCAATTCCTTCCACTTCTCCGTCAACTCGGATATCAGCTTCTGGAACTCAGGACTGTCTTCGTGCTCCTCGTCGATCAGTTTCTGCCCGTTGTTGCACACCAAGTTGATCCTGGGCTCGTGATTCTCGATCTCCGTACGCAACGACTGGTTCTTCTTCTTCAGCATGTGTACGTTAAACAACGAGTTCCCGTACTCGTTGCTGGTGGCCTGTGGCATCTTTTCGGCAATCCAGAGCTTCTCGTCCTCGACGTCGCGCCTGAACTGGAACGCCTCCTTCTTCTTCTCGAGGTGACGCTGACGATCTACCAAAGGCGTCTTCAACTGGGCGAATCTCTGAGCGACCTTTTCCTTCTTGCACTTGATCTCCTCCATTTTGTCCTCGGGAACTGTGCGCTGCAGGTGTTCGGCCTGCTTGTCAAGTTCCGTCACCTGTCGAGCCTTCACCGCCATCTGAGTCTCGATCATCTGTTGCTTTTGCATCAGGATATTGACGGACGCCAAGTCCGAGCCGGTGTCTGTGCTCTCGATCTGCTTCTCCAGCTCGTTCATCCACGAGTCGATGTCGTCGCAAGTCTGGTGTATCAGTACCTCGCGATTCGCGTCGAACAGCCGTTCACCCTTATCGTGGGTGGTGGTTTCGAGTTCCTCGAATTGATCGGCCAATTCAGCCACCTTTGGATTGATGATCTTGGCTAAATCCGGCTTCTGTTGAATCAGTTCTTCGGCGGCCTGTTGCAACTGCTGCAAACGGTCTTTGTTGCTGGCTATCTCCGCCTCGAAGGCTTGGTGTCTCGTCCATTTACTGTGCACGGTCTTGGCACTTCTGTAAGTTTCGTCCTGGGCGGTAATGTGCTTCTCCTGCACCCATTCTCCCAGTTCCTCGCAATCCTGCAGGAACATCTGTAACTGCAGTTGGTCCTTGAGTTTCTCCATGTACTGATTAGCCTTCTCGCGATTAATACGACGACGATCGTTTATGTTTTCGGCCTTCTTCGTGACTTTATCTGCAGCGAAGTGTCCCTCGTCGACAAGTCTTCCGGCGAACTGCACAACGGAATTGATCTTTTCGTCGTTCGCGTCCATCGTCGTCATAAAAGCCTCGTGCCGTTTGATCAAGTGCTCCGCCTGCTCGAAGTTGGTCGGCGTCTCGTCCTTGGCGAGAATGTGCTCTTGCTGAGACAAAAGGACCTCTGCCTGACGAGCGTCGCGATCGAATACTTGCAAATTCAACGAGTTGGACAACAGGATCTGCCGATTCACCCACATCTGGTGCAACTCCTCCCAACCCATCTTCAGAGCGTTCAATCTCTCTCTGAGGAACATGTATTGCGTGTCGCCATCGCCAGCCTCGCTGGTCAACGTCTCGCCGTACTCCATCATCTTCTGATAATCGTCGGTGTAGTTGTCGATCTCCTCCTTGATGTTCTGATGCTGCGTCAACAGCTTCTCGGCATCGGCCAACGTGGTCGGTGTGTCCTCGCTGGCAACGTCTGTCTGCGTCTTGGTCAGCCACGCCTGGAAGTGATCGAGGTCTCTCAAGAATCTGTGCAAATCGCCCGCCTCCTCCAACTTGGCGTCGCGTTCCTTCAGCATCTGAGTGAGCTGCTCCCAGATCGTACGGATCTGCGTGATCCTCTCGCGAATCATTTCCGGGTCCTCCAGGTTCTGCTGCTGAATGTTCTGAGCCTCCAGCTTCAAGGCGTCCAGTTTGGCTTGTATGGCTGCCAGGTCGCGTTCCATTCCGCTGAGTCGACGCTGCAAAGTCATCACGCCGGTCAGGTCCATCTCCAGGCTGTCGGTTTGCTGGAGGATACGCTTCTTGTCCTCGATCCAGGACACGGTCTCGCGGCACTCGATGTGGAAGGTCTGCACACCGTGCGCGGAGTTCAGCTCGTCGCGTTTGTTCTCGGCCTTGTCCCTCAACTCGGCCCACTTCTGGTTCAGTTCGTTCTGTCGAGCGACTATCTGCTCGGAATTCGGATGCTCGACGTGCAACAACTGCCTCGCCAGTTGATTTACGACGGCGACCCGCGAAGCATTCGCGTACATTTCCTTCTCGAAGCCGTTGTACCGGTGCTTCATGATCTCGACGTCTTCGATGTCCTTGGCGGGTACCATCGTCTCCAGCATTCTGTTCTTCTCGCCGATCCATTGCTCGACACCGTCCGACTCGCTGAACAACTTGTACAGAGACAGCGCGTCTAACAGTCTCTGTTTACGCAGCTTGGCCAACTCCATCAATTCTTTGTATCTCGAGTCTATGGAGGCCAGTCTCTCGAGCACCTCGGACGATTTCGCGTCGTGTTCGCCGAGACCGGAAGCCTGCTGGTGAAGCTGATCGATCGTCGTAGCGTAGTTCTTAAGCTCGTCCGTGACGTCCTTGTACTTCTTCAATAACGACTGAACATTGGCTTCGTCTCTGCCGACGTCTTCCGACGAAACGAGTCTCAAGGTGTCCAACATCCAAATATCGATATCGTCGGCGTCCGCGAACAGCTGATGATAATCGACAGCCTCCTCCAACCGTTTTCGTCTGAACGCGGCCAGGTCCAACAGGTGGTTCCACATTCCCAGGATCTCTTGAAGCCTCTCCTGAATACGATCCGAGCCAAAGTGTTGCTGACGAACCAGCTCGTTCCCGACAGCGTCCACGGACATCAGTTGCGGTTCGTGCGACTGGATTTCGTTCTCCAAAGCTTTGTGTTTCGTCAGCAATAAGTTTATAGTCGTCAGATCGTGACCGATGTCTCCCGTCGATACGATCTGTTCCTTCTCCTTTATCCAGTTCTCCTCGTCCGCCATGTCCCAATAGAATTGCCAAAGTTTGCGAGACTCCTCTAACCTGGCACGACGTTCGACGGCCAAACGGACCAATTCTGCGTACGCGTCCTCGAGCTGTTGCACGCGTTCCACGATTATCGTTGGATCGCACGGTCGATACCCTTCGCCGTGCTCCAAGAATCTTTGACTCTGTTGAACCACGGCTTTCACTCTCTCTCCTAGAACGTTTATGTCGGCTTCCACGAGGGAATGCTTCTGCAGAAGATCCTCCACGCCCATCAAATGCTTGCCGTAATCGTCGGTCAGCAAACGTATCTTGATCTCCTCCATGCTGTCGAGGATATACAGCATCTCCTGGAAGTTTTGTTGCAGCTGCAGCGATAGCTCCAATCTCATTCTTCTGGCGTGAAGCAGTTCTATCAAATAGTTCCACAGTCTCAGTACGTTGTCCTTGCGCGCGTTGATACGCTCGATATCGTGATAGTTCTCGGCTTCGAGCTCCTGCGAGACAGCCATCACCGCTTGGACACGTTCCTCGTACGCGAATATGTCGGTCTCGATGGCTTCGTGCTTCTTGGCGGCGGCCTCCACCGCGGCAAGATCGAAACCGAAATTATCCTGCGAGACCAGTCGTTGGTTCTCGGACAGCCAAGTCTCACGCATACTGGCCTTTCGATTGAACCTGGCGGCTAACTGCTCCAATTTCTCCTGACGAATCAGTTCCTCTCGCAGAGCCAGCTCCCGCTCGTGCTCAGCCTTCTCCAGTCTCTCCCACGCTTTGTTGATATCCGAAATCATCTTGCCCTCTTTAGGCGTGTACGGCTTTTGATTATTTGCTCGCATTTTCGACTGCAACGTGAACAACAGCACCTCCAGGTTACCTTTTTCGACAAACTTAGGCGGCTTCTCTACGGTACGATAATTCGAGAACTGTGATAGCTGAGACTGAACGCCGACCAGCGAATTCGCGAATCTACGGTCGCCCAGAGCCTCTATGGTGCCTTCGATCCAGCGCAACAAATCGCTGGTCAGGCTCTCGTATTCGTGGATCATGCGGTCGTTCTCCATCGCGATGCCCACCACCTTGCCTATCCTTTTCCCCTGAACGGTTTCCTGCTTCATCTTTGAGAAGTAATGATAGTATGTCACCACGTAGGTGATGATCGACTTCTCGTCCGGATGGTCGACGAATATGTCCTCGGCGTCGAGGAGTTTCGTGAGACCAAGCTTGTCTTCCGCCACGTTGAACGCATTGTTCAGATTGTAAATGGCGTTCGATTTCGAGAGCTTGTCGAACTGAATCAGATCAGGACGATGTTTATGGATGATCGCATTGAAGGCCAACCCATCGCGCCAGGACGTGGTGAAATTTCGTACGTTCACGTTGTGATATCCTGCGGTCTTCATCTGACACCAAAGGAGCAAAGCGTCCTTCGCTGATTTTGTCTCCTGATTGTCCGTTTCCTCGATGGTGATGTCTTGAATTTGGAATCGGAGAATGATGGTCCAGATCAAACCCAAGCTTAAACGAGGATTTCCATCGACTATATCGTGCGATCCCATGTTCTCCAGGTGCACCCTTTGCTCGCGCAAGAATTGCAGGGCTTTGTCGACGTTCTCCAAACAGTGAATTCGCATTTTTCCCTTCGTCGGCCGCGGCAAACGTTCCCCGGACAAAATTTCCAACAGCTTTATGAGCATCTTCCCATCCCGAAGGTCCAGGTACAAGTCGCCGATTCGACACGAACACCGAACTAAATGCGAATTCACCCATTTCTGGAAAGTCTTTTTTTGTACTAATTCACGTTCACCTGGTTTGTAAAAAATAATACAAAATTACTCTCTGTTGAATAGAAGATTACAATGATTCTGAATCAATTTTCACAACTTTTACCCCTCAAACTATACACAACCTTATCAACATTTTTTTACAGTCCATAAAATCGATATTTATACGTTTGCTTAATGATAAAACTATGCAAATATTTGAATACCAAAGTGTTCAATTTAGTGATATCGGGTTGGAAAACAGTTAGGGAGCTTTCATCAAATTTAAACAGTCTTTGTGTGAAACGTGCGACCATTTTAAGTGTTAATACATAGATTATCGGTCATAAATAACTTGTCCAAAATGTTATCGATGTTACGACTGCTCTAAATTTTTGTGAAAAGAGTTGGGAAAATAGGATAGTATCGTGTACCAGCTAATGCTTTGATCCGTGAACGTTCGAAAAGTCTCGAGCTCGAGTTTCCCCCGTCGTATTCGTACTCATCGACAATCTCTTGTTGTAGTGTGGGGTCCCAAACCCCGCGCACCACCGAGATGTCGGTCGTCATTTTGCCAATCGGACCAACAACTCACTTCTGTCTTACCCTGCGAAAGGGCGCTCCTGAAACACAACAGAATACAATACTATTAATACCACGTTGAATAAATAACCAGGATACGCGATGCGATCAACAAAACGAAATAATTGCATTTCGAGATACTAGTATGTTATTTACATCTAATTGCTTTCCCATCTGCAACATAATTAAGTATCCGCGCCGTTGCTTCTCGTAACCTTCACGATGATAAGAATTGCAGAGTAATCTTATCTTTTATCTTATGTATTTTATGTGTACCTTACGTCGAGCGTGAGATAACAATTTTAATCGGACCAACGTTTTACAATTAAGTTTCGCGATCAACGCCGAACGAAAGTGCAATTCCTGAATGGTACAACAGCGTGACTAATTTCAGTCTGTAACGTGCTTTCTGAATAACAATACGCACGATCTATTCAAAACACAACTGTAAACGAAGATTCCTCGATCTTCGTGCGGTTGTGTAACTACACATTTTGCTCCGCTATAAATTCTAATTAATAAACGAATTTACCGAACGAAACGTACATAGAAGTTTACCAATCGATTAAAAATTTTTATTCGCTATTCTGAAATCAAATTTGGCCAACTATGGTCGGAGCTCTACTGACAAGTACACGTATCTAGGTACAGCTTATTTCCAGGGAGTTCGCACCGACAACGCGTAACGTTACGTCCTCAAAGCGCGTGGGAGCTCCTGGACGAGTGATTACATCACGCGAATGATGTCACACGTGCGAAATATTCACCAATGGCGTCGCTACGAAGATCGAACGCTACTGAAAACCTTGTACCATATATGCACGAATTACAATTGCTATAAAACTGATAACTGCTATAAAATTGCTATATAACTGGAATACATTGTTTATTTATTTACTTGGTGGAACAGAAAAAGATACGTGCTATTAAAAAAAGAGAGAGAGGGAACGAGTATTAAATAATACTATAATTTGATCGTTTTCAACGACGTATCGGTAAACGAATGATGCAATGTATACAAGTACATAGCCCTTCGACGATTGCCATCAATGGTCCTACTGTTGCTCGCAACTCGACACGTTGTCGGTGTGTTCGCGCGGGTAGCCGTGCAAAAACTCAAGGAAAACCACAGTAAGTCGATATGAGCGACGTTGCTTGACGGTGACATTTCACCGCTAGCTCAGTGACGACAAGAAGAAAAGATCCAAAGGAGTTCGAGAGAACCGAGAATGCTGCAGAGGACGACACCGATACCCCACGGTTTAGAAAAATTACTTTAAACAGGTAGACGCCGTGTGCACGGGAGAACAAACTCGCTCGAGTGTTTGGCTCCTTGGACACGGTATTTAACCTTTGCTCGAGGAGTGGGACTCGAACGGGGTCGCCGATGCCGCGAAATATCGGTACTTTCGAATTTCATGCGCCTCCGCGAGGTACTTCTATCCAATCGTGGATCGGTTTACGTCTGCATTGCTGATTTCGATGCGCTTGCTCGTCGAAATGCTCATAGTCAACTCGTAGTTACTGTTCAATTCATTTTTACATGAAAGAAACATTCCAAGTATTTTGTAACGAACGAACGACTCTATCGTAAACTTAACAACATAGTAAAATTAACCTTCCGAGATTATCGTGTCGTTCACTTTGTGATTCATTCCATTTCGCCCACTCGTCGCTGGGGCACTAATTTTCGTACTCTCGGTTTGCCGGGGGTTTCTCTCTCCGACAATTCTCATTACGTATGTTGCTTCTTTCTTGTAATTGCTCTTAATTTACCGTAAGTGTCCGACAGACCCTTAAGAATGTCGTTCGTGCCTACGTCACTCTCTTTTCGTTCTCGGGCGTTTTCTTGGTCCTTGAATTTCTCGATGATATATGAAATTAGGTCGAAAGGGGATTTCTGATCCATTTCCATTCTATCAAGTATCTATCATGGTACACGTAATTCTCATTATTTTTAGCTGAAAGAAATGAAACAGTAATGAACATGTGTTCTAAGAATCGTGTAAGAATCGTATCGATTAAAAAGCGTTGAAAATGGTCGCGTTTCCACGGGCTGCTCTCGCGGGTGTTGAGAAACTCTAACAGGGAAGCAGTTCGGAAAAATTGGCAGTGGACGAACAACAAAGGCAAGATGAAATTCCGGTGGGAACTATATCAGGCAACCGGACCTTCGTCGAACGCAATGAGTTTAGGGTTAATCTGCCGTTTAATCGGTTCTCTGTGCATGTTAAGTCGCATTTAGAGCGGCTCGTGTGTGAACCTGTTTCTCATCCCGTACAAAAGACCGCGGCTCTGTAGACGGCGCAGCGCTAAAGGTAAGATGAACTCGCCGCGAACCAACACACAGAGCGTCGGGGCTATTGATTTTCCACTGGAGTCACCGTGGCGCCAATGGTTCGCAATATAGTATATTGTACACAGGACGATACACTAAAAAGTGATCGTCTTTACGCGTTCGTTCACGAAAAAGAGTGGTCATCGATCGTCGAATTTAATTGTGAACGCGTGCAACGAGATATTCGAATGCTCGACGGGACTTCCGGTCGAGCGGCCAAGTGGAAGTGCAAGACCGATTAGAAGACGGTCGATAACAAAACAAATTAACGAATACGAACACGAACGCGAACACGTCACGATACTCTTGTACGTTATCAATGTGGTTTGAGTACGCAACGAATAAGATTTAGCTTTTTTTTTTTTTCATGTATCGAACAAGTTACGAGACACGAAGGGAAATTTAGAAATAGCCGATGAAGAAAACGAAGGTATGTCGACCTGATTCTCCACAGCCCTGTCCGAAGGATGCCATCAACAATGCGACTTTATTTGCCTCGGAAGAGGGGTTCGTCGGCTAATGAGGTTAAGAGCGGAACTAAACGATGCATTGACTCGAATATTGAGTAGACGAAGCAACGATGTATTAAAACCTATACTGTTATTCGTTATTCGTTCGCTTTAACGACTCGTTAATTACTCGACGATCACGGCAATGATTAGAAAATTACTAATTCAAACAAACCCCGAACGATTCTTCGAAAGCTAATTATAAATAAAAATTCAGTAAAAGTAACACGGAATCGAGTATGTATATTTTTTGCCATGCAAAGCTAAAAATAATTTATGAGTCACTCTGCTGTTGGATGACCGATCTTTTGAACAGCACTAAACACACAGTGCATCTTTATTTTTATTATCTGTTGCGGTATGGATCGTGATCGCTGACTTTATTCGCTACTTCTACTGTTCATTATCGTTGAGAGAAATTCGCAAGAAAAAATAAATATTGATACTCTCTTTTTGTTACGGTTTGTCTACAATCGATTCTCTGAAAATCGTTTTTTCTTCGTGCAAACGTGCAGATTTTATTAATATCATTCACTAGTAGGAAGTCATGTCTATTTTCGTATTATTCGACGCTTGGGAATAGAACATTTACTCAGCGTGAAATAAATTATTCTACGATTAAAAGTCGCACGTAAACCGTCCAAGTGAAGTTCGTATTTATAATCGGTAGCGGTATTCTGGAAACATTATTTATGTAAATGATATTTCCTGATATGCCTGAAATTCCTTGGCACACTGTGCTCTTCTATTTATCGAGGATGACTCGACGCGCCGCGACAAAAGGTCAAAACCCTGGACACTTGCAGGGATTCCTGAAAGCAGATTTAATCTATGGGTAAAGCTAATTCGATCGATAACAGAGACGAGAGAAGTCAGTCGCATAATACGCCTTCTGCAACGGCAGAATTATTAAAAATAAATACATACTACCGCAATTATCTGAAAATATATATTCTTACGATACGCACCGGTGAACGGAACAGATAAAAACACTTTGGTTTACATTATTTTTTAGATTCGATACAGATTAGGTCTCCGGTCGCGTTTACTTTTCGATAAAGATTCCGTATGGCACAGGTTACTTCCATTAATGATTGCATCACGTTAGTTACATACCTAGTTATCATCGAGTTACGTAATTAAATGATTTCAGCGAACCTCATGAAAATTTTACTTGACTACAGATTTGTATGTATTCCTGAAACGAACATTACTGCTTTACTTCTTTAAATTAATGCAGACGCAAGATAAACGCTGGATTTTGGAAAAGAATCCTAATAAGAACATAAAATTAAATTTATTTTTTAACCGTTATACGTCGAAAAGACTGTTCTTCTAACAGCAGCGACATTCCTAAACACCTTCACAAATCGATGAATAAGGAGGCGACATGAACCATTACCATAACGATATCTTGATCAAGCAAACGATGCCTACGATCTTCGATAGATTTGCATACCTATGACAATTGGTACTACTTTCTTATAGTAATTACGTTGTCGATCTCTCATACTGAAGTTTCATTTATCCTATACTTGAATGGAATAACAGACTTGGTAATAAAGAAGATGTGGGATATAGACAAATGAATATCGGTCCTCGAGTTTAGTAACAAGAGCGTGAAGGCTCGTCAGACCGAAGGCGAATCTAAACTTTACACTTTGGATGCACATTCCGGATGATTCATCCACCGTGAAAAGTGTAAACATTGTTTTCGTCCGCACTGCTTCCAAAATGAACATCCAAAGTGAACGATGAACCAAGTAGAACCGAGTTCTACGTTTGACGAATTGAACGTGCATCGGGAATGATTCATCAGTTGTGGAGCGACAATGGCCAAGTCTAAATGTGTCCGTAAAACAAGTGAACATTCTCGGAAGTCCGGTACCAATGTTAAATATACTTTTCTGCATTTCGACTTCCGGTAATCGGTTTCTGTGTAGATTTGCTGGCATAATACCGGTATTAAGTCCCTGGTCTTAACACTTTAATGGCCGCACGTATCACGCGAAGACCGTTGTCCGTCATCGCTGATATTGTAGACCAAAGTGAGACACACGAAGATGCTAGAAGTATTATTATAAGGAATTATAAATGTAACCTCAACAAATAAGTTGAATGTATGATGAAATGGTGACTGATACAGTAGATCACGCACGCGTGACAGTGGCCAGCGTCTACTAGCTCGCAAAGTCACGTATACGTGACAGCGGCCGTCAAAGTGTTAAGACGTAAGGCGAGTACTTTGATTTAATTTCTTTAATCGGCCATAATTATTTTAGTATGTAGATTCAACCACCTGAAATATCGACATCCATTCATGGAACACCGTTATAGGAAGAGATTGAAGTACGAAGGCCGAAAAAACGTCGATTAAGGCTGTGGAAGTAGCACTCTGTGCATAGAGCTAGTTGCTACTGTATACGAAACTACGTCACGTCCGCATTTACGTTAATCTGCTGTCGGCCGGTTTGGTTACCTCCGTCATTTACTTGGACAACGTGTTCGCACAACGCACCGTTTACACCTCAAATCTTCCTACGTTCGCTGTTTTTTATCAGCCAGTTTCCCTAAAATTTATATAAAATTATAACAGAATCAAATTAGATTTTCACTTCGGAAAAAATCGCCAAAGAGATAAAAATTTCGTTCAATTAATACCGGGTCACATTGACCCGCCCTTTTTACCAATACCTTTTGTTATTAACAAATTTAACGCTGATAACATGTTTTAGAACAATACCTTGTACAGATAGTGTTATCATAGTCATAGATTCTGTAACAATTGAAATTCTACGAACCTATTTCATACATAAAAAATAACGTATTATTTTCTGTGTTGTAAATTTAGTAAAATTGCTAAGAATTTCGTGCCATTTGACTATTTTACGAGATTTTTAGAAAAGAAAACGAGAAAACTGTACGAGTTATCGGTATGTATGCTAGAACTGTACACTAAAATTTTCCTATCCTTAAATATATTATAAATAAAAATTGTTCACATTATCAAATCGTTTCAAATAACAATATTCCATTATTTCATTATTCCAGTAAATAACATGCAAACGATTTCTCTGGGAACATACTAACGCCAGCGATATCCTCGATCGGTTTCATTAAATGATCACGATAACGATTGATCTGAACAAATGTTTCGTTTGTCAAATAATAAATATTACTCTCTTCGTTTCATTCTTTCCGCTTCCATAGATTATTCTGAAATCCGCCTAAAAAAAAAAAATGCGAATTTAGAATAAGTTAACAAGTGCCTTTAAATAAAATGCGAGATCAAGTGTCGAAATAAAACATGCTAAAGTGTGTACTGCATTTTTAACAAGAACCAAAAATCTCTCAAGTATCAACGGTCGCAATAAATTCCCGTATTTATGTTACTTGGTCAAAAATAAGATACAATGTATCGAGTCGAAGTATCGTAGAACGACGGGGAGGCAATTACAAAATATTATGATTGGTTCTGTTCCGAACCTTAACTTATCGCTTCCAAGAAATTCTTGTGACTAGAACAGACCATATAGTCAAAGATTTACGTCCCGTTTGTCCACGGGTTTAGTAAACTGTCTTTCGTACAAATCTTTCTCATAAAAACGTTACCAACGAGCGAGGCTGCGAGTTAAAGTTTGTTTAGAAACGGATCTAAAATTTATAAACGTTATTCGTTAATTAAATGTGCTAGACTCTGATTTTGAATAGCATATCACGTAGAACTTCAATATAGTACATTACACCTGAATAAATTCTCCAATTACTTCGACAACATTATAATTTAATGACGATGTCTTTAAATATTAAATTCTTGTGTTTTGTTTGCTAACGAATGGAAGTTGCACGACGCCCAAGTAAACCGGATACGTTTCTGTGAATACGTATAGTACATATATATGATTCATATACTGTACGAAATACTCAAACGTACGTTGTTCCGGTACGATTGAAAAGCCAGATGTTGCGGAAAACGCAATCCGGAAGAAGCGATCGGCACGACACTAATTTATTAATTTATGCCAAAGACGCGCACACGCCCAAGCCCGGCAACGGTGACGTAACTGTAAACACAACACCACTAGAAACCAAAGAAACTGCCTGATCGAAGAAAGATTCGTTAAACGATCGTAGATCTAATTTTCGTTCATCGAATTTGATTATTTTGACCATCGGGTGACATCAGGATCTTTATATACTCAGAATCGACGAAATAAATGCTTTCTCTGATATCATACTTTATACATATATAACTCGATGACAATACACGAGCAATTCGAAGGTTATTTATAATAATTAAGCAGCGACTTTGGTATCCCAGCGAAATCATTTGCACCGAACAATCTGTGGCAATTTATAACATCATTACAATCGAAAGAACTATACGGCGTGATTATATCATTATTATTATTATGCGCACTGGTGTCAGATTATACATATACATGTAAACGGTTGGATTTTTTTTTAAATTTCTTTGGTTTGACATTTCACGAACATGATGCGTCCAAAAATGATTTCAAATAGAAAGCTTAAGAGACTATAATCGAATATCTATATATTATAGACTTATCGAAATAAAGGATAGATACGTACTTGTTTCTTAGAATGATTAGATTACCTTTCGTAATAGCATTTCCACGAACTCGTTTTTTAACGTAAAAATAGAATGAAACTGTAAAATCCAAGATACGGTACAAATTCTTACACAATATTCTCATTTTACTAGAAAATGCATATAATTATTCGTGCAAGTGTCGCGAATTTGTGAAATACAGGTGAACATTTTTTTAGGTCAACGATGAAGTAAAAAGAAACGTTCGATGTACTGATCTTCCATCGTTAGCACAATGCCTGACAGATTTTCAGTGGGAAGCGAAATTAGGTCAGCAACAGATAGGGTGTCTTGACAGGTGGACAAAACCATTCAGGGGACACCGTGTAGCGGAAATTAAAGCGCTATAAATGAACGCATAACCGCAATGGACATGCGTTCGTGCTTTTATTACCAGAAGAATACGAAAATGATAAAATACGTTAAATTATGAATTCGACGTATCGCGCCAGAAGTTATGCAAAAACACTATGGGCAATCGTGTTAATCAAGGTGATACGAAAACGCTAATTCACTTGTTCGCACAGTGAATAAGTTCGTCGTCAGGATCGATTTCATACTCATTTCAAGTGATCGTTCGAGTAAAACGATACCGATACATGGCAAATAACATCGTGTACACTTGAAACACGAACACAATTCGAAAGCTGTTGCGGGTGATATTAGAAGAAACGTCGTATAGCGATTTAAAGCAGAGAAATCAAGAAAGCTAAAGGCGGCACACGCCATTTTTATCTGTAAAGTCTTACCCATCACGAGACAGCCGATTGTAAAACATGATCGCTTTCGCGTTTTTGAAATGAAACCGAACGAAATCATGCACTTACCTTCTTGTAAGGATACCCCACGACACCGTTTTATCCCAGTATTTGCATAAAAACCTGTCGATGTACACCAAAAACCACTGATAACGATCCACACAAGTCCATCCACACACCCGACCGGCGCGCAACTGACTGAGCGCATACGGCGTCGACCTACGCCAGCGTAGCTAGTCCCAGTCCTGGCTTACCAATAGAAAACATGCATGACATTATGAATATGTACCTGCACAGTTCCTAGCTAAATAAAATTTTTAATCGAGACATTTAATACACGGAATTAATCAAAATATAGCAGCATGAATGCGCATACAATAATATTTCAAATATAACAAAAACTTTAGAAATAAGAATAGTCAGAAAATTACATAAAAGTATTTTATCCTAAGTCTTGAAGCATTTTTAATATTTTGAAAATGAAATAGAAAAGATACAAAAAATATATGAATGTATATAATATGAATAGTAATAGAAACATATACAATATGGAAAAATAATTTTTACATGCTATATCTATAACTCCCAAGAGCACATAATCTGAAAACAATTTTATAAAATACATTCTTATGACCATACTAGAAACCTGATTCAGGACTTTGTTATGTTAATGTGAAATTTAGACTGAATTTTCAAGCTCAAAGGCATTTTGATTACTCAAGTTTTTAAACAACTATTTTATCTCTTAAGTCATACCATTTTAATATTGATCGCTAAAAATGAACAATCATTGCTTCTGTAATGCATTTTTACTATTATGTAACTTATTTCTATCGTTAGTAGGATCATGTCCGATTCTTTCCAATTAAAAAATCTACTACGTACCAACATGATGAAATTTTTAAATAATTACCTTTGTACAATATACTATTCATTTTTAAGGTTATTAATGAAGTTACAAACAAAATTGTATTTCATTCCTATATAAGATGTAAATGTTTTAATTATCTCTGATTAAAAGTATAAAGGAGTTACCTCAGTTCCGCATTTTTTATAATTAATATTATCAAAGTAATTCCGTTGCATAGTAAATAGGTATACAAATAATTAATTTTCTGTTTTACCGAAAAATTTAAATAATAAAGCGTTTACGTTTGCGGCTACATTTAGTACATCTGTACTGTACCTGCCTTATAACAACCGGCGTAGGAATACAAGATAGCTTATGACATCACTAGTCCAGTTTACCCATTTTCTGGACCGGCACGCCCCATCCTCTCTATTACACATTATTACGAAAACTTAAAAAGTTGTTATTTTTGTAATGTAAATATTCGAAAACCTTAAGATATTTAGAGAAGCGTTCAATATAAAAATATTAAATGCAAGTGCATTAAGTATGTATATCGAATACATCTGTTTTTATCGCAACAAAACTTTAATGCCAAAAGTCGTTATAAATACTTTATATTGCTTGTCTTTTCGTAATTCTTAAAATTGAAAAATTTAAAATCATAATTGTTTAAATTATAATTTGCGTTAAAATTGTAAATTATATTATGTTACAAAATAAAAAAACAAAAAAAAGATATATATATATATATACACGTTCGCATATAAAACGAAGGACGTTAGTATTTTGTTTGATTTTCTTCCGAGGATTTAAGATTTGTTTTGAAAAAATGAAATTGTAAATTCTATAACGTTTGTTTTATTATGAAACTAAAAATAAACTTGGACTAGATTACAGAAAATATGAGTAAGAAGGCGAATGAAAAAGTGTGTACATTTATATACGTAACATGAGCACAATATACATTTTACATTACTAAATATAAATACATTTAAATTATTTCTTCCTTATCCTCTACGATCTTGACACGAATAATGTACAATGTCGCCGTTTGGATATCTAGCAAACGCGCTGCAAAATAAGTTTTTATTATAATTTAATGTTACAGAACAGATCGATTTATACTATTCGTATAACACGTAAAACGAACCTTTGATTGCCAAATCTTTTCTTGCATACCGGGCATATATTAAACTCTGTCATGAGAACGTTATGTGATTCGTAATACATACGCTGCTCTTGTACTTGTAAGTGTTCGGCGCAAAGTAAACTTTTCAAAACTTGTACCCGCCTTTTAGCAATGAATGTCTCGTGCAAGCTAACTTCTAAAAAGTGTTTTATTCTACCTATTGGAATTGTATCTGGTAGAATGTCCAATACTTTCAATGGATCTATTCTTGATGCATGTTTTTCAAGGATTTCAAGCGCCATTTCCAGATCAGGTTGCACTGTTCGTTGAATTTCTGGATTACATACTAAGAGATGTATTATTTTAAATGTATATCTACTTTTATTACTTTAAAGTGAAACTATTATCGTACACGGAGGATGGAAGGGGGCATTGTATCTGTTGCGAGATCACAGTACATCATATGGCGCTAGGTTTTCAATTAATATCGTTCGATTAATCGAAAGACCCTCCGCCTTGCGACAGATTCAATCCTCCCATGCGTATACGTTCAATTTTTACCTGTTTTCAAAACTTCGTTATGAGGGTATAATAACTGTTGAATAAGCATTCCATAAACCTTGTCTGCATCATCAGATTGTTTTTGTTTATCTGCAGTTTCTTGATTTGAAAGTAGTAGAAAAATAGTTATATAAATCTGTAAATCAATCCCTCGAATATGTGTATTAATACCTACTTTGATATTTGTCGTACACATTTTGACAATAATCGACCGCCTTTTGTATATCGTTAAGAATACTGGCATATATCGATATAACTTGTTGGTGACGTCCGAGTCGCCCGAGAATAATTGCACGTTCCTCGAATAATTGATCAAACGGAAAATGTATTAATATTGTCTCTGGTGTGTAATACATAGATTTCTCTAGAAACTGTAGCAATTTCTGTCTAATATGTTGACCGGCTTGTTTTTCAGCTGGTGTAGCACTATCGCTCATAGATGCTAAATATTTTTCTTTATACTGATGTATCAAAACGTTATGGCACAATGAATTAGTGTCGTTCCAAATGTGTACTACGTGCTCTAAGTACGTTATAACTAAATCTTTGTAACAACGGAGAAGATAGTCCAATACCTTTGGCCTTGGTAATTGTTCAACTTCCTACAATTACGAATGTAGTATATATGTATATGCATAAAGCATTGCATCACAAGTCACATTACCTGTATATCATCTATAAAAATTCGAAGCCCTTGTTCCGGATCTTCGTTCAGAACCCATCCAGCAAACTTTAAAATTAAATCAATATAATCTTTACCAAGGTGTTGCAAGTATTGTATTGTTCTTTCGGTACCCTTGAGACTAGGATCGTTCTCTTTTGCATGTTTTTCAAGAAGTTCCAATGCTTTTCTATGTTGTCCTTTAGTTTGGTACAGTATAATAAGCTCTGGATACTTTTGATACATGAGTAACGTTTTCTCAGCTTCTGCCAAGTGACAATGATTTAACCTAAGTAATGGCGCGACTAATGCATCGGTTGTCTGAAAAATAATACCCTGTAATGCAGGTTCAATGGTAATTAGTAAATTTTATAAACTGTAAATTATTACCTGTAAATAACATTTTAACAAAGTCGTGTCTATAATTTTTAAAAGTTGTTCGATAGCTACATTTGTCAAATTTTTTTCCACTATTGTATCGCACATTAACTCATATCTAACTTCGGTAAGAAACGATATTAACGCGCGTAAACCTTTTTCTAAATCGTGATCTTGTAATTTCGGCAAACTGGGTGTTGGATCGTTGAGTTCTGGATTATTACTCGACAGAGTAACTAAGTCGGGAAACAATCTGATCACTTCATACGGATCTGTTCTTAACTTTAGAAACAAATCCATTGCCTCTTGAAATCTTTTGTTATTAAAAAGATGATGCGCATATAACGTTTGTATTTTATACGTTTGTTTCATTTTTTCTTCTTCCGTTATATCCAATAAATTCTAAAGTAATAAACAAAACATATTAATTGTTATAAACTAATTATAATCAACAATCGGTGGTATTAAGTGATTAAAAATATTATTTACATACTGTTAATTTCCGTGCTAACTGAAATTGATTTTGTTCTAGTAATGTTCTAATTTGGAGTGTTACATCGACTGCCCTCACACACCATATATGACTAATTGATGCCACAAATATCTTTCCTTGTTTACATCTATATATAAGTCTAGCTTTGTTCAAGTCTTTTATCGTTTGAATGTGTATGCAACCCTCGATAGTGTACACTTCTAATCTGTCATGTACAATTCCAAGCAGATAAGGATTGTCCCAAGCTGAAATAATTTAATCTATGTAACACTAAAATACAATAATTTAAAAAAATTATTTATATTTTAATTTGTATACCTATTGCACTTGGTGTATCAGGCCACTTTACTGGATTATGTTGAATCAATTCACCTTGTGTATCCATAACAAATGATTGAGAATCTTTCCCTAATACAAAGGAATTATCAGACAATTTTGTAACACTTGGTTCAGGAGACTTTCCAGTGGGAAATAATTCTTTAGGCTTTCCATCTAGATCCAAAATTGTGTATGACAAACCACGAAAACCCAAAATCAGTGATCCACCACACCTACATTATAATTAAAATACTTTATCATTCCTTATCAGAACTAAATTACCTTGTCTCTATTATAGGCACAATACATACCAGGATAACTCACGTGGTATATCTGGTACGCTCAATTCAAAATTTTTAAATTCCTCAAATTTTTTTCCTTTGCACAAATATAACTGTAACTTGCGTTTTACAGCAACACATAAGTGTACAACTGTATTTTCGTTTTCTATTAAATTCTTTGATGACTGTATATCTAAGGTAAATAATGTAGCACCTCGAGTCTTTTGTAGTTGGTAAACTTGTTGAAAATTTGGAGAATTTAAATCATGAACACATACTATATTATCTGTAAGAAGGAATAGTAAGAAAGATTGGTCCTAGCATAATTAAGAATACAAATGGAAAACTACCTGTTAATATTATCAATAAATTATACTCTGGTACAACATCTATTTGCGAGATACGTTTTTTGTTAACATTTTTACTATGACGCAGTAATTCTAATCTATGACTCTCATCTGACACAGATGGAACATTATACATCAGAAGATGACCCTCTCTTGTACCGATTATCAAATTATCATCTGAAATGTATTCATATGCACACAGAATTAAATACAAAATCAAGTAACAATATTAACTAGTCTAAATTATTTAAAGTAATTGGCTAGCTGTTAGACTAAATAGTGTCAATCATTTATATTAAAAGTTTTTTATTCAAAGGTTATATATGACCTACCATATGCAGCCATAGACTCTATTTGAACAGAGATATTTAATATTGATGTTTCTTCATAAGCGTCGTGCATTTTGGTGTTTAGAAGATAATTTCTCAACAGGTTAATACCAAATTAACTCTCTTGTGATTCAATAACCACTACTATAACGCGCCTCCACAATTGACATTTAACTGTTTGACAGCGTTCGAATTAGTTCCGACTCGGAACTAATAACTTATAATCAGTTGTAACATCTATATACTCCAGAAGATATTATTATCCTGTAAAAAAGAATCATTCGGGTCCTTTAACATAATATTTTACAAGTTAATAAGTTCCTATAATTTGTAGAAACATAGAGGCGGATTCGTAACATAACAAAGCAAAGTTTGCAATGTCACTTACCTAAGAGTAAAGATGGCGACCATTAATGTTTCAGCAACATTAAAATGTAGATTTGAAGTGATGTTCATCGACACGTTTCAAATCTTCATTGATAAAACATTGCATCTTTGCAAAACCATAGTAGTATAATGTTTAATACAGGTAGTTTAATCTAATAAGTAATATTTTGAATTTCGAAGTTCTACAAGGTTATCGCTTAATAGAGGAAGAAAATATTTATTAAATATCAAAGTTGAAAGATTGATTTTTGATCACAAAATGGTACTTCTTGGATCACTGCGTCTTGTCAGGGACATTTTTCTTTGCTTTAAATCTAATTTCCCAAAAATTTGTATATAATTTCCTAAACCAGTCAAAACGGGGGCCCATATGATACCTAGTTTTTACTCGAATTTAGCAAGTACTATACTGAAATGATTTTCAAGCGCGCATGCCTAAAAAAGTAAAACTGGTACGCAACAGATTTTTTTATTTCTTTTAACGTGTGTATTATGATGTTTTCTGTCCGCCAGTTTTACATCTCTTGCGGATTAATATCTAATAAAAATGTCAAACTCACTTGTGAACAAAGGGCTTGAATTACTAGGATACGAAAAGAGTATAAAACAGGGTTTGTATTTAATTGGTGTAGGTTATAGATTTATATTAACCTGTAAACTTGATAAATAATGCAAATTTCGTACTTTATAGAAAAAAAGAAAAGAAAACACATAAAATATAAGGGTACATTAGACTTGATTCCCCCAAAACATAGAATATTATCAAAAAAAGACAAAACAGGTACATATGTTACTTGAAATAAAGATCTTATAGAAGGATCAATCAATAAATTTTAACTGTTTTATAGATCTTGGCACAATCCTTGGACGGTCAAGTAAAGTGACTGTTTATGAAACTCAAAAACGATTGGTAGCACAAAAGGATCCTACAGAGGAAAATGTGCAAAGGCTTTTAAAGCTTAGTACCAATCATATTAATTTAGATGAAACAAATAAGGTACCAAATGATTTTAAACGTTTAAAACAATTTGTACCAGGAATCACATAAATTGTTATTTGGTTATAGCTATTTAATCGAGCTATAAAGAAAAAATGTATTCCAAGGAAGGAGAAGCCTAAGGAACCTGAAACTACTGCATTCACAGAAGAAGATTTCAAGAAATTTGAGCAAGAATACATGGATCAATAACTTGTAAAACATTATTCTTATATATATATATACAAAAAAAGCACCATTTCACTTTGTATGGAAAAAAATTGTTTATACAAAAAGTAATTTCACGTACATAAATGTTCAATTTTAAAATATTCAAATTGAAGTTTAAAAATGTTTAACAGTGATTGTGAAAAAGGTAAAGTAATACTGATTGTGACATTAGTTTTATTTCTCTATTACACTATATGGGTGATTGGTCTACCATTTATCGATGATAACAGGGTACAATCACTTTTTGGTTCTCATAATCTTGCTTTAATAATACCTGCAGTTTTGGGTTTATGTTTCGTTGGTGGATTAGTATTGTTCACTATTTATCATATCTGGCCATACTTTTCATATGACAAATTCAGCAAACTTCACGAATCGTAAATTTTATATGAAATATTTTACAGAAATACAAACAAAAAGAATTTCATATTCTTCGATTAATAGTCGATGGTTTTGAAGTTAGGATGACTTATATAACTATATTGCATCACTTAGACTATCCCATTAAGGTTTAGGTTACTCTATCTACCATAGAAGAGAAAGAGACCTATTAATAAGAGAACTTAAAATGTCTTCAAAAAAATGGATTATAATTGGTATTTCTGGTGCAACGTGTAGTGGAAAAACTTATTTAACTAATAAACTTCACAAGGAATTGAAAAATTCAGTCATAATACAACAAGATAACTATTTCTTGCCAATAGATGATCCGCGGCATACAAAAGTACCGAAACTCAAGTGTTTGAATTGGGAAATTTTAACCAGCATAGATATGGATAAAATGCGATCAGATATTTTAAAATTAATTGAATCGTCACCAAACAAAGAAACTGTAGCAAAAACAAATGATAAGAATGTTTTGATAATAGATGGTTTCTTACTTTTCAAATGTGAGGTTATTTCTAATTTATGCGATCAAAAATATTTCTTAACTATAACTAAAGATGAATGTTGGATGCGAAGGAAAGATAGAAGTTACAATCCACCAGATGTTCCTGGGTACTTCGAGAATGTTGTATGGCCGGAATATTTGAAACATTTAGACGAATTAATGAAAGACAAAGATTTATACAAAACAATAACATTCCTTGATGGATCAAAAAGTAAAGAAGAACTGTTTCACATGGTTTTCGCGAAAATAAAAAAATTGTTATCTTAAAATTTTCAAAATGTCATTATTACACATTTAAAAAAACACTTACAACTAAAAATAAATATACACCATGAACTGGTCTGGATATTTATCTACCATTCAGTGAAGACAAAGTGATATTTGCTATACATTCCAAAGATTGCATGGTACAAAATAGAAATAAAATTACAAAGTATTCTCTCTAATTATCTAAATCATTTATCTTGGGTGTTCTCCTGCTAAGTTAGAATAAAAGAATTACGATAGCAAATTTGTTTTGTCTATTAAATTTATATAACAATGGATCACTTCTGATTTTACCGTAAAAAGCGTACTTCACTTACCTGGCACAAATTGTGCATTGAGCGTTTTTTTTTTTTTTGTTTTTCGTAAATCATAATGAAATCTGTGTACATCACTTTCGTTTTTATGACAAATATATATGTACATGTCATTGTTGGAATATCAACAATGAACCTGATTTTATGAACTCCCATGAAAATGCCCTTGTACAAGTTGATGTAGCATACTTATTTTTTGTTAGACATGTAATAATTTCGTAGCTAAGTATTACAATGTTCTAACTATACCATGTAAAATTTCCTTTTGCTTTCACAGTATTTGTAAAGCCTGCTTCAGATGCTAAGTATTTATTGAGGAAATAATTTTATATTTTGTACAAATATTAATTGTATAAGGCTTAGAAATAAAGTATATTTTGAACTGGTAACTCCTTCACAGACACGCGTTATAATTTACATTTTATTTATTCAGCCTTCAATGTTAGAGATTCAGAAAAAGCTTACAACTTATAAAAAAGACATTTTTTAATTTTTAATACTTTCCTGTTTTTTTTTCCGTTTCGATATTTGTTTAATTTGAACAAAATTTTCGATATCTATCTTCATCCAAAACAGGCTTTTAAATAGTTGAGTTCTCGGCTTTTAACAAGATTTTTTCATTCATTTTCTGTTTTTTAATAAAGATAACGCACAACGACGTGTATATGTTACATGGAATAGGCGTTATGTTTAGATTGACCTTGCACGTTTGTAACATTTATTGGAGCAGGTCCAGCTGTCAGATCATCTTGATCATTTTGCCCACAGGCTTTTCGAATATATTGTGGTGTAAGAACAACTTCTTCTTCCATTTCAAGTACTCGCTTGTCTAACTCCATACATATTGCCATCTCCTTTTCTAGCTTTGCCAACATTTGTGGTGAATTATATTTCTCAGGATCATCATGAAATACTACCATACCATCCTTTTGATTGATTGTTGCAAAAATCTCTCCATCTTCAATCTAAGTGTATAATGTATACATATATATATATATATATACATATATACATATATGTATATGCATTACCTTATATTAAAAAAAAATAAATGTATTTACCATATTTAATATGTATTTTTCTGCATCAGCAGGTCCTGCTAGTTGAACTCTGCTTGCCACATCACTTAAACTAAGCGTCAAAAAAGTCTTGGTCAACCTTTGTATATTTTTTTTGTATAAATAGCTGAGCACTTGTTTCACAAGTCCCATATTGTGATCTCTCGTAAAATGTTGTTGATATCTGGTGATAATCTTCTGTACTTCTTCGCAACTATTCATCAGATAAGCTGTGGCTAGATCCTGATATTGTAGACTTAACGGTTTCATGTACCTATTGATCACTTGACTTGCATACCTAGGTAAGTTTAGAACCTTGCCATGCATTATTAAAGAGACCAAAATGTACTTTTTATAGGCTTCTAACATAATGTAACTAACTGCCATAGCAGGTGTTGTTACACACACTTCAAAAAAATACAATGCTCTATCATAATTTTTCAGTGCAGTATATATTATACCACCATAATAATAATAAAGCAAAAAGTATTTTGAATCAAATTGTCCTCCTTCTTCACTGATACCAGTAACATCTATGTCAAGAAATTCAAGCGAAGGTTTGAAACACTTAGACAGAAGACATAGTTGGCAAAGGTGAGCATGTATTGAAGTTAGTTGGCTATCAAACAGTTGAATTTTACGTATTGCGCGACACAATAATTCAATACCGCGCAAAGGTATTTGCAATTCAACTAATTTTTGTGTAAATAAATGACATAATTCTGCATCTATAACATAAATCATAAACAAAATGAGATTTTACTATTTACAAGGAATTTAAATTTTTTTTAACTGAAAAAGACGAATAGGAACTTACATGTTTCAGGAGCAAATCTAACTTGCTCCCCATTACAACCAATGATAAATTCTTGAACTTGATTAAACAATGGTTTATAAGCATCTGCATTATTTGCACCATTAGGATTAGGCAGTGAAAATTTTACACACAATACCGCCAAAATACCTAAAGAATGTTGTTGCAGATCTAATGTTTCCAAAACATTATCTAAGTGCTGTCCATTTATCATTAATACATCTGTACTTTTACTTATTATTTCACATAGCTCTCGGAAATTACCTATAAAGCATAATGTACTTACATTGTATCAATTAGTAATTACTTCTTAAAAAAATATTGTGATTCCATTTGTAAATTCAATTTTCGAAACAATAGTTTGTATAAAGTTACAAAGTGAAATGTTGATATACATATCGAAATTTTGGCCACTAATACAGGCCTAATATAGAAATTGGATCTTCGTAATATTTGAATGAAACTAATTAAAAGGATTATTGAATATTTTATGAAACAGATTGCAAATTTGTATGTTAATTTTTGGGGGGAAGAGGTTATTTCACACGAATACAATCCGTTCTAATAAAGAATCATTTGTGATTGTTCTTATAGGTTATGTTCACAAGAATTTAGGGAAGGTTTAAACATCTGTCGAACCTTGTTTCGAAAGCATCCGCACGTTATTTACAAACTGCTCCAATGCCGACGCCATTACTGCAAATGCTTTCTTCTCATCACCACCTTTGATTACTGGTAAGCCGTATTTACAGAAATTATTTTCGCGAACAAACGATCACCCAGGATGACGTTTTGAAACAGGCAACCGGAACGCTCCGAAGCATGTTACGAGAATAGCTGATTGCATCGAACTCCCTCTTGTATATACACTATGATCAACATGCAATTTGAATCGATATTTATTCGAATAAATTTGTCAATCCTACGGACTGAAATCTTATATCTTATATCAAAAATTAGGTAAAATACACTTTAATTTTTACGACATATATAGATATACGTCGCATCTAAAATTCTTAATCCTGAAAAATATGATACTGAATTGTCAAAACAAAAATTAAAATAAAAATAAGAACGGTTATTTTCTGATTTTTTTCCAATAACTTGTTATTTTTTATTTAGATACGGTAGACATACGTGTACTGATAACTATTTAATAATAATTTAGGTAGAATTTCGATGCGAAAACAGTCGTAAGAAGGATACAATTGTATTCATTAGTTCGGGCAACCGTAACAATATTTAAAATTCAAGATACTGTCGAGAGGTGTCTTTTTAATTTAAAACAAGTGTCCTACGTTTTTGTATGTACAAAATTGATCAAATTATATGTATTATCGGTATGTTATATTATCAATACCTGTAAATAAATTGACATTAAATATAAATAAGTATGTGTAATCGTAAGACGAGCGTATTCGAATACTTTGACGTTCGAAATAAATTTAAGTTATATTTTTGTTTGTCTCAATTTACATTATATTATGCATCGATAACAATATACATAAATAGAAAAATATCACTTCATTCTTATTCAAAATAATAAATACTTCCTTATGAATTCGCATTTATTGTTAGACCGATCGATGGTTGTCAGGGTATTAACGATTCCTACAATTCTGGAAATGAATAAAACCAAGTGCTTTGTCCCATTGTCGTCCATCGCATGTTTGGGCAAATACTTTATGCTCGAATTAAAAACAAAGTACATATTATTAAATCTAATTAAAAGAGCTTTAAAAAAATTATTTTTATAATGTCGAGTGCAACCTACGACGAGCTTTGGAAAAACACGCAAACTGTTCTGGACGAACTTATTCAAATGGATATGAGCTTGCAAAACGCCGAACCGCAAAAAGATCGTGTGCAAGCTCGTAATATAATTTCAGAATTGTACGTGAAATATATCATTGTCTCTAATAAAATGGAACTGTGTTACGATCAAGTAATACAGCCGCAAAAACGAATATTAATAAGACAATTATTAGATTCGTGTCTTGGTAGAATCTTGGAGCTGAAACATGAGTTGGTCGAAATAGATCTTTCGGAATATAGTTATTTCGATGACATTTTGATAAAGTTACGTGTCACGCCGCAAGAAATTGAGATTCAATTACCGAGGTATTTCAGACGCGAACGTTCGAAAGAGATCGAAGAGAGGCGAGAGTTTATAGAAAATATTTTAAGAAACACAGGTGTCTTATATGAGGTAACATTACCAAAAAAGATGACCGAATCCGAAGCTGTTAGACTTATACAGGTATAGATATTGCAGAAAAAATATTTAAGATAAAAAGTTAATTTTCAATCGAAATACTTTAGGCTCACGAGCGTGGGAGGCAAGGAAGGCTGAGGTTCCAATTTATAAGAGAAATTCGTAAACTGAAAGAAAAATCGGCATTCAAAGCAGAAATAGAGATGCAAGATAAATCGACTGAAAGAGCAGCTGCAATGAAAATTCAAAAAGTTTGGAGAGGATACGTTACTAGACGAAAAATTCGAAAAAGACGCCTCGACGAAATGTTGTTAATTGGTAGTTATAATTTGTAAAAAGAAACATTAATATGCATAAATAACGATCGATATATTGTAATATATTTTCGAAGGTATGCTTCAGCCAAGCCAAGAAGTTACTGAAAGTGCCAGACAGGCTGAGAGAATTAGACAAGATAGATACGAAAAACAAATGAAATACCAACAATTGTACGAAATTTCAACGATTGAAATTGAAGAAAGAATTCGTAAAGAAAAAAGTGCTATAATGGAGGAAAATATAAGAAGTGAAATTCGAAATTGGGTAAAATCTTGCTTCCAAGAAACAGGAAAAATTCCTGATTTGCCATCTGCAGAGAGTGGTGGATCCAGAATCATATTTAGTAGACAGGTAATATTTACATTTCTATCGTATGTACGATATTTAAGGATGAGCAGACTATGCTGTTTTATATTTAGGGAACTGAAAGCACTATAAGCAAATCTACAGCAGTGTCATCAAAGGAGTCCAAAAAATCAAAGAAATCAAAGTCAAAGAAAGACAGTGAAACAGAGCAATCAGAAGAAGAAACAGAACAAGGTTTCAAGTCAATTCCTTCTAATTTTTTAACTAAATTAATATATGCTAATCAAGAGTATCAAGAAGTATGGAAAAATGAAACAGAACTCATGAATGCCATGGAATTACCAAACTTAAGTATGATAGAAAGCATAAAAACTAAAGAAGTTGAACACGAAGTAAGAGTTATGGTAGATCAAGTACTTAGAGGTAAACTTTTGTTAGGATCTGAATACTGTGCATAAAATTATAGTAATATGATATATTTAAAATATATATAAAAGCTTTTGAGGTTTTAATCATGCCCAAAAAATTATAATTAGGTGATATAGAAGCACTACAAAATGCATTAGACAGGGATAAAGGGTTTAAAGGTAAACGTGCAAAAAAAACACAGAAGCGAATTCGCCGTAGTGGGAAAAAGAATAAGAAAAGGAAAGATAAGGATTTAACTCCTGATAGAACAATAGAATCTTTGATGGAAGAATTATTGACAGAAGACATCATTAAGCTCCATAGAGAAATTCCACTTAGCGATTTCAAAGGGGAAAAATCTTTTGCCAACTACAATCTAAGAGAAAGGGGAAAAGATCCTTTACCAGCACTCGGTTGAGTTAAACAAACAAATTAGTACATTTTATAATCTTCATTTATATTCTAATTTCTTAATTTCTCAAAATTAATTGTATTAATAGGAGATATAAGGCAGTTAATAGCCGAATATTGTATTCTCCCTTTGGGAAACGGTACTCTTAGAGAACTCACTCCTCTGGTAAGATCCGTCTTGATAGCTGGACCACATGGCAGTGGTAAAAAAATGTTAGTAAATGCAATTTGTACAGAACTAGGAGCTACTTTATTTGACATTTCACCAGCTAATATTGTTGGAAAATATCCTGGAAAATCAGGATTAATCATGCTTATTCACCTAGTATCAAAGGTGCTTGAAAAATGATAAATCAAATTAAATAAATGATATCCATATATCTAAAAGTATTCTTATTATACTCGTTCATTATTAATTATATATTTTCCTTTTGTTCCAAGATGTCACGTTTATTGCAACCATCAATAATATTCATGGATTCGGCTGAAAAACCATTTGTTAAAAAAATTTCAAAAACAGATAAAACTGATCCAAAACGTTTAAAGAAAGATCTTCCTAAGTTAGTAAAGAACATCACAAATGAAGATAGAGTAATTCTTATTGGAATTTCAAACTCGCCATGGGATGGAGATCAAAAGCTTTTATATCAAACTTATGATAAGGTCGTGTATATTCCCAGACCAGATTATGGGACTATGTCTAACGTGTGGAAAGATTTATTATATAAAGTCAGGTTTTATTCATTTATAAATTATACTATATATTTAATATTTCTTTCGAAAATTATGTTCTTGTTATATCTATAGTACTCTGGAATTAGTAGACAATTTGATACATCTGCCATGGCCAAAATTTGCGATGGTTTTACTATCGGAACTGTATTGGAATCAATTAACGAGGTATCGACGGAAAAATGATCGTAATAATGATATGGCTAATTATAAATTTTTCTCGTGTCGCAGTATTTTATAATGGTATATGTTGATGTACAGGTAATGACCACAAAACGTATGGTACAGTTAAGAACTCACACTCTAACACACGGTGAATTAATAAATGCGCTAAGTACTAAGAATCCAGTTTATTGTGAAGAAGAGGAAGCGTTTACAGGTATCATATTAATAATAGATAATGATAAAAGATAATCGTAATACATATAATAAATTGTAACTTTTAACAGTTCTTTTTATTGCAGCCTGGCTCGGTAAAACACCAATATATCGTAAAAAACAACGCGTCCTTGAATTAGAGCTTCAAAAGCAAAGAGAAGCAAACGAAAAAGAAAATAGAAAAGGGAAGAAATCGTGAATAAATTAATTCGCACAGTTATTCGAAATAATTGTACTACTGTTTATAAATAGCTTTCTTTCGCAACAATAAATATGTACGAAGTATAAACTCGCTAAACGAAAAAAAAAAATAGCATCGTGTTACTTATCGGATTTTATTTCATTTGTACGATTTTCGTTACCGAGTACCACGCTACCACGCATAAGAATTCTCGTAGAAATGCATGTAAAATCGATTTACGTAAGTAAAAGTAAACACAGTAATGTGACGACTATGTATGTACGTTCAAGATCAAAGTTCTTGGTATTGGAAAAACTGCTTTTGTTTGATCAAAAAACGAGTTTATGGATGATACGAGAAGGGTCAAGTAAAAAAAGTTGCGTGCTCTTGTTATCTGTGTTATTACATTCACTAACGATAATAAAAAGTAATGAAATTTTTTCTTTCTTAGTTAGCGATATATTTTCTTATCAAACCATGCAAACCGAATTATACGTTGATCAGCAAATACTGTTTTAACCATTCATTCTGATGTAATGTTATAAATAAATAAGATATTTTGTAATTTTAATACTAATGTTTTGTACAGTTTTAATAGCTTAGCTCAGCGATTAGGATTGTATACGTTTTAGTTGTCGATCGGTAAGATACTTCAATTTAAATTTTAGCAATCGTTTCCTTATACGTTAATTCTATGCAATTTTACAAATTCATCAATCTTTCTATGCAATTCTAAACATTCGGTAACTTATTGTATGCAATTGTATTAATTTCGTAATTTTTTAAATTCAATTATATTAATTCGATAATTTCTCGTAATTAAATAAATATTTTATTCTTACAGAAAATGCCAGACAGCGGTAGATACTGCCTTCAGTAACGTGAATGCGAGTTAGGGCCGGCACAATTTCAATTCGGCCTGTTTTTATTCATGAACCTTCCTTTGTAAGAGAGATAAGTACGTAGGATGCCTCCGTTAGCTTTGCGTCGGGGCACAAAAGTCTCGTTAAGTCTAAAGTTACACAGGTTATACGTTTCTTTCTTCGGTTCACGTGATACAGCACACAGTCAACAGGCTCGAGTAAGTCAGTGGCAAAGACCTCTTTAAAATATATGGGATGGACATAGTACCACTTTTCTTTCCAAAAAAAAAATGTATGCTTAAATTCTATTCGCGTTAAATTATGTTGCGGGATTCTAAAAATCAAATATATTCCATAAAATTTAACTTACCGTAAATACTTAAAAAAAGTATTTTATTGCTTCATTTATCATTTTAACGTTTACTAATTTTACTGCTTTTTCGTATGTAATAAAAAGTATATACCTAGTCTACAGATTCATAAAGAAATTGGATAAACGTAAGCATTTTTTTTATTTGTAATAAATGACATCAGTTGACATGTTTGTAAGTGTTGGTTGTAAATATTGATGAAAATGGATGCATAATCAGATATTGAAGACTGGATAACTATTGTTTGTTCGACCTAAAGGTAGAGTGCAGGTAAATAGAATCACATGACTATGACAATGTCATACTGGCCGAATAAATATCTATACAAATGAATATGTATTTATATAATAATAATGTACCATTTGCAAAATATTGTTAACTATTACTTTTATTACGAATTCATTATCATCGAATTTTTGATCGCTTGTCACGTATTCTCATGTTTCAACCCTACTTTATGTCCGACCTTCAAAGCAACCTTGGTCACCATAGTAGTGTCGAAACAGTAGACATCTACTCCATATTCAAGTTGAGCAGACTATATTTGATTATTAAATATTCACGACTTCCAGTTTTATTCAACATTGAAATTTAATAAGAGGTTAAATTATTATATTATAAATTATTCATTTCAATTTTTTCCTTTGCTCTTTTTATCTTACAAACCGTCATCAATGAATACGATCGTATTTGAAATACAAAATCATGTTAATGTTTAAGAAAAAACTGAGTGATACAGAATGTTATATACATATATTTTTTATTATGGCAGATTTTCGTGCGTCAAGATCCCGATTCTTTATTTGTCTAAACTGTGAATCGAATCGCATTATTATCCCGTTATATAACAAACTAAACGGGCAGCATAATAGTGATTTTATGCAGTGACATCACAGTCAAATTTTAGATACCCAAAAAAAAACAAAATTTAGGTGTTGATAAAACATGGTCAAACTTTACTCGGGGAATTTCTATAATTATATGATTTACGAAAAAACGAAACAAAATTTTAATATCATGAAAAATGAAATTTATAATGTTTGACATTTTGTAAATTTATTGAACCTTTCGTCTTTACGAAAAGAATGCTATTAAAAATATAATCCAAAACCTTACACTTTAATCGGAGAACACTTTTAGACACGGAAAGTTTTCAGAAGCTCGAAATTGAACGGGCCTTAAATGTTTTACAAATATTCTCGAAATCTGTAAGATTACGTTACTGCCACAGGGGTATCGATCCCTCGCGACGGTCGAGCGTGTTACAGCGACGAACTATTCCACGCCAGTTATCGTTACCGATAATAGAAAATTATGTAAAAACAAAAACGCGGAAGGTCGACATGTGACAACTGCATGTCCACGAATCGATCTGGACGTCGGATTACACGGATGTGGAATAGCCTGTCAGCTGAGGGAGTAGGTACGCTTCAACAGAAAAGCAGAATATTCGTAACAGAAGACGAGCCGCCGGTCCCGCCTAATGCGCTTGCGTACCGGAAACTTGTACTCCTATTGGTCGACAGCACATGGTCTGATGTCAGACCACATGGTCTGTCCAATTCAATAATAACGAGATGCTCACGAGCTAGAGGCTAGCCAGTTCTCTGCGACGTGCTCGCGACGCTGGTGTCGGTTATTGACGATAAGAAACCGCACGTCGCGCCTAAAGTCACTGAACAGCAGAACCATTTTCTAGATTATAAAATTCGATACATTCCATTGTCTCTTCAGTGCAGAAAGCACAAGCCGGTGGATAAGATCCGCTCTATTCATTCCAAATAAATTTCGTTGTGTACAAATCATAGGATTCTGGGCATCCTTGAGTAAAAGAAAGATAGAATTTGCAACATTTGCCAGGATTATATCCACGTGTGAGGTGAGTTATTACACAATACTCTATTTTAGATAGAAATCCATTAATTTGCCAATTATGGTTATGGTAGAATATTGATGATACATTAACGGTATAATTTGAATTGTCGATGAACAAATATTTATCATATACGTCTGAGTATCGTAAAGAGTGGTCGGTTAATTATTTGTTTATTAGAAGTTGGATTCTTACGATTCAAAATATTACCACATTGTCTGTGTGTAAAATCAAGCGTTCGATATCTAGTTTATTCAAATTGTTCAGCCTCGTCAAAGTGCTACAATATTTAGAGAAACATGGAACGTACATTTATATGTCATTTTTTTTGTGAAGATCAGTTGTTTCCTATAAACGTATGAGTATCAGAGTTCCCGAATAACGGTAAACGATTTTCGGTACTCGAATTACCAGTCCAATCCATAAGATAAATTGTTTTATTTTACGTACACATTTCAGTTATTAAATATATCTATAAATCCTTCCTGAACTATTGAAGACGTCCTAGTGTCGAGCGACACGACTTCACAGTTAGTTTCGAGGTTTCACATATCGTGTACCGTAAACACACTGTTTATCGCGATCGAAATGCTTGGAAAACGATTTCCGGTGCTCGTGCTTTTCGTATAAAGATCAGTGTCTGAAAAAATAGAATCTTCACGTGTAACTTAAATTCACGATCTCATATTGCCACGTCATACTAAATTTAATGATAGCTAAGCTTATCTTACGAGTAATAGTTTCGAGAGCGAATAATATCATTTTTCACAGAATTAGTAACGTGAAAGTTTGACTAGGAAGTGTACGAGTAATTTATATTCTGTAACAGTATACTTTTCTCGAATTTAGGAGATCTCGTGCAACATAATAAATGCAACAAAATATTCAATAAATATATTTGCTTAACCACAAATAGCGCGTGTGCAATTTCGAAAATGTTTTAAGTTTGACTTGTATAAACTTTTACTACTGCATCGCGCACTCTCTCGCTGCAATCCGCTTGCAGTAGTTTATCTACGTCGTTTCCGACCCGCAATATTTGCAAATTACTGCTATTTTATGAATTATAAAATATTGTTTCGTAAAACAATTAGCGATAATATCATTATAGTATAAACTGAACAGGGATATTGTATGTAAATTTCACAAGGCGAACCAGAATTTTTAATCGTTTTTAATATTAAAAATATTATAATACGTTCTTAACTAGCTGACTTAAAATGAAAACACTTTGATTCCTTATACATACATCGAAAATAATACTAATTGAGCAAGAGTGCCCCATTTTTATTGCAAGGTGTTCATATAATTATTTCTCATTTCTGACATACCGCGTATTGAAGAGCAATTAACTCTACGAGTTAATTAAGCATAAAACTTAATTGTATCTCACCATACCTGCTATCAATTCCAACGATTTCACGCCGTTAAAAAATGCGTCTGAAGGTGAATATTTCTTGAGTCATCGCGTTTCTTGGTTAGATAGCCAATCACGTGTTACCGACGACTGATCGATGGTGTAGTTTAAATCGTCCAACTTGGCACAAAAACCTGGAAACGAATGTTTATGTTCTGTACACGTTTTAAAAAAGTTTGATTAATCCTTTGCATATCGTTAACAGTCATATTAATTTACAAATTTCATCTTATTATATACCAAACTCTTTTTCCAAAATTTTCGAAAAAGTATCAGGATAAAAATATTAAATTAGCGAATTAAACGAATGTAACAAATGATATTTGAGTATGTTCAGGTTTATTCTGTACATCCTTCTCCTCGATGATAACGTATTTATTCAACTTTATAAATAGAAGTAATGCTTATTATTTTGGAGGCGAACATTCGCCACAAAACTTCTTTCCATGAGCACGTTAGAAGGTTCAATACACTACGTCGAACCATCGTCGCAATTTTGATTCTGTGCGCATTTACGTCGCGCAACACGTGATTGGCTGATGAACTAGGCAAATGTGTTGAATGACCAGTTCTGCCGCTTGCCACATTTTGTTTATCTAATAGATTTATTTGACGAATAATACCATTATTTATGGGAACACGATATAAATGGTATCTTACCCATTTTTAAATTAATATATCTGAATTACAAAGGTTAAACGTATGAATTTACGCATCAGAAGTTCTATGAAATATGATTTGTTTCTCACTTTCTTTGCGCACGCATGATAAATTGAATTTAGCTTACGTGTTGCGCAATGAAATTCAGTAGCCGAAGGAAGTTCAGTTTTCGAATATTGAATTATACCTGTCGCGGTGTATATACATTGAGCAACAAATTTGAGTTAACGTGCTGTTGATACGTGACATCTGAACTGCAAACAATAGCCATACAATTATTTTAATATATTTAGATTACAATTTTCATTCAATGGGCCAAGACAAAAAATTGATAATGCATAACATTTAATTAATACGTTCACGAAATATGTATGCGGAATTTGTAACATTTATTTTTGTCAGTGCATAAGTCTGTATTTCTTATTGAATTCATCGTGATCAAGGCGGGTTTTATGATAGAAATCTTTATATTCGTAACATTGGAAACGGTTAAAAGAAAAAGAAGTAATCCTATTCCAGTCTACAGTAAATTTCTTAATTTAAATGTTATATAAGAAACCGAGACGAACATTTATTTCATTATTATAACAGACTGATATATATGCTATATAATAACTGATTTAACGGAACTATCTTTTATTTGAAAAGGTAAACCGTGCTTATTCCAAGGCTAGTCGTATTTACCTTAGTATCGCAGCGACTTGACCATGAATTCCTAAAACACTTATGCTTTAACATTGAAAGAGTGTTATTAGTGTGCCTAATTGTCTTTTTAAAAAATTTAAAAATAAGATACTGGATACATAAAAAAAGCACACGAAATTTAGCATGTAACAATTTACTCGACCCAATACTATCGTACGCGTGATTAATAACATGTTATACATTATTATTTATTGGCGGCGTTTGTGTGCCGCAACAAATAATCGCTCCTCCTTAAAAGATACCCGCAACATAAACTCGTTGCTCTGTGATATAATATTACGTACTAAATTTGTTAATTTCATAAAATTTATAATTTCAAAAGTTAATTAATACTTACATAATGGTATCAAAACAAGTTATGAAAATTTTTCTGTGTGGACGGTCAGTAAAATATTCGATTATAATCATTGACGTACTATTGCTCAAACAACATAATGAATATGTACTATTGTATGTACTTGAAATATTTACGTCTACCGTTGACCATGACTGAACGTTACATCAGAATTTCTCAATTTACAACAAATTACAGTGTCCTAAATATGACGTCTTCTATATCATTTAATTTTGTCTACTCTTTATTTTGATCCATTTGCGTCTGAACAGAGATAGTACAGGCAAATGCCGTAGTACGAGCTATGATAAAGAACCTAATCTCGTTGTCTTAATGGAAACGACTGCATAAACAAAGTACAAAATATTTACGTCGTTTCTAAACCAGTGCCCTTAACATGAATTCCAATTGGATATATTTGATAACGGAGCAGTATCCTGAATTGTATCCAAGATCTGAATTTTTTAATTTGGCTGTTATTAAGCGTTCTCTCAAATGTCGTCGTGTTCTCGTGTATCACGCGATATTGTGTGATTTGACCGTGAACTTCCGCGATGCAATCGTAACTATCATTTTCACACCGCTTGGAGGTAAGATGCTATGTAAAACAAAAAAAAGGGAATCTTACGATGCGGTCGTAATTATTTATACACTGACGTTAACGAATCGTAAAATTTGTCAATAAATTATGTTAATTAATGCTGATGTAAACACTACAATGTATACTGATCGTGTATATCGAATATTCTTTGAGGGCAGGTCAATTATACATCATGTGCTTATTACTGCGGTCTGATAAAATATTCGAGTAACCCCGAATGCATAAAGAAGTACAAGTTCTACTGATTATTCAATGAGTAAATTTTTTCCAGCATTCGCGTTTTATGATGCATGTGCCGTTGACGTCTACAAGTCCGTTATGCCACATGTGAATTTAATGACTCTTGTATTCAATCCTCGTATACATATATTAATCAATGGCCACCAAAATTCGTCTCTTTCAAAACTCATTTTATTTTCTTTTTTTTCCCCCTTTTTCGTATAACATTTGATTTTATTACCATGTAAATGTATAATTTTTACTTTGCGCAATATTTGGTCAAAGTAACGATAATGAAAAAGTCGTGACGTAAAAGAGTAAATGAAAAAAAAGTGCATACGCTATTACTGCATGCATAATTCTCTTGATACGTTTTTAAACAAGAATTATCATGGGCGAAAATTTTATCTGAGTTGATTTAGTCTGGAGCGAATTCAATTGAAACCATTCAATCAGTCGTTTGTCGAGAAGTGGAGATAGTTATTGCAGTAATCTAATGCAATTGTCGAGACATCTGAGTAATCTAACGGCGCAGCAAACACTATCAATCTGCAACTGAAAATTTTTAACTGTAATTAACAAAATGAATTTTAAATTCAGTATTTCTATGATGTATATGTATAGGGATTAGTTTTCGTTTAATTATTTTCCTCCGCGATAATCATAATAATTTACTATGATACAGTTTATTGTTGTATAACATTAAAAATAACAAATATTTATCTTTAATTTCCAGCTTACTGTCCACTAGGTTTTCACGTCTGATAAATTCTGCAAAAGGAACATTTTGAGAGATCGTCGTATTATTACATCTATAATAATGCCAGCTCAGTTTGAAAGTGCAAACAGTCCCATTGTGAGAGAGCCAACCATGATGAACGGTAATGCCCCGTATACGCTCAACGATGAAATCGTCATCAGCGGTTTTTCAGGTACGAGAATTCTGTTACGTTTTATATGATAATGTATATAATTAGCAGCCATGTAATGCGTGTTTTTATTTCAGGCCGCTTTCCGGAGTCGATGGACGTAGAAGAATTTAAAAAGAATTTATTCGATGGCGTCGATATGGTCACAGATGATGCACGACGATGGCCTTCCGCTATTTACGGTATACCTACAAGAACCGGCAAACTGAAAGATCTAGCATCGTTTGATGCTACCTTCTTTGGTGTCCATGCCAAACAAGCTCACGTAATGGATCCACAGCTCCGTATGCTTTTGGAAACAACGTACGAAGCAATAGTCGATGCTGGTATTAATCCAAACGATATTAGAGGGTCCAAGACTGGTGTATTTATCGGTGTTTCAGCCTCGGATACGGAAGAATATTGGACTAACGATCCAGATGCCGTAAATGGTTTGTACACTCCCTAAACGACGAACAAAATAATGTATTCCTTGACGTGAGATATTTACAAATTTAAATCGTGTTTTTGCAGGATATGCTTTAACGGGTTGTTGTAGAGCCATGTTTTCGAACAGGATTTCGTATACATACGATTTCAATGGGCCAAGTTATGCAATAGACACTGCGTGTTCTTCATCTTTGTATGCCATGCATCAAGCAATCGCCGCGATGCGTACGGGTGAATGCGATGCAGCGATCGTTGGTGGTTGCAATATTCCCTTGAAGCCCGTAGGTTCGTTGCAATTTCACAGGTTAAGTATGTTGTCTCACGATGGTACTTGCAAAGCGTTCGACGCCGATGGAAAAGGTTACGTGAGAGCAGAAGCTGTCGGAGTACTCTTTTTGCAAAAGTCAAAGGATGCACGCAGAGTGTACGCCACTGTACTGCACTCAAAGACAAACATCGATGGAAACAAAGTTCAGGGCATTACGTTCCCCAGTGGTGACATGCAGAACAAATTAATGCGCGAGATTTACGATGAAGTAGGCATTAATCCTGCCGACGTTGTATACGTGGAGGCACACGGAACCGGTACTAAAGTTGGTGACCCGCAAGAAGTTAATTCGATCGCAAATCTATTCTGTAAAGGCAGAAAGACACCGCTTCTTATGGGTTCTGTTAAATCTAACATGGGTCATTCGGAACCTGCGAGCGGTGTTTGTTCTCTCGCGAAAATGTTTATCGCCATGGAAACGGGCGTGATCCCGGCCAATTTACATTACAAATCTCCAAACCAAGACATACCTGCTCTAAGCGATGGAAGGATACAAGTCGTAGACAAACCTACACCATGGAAAGGTGGTCTTGTAGCAATTAATTCATTCGGTTTTGGTGGAGCAAATGCACATATACTTCTTCGTACCAATTCGAAACCAAAGTTGTCCCCAGTGTTAGATAGTAAATTGCTCAAGCTTGTTACGGTATCAGGTCGTACAGAGGAAGCTGTACAGGTACTCTTAGATAAAGCTATCGAATATGAGGAAGACGATGAATTTATTGCCCTCCTTCACGATACTTATGCGAATAATATAACGGGGCATCTGTACCGTGGTTACGCTGTAATGGGAAACATTAATGTCGAAGAAATTAATCAATATAACTCGCCGGAGAAACGTCCTGTTTGGTTTGTGTTTTCTGGCATGGGATCTCAATGGGCAGGTATGGGCAGAGAATTGCTTTGCATCGAACCATTCCAAAGAAGCTTGCAACGATGCGCTGACGTTTTGAAACCAGAGGGAATTGACTTGATGAATCTGATTTTGAACGGAACGCCTGAAACCTTCGATAACGTTATCCACAGTTTCGTGTCAATCGCAGCCATTCAAGTCGCCCTTGTCGATGTACTGTCTCATCTTGGTATTCATCCTGATGGTATTATTGGACATTCCGTTGGTGAATTAGGCTGTGCCTACGCAGATGGTACTTTTACTCCGGAACAAACAGTATTGGCTGCTTATTGGAGAGGAAGATCGATTATGGATTCGAAGCTACCGCCAGGAGCTATGGCTGCTGTAGGATTTAGCTGGGACGAAGCTAAGGCACGATGCCCGCCTGACGTTTCGCCGGCCTGTAACAACGCGGCCGATTCTGTAACCATTTCCGGTGGAATCGACGCAATCAACAAATTTGCGGAACAGCTGAAGAAAGAGAACGTCTTCGTAAAAGTAGTAGACAGTTCTGGTATTGCGTTCCACAGCAAGTATGTAGCCCCAGCAGGTCCAAACTTGCGTGCTGCGCTCGAGAGGATTATACCGAATCCGAAACAACGATCCCCTAGATGGATCTCTACGTCGATACCTGAAGAAGCTTGGGGCAATCCATTGGCGCAACTTAGCTCCGCAGCTTATCATGTAAATAATTTATTATCGCCCGTACTTTTCCAACAAGGGCTCTCTCATATTCCGGATAATGCGATAACGATTGAAATTGCTCCGCATTGTCTGTTGCAAGCAGTTTTACGTAGATCATTGCCACCAACTGCGACCAACATCGGTTTACACAAGAGGGAACACGCAAATAACGTTGGCTTCTTCCTCGAGAATATAGGAAAATTATACATGGAAGGTGCACAACCTAAACTATCGAAATTGTATCCGCCGATCACTTATCCGGTTGGTCGTGGTACACCGATGATAAATTCTCTCGTTAAATGGGATCATTCCACCGAATGGAGCGTAGCTTCCTTTATGTCGAACGAAGGTACTTCTGGAGAAAGCGTGGTTGAAGTTGATCTGTCTAAAGAAACTGACGCGTACATTGCTGGCCATACGATTGACGGAAGAGTTCTTTTCCCGGCCACCGGGTATCTGGTAATTGTTTGGAAGACTCTTGCAAAATTACGCGGTGTCGACTATGAACAATTACCGGTAATCTTTGAAAATGTAGCCTTCCAACGAGCTACAATCATGCCGAAGGAAGGTTCGGTCAAGTTTTTGATCAATATATTCATGGGAACAGGTGAATTCGAAATTTGTGAAAACGGAGCCGTGGCGGTGACGGGAAAAATATCTGTGCCGGAAAGCACCGAAAAGATGTTGTTGAATTTGCCAGTGCCGGTTGTTCGAAACGAACGTGAATTATTGGAATTGAATCCCAATGATGTTTACAAAGAACTCAGATTACGAGGATACGATTACAGCGGAGTCTTTCAAGGTGTTAAATCCGCCAACAATCGGGGAGGTATTGGCAAATTACTTTGGTCCAACTGGATTCCATTCATAGACACTATGCTTCAATTTAGTATACTCGAGAAGGACATGAGAGCATTATATTTACCAACTCGTATGCAATATGCTGCCATCAATCCTACCGTTCATCTTGAATACGTTAAAAACTTAAAAGAAGACGAAGGCGTCCCGGTATACTCTTACTCGAATATCGGTGTTATTAAATCAGGCGGTGTCGAAATAAGAAAAATGAAAGCCTCCTTGGCTCCGAGGAGACAACAATCCCAAGCTGCACCTAAACATGAAAAATACACCTTTGTACCTTATGTAAATCCTCAACCATTGGTACAAGATCCTGACAAAGCAAAAGTACAAGCGCTCACGGTTTTATTACAAACTATTTGCGAAAACTCAAGAGGAATAAAGGTTAAAGCTGTCGAAGTAGCTGAAGGTCGTCCTGCAGATGTTCTTTTTGCATCAACCGTGTTGGAAATTCTTTACGGTGAACCCCAGATTGCTGTAAGTTTTCTGACAATCATTTCTTTCCCTTAATGTCGTAAAGGATTGAACGTGTACGTCATCGATTTTGTTTTTACAGGTTGACTTGCAAGTGACTACTACAGGTTCAGTTGACCAGTACAGTAGCTTAGCAGCATTAAATGTTAAAGCTATACAGCGCGATTTGAACACTGCAGCCGTTGGTCAAGATCTAAATCTTGTGTTGGCATATAACGTGCTGTCCAATAAATCAAACCAATTGCAAAATATATCGCAGAGTTTGAAGTCTGCAGGATTTGCATTATTGGAAGAAACTAGTCAATTTGATCTTAATTTGCTAAAGGCCACGGATCTAGTATATGTAGGAAAACAAGTTACGCCTGGAAAGACTTACCTACTCTTGAAAAAGAAAGAGCAAAAATCGAAACCGATCGTTGTACACGTAACGGAAAATAATTTCAATTGGGTTGAAAATGTCAAGGCAGCTTTAAAAACAGCCGTGGCCAAAAAGGAGCAAGTTCTTTTTGTAAACCAAGGCGAAAAATTATTTGGTAATTTCTTTTTACAAAACTTTTCTTCAGTTATTATCAGTCTCTTTTATAATTGTTGCCTGTAATGTCGTCTATCATTTTTAGGTATGGCTGGCTTTATGAATTGTATTCAGCAAGAAGAAGGTGGTGCTGGGTCGCGCTATCTATTCATCCAAGACAAGAACGCACCTAAGTTTAGTCTAGACAATAAATTCTATGCTGAGCAATTAGAGAAACAGTTAATAGCCAACGTCTTGAAAGGAGAACAATGGGGATGTTACCGACATTTGCAATTGGATCAGCAAAATGGCGCGTCGTCTCTCCAAGTTGAGCATGCTTATATTAACGCATTGTACAGGGGTGATTTGAGTAGTTTACGATGGATCGAAAGTCCATTGAGCTATTACCAACCAGAAAAATGCCCGAACACAGAGTTATGTTACGTATACTACGCACCTCTAAACTTCAGGGACATAATGTTGGCGACTGGAAAATTGCCACCGGATGCTCTTCCTGGAAACTTGGCCAACCAAGATTGTATATTGGGTCTTGAGTTTTCTGGACGTAATTCAAAGGGTCAACGAATCATGGCAATGGTACCAGCACGTGGTTTAGCAACCACTGTTGTAGCTGATCCCGGTTTCATGTGGGAAGTACCTGACAAGTGGACATTGGAAGAAGCAGCAACGATTCCAGTAGCTTATGCAACGAGTTACTACGCTCTCTGTGTCAGAGGAGGATTAAAACCCGGCGACAGTGTTCTTATTCATGCTGGAAGTGGAGGTGTTGGACAAGCTAGTATTTCCATAGCTTTGCACGCAGGCTGCACAGTATTCACCACTGTTGGTACACAAGAAAAGCGAGACTTCTTGAAGAAAATGTTCCCTCAATTAACGGACAAGAATATTGGCAATTCTCGAGATACTAGTTTCGAACAACTGGTTCTTACTCAAACTAATGGTCGTGGTGTTGACATAGTACTCAACTCATTGGCGGAAGAAAAATTGCAAGCCAGTCTAAGGTGTCTTGCTCTAGGCGGCCGTTTCCTAGAAATTGGAAAATTCGATCTGTCCAACGACGCGCCTCTGGGAATGTCGATGTTCCTGAAAAACACTTCTTTCCACGGCATTCTTTTAGACGCTATCTGCGAAGATAATGGTCCAGAGAGACAAGCCGTAGTAAAACTCGTTAGAGAAGGAATAAAAAATGGCGCCGTTCGTCCACTTCCTTCGACAGTCTTTACAGAACAGCAAATCGAACAGTCGTTTAGGTTCATGGCTACGGGTAAACATATTGGTAAAGTTCTGTTAAAGATTCGAGAGGAAGAGAAGAAAAAAGTTACGTCCCCGGTACCCAAAATAGTCGCAGCTATTCCGCGTACGTACATGAATCCGGAAAAATCGTACATATTGGTCGGTGGTCTTGGTGGATTTGGTTTAGAATTTGCAGACTGGATGATAACCCGTGGCGCGAAATATATAGTATTGACATCACGATCTGGAATACGTACTGGCTTCCAGGCATTATGCGTTCGTCGTTGGCGCGAAATGGGTGTAAACGTTTTGATTTCTACAGCAGATGTAACCACATTGCCTGGAGCAAAACAACTCATTAAAGAAAGTGCCGCAAAAGCTCCTGTCGGCGGAATATTTAATTTGGCTGCTGTCTTACGGGACGATTTGATTGAGAATCTCCAGGGTAGCGATTTCGCGACCGTAGCATTACCCAAAGTTACCGGAACTAAATATTTGGATGCAGTATCCCGGGAATCTTGTCCTTCGTTGGACTACTTTGTTGTTTTCTCGTCTATAACAAGCGGAAGGGGAAACATTGGTCAAACGAATTACGGTCTTGCAAATTCTGCTATGGAAAGAATAATGGAACACCGACAATCGAACGGTTTACCTGGCCTTGCTATACAATGGGGAGCTATTGGAGACGTCGGCTTAATTTTAGAATCACTGGGTGGTGGTAATGAAACCGAAGTGGGTGGTACTTTGCCACAACGTATTGCAAGTTGTCTCGATACGATGGATACGTTCCTTCAACAACCTCATCCCGTTTTGGCTTCCTGTGTTGTGGTAGACAAACGCAAACTCGCGGATAATACAAACAAAGTCAGCATTGTTCAGGCAGTTGCCAACATCTTGGGCATTAAGAAATTGGAGTCTATCAATACCAGTGTTACTTTGGCCGATTTTGGAATGGATTCTTTAATGGGAACGGAGATCAAACAAACCCTCGAAAGGAATTACGACTTAATATTGTCAGCACAGGAGATTCGTACTTTAACGTTCGAAAAATTATCTGCAATTGACTCTGGTTCAACAGAGGATGTAGGAGGAGCGGAAGAAGCAGAAGAAAATGTAGCAGAATTTCTGTACCAATGCGACGGCACAGAAATTGTACCTACGGAGCCTCTTATACAATTGAAAACAAAGAATTCAAAAGGAGTTCCTATATTCTTCGTTCACGCAATCGAAGGAATGGTAGCTGCGTTCAAGAGTGTAACTACTGAGTTGGATCGACCTGCTTGGGGATTCCAATGTGTCAAAAATGTCCCATTAGATTCTATAGCAGAATTAGCACACTTTTACATAAATGAAATGAAAACAGTTCAAAAGAAAGGACCATATCACATAGTGGGTTATTCCTTTGGAGCTTGTGTTGCTTTTGAAATGGCTGTTCAACTAGAAAGTGCAGGAGAAGTAGTAGTTTTAACTCTACTCGACGGTTCACCAGAATTTATAAAATTACATTCTGAAGCAATTGGAAAACAAGCTACCCAAACGACACAAGATGTAAGTTCAGATGGTCTCCGAAAGTGTCTATCATTCTTTATTAAGCAGTTCAATCCGAAGATTAGTTTTATACAGGTAATGTATACATTCTTATTTTCATATACATACCATATTGAAATCTTATGATAACATTCGTATAATATATTTCGTCATTTTTGTTTTCTATAGGCATATACTATGTTGAAAGAAATGCCTACAGAAGAAGAAACATTAAATAAAATGGTGGAAATAATAAATAATTCGCAATTGAAAGCTGAAGACTTGAAAGTTGCTGGTTACTTATTGTACAAAAAGTTGCAGGCAGCTTATTTCTACAAACCAAGTAGCACATATAATGGAGAAATCAGATTGATTAAAACTAACGAGAACTTTATTCAACTAACGAACGATTATGGTTTGTCAGAGGTAATTATCACATTTATGTAGAGAGAATACGAATAAGTATTAATTTTAATTTCTTTTTCTATATGCTTAATAATATTTTAAACATTTGTAGATTTGCAAAAACAAAGTGCGAGTCGAAGAATTCCCTGGTAATCATAGAAGCCTTCTAATGGGAGACAGTGCAACACAAATTGCAAAAATTCTACGAACGTAAACTTTTTTCTACTCATTAAAATATAAAAAAAAATTGAGGGAATAATCTACTACAATTATATCATTATTTAAATGTGCATAAATGTTGCATAGATACATTTTATAAAGTATCAATGTACTATAACAGAGATCATCAAAACTTAATATTTAATATTTAATATGATTCCTACATATTCTTTGTAAAGTTCCTTTTGTACAAATGTTTCTCCCTTGAGGTTTCCACTCGCATTGTTCATATCATTTGCATTATTAACTTACATAACGGATTTATATTCTTTAATCATAAATATTTTAAATTTTATGAAATGAAAGGTATGTGTCAAGATAACAGTGTATCTTTAGTTTCTGTTTTTTAATTTGTAATAATTTCAAGTAGTACAAAGGGGTATTACTACAATTATTTAATGAATCTTAAGTATAAATATTTATAGTACATTTCAAAGTAAAATATTTACTATAGGTCTTTGTAATGGTTTCTGGTGGACGAGTTACCATTGCTTAGGCATATAGGATATATATATTATATATATATACACGCGCGCGTGCGCGCATACACACACACACACACACACACATATTTATTTTAATGCATTATACATCTTATATGTCATTTCATATCTAGATTCCTGGGAATTCATGACATTTTTACATACAAGAAATATGTTTGAAACTAATTAAAAAGATTTTACAAAAGAAACGAATGGCGTTTCAAAATCTTATCGATATTTCCCATCTCAGTTTTGTACATTTTTTAACAGTGTATCTAAACAAATATTAAAACAAAAAAAAACAACTATTCCAGTGATAACTGTTAACATATAAACTATATATTTATAGACTTCACAGTCTATTGCACATAACATACTTAATGCTTTATTGAAAGCAAACACATACTATTTTTTCATTAGCAATAAGTTTGTTAGATAATAAAAATGTACATGTTTCTAGCTACTTTGATTGACATTAAAAGTGTGCAACTTACACTTGTTATGTTATATATTTTCGTGTATTATATTAATAAGCAAATAAAGAGCATTAAATAAATTATAACTATCGATAATATAAACCTGATATATTCTTTCAAAATTGTTTTATAATGTAATTATGTAAACATAATCTTAATAGATAGATAATGATATAATATAATACTGATATGTCTATATAGTTAATACAACATTTTTGTTTAAAGAAAAATATTGTATTTAAACGAGCACGAAACATTGGAAGGTATATACTTTGTAAAAGAAATTAAATGGAATGTATACTTTTAATTCGTAAAATGTATTTATAATTCTTGCTTTGTGTAGTAGTTAGGATCGGAAATTGCAGCATTTGGGTCACACGTGAAAGATACAGTCAATGCATAACGAATTCCAGATTGCACTCTTTCAACCGCATGCAGATTTTCGCTACCCGAAGTAAACATAGATACTCTACCTACAAAATAAGTTTTAAATCAAAGTTAGTCCTCTATTTTTTGCATGTATGATTTTCGATTACAATAATGTACAGTTGAATTTCGTCAAATTCGAGACACAGCAGTGAAATTTTCGTGTACAGGTAGCGTATTTCTTCTGTTCGATTAATCGATTATCGATTCCCTTTACTTTTCTGCTGGTGGTGGGGGAAGAGTAGGGATAGATTGCGAGAATTCAACCGTGCATTACTGTACTATTATTATTTACCTTTTCGAGGCTCCACCGTTGTATTAACATTATCTTTATCAATAAATATAAATCGACCTCCCTCGAAGTCTCTCCCAAAATCATTCAAATAAAGTAAGGATGTATAATGGAATGATTTGTAGGTTACCTAAAGAAAAAATCGAATTCAGAAACGAAATACTATTAACTAATTAATATATGCACCTTGTCAACATGACGATGCCAATATACATCGTGTATTGTTTTTGCAGATACATTAGTCATTCGCGAAAAGAATGTGGGTTTTGTTAGATATATTTTATTGGACGATACTCCAAAATTATGTGATACCGCATGTTGTATTTTAGTTTTTACTACTCTGCAAATATAAAACATTGTGTAACTATTAATAATTACATGCTTTTTTTAAATAAATACAACAAATTTACTTACTTATAAATTGCAAAATCAGCACTATTAAATATCTTTTTTGCTTCTGGTAATGTATAGATATTGATAAAACCAAGACCTTTGCTTAATGCACCAGAATGAAGATCCAGAATACTTGCACCTCCGTTGGACCCACCTAAACTTAAACCACTCGTTGCTATTTTTAATAGAATATCAGTTTCTGTTGATGACACTAGTTTATCTGTAACTATCCTTCCACATTTTTCAGGCATACACTCCGGATATTCGTCTGTTTCTGCTTTATAATCATCTGAACATTCAACAAATTGCGTACGACTTAATAAAATCTCTTTTTGCTTTGCTAGATGAACTTCTTTACCCTGTTTGCTATTATACCAAATTATAAACAACACTGCAAGTATTAGGGCACAACGCGACCATACTCTTTGATAAGGAAATGTCAAAGAAGGACCATACTTTCTGGAAAATGATATATCTTTTGAATTTCATACATGATATATTACTAATTAATATTATTACGCTAATACTTTAAGGTTAAATGTGTTACTGAAATTAACCTATAAAGAAAAATGTGAATTTAATATACACTAAAAATTATAAAAAGGGAACAGAACATGAAGCGATATTTAATATTTGTAACATTTAATATTATACAAATTAAGGACATAATTCAACTTTATATCCAAAAATAATATTTTTGTATTACATACAATTTTACGTTTTCCTTTGACGTATCTTTTACACTTTCTTCGGATTTCTCCTCCTTTTGATTCGTTTTTTCCTTTTTTATTTGCTTCTTTTTACCCTTTTTAATCACCTGTGACATTTTCCAAATAGTACGTTTAACAAACTTACTTTAACGACATTTGAGTCAACGTGTGTACGCATGTGATATAAAATATCAAGTAATACTGTGATTAATAATCTACCAGTGTAATATATTATTACGTAACTTATGAAAGTAAATCAGTATTAAAGAATTTTTCTAAAATGTTAAATATTTGCGTTAAAATGTTTTATTCAAATAAGATACTTCGATATTTTAAATATCTACTATGTACATATACATATGTATACTATGCAATCGAAGAGCGGTGGACATAGAATTGTTGTATTCCACTTTTATACAAAATTTGTATTCTCCCTGAAATTGTGTCCTTTTCAATAATAGTAACCGTGCATCTGTATTATTACGGCCACGTTTTTTCCGTGGGTGCATATTTATGCATCACTGAAGTATGTAGTAAGGTTTTTATATATAAATTAAAAATTTAATTCTACAGTTGTAGAATTCTTTTACATTATTTTCTAAACATTGAAACCTAATATTTCACGAAAATGCATAAAAATACATTTCTTTATACTTCAAACTTAATTACAAATGGAGAAATACTTTCCCTACCCAAATCTAAATAAACAGAAATGTCGATGTAAACAATTATTTATCTTTAAATATTCATGGTGCAGGAATTTGATGTTATCCATAAACACTTTTTAAACAGTACCAACCCAACATATGCATCCCAAGTGAAATTTTTTACATTTTATTATCATGTAATTTTAAATAGTTTTTATACATATGATACAATATACATATTAAATTATTCAGATTAAGAACATATGTACGTACACAATATATATCATGATTAAATCATGTAATACAATACATACATTATATTATGAATGGAAAAATTTTAAATATACAATAATACCAAGTATGGTTATTTCCAACAATATAATTAAAATTAATACAAATTTATTCATTAAAATATTTCTTCGCATAGAATATAATATTCGTCGTGTTCTATCCAATTCTTCATCAGTATGTGATAACCTTCTTTTTGCTCGCAATAATTGCTCTCTTTGTACATGTAATTCAGAAATTACTTCTGTCCCTATTTGTTCACTTTCAATTGCAATTGCTTGGGATCTTGCAATTGAGCCCAGTGATCTTTGTGATATTGCTTCACCTTCCAGTAATGTACGTCGATGTTCTTCATCCCAGTTGATTCCAAAATTCATTGTGATGTTATTAAATTAAATTTAAAACAGCAAAAACAAAATTTGTTTAAACTTCAAGATTCATCATAATTTCCACAAATCCGTTTTCCTTAACTGAAATCATTAGTACATATTATAAAGTTAATTACATTATTAAAGAATAAACATCTGTAATAAATTATTTAAATAATATTAAAATTTGTTCACTAAAACTATTGCGGCGCAAATCAAATTCTATGATCATAAATTCCATTTCTTCAATTGTTAGATTACCTTATTGCTAAAACATAAACTGCTTAATCATGAAACCTAGGGCTTTCAATGCAATTTTCACTTCATAATAATCTAAATAACCATCAGTATTGTTATCACTGTCCATCAAATAAAATAACCGTTTCATCAAACGTTTCTTCAAATTTTTCTCAATTTTTGCTTATAATATTTAACATGATTGATGACAACCATTCAAATATTGCTGAAATCAGATTATTAAAGTTTACCTTTTAATTGAAACGTAGGTGACGTTAAGATCGATCAACTTCTTTTGTTATAGTCTGATTATAAAACAAACAGTTATGGCTGGCAACACAACCTTGTTTTCAATATTTTCTTTGTACATATTTCCATTTGTATCTGAATTGTTCGCTAATTGTAGCCATAAGTTGCAACTATATTACATTTAACTATTTAACCTCCAAAGATTCGATAAAACGGATCCTTTGTCTTCCGGCAAGATACGTCATACGTCAGAAAAATGGGGATGGGGAACTCGTGCTCAGTGTGGCCAGATCTTTGCTAGGTATATTTTCGCGCGCTTTTACCACGCTTCCGTATATCTTTTGTTATTAACGTTGCGTCCAATAAATATATAAGCAAAAGTCCGTCATACGTGGTTACAATGAATTGTAAGTAGATTTCTTTGCTCATAAAATGCTTAATAACGATACATAAGAAGATAATTTAATAGTAGGGTTATCATTGAACGAAATTAATACAAGAGTACAGAGAAAGGTAATAATTTTGTTTTAGCACCACTTAAAATATCAAATTGGACTCCTGCACACGTTATTGCAAATCAATCAAGTTGCAACTTACTTCTGGAAAATCCGGATGCTTTAAAGGAAATTCCTTCATTAAACAATGCACCTCTTCGTAACTTCACGGACTGGCAATTGGTTCGTTTTAGAGGAATGGTTCAAGACATGCATAATCCAGAATTCTATTTTGAAAAATACGAAGTCAAAAATAATGAAACTGAAACTTACGAAGTTAGATGTGGAATGTATGCTGATTATGTTCAGTGCCTGGTAATTAGATCTTTGCATCATTTCTAAAACTAAATTTATGTAATATTTTATATTCTATTTTATATTTGAACTATTGAATGTTTCTGTTTTTCATTTGGCCTCTAGTACATCATTTTATCCATGTCTAAATTCTATGGACATTCCGGATTAATATAAGAGGCCTATAGTAAATACTTATGGTAGTTACAGGTGTGAGATACTAGAAGAACAGTTTATCTCGTGTATAAAATTGCCAACAATATTTAGTTTATAGCATATATATTTTGTAATTAGTGTATTTCTAAAATTACATTAATTAATACTATTTATTAATACTTCTATTAGCCGCATGAAGAGATTTTAGTTGACTCAAAGAAAAACCAAAATTCAGAAAGACATACTTGCTTTGTTATATCGATACCTGGTTTGAATGATTGGGCAAAGGAAAAGTATGAACACTTTCCTTATCATAATACAAAAACAGCTAGTAATAAACGAAATTTAGATGAAAGTAGCTGTGAAATCATGGATTGTTCTGAGCCAGCTCCAAAAAAGGAGAAGATCTCGTCAAATGAAGATGGTGAAAAAATGGATACTACTGAACATAGTATAAAACAAACTATATTTTCAAAAGAATACATATTAAACTTTCCAATATCTGTGGATGATGGTAAAGCTTGTATTGTCAAGGTTACTAAATATTTTTTTTACTTCCGTTTTTAGAGTAACATAATATCAATAAAGTATAAATTGTGTAAGAAAATTTTTTTAATAAGTTGTGTATTTATTTATAGATATACGAGGAAGCAGCTTTAAAACTGAACGAAGTTATTGAAATAATAGGATTCATATCTTTAAACCCTTGTCAAAATACTATAGATGACTTCGAGATGACAGAAGCTGAAATGAATGTTCACCATCCACCCACTTCTATCGTTCCTCGGCTACACGCTGTAAAAATAATTCGTCTTTCTAAACAGGGTATTGAAAATGTTCCAGAAATATTGTCTAAAGCACAATTAATAAGAAGCGACCTTCACATGATGTTCAGTCAACTTCTCTTTGGGGATGAACTAGCTGCTGATTATCTAATCTGTCATCTACTCTCTTCAATGTAGATATTAAGTTTATTTTTATAATTACATAGAGAAACGAGGCATGAAGTTTACAAAAGTGTTATTCTCTTTCTAGCTATTTGAGGAGAGAATACTTTCATCTTGGTGCTTATCCATTAAATATAACACATTTTCCTGTTGCTAAATACAAGACATTCGCGAAAGATTTGTATAAATTTTTAACGCTACTTATAGAAAAGAGCCATTTATTGGAAATTACTCTGGAAAACTTAAACGATTTGACCTTATCACCAAAGTATGTAGGCAAATTATGAGATGCAATCTTCATCTGTAAGATTACATTAAAATAATAATTGCGAATTTTTATATATTCGTTGCTAGGAAAGACTATGAATCCAATAGGCTAACCAGTGGAGTGCTTCAACTTAGCGACAACACTCATCTCGTAATAGACGAGACGGAATTAACTGTTGGTCAAGTTTCGGAAGCTGGGCGAGAAAATTACAACACGATTTGCGAGTTAATTAATTTCCAACGAGTGATGTACGACTTTAAATTTTATAAAATGGAGTACGAGACTGATATTCCGGTTTTGATTTTATCAGAATTGAAGTCGTTTATTCCTGTACGTATGAATTTGTAAGGAAATCTCGAAAATCGAAAGATTCGATTAATCGACAAATTCATATAATGTACTTTTATTTCAGTGTCAGACCCAAGTTGCTTTGAAGGTCGATTCAGAATCAGAAAATCTTTACCCGAAAGTATTGGAAGTCGCGGAACAATATTTAAAAAATGAAAATCGACTAACAAATATACGTCAGTATTTAAATCATCTAAAAAATGTGAAATTTGATTTCAACGAAAATATATTAAATGTAATAAAATTTGCGTTTCATACGTTAATAGTACGACATTTATACAATCGAATCTTTTCAATTTGCTTTTCCTTTTAGGAAATTCAAAGTGATTTTGTACAGATGAGACAAACGAGGAAAAATATAACAATGGATCATTTACATGGATTAATGATCCTGGCTAGATTGATGTCGTTATCGCACGGATCGAACACGTTAACTGCAGAGTACTGGAAAAAAGCTGTTGAAATGGAAGTAAAGAGATTAGACAGATTGCCAGAGAAGAAATGAAATAAAATGGTACGAATGATAGACACAATAATGTTAAATATACTGCTTTATTATATTTTTATACATTTGTATGGAAGTTCTTTTGTGCATCTCTGTAATTAGTATTTAAATTAAAGAGGACTATATTTTTAAACATTGACGTCTAATCAATGTACCAATTTACGAAATGGTAAACAAACTAGAGCTATCAAAAGCTTTTCTACACTGACCTATTGCGTTGCAAGAGTAATTGCAAATATCTACCGAAGTACATTAATTTACAGACACGCTAAATTCCATTTTTAAAAATGGAAATAGCAAATTGTTACTTTTTCATCCGTCCTTAGAAAATATTTCCAATCAGAAATATTTTCAAGAAGTACTCGACCTACATATAATACATTAACTTATCGTACAAGGACCAGAAGCATATTAATTGTCTTCTAATCGGCGTAGTCGTTCGAATTCCAATTTTCCAACGATCGTGAAAATGGTATTTGTCGGTGTAATATTCTACGTTTTAAAAAAAATTAAAAGAAACACTTTTGATTCTTTTTATTTCGAATTATTCGATATAAAATTGAAAATAAATTAAGGATAGCATTAATTTACATTCTCTGCGTCGAACATTTTCGTTATCCGTAAAAAAGATTGTCGTTATTCGAAGCGATTTCTTTCTCCGTATAGAATTTCGAGTAAAATCTTAACTTACGCTCGCGTATGTTTGGTTTCATGAACGCATGTATCGTCCAAGACTTTTTGCACTGCAGCCGCGTCCCTTAGTCTGCCAAGCCTTTCCTCGCGTTCTTTTCTTATTAATTCTAGTCCCTTTTTCGCGGCTTGGGCATACCTTTTCGACAACGCCACTTCCCCTTTTGCTCCTGGAATGTGACCCGTGTAACCCACGATCGGTGGTCTTTCAGGGGACACTTCATAATCTGCAACAATAATCCGATATTAAATAGATGTATATTGTCAGGTTTTTAATAAGAATAAAATACTACGTATTTATTTTTTTTTTCAGGTGTGCGTGGTCTACAGTTTGAAAATCAAAGTTAATCGTCTAGAGTGATAATTGAACGAAGCGTTGGTTCAAGTAAGCATGATTTATTTTTGTGTTTGCATGTTATTTTAAGCAACGATACGTTTTAATTATAAATTATTTTGAGGATGATACAGACCATAATTCGAACACGTACGAAAGGTCGTACGATTTCGATCGTGATCGATCTCCATGGCCACGTTGTCCGCCCTCGCTCGGGCCAAAAGATTTCTGGAATCGCATCTCTCAGCTTGAGCTCTCATAGCTTCTCTGCGCGATCTCAATTTGTTTTGATTTTCACGCCATTCCCTGGCACCTTCTTCCACGGCTCTCATAAAGGACAGACCGTACCTGCTATTAAATCCAGGAATATATCCTATAATTGAACGATCAAACGTTTCTTATTGTGTCCGTGCAACGATACAACCTCGACTTCGAACATGTACGCGTGAAAATCGCAGATCGCTTCGACTCCCTTACCCGTGTACCCCAATATGTACGGCGGTGCTTTGAATAATTGCGCGTCGGTTTTCCAATCTCTCCTAATGTCATCTTTTCCGCAGGGGATCGATCCATTTTCGTGCACGTCACGACCGGAATTCGGCCTGTAAGGTCCCGTCTTCAGGATTTTCTTTTCGAGCAATTCCTGCGCGAACCCATGGAACTATCAACTTTATGAACGTACAGTGGACGAAATTTCTATAAGAACACCATGATTTACTACCAGAAGTTCGTTCATTTTATAAATATATGTTAGTAGCGTGTGAAAACCTTATGAGCACTACAGTATCGTTACCGTGAAACAGTGCATGTAAACAAACTCGCGTGTTCTCACTTTGGGCACATAAATATTAAAATGCTGACCGAGGTAAGAACGAAATTCGTATAAGAACAGGATGCCTCTTTGTTCGCTCATTTATTCAGAATAGTGGCGTTCTTATAGAAATTTCGTTCGCCGTTGGAATATCTCGCTCGTTGATCGATCAGATTTCGATCGCCTCTTACCTTCATAATTTCTTCCGTGCTGGCCCCAAATCGCTTTCCGACTCGAAACTTGAGGGTGGGACAATGTCCGGTGTAGCTAAACGAACGAAATATATTCGATGAAAGGTCAATTATTTATTCGACTAGTATATTTTAACTACAATCGTCACCGTACAATTACGGAGTGTGTATTATTAACTGTCGTACGCTGAAATTACATAATAAAAAGTGTTTGTCCGGTACTGTATGTACACTCCCGTCCGTAAGTCATCGATCATTTAATGAGCGTGGAATAAAAACGAATTAACACTGTAAAGTTATGTAAATTATAAAATTGAAGTAATACTAATTTGTTCGTAATGAGGTCGATTCAGGAAATTGTATTTGTATAGTAATTTGCATCTTCCAAGACGGACGAGCAAAATGACCGGGTGACTTATGGACGATAGTGTATGTACGAGCGTTCGCGCGACTTTTTAACGATTTCCGTTTCGTCGCGGATGGTCGAACTTGGCTCGATCGAAAGGAACAGCCGCTTTCTAAAACAATGTAGTCGCAGGACCGTAAAAGTGGACTACCGGTGACCCAGTAAATCGAACGAACAATTATTCTGCGACGGTCACGATGCGACGACAGAATTGGTTCGTGTACGGTTCGACACGAACGGGAGTCGCTCGATCCTCGGTACTTTAAAAAAAAAATTGTTTAAATATTTCATATTGAGTTGGAATGTATTTTTATCGAACGAACAACGCGTCAAGAGTTTTTTGCCCATCTTTGTCTTAGGGGATTACAAGATCAGTGTCAAGGCGTTGACATCGATCTCGTTTCGCGAGACCGCGATGGATCCGTATAGGATTTACTGGGTTATTGGCGCGGAAAAAAATGTCGCTACGTTCTCTGTACTCTGCCTTTAAAACTCGATCGTTTCCAAGAAAATTCACGCCTACATAATACCGTCGTATATTTACTGCAATATGAGAATTTTATAACGTGGCATTTTTACACCGTCTTCGTGAAACTGTTCGAGGACGAGGTGTCTTGAAATTTCGCGTTATAGTTAGGCAAATATTGATACTGTCTCGACACGTTTACTGTCACGATAGTCGTTCATGTTCGGAGATATATTCTTAAGGTTCGTTCAATGGGGAGGGTTTTCGTTTCGATCGACGTGCCTGTATCGTTATAAACAATCTTCAAATGTACACCCTGTTCTGTCGCTATCAGGGTGGCGTAACTAGCGTTAATTCGGAACGAATCGTTATCTCGTCGAGTTTACCTTGACGCGAAAGTTTCTCGTTCGAATCGATCGACACGCGCGCAAATAGGATAAATTCGCCGACACAAGTGGTGGGTTTTGTGCGTGATTTCCTCGCGTGGCGGAATCACGGTGTAAAGCGTTTTGGTACCAGGACCGGTACCAGTTTCGTCGCGTAATTTAGCTCGCGAATGGTACTCTAAAACTGCGCTTTCGCGCGCGAACCGGCAACATGCATTAGAAAATAAACCGTAAAGGCGTATCGAGTCGACGATAGCAGATTAAAAGTAACTGTTGGCGAATTACTACTCCCCGGAATTGCGGATTCACGTTCAATTTTAACGCAGTCCAGATAAAAACAATTGTTAGAAGAATTCTGCAACGTTTCTAAAATTGGTCAGTTGTTGTAGAATTCTTCCCATCGAGCCATCGCGTTTTTAAAATAGCTACAAAACTCGACAACGATTTTCTGTTTCTCTTTTGTTCCGTGGACAATACGAGCACTATTGTTCATAGGCATTCAATACAACGATAGAAAATTTGCTTGTCCTTGCGTTTATGCTTGCCGTTGATAACAATATAGCCAGTGGTTATAAAATGAACATCGCTCGAGACTTTCAATATTTTTTATTCTCTTGTTAAATTTTAATAGCAACGTTTACGTATTAATTACGCGTACGATGGGGACTGAATCTACAATGTAGAAACACCGAAAGAACGTTACGGTTCGATTGCCTCTCGTGTGCACCGGTAGTCCCCGGAACAATAGTAAAAGTGAAAAGTGCTTTCTTTCAACGAAATTGCCCGTGCGTGCACGTTATCGTTAATATCGTGTAGATCGTACCCTATTAATCATAAGTATTGGGGCACTTGGTCGAAACAAATTATACAAAATTCATTCATTCGCATCTTTTCTGCAAGAGAAGTACGAGTCAAATATTTTTTGTTACTCCTTCGCGCAAAAGTATCTCCGAGGAAATTTAATTAAGATTTAAAAAAGATAGAAAAACGAATTATTTTAGGTAGATTTTTTTTTTATTTTTCAACATAATCTCCTTTTAGCTCTATACACTTTTCCAAGTGTTTCTCCAACTTTGTTGAGTCATCTAAAAAGTAAGATTTCGGAAGATCCTCAAAATAGGCATTTGTTTGGGCGGTGACCTCCTTGTTGGGCGTCGAGCCATTTTTTTAAGTTTGGAAATAAAAAAAAGTCACTGGGGGCCAAATCCGGTGGATATTGTAATAATTTAAACTTTAATTCCATGATTTTGCCCATCGAAACTGCACAGGTGTGCATCCGTGCATTGTCTTGAAGCAAGAGGAAGTTCCTTGCTTCGATCGACAATAAAAATGAGACCATTTGGTGGATATATGTAACTGTAACTTTGACAATTGTCTAGTGAGTCACGATGCTCACTAAAAACAAACCATTTTCGATGCTACATACCATTTACGATGCTTTTTCTAAGAACTTATTGAACGACCCTCGTATGTTAAAATGAAACCAGGAAAATTATTGTACAAGCCTTTTCACGAAGTTACAATGGCTTCAAAATTGATAATCCTTCTGACCAAGTGCCCGATTAGTCGTGGCGAACGGTGCACGTGTTTCAAGTTCGATTTTTCGTTTTCATTGTCGCGTGTGCTGGATTTGCACAGCGCACGTTACGCAACGAGAGATAAACGAGAGAACATTTAGCATGAACGGTAAGCGTTGCAAATCCAATTAAGCCGTTTAATACAATACAACGGTAAAGGAGGTCTTTGGCGCATAAATTGAATCAAAGTACCCGTTTACGGTGTACGCTTCGCTCGCTAAATAAAGCATCGCTGGAAAACGAAACGAGTCGTTCCATTCGATCGTAATACGTAAACGGATACAAGCCAGTGTCTGAGGCCGCAGTTCCACTTGTGTAACGCGTGGCTCGGAACAATGTTAACGATGAGACAGTCGGGAACAGTGTCTGAGGTTTTTTATTTTTTATTTTTCAGATCCCGCTTGGATGCTGCAGCGATTAGATTTTAAGACAGGTTGTAAACTCAAAGTCCCCTGGCTACCAATGACCGTGTTAATCGATCCAAATGAATCCATGAAAAACAGTCGAATATAAAGGATTTTGATTATACTTTATTCCATTGCTCGATCATGGAATGTTAGCAGTCAAACAATTGCAGACTTTCAAGACTTGAAGTATCGGTTACCAATGACCACCGTGTTAATCGATCCAAATGAATCCATGAAAAACAGTCGAATATAAAGGATCTTGACTATATTTTATTCCATTGCGCGATCATGGAATGTTAACAGTCGAACGATTTGAATCTTCGATATAATTTATAATAGATCCAAGTATTGGTATAGGTTGCTTATTATTAAAAGAAAAAGTCCACTATAAATGTAAAAGTAGAAGGAAATTGAGGCGCGTTACGCAAAGTGAGACTGCGACCGAAGCGGTTTTTGTTTGTTGTGGGAAAGCAGACGAGCCTTACCCGGGCAAATGAGCGCCATAATTTTGCCTAAAGAAGCGTTTCCTTTGTTCTTCGGCGACTGGATCGAAAACCATTTTCTTATTGTTTGCACGATCACGATATAGAGTAAAGTAACGTTGCTCCTTCCGCCGCGGTCTTCATTTTCCCGCCAATATCTCTGGATCTCTTTGGATTTGATTCGATCACGGGTTACGGATGCGCGCTACTTACGATCGAACTGTTACGGGAACAGACTTAGCGATCAACTGGAGGACGGATAATAGCGTCCTGGACGTTAGGCGACGCGGAACACGTACCGTACAACTCGCGTTACAACGCGAGGAGAGGTGCCGAAGGAAGTGTTACGCATGGCCAGGTTCAGCCCGCGCATCACTGAAATAAAACGGTGTATACAGGGTGTTCGACCACCCCTGGGAAAAATTAGTGGGAGATACTAGACGTCAAAATAAGACGAAAATCAAAAATATCAATCTCTCGATCGAGGCTTCGTTAAAAAATTATTAAAAAATTAAATTAAAAAATTTCAAAACATATTAAAAAAATTATATTTAGTTACAGGGGTCAATTACAAGCATTTTTGGTGAATAGACATACCTCTGAATTCCTACGCATTTTCGAGAAAAAATTCGAGTAGATACAGCAATTTTTAGACGAAATTAAAAAATTTCAAATCATGCTAAAAAAATTATATTTAATTACAGGGGTCTATTACAAGCATTTTTTATGAATAGACATATCCCTGAAATTCTACGCATTTTCGAGAAAAAAATTCGAGTAGGTAATGAAAATTTAGACGAAATTAAAAAATTTCAAATCATACTAAAAAAATTATATTTAGTTACAGGGATGAATTACAAGCATTTTGGTGAATACACATACCTCTGAAATCCTATCCACTTTCGAGGAAAAAATTCCACTAGGTACGGAAATTTTTAGATGAAATAAAAAATTTAAAATCATACTAAAAAAATTATATTTAATTACAGGGATGAATTACAAGCATTTTTGATCATTAGACATACCCTCGAAATCCTACCTACTTTCGAGAAAAAATTCGAGCAGGTGTGAAATTTTTAGACGAAATTAAAAAATTTCAAATCATACTAAAAAAATTATATTTAGTTACAGCGGTCAATTACAAGCATTTTTGGTGAATAGATATACCCCTGAATTCCTACCCAATTTCGAGGAAAAAATTCGAGTAGGTACTGAAATTTTTAGACGAAATTAAAAAATTTCAAATCGTACTAAAAAAATTATATTTAGTTACAGGGGTCAATTACAAGCAATTTTGATCATTAGACATACCCTCGAAATCCTACCTACTTTCGAGAAAAAATTCGAGCAGGTGTGAAATTTTTCGACTAAATTAAAAAATTTCAAATCGTTCTGGAAAAATTATATTTAGTTACAGGGATGAATTACAATAATTTTTGGTGAATAGATATACCCCTGAATTCCTACCCACTTTCGAGGAAAAAATTCGAGTAGGTACTGAAAATTTAGACAAAATTAAAAAATTTCAAATCATACTAAAAAAATTATATTTAGTTACAGGGATGAATTACAAGCATTTTTGGTGAACTGACCTACCCCCGAAATCCTACCCACTTTCGAGAAAAAAATTCAGTAGTGGCGGAACTTTAAACGTTAATAACTTTTTAACGAAGTTTCGATCAAGAAATTGATGTTCTTGATTTTCGACTTATTTTGGCCTCTGGAATCTCCTATTACAATTTTTCCTAAGGGTGGCTGAACACCCTATACATATAGTCGATTTGGAGAAACATAACGCAAAAGGTACATTTGATCGAAGACATGCGCCCCTACAATGTTTCGGAGTCAGCCTAGTGATCGGATCGATATCGATACTATCGATGATATTCAATCGATTCGATACCAAAGTATTCGATAACAAGAATATGTATCAAAATTGTAAATACTCTGTATCGATTGTCAATTTCTTAAAACGTGATATTATGATTAAGTAAGAATATATAATCAGGTTTATTTGAGTAATCAAGTTTGCTTGCATAATTCACACTAAGCTCAGAATGTTTTTTCCAAGCTGCTAAAATTTATCCGAACGAACACGAAATATTATCCATGTCAGTATTTCTATTGCAAACACGAAACAACGGTATATGATCGAGTTACCGTTATTTCATATATTACTTACGTTATTCTTCGTGAAGAAATAAAAGAAATAAAATACGGATGCGTCCCTGTGAATGAAAGTTACTATATCGAACGCGTTGTCGATGATTTATTTAAAAAAAAATCTTCTTTGTAACGCACAATGGGTCAGATTTGAAATTTAGCCGTTCAAATGAATTATATCTATTTTCTAGTTAAATCATTTCTACGGAAGTTGAAAGAGTTTATTTAAGTATTTGGAAGATATTTTATTTGAAAGTTTACCTTTATTGTAGCATGCCACTCACATCTATTAGAATACCTTATCCAACTTGAACAGAAAAATAATTATATATTTTCGTTCTTAGTAAAGTTCTAAAATAATAAAACTGGTTCATGAATTATTGAATAATGCGTCGAGTCGAAAGTCTGAACAGCTGAAATCTGAAATTCAATTCTGGCCCGCTGTGCGACGCGTCGCCAAATAAAGCGAAGATCGATGGATCGCGTAACAAATTCGTAATGCGACTCTCGGCGAGAAAAATATTATGTATGTTAGAAAAGTGATCGAATTCACGGTTGACACGTATCGGAGAAACACGACACGAAACACTTTGTAATCGTAACTGGTATTGTCGGAGGTATCGGGGTACGTCCGGTCACTTTCGATCTTTTCTCTTACGAGCTTTTCCGGTTTTCTTTTCTATTTTCTAGCCGCGAACACGACGTGCTGCGCTTTGCAGTTTGTTTCGCGTTGCATCGGTAACTGGATATGATTTTGTTCGAGGCAATGGTCTCCTAGGAGTAACTCGACTCCGTTACCTACGAGAAAATCGATATGGGTGGGGTGAATGCACGACGACCAGTCTTCAAGAAATCTCGCGTGCGTTTAAAATATTAATACGAATTACTTCAAGTTTTATGCACCGTCCGTGTAATCTTGTGTACGAATGATAACCCCGTTTAACGCGTCGACTGCTACGTCAGTTTCCTATGTTCAAAGATTCCCTCGACATTTGTCTAAATTATAGCGTGAAACATTATAGCTTGAGAAATTATGTCCACGGATAAATCTAACATTTTTATTTGTTATTCAAATTATCCTAACACTGCTTAAGACCAAACGCGTAATAATGTCTGTTGTTAAAATCATTGCAATTTTGTGTATCTACGTAATACATTCTTATATAATAATGGAAAAAGCGAACATTACGAACATTATTTTATATTTAAATCAGTTTCAATTTTGTGATTATCGGCAGAGGCATATTTTTATTTAATAGAGTTAGAAACGTGTAAAACCTTCCTTACGTTTATATTAATAAAACATCAAAATCATAGTACACATTTTCCATGCTTTTTATTTACATTCTCCTCTACCTTTCCCATTAATTCCTCAATTTTTTAAATTCCAGAGTTTTATAATCCCTTGAGATTACTCTGATTAAGTTGTTTAACCATTTCTCTATACATTATTTCATGTAATTAATAAGTTATGAACGATTACTGGGAGCGATTCTTGTTTCAATATTGCGCTAAAAAGTGACAAAAATATGTGTCGCCATCTAATATCAGGGATCCGTACTGCTAAAATCGTGCCAGGATCACAGAATGTTAGAGGAGGTATCCGGAGTACAGGTTCCCCCACTCCTGCTACTCCTGTTAAACATAGCATTGATTATTCACTAATTACTCCTTCCCTGGGATTAAAATATAAACTTTTAGAATTTAAGAATATAGTATAGACCCTTGTCAACATTCAAGGATACTTTTCATAACCATTCCACCCCTAATTAAGGCGCTATTAACAAATATCGGAAGTCGGAACATTTACGACTGTGTCACTGCTTGCTTTAATCGATGAATTATCAATTTTTCAACTATAATACTCATATTTTGGCTATTGGAGGACCAAGTAGACATCCCAGACAACATTCAAGGACCGATTTTGCAACGCTCCTAGCTCTAATTATTTAGTTATTAGCGATAGATCCCTAAGGTGTTAGGTTAAAAGGTTAAAAACAGTGTGCCGACTTCAGATATCGGTTAATAACTATTTAATAACGCATGCTATAGTTATAACAGGTATCCTTGAATCTTCCCAAAGGTCCATACTACATTCTCAAACTGTAAAAGTTCATAATTTATTTCCAGGAGAGGCGTAATTAGTAAATTAACGAGCAGTAATTCATTGCAAATCGAGAAACGCATAGTTCACCGTTTTCGCCACTAGGTGGCGCCACAATGCAGATCACTGCTTTCAGTGAATCACTGCTCGGTAATTTACTAATTACTCTCTTCCTGGGAACAAATTATGAACTTTTAGTGTTTAAGAATATAGTATGGACCTTTGGGAAGATTCAAGGATATCTGTTGCAACCATCTTATGCCTTATCAAATAGTTATTAACCGACATCGGAAGTCGGTACACTGTTTCTAACCTTTTAGCGCGACACCTTAGGGATCTATCGCTAATAATTAATTAATTAGAACGTGAAACGTTGCAAAATCGATCGTTGAATGTTGTCAGGGATGTCTACTTGGTTCTCCAATAGCCAAAATATGGGTTCTATAGTTGAAAAATTGATAATTCATCGATTAAAGCAGGCAGCGACACAGTCGTAAATGTTCCGACTTCCGATATTCGTTAATAACGTCTTAATTACGGGCGGAGTGATTATAAAAAGTATCCTTGAATGTTGCCAGGGGTCTATACTATATTCTTAAATCCTAAAAGTTCATATTTTAATCCCAGGGAAGGTGTAATTAGTGAATAATCAATGCTATGTTTAACAGGAGTAGCAGGAGTGGGGGAACCTGTACTCCGGATACCTCCTCTAACATTCTGTGATCCTGGCACGATTTTTTCAGTTCGAATCCCTGATATTAGATGGCGACACATATTTTTGTCACTTTTTAGCGTATTATTATTACAGTAAATGTCACTTCCAGTAATCGTTTGTAACTAATTAGTTATATGAAAAAATGTGTAGAAGAATGATTGAACCATTTAATCACATAATTAATTAAATTCGAATAATACTTGAAGCAGTTATAAGGGATTATAATACTTTAGAATCGATTAAAATTAGGAAATTAATGGGAAAAGTAAAGGAGAATGTAAATAAAAAGCGTGGAAAATATGCATTGTAATTTTGACGTTTTATTGATACATTTGTACATTTCTAACTCTATTAAATAAAAATATGCCTCGAAGTCTTGGTAGCACGTTTTACAAATAAATTACATCGACGAGTAAAGGGTGTATTTTCGTAAACAAAATTTGTCATGATTTCTTTTTGAAAAGCTCATGTTTGGCTTTTTGGTTCCCTGTGGACAGTCCAAAGTGCAAGTTCACTTCGGATAACTCCGGAAAATCGAGGAAGTAGACGAGTATCAGTTTGTCTTTGTCTTGCACCTAGTGCCCGATCTGGTGGCAATGTGTTTACACGGTATCATAATATGTAGCATATAAAGGTCTGTATTTTTAAATAGTAATTAATAAAATGTATCTCTATATTATTTCTAATCGCAACGTCTAACATTCAATAAATTTCGCTTAACAATAGGTTGTTATATAAATTTCATGTCGATCACTACTTGGTTAGGTCGACGAAAAGGAGACGGAAATGTATTTCAAAGCCTACCAAAAATTATTTAGCAGCCACGCAAGGCAAATACACACTAATGTATCACGAATATTGTATAATCGACATTATGGTGTTAATCATAACAAAAATATCCGTTCCTCGCGTCTATATTGGAGCGGGTTTGGTGTGCTAGTCGTTGGGTTAAGTTATGCTGCTGTGCCTTTATACAGAATATTTTGTCAGGTAATACAATTATCTTGCCGAATAAAATAATTACAGTAAATGTAATAAATTCTGTGTTAAATAGGCATACAGTTATGGCGGTACGGTATCAACTGGCCATGAAGTTGATAAAGTCAGTACCATGAAACCTATTAAGGATAAAGTGTTAAAAATATCATTTAATGCAGACACCGCAGCAACAATGCTTTGGAACTTTAAACCTCAACAGAATTATGTAAAAGTGGTTCCTGGTGAAACTGCGTTAGCATTTTATACAGCTAAAAATCCATTGAATGAAACGATTACTGGTATATCAACTTACAATGTGGTTCCGTTCGAAGCAGGACAGTATTTCAATAAAATACAATGTTTCTGTTTCGAAGAACAGCAACTGAATCCACACGAAGAAGTAAGTTTACCAACGAATACTCGCAAATATAATTATAGGAACCAATAACCGAGATCAAACAAATAAGTAATATTTTTTATTGCGTATTATTAAAGGTTGACATGCCAGTGTTTTTCTACATCGATCCACAGTTTTCTGAAGATCCTAGAATGGAGCATATCGATGAGATCATACTTTCTTACACGTTCTTTGAAGCCAAACCAGGAGTAAAAATCCCCTTACCGAAGTATCTAACAGAACGTACATGATAATTCTAAAATGTATGTTCACTTTTAAACGATGTACATAATTGTATTGGTAAACAAATGGTTTAATATATCGTCAATGAACGTAAGTTGAAATATCACTTTGCCTAAATTTCGTTAGGAGTACATTTCAACAGTGTGGAACAACGATTTTCAATCATATATCGTTACTATACTAAAAGTGATCGAAAATCGCTGATATAGAACAGCTATCCATAACAAAGCATTAAAATCTAAATAGAACATTGATTGGATAAGCGCGTCTAAGGCTAGAAACTTTTTCTCGATCGATATACAACGCGTCGATCTTAAGCGCAAGATCGTGCTCCAGTTTTGTTCGTGTTCGTAATAATTTCTGGTGCTGATTCTCCAACTCTCGTAATGCCCTGTGCATTCTCTCCACTTGATGCTTTATATCGTCGATCTCTTTTTGAAGGCTAGAAAAAAAGGGCGAATAAAGCTATATAGATATATATGTTGCTTCAAAGTAATTTAAATTTATCAAATGAAACCTTATGTGAGCATAATCACGACACAGCTCTAAATCCGGCCGATGCATTCTAGCTTCTAATCTGGTATGAGCTACTTTAAATACATGACTTTTATCTGCAATGGCTTTGCGCATTAATTCCAAGTTCTTCTCCACGTCGAATATTTCGTGTTGTACCTAAAGCAAGTAACAAATTATTTTGACGTTCCGAAGTATAAAATACTATTGCTTTTACCTTCTGTAAATGCTGTTGGAGCGTGGTTTTGGCTTCGAGTAATTCGGAGGATCTATACGCCAAGGCATTGTTTGTGTTGCTCCATGCATCCCACATTTCTTGCGCAACTTTACTTACAAGAACCTCTACGTTCGTTCTCAGCTGACAAGATCTATTTCTTTCTGTCTGAGACTTTTCAACTATTCGGTTCGCCGCGTCCGCCCATGTTTCCTGTTCTGAAACGCTAAATTTCATTTTTTAGGGATACATCTGTTAGATATTCTAAGTTTCACGTACCATGAGTCGTATTTTTCAATTCCGGAATAATACTGTAATCCCTGGCTGTAATTATTCAATTGATGACACATCGCGTCTATTCCTAATGCATTTTCTTTATTTTTCAGATCCAATTCCAACTGATTTTGAGAGGCCCTGCAGTCTCGTAGCTGAAAGTAAAATCGAGTGAATTTTAACCGCGAAATTTTAGATTTTTAATTAAAATTTACCTGCTCTTTGCATCTGTCCAAACAAATCTCCAACTTTTTTCTATTTTGACGTAAGATTTCGATTTCTCCGAGCAAACATTTCTCCGAATCGTCGTGCACAAGTTCTGTACCTATATGTCGATAGAAATAATATGTATTATAATACTATTAATTTATGTACCTTCGTCGGAATAATATAAACGTTGAATTTCACTTTTCTAAATTTGATCAATCATCACCCTGTCTAGCTTCTCTATGATAAAGACATTCCTCCGCGATATGCAACGGACCCTCTATATCTCTAATCGCTTTTTCTACAACGGAACGAGAATCTTGAAGTCTTTCAATTTCGTGAAGCAATCTTTCCAATTCCGATGCCACTTCGTTTCGCCAAAAATTAACATCGTTCATTCTCTCGCCAAGCCGTCTACCAGTATCGTATTGTCCATGTTGCACTTTTTCTTCTGCATCTCTAACAGAATAATTGTTTAACAGAATTCGTTCATAGCGAACGGAGAATTTAATTCCTAGTACACGATACTTACCTAATAATACGTACAGCATCGTTTCGTATTCTTTCTGAATAATGCCTACACGAGTCTGCCTCGTTATAATATTTCACCTGTTTTTCGAACCATTCGTTTGGCGTGTATCGTGTATTAAGAGCAGTTCTTGTGGCGTGTACAGGATTACGTTGATATCCTGTTACTATGTTCGGGAATTTTAACGAAGCATTCGATGGGTTCGATATTGACTTTGTAGCTCTGGAACGTTCATTGATAATATAGCAACTATCATTGCTGAAAGTTGACAAAAATAAATGATAAAATTAGCAGGAACTTACAAAGGAATAACTTCAACGTTTTCGTATCCCATATTTGGCCGCCAAGGCATTAAATTATGTGTATTATGGTAGTCTCTTCCATAATACTGCGTTACGGGTTCGATGCAAGGTATCGGTACATTGCTTACATTCCATGGCTGCAATTGCTACAGATTCGACACACATAGGTGTCAACGTATTAATAATGTTTCTTAAACTCTGCATATTAGGCATTCTGTGCTTATCTAAGGAGAGAGTGGCGTGGGAGGAAGAAATTGACAACCATTATTTTTTTTTGCAAGTTTATAGATACATTTTTGTATTTATGAATATAATTTCATCCTTCGTCTTTTTTTCCTGCTTCTTTCAGCTTAGTAAAAAATTGAGACATACGTCGGTACATCTGCCAAGAAGATGCTTGTGCTTTGAAGACATTGTCGCATCGATGTTTATATTACATAATAAAGACTTTTTATTCATTCAAAGAGAACTTATTTCTCTCGACTAACACCTGTACCATACGAAAGAATCCCTTCCCTTTAATTACATGTAAATGCTAATAGAATTAAGTCGAACAAATTTCATTTTCGTGTACAACTACTTTCGTGGGCTATTGTATTTATCTTAAAACGATTTATGTTCTCTATAAGCATAAATACAAAACAATGTTGTGCTTGTAAACTATGAAGCCAAAGATGTTATTAGATTATACTTTCATTGTAAATGAGATTTATAAGTACATAAAGTTTTTATTTTAAATACGCATTAGAAAATATTTTCTTATCAAGTACATAGAATTATCTGTCACGTTCAGTCAAATTCAACATGGCAGATGTACCTACTGATGCACCACAACGTAAGTACACGTGCGGTTAAGTTCTTTGCGTTATTTAACAAATTGCCACACGAAGTAGTCACAAATTTTTATTCCGAAGCTTCCACGCAATTACAGTTTTAATTTTACGAAAGAATCGTTGCTGTCTTATTACGCGTAATGTTTATACTTCGAGTATGAGGTTATACTGTGTAAAACACTGTACAATTTTGTATGTATTTAGTTATTAGGCCTACATAACGATAAACAAAATTTCGAGTAACTGATTCTCGATGAGGAATGGCCGTTTTATATTTTTATGAATTTTTTTACATTTGACATCTGATTATAATAATTATATTTAATATCTTTTTAGATTGCCCCGGTACTACAAGTAAAGATGCGGGCAAAGCATCTATGTGTGCAGGATGCCCAAATCAAACACTATGCGCATCTAATGTTACAAAACAACCGGATCCTGGTATAGCTCTTGTCAAGGAAAGACTTTCTACAGTCAAAAATAAAATATTGGTATTATCTGGCAAAGGCGGAGTTGGGAAAAGCACTGTAACATCATTGGTATCCAGATCTTTAGCAGCAACCAATCCTCATATAAATGTATGTATTAATGTTTGATGTATACATTGATAGATATTATTTACACTCTATACTCTCTATAATGTTTCAATATCTTATTTTTCAATGTCTGTTTATATATAGCACGTTATACATTACAAATTGAACATTGGTTACTTAATCATAAAAAAAGACTTACCCTTTTGCTCATACCAAGAACATTCATGTTGTTTTCAATGTACATAGTGATACAGTGACTTCTAGTAGCTGGTTACGGTCTACAATGTAGTTGTCTAAAGGAAATCCCTATATATGCTTATAAACCTATGTATATTGTGTCAGCTTGTACCAGTTCCTTATTGATTATCTCAAACCTTAAATATTTCACTGTATAATTACACAGAAAGAAAATGTTTCTTAATATGTAAAAATGAACTATACATTCTCAATTTTAATAAATGATTTAATATATATGTATACATATACAGGGTGTTCAGCCATCCCAGGGCAAAATTTTAATGAGAGATTCTGGAGGCCAAAATAAGACGAAAATCAAGCATATCAATTTCTTGATTGAGGCTTCATTAAAAAGTTATTAAAAAATGAAATTAAAAAATTTCAAATCGTTTTGGAAAAATTATTTTCGGTTGTGGAGGTCAATTACAATCGTTTTTGGTGAATAGACATACCCTCGAAATCCTACCCATTTTCGAGAAAAAAATTCAGTACGGGCGGAACTTTAAACGTTAATAACTTTTTAATGAAACCTCCATCAGCAAATTGGTATTCTTGATTTTCGTCTTATTTTGGCCTCTAAAATCTCCCATTCGAATTTTTAATGTATAAACTGTATGAAGCAACAGGTGAAGCCTGTATAAACAAGTTTAATAGGTTGCAGTATTGGATATTGACATATGTGGGCCATCTCAACCAAGAGTGTTAGGTGTCTTAGAAGAACAAGTTCATCAAAGTGGATCAGGATGGTCTCCAGTAGTAAGTATCCATTAATTTCTTTACAGTTGTTAAGTAATTTTCGTTATTCGCGAATAAAATTTACCCTACTTAAACGAAATTTATTCTTTTAGTACATAGAGGACAACTTGTCCCTAATGTCTATTGGATTTTTACTTGCTAGTCCAAGTGATGCAGTAATATGGAGAGGACCAAAAAAGAATGGTACTTTCTTAATACCGTGGTAGTAAGGAAAAATGAATGATCATAGAAATTTCATAATTTCACGTTATTATTTTTAGGGATGATTAGACAATTTCTGTCGGAAGTTGATTGGGGCAGTTTAGATTACCTGATTTTAGATACACCTCCCGGCACATCGGACGAACATTTATCGGCTACATCTTATCTTAAAGGTGCAGGTATTACAGGAGCAATAATTGTGACAACCCCGCAACAGGTTGCACTATTGGATGTGAGAAAGGAGATTGATTTTTGTAGAAAATTAAACGTCCCAATCTTAGGTGTTGTCGAAAATATGAGTATTTTTGTTTGTCCTAAATGTAAGGCAAGTATCGGGAACAGTATGGAATCGGTCGGGCGATGGTAGAAACTGTTATGTAATCGAAACATACTTGTAAATAGGATTCTGTCGAGATATTTCCTGCATCGACGGGCGGTGGACGTGCAATGGCCAAAGAATTGAACGTAGAATTTCTTGGTTCTTTGCCGGTAGATCCGCTTTTGGCTAGATGCTGCGACGAGGGCAGAAATTTTTTAACGGAAGTTCCGGACTCGCCAACCGTTCTTACGTTGCAAGATATAGTTCAAAGTAGGCATTTTTTTTAGAAGCTTTACGTATTTATTCGTGTTACAAGTTTAGCATTTACCGTTTTGTTTCAGAAATCGTGGAAAAGTGCGAGGAACAGAAAGAAAATTGTCAAATCAATTCAACGTGATAAAAGATGTAATTTTTTATTCCCGAAAAGTACATGTGTATTAAAGTTGCGTATAAAAACATGTAAAAAATTTAGTTTTGTTTATTCTTTGAAAGTGTAAATACGAATTTTGTAAATTTAATAAATATTGATTTGTTTCAGTTGCTTTCAGAATAATCATTTTATTAGATCGGCCAGTAAATAATATTAAATATTTTAAGTAGATAATGTTTTTTGTTTTTTTCTGTAAAAAGTATTGCTTCTAGCTTACGAAATTATATATTCTGAAAGCTGACACTTCATGTATAGTTTGAATAAGAAATCGTTACGATAACCTTGTTTTGAAAATGACGAGAAGATGTACTTCCGAATAGTTATGGTTTTTTATTTCCCCGAAGTAAACAAGGCAATATAAACAATGAAAAAATATTTACTATGATAGCGTTGTAAGCGGAAGAATGATTCAAATATGGTTTAGGAATTGTTTAAGATTTTAGTCTGGTCAGTGATTTATCGAGGTTGATGCAAAATATTGAAATATGTATAGAACGTAATTATTCTTTAATAGAAATACGATTGTATTTCGTGTGGGACGTTAAGGTTATATTATGAGTCATTCTACTGATTAGAGTAGCTATTTATAATTTTATTGTGGTTGGTTGATGGAAATTGGAATCTCCTTTGTCAGTACAGTGTTCTCAGTGGATAGAATATTTGAATAAGGAATAATTTGCAGTCAGGAAAAAAGATTTGTCAAAATGATTGACGTAGAAATGGATCGTTTGATTATGAAAACGGATCTCGGAAAATCGTGTCTGTCAAAAAACGATCCCGTAATAGAATCTCCAAAAATAAATACGTCAATAAAAATTGATTCAAACGAAACGAAACAGCATCCGACAAAAAATGTACCTTCAAACGTGTATTTACAATATATATTGCCATGCAGTCTTTTGAAATTAGCTTTATACGTTATTATTTGTTGTGCTTTAATATTGTTCATAAGACAGGCTAAATATATTTTTATCGAGATATACGAAATAGACATAAATTCTATCAAAGACAACGAAAACAGCCTAAGTAGAAGTTACAAATTTATCGACACTGCCGATGGTATAACTATTAACCAAAAGTATGAATACGATGTAGCATTTGTTGATATAGTATTTCAAGCAACTGAAACTACACAAGTAAGTTCTAAACAATGTAATTACAAATTTTTATCAGATTTTCTACAATAATTTTCATTCATTATTAATAACTTTTCATCCGTTACATACAGTGTAACAATGTTCCAGAAATATTACGGTTTGATTGCCACCCTGAAGACGAAGCATCAGAATCATCTTGCACAAGCAGAGGCTGTTGCTGGAAACCAGTCACCAAACAGAATTCAACTTCTCAAGTACCTTTGAGAGTTCCATTATGCTATTATCCAAATAATTGGAGTCTATATAAGTATACAAATTTGAGCAGAAATGGAAATGATGTTTCTGGATTTCTTAAACAAACAGGCAATTCCTTTTATGGGAATGATATACCTCTTGTTAAAGTAGAAACCAGTAGTGTAGATGATTCGATTTTGCGTCTAAAAATATACGACGCTTCGAAAAAACGGTATGAACCACCGTGGCCTATCAGGTCCGACACTAAATCATTTTCACAAAGAAACATTGATGCAAAGTATAAATTAGATGTTGATGATACCAAACCTGGTTTCAAAGTACACAGGACCTCAGATGATACCGTGTTGTAAGTAATGTTCAAACTGAATTTTGGCCACATAAATTACAATAATAAAGAACCTATGTTGATCAGTTTATAAAATATTAATGTTTTCTTTTCATGTACAGATTTGACTCTATTAATATTGGAGGTTTTATATTTGCTGACCAGTTCTTGCAAATAAGTGCTCTTTTGCCAACACATAACATTTATGGTCTTGGTGAACATGAAACAAACTTAAAATTAGACACTAATTGGAAGATTTTTACGTTATCGAACTTGGATCAACCGCCGATGGAAAATGTACGTAGATACGTTTTATGCATCGTTTTGAGTTCTTTCTTTCTGTATACAGAGGACCTTTTTAATTTAGGCAAATTTATACGGATCTCATCCTTTTTATTTAATGCTTGAAAATTCTGGAAAAGCTCACGGAGTTTTGTTTCTCAACAGTAACATTATGGGTACTGATTATTTTCTTAAATCATTTTTCATTAGTTTTTCTTCGATCGCGTTCACAAGCATTTGTTAGAACGTTCGTAATTTTCAGACGTGATACTACAACCATCGCCCGGTATAACGTTCCGAACTATTGGGGGTATATTTGACATATATTTCTTTCTGGGACCAACCCCAGCAGACGTTATAAAACAGTACTCTGAAGTAGTAGGAAAACCTTTTCTTCCTCCATATTGGTCCCTCGGTTTTCATTTATGCAGGTATGCTCATTATCGTTAGCGGGCAACTTCTATATTATTTAACATATTTTCTAACAATGCAGATACGGATATAATACTTTGGAGAAAACAAAAGAAGTATGGAACAGAACCATTGCAGCAGGAATTCCATTTGTAATATTTATTTATATTTATATTCACTGAGTGAATTTCACTCGATTCAACACGTTAAACGACCGGCATTATATTTATGTCATATTTAAAAAATAATATTTTACATTTTAAACAAAAATGAGATTCACTAGCTTGGCGTTTAACGTGTTAAACAATACTAATTCGATTGTTTTAACCAGTTCCGTATTACATTCAGGATACCCAATGGAACGATTTAGATTACATGGATAAAAACAACGATTTTACGTACAATATTGATAAATTCAAGGATCTACCGCAATTTTTGGAAGAAATACATTCGGTATGATTATACCGTTCGTGTACGTTCTTGAAGAAATATCGGTAAATGCATCTAATAACGTATTACGTATTACAGAGAGGAATGCATTATATTCCCTTGATCGATGCTGGAATATCTGCCTCTGAAATCAACGGAACTTACATGCCGTACGACGAGGGCCTGAAAGTTGATATATTTGTTAAGGATCGAGCAACTAATCTGCCATTTGTTGGTAAAGTTTGGAATCTCGTTGCCACTGTGTGGCCCGACTTCACGAATCCTAAAACGCCAGATTATTATTATCGTATGATGAAAGATATGCACGACAAGTTTGCATACGATGGCGCCTGGATCGTACGTGTTTATTATTAGTAGACAAACAGGAGTGTTAATATTTTTTTTCATTCGTATCCCGTATTTTTCAGGACATGAACGAACCATCAAATTTTTACAACGGTCTCAAAAATGGATGTACGCACAATAGTTTCGATTATCCGAAATACGTACCCCACACTATTGAAAATGCACTCGCATCGAAAACGCTGTGCATGGATGCCAAACACTATTTAGGACCGCACTACAATCTACACAATACCTATGGCATGAGTCAGGCGGTAGCTACGAATTAGTAAGTACGTAAGACAGTAAACGCGCGAATGAAAATACGATTTTTAATAAGAGAAAAAAATTTACGCAGCGCACTGACTAAAATTCGGCACAAAAGACCATTTATAATTTCCCGCTCGACATGGGTAGGACATGGATATTATGCTGGCCATTGGTCAGGAGATGTTTTCTCCACATGGTAATTAATGCGCATACAGAGTACGAATTATCGGGGAACGGATCGTTTTATTAATCAGTATCATTCGTTAGGCACGATTTAAGATTGAGCATTCCTACGATGCTGTCGTTCAACTTTTATCAAATACCAATGGTTGGCGCTGATATTTGCGGATTCAATTGGAACACCACAACTGCACTATGCAATCGTTGGATGCAACTTGGTGCTTTTTATCCATTCTCTCGTAATCATAATTCCGACGACACGATCGTTCGTATTGTTGCTTATTTAAAAACTCGTTAAATATACCCGAACATTTTATTCGACGCTATGTACGTACGTGTGCGTAGGAGCAAGATCCAGTTGCTATGGGCGATTTAGTGGTGCGATCGTCGATACGCGCTCTTAAGATACGTTACTGGCTTTTACCGTATTTATACACCTTGTTCTTCCGAGCGCATAAATTTGGGGAAACTGTGGCGCGGCCATTATTTTTCGAGTAAGTGTCTGCAACCATGATCGTTGCTTGGGAGTATTCATACAAATTCCCTTTTACCCCCTTTTTTCAGATTCCCCGATGATCCAGCCACGTACGATATCGATACTCAGTTCCTGTGGGGTCGCTCTCTGATGATTGTTCCTGTTTTAAAAGAAGTAAGTTCTGGCTAATAAAATTTAAAAAAAATAATCGATTGCCTATATTCGTGTAAACAAATAGAGACTAGACTATCGACACATTATCATTATTTACTATATTTAATTTGTACGTTGTCATCGTCAGGGCGAGGTAAATGTTAGTGCTTATTTGCCGCGTGGACTGTGGTACGATCTTTATACGAAAACTAGCGTGTTCGCGATCGATGGACGACGTACATTGGACGCACCGCTGGATACTATACCGCTAATGATCCGCGGAGGGTCTGTTTTGCCGGCTCAAGAACCGGCTGCAACAACAACGGACAGTAGAAAAAACAATTTTGAATTGTTAATCACGTTGGATGAATTTAAAAAGGCTGAAGGAGAATTATATTGGGACGACGGCGACAGTTTAGGTATCGTAATACACGTAACTGAATAATTCCGTATTCTGTTGTATCGGTATCGATCGACGTCGCAGTATTTCTTTTGCTTTTACGTGAACCTTTTTAGATTCCCTCGAAACGGGACAGTTTGCGTGGGTGTCCTTCGTCGTTGAGAACAATACTTTGTCCAGTTCTGTAACGAAAGAAAGTGCCTTCAACCAGAAGGTCGTCCTCGACAAAATAGATATATGGGGAGTAACATCAAACGTCTTGGAAGTTACCTTACAAGGTCGTAAAATGAAATTCGAATATAACGATAAAGAAAACGTGAGTTCAAATATTCTCTAATGCAGTCGTAGATAACCGTGGGTCCCTTACGCGAGCATACAGATGACATTCTTACAAAATGTTTCAGTGCTTGTCCATAAAAAATCTCCAAACGGATTTAAGGAAAAACTTCGTGCTCGAATGGAAGTACGGTCCCCCGGCCGATATAATCAACGACATTATGCGTTATCCGTGGTTGTTGTTATTATTCACGGGCATAGTATAAAATATAATCTCCGTTCATTTTGAATAAGACTTTTGTTACTATACTATATACATATACACGTGTTTGTATTTTCTTATACGTTTAAATAAAATATTATGTATAAAGAAAAAAACATTTTATTCGAATCACTGTACTCGTCGTACAGTACAACATACAGTACGGCATCAGTTACGTAATATTTATGGCACTAATGAAAAAACAATAAATAGAAGTTTTGAATCTTTCGATAATGCGTTCAACGGAAAAAGAACGAGGAAAAAACGCGGGTAACGTAAATGTCCAGGAACGCTCGTTCGTAATCGTCACGCGAGTGACGGCGAAAGATAACAACAGACACATTAGGTCGTGCACGCGACATTCGTAGCGTTGGCTAAGAATTCTTTTTTTTTCTTTTTTTTTGGTTTTTTTTTAGTTTCTTTTGCTTTGGCACCGTAACTTAAAAGTAACGCGAAAAATTTCAAAGCGCTGTCTCGTCGAAACATCGAAATCTCCGCCTCGAGTCCCCTCCGTGAATCTTATTTTCTTTCTGTCTCAACTTTCGAGCGACCGAATGCGCACGACGTGTCTCCTTTGACCTCGATCTATATTCTACATTCTATATTCAATGTCTCGCGACCCCTGTTTGCATTTCTACGCCGGTCAAAAGAGTAGATTTCGATCTTTCGAATAAATTTCGAAACAATATGCTATCGGTTCGTGTCAACATAATCTTGTGGCTTTAGCAACCTACGTAAACGCACCACCGAGTGAATTCTCGCAACAGAACACGTTACAAATAACCAGAGACGGGCAAAATTCTAATCCATGTATGAACTTAAAAAAAAAAATAGCTCATCCGTTGCACGATATAGAAATAAAAAGAACTATAATTATACAGGATGACCCTGGTTTTAATAACTAAACTTTGCCAATATATTTTTGTTCGAATAAAACTTTGCCCGTATCGTTAATTTATCTGAAATTATATCGAGCTTTTCGTCGACTTTTTTAAAGTTTCCCAACGAAATTGTATAAATAATAATCTTTGGATCTCGATGAACATTGGCCGCTTTGCGTTTTTACCAATTCGACTGCCGTTAATGCTTTTTGATTGATCCGTTTAATAGCGTGTTTAACACTTCTATACAGAATTGTACGCGTTAAGTTTTGTCCGAAACATTTCTTTGAGAGGTTTTAACGCGTACACTCTGCACGAAAAGACATTTTCTGTCTACACGCTAAATAGGGAAGTGGCAAGGGTAGCATATTTAAATATAAAACTATTTTTGGCCTGTGTAAGACTTACACAATTTTTTTACCGGCAGTTAAACTGTTAAAAATCACCGATTGCAAACGATGAACACAACCTTCGACCGTGTAATGAATTCATTAATACTACGTCCGTCGTCAAAGTGTTCGTTTACAAACGGCCGTTGATGAAAATTTGATTTCCACCGATTGACGCGCGTACGATAGCAGGTAATATTCGAAATGTTTGCGCAATACAAAATAGCACCCTGCTGAACGTTCAACGGAATTAAAACGTTTTTAACAAATTAAACATATTACACGTTACAGTACTAATATAATAGGAAACGCATTAACGTATATTCATTTTCTCTCATTTTTCGTTCGATTTCAAACATGTATCGCACAATAATATAACGTATATTCGTATGTGTATATGGATATATATATGTGTGTGTGTATATATATATATATATATATATATTTATATATCTTTTTTTCAATGGCTAATATATATCTATCTCGCAACCTTCTTCATTATTGTCTGCTCACATTTACTTACACCTATCTAAAGGATGTCGCGCTTCTTCCGAGCACGCGTACGAACAATTAAACGTACAATACGGCAATACACGCGAATGCGTACCGAGGTCAGATAACGAATAACCATGTCAACTATAATAGAAACGGAGCGAGGGTAAGGTCTTTCGGCATCGAAGTCTCCATTCTCAGCGTACGGCGAATGGAGATTCCGTGAACACAAAACGAAATCGCGTGGCGCATCGCTTCTCATGTACTAAGTTCCGCGAAATGCATTTCAACGTTAACATATAATTTTATTCTAACTCGACGCCAACCTGGAGCTCTAACTCGCTCCCAACAACGAAAAACAAATTTTCTCTATCTTAAGGAAACGAAAACTGTATCGCGTCGTGTAAAGAAAATTGTCTTATCTACGTATCGATAAAGTTAACCCTTAATTAACTGGTACCGTGGGGTATTTTGGCATCCCAGCGACTACGTTTATTTTATTCACATTTTAAGGGAGTATTCTACTAGAAACCTTTGCAAAACATTTCAATAAAAATCCGCGTTTTACAGTAGAACACTTCGATAATATCACTACTTTTAATTTTTTCCGATACCACACTTTGAAAGGTTTAAATGCCCAACGATACTAGTTACGTTTACAGTTAAGGGTTAAAAGCAGCGAACTTTTCGACAACTTGGTACATGTTGCGCATATAAATACAGGACCATAACGTTTGAATAGTTCCCTGGAAAATACGCGTATGTTATTAAATCACTTTCTGCTTGGCGAATTATCATTTACATCTTAAAATGGAAAAAGGGCACGAATTTCATTGATACTTATGAAACCTAACGTACGCTTTTTTCCCGGAGAATTATTCGCTTAGCTATAAAAGAATATATTGCAATAAACGACGTGCAGTTCTAAGATCCTATTTAGCCTCTTAAATTTTCGTAAAGGATCGTCTACGAACCTAGCATACGCTAAAGTGTGCAATTATAATGACGTTTCAATGACACAGTACGTGCGTGCACTCGCATGCATAGATATACGCTAAGAAATATGGCAAGAAGGTTCTTACGCACTTTTGCGTCGAAAATATACCTCTTTTTCTCCTATACTAGATTTAAAAAATCGATGAACGTACCTTTCGGTCGATCGAAACGGATCTCGCTCTCGATCCGTTCTGTCGTCAGCCTGGTCGATGGATGTCGTGCCGACATTTTTGATTAATAAGTACCGCACACTCTGTCGCGTATCACGAGTAACGTATATTTCCTATGTAACAACGCAAATAACGCACGTTCATTGATATTATAATGCGGCAAGCACAATGACATATGGCACCCGCGGGAAAAACACGCTCGAACGCGTTCCTAACCTCTTCGGGGTCGATCTAATTTTTCCATATCAAACAATCAAATCGATATCGTATCCGTGACATCTATCAGTTTTGTACCGACGTTATCGGTTATATCATTACCAAAATTTTGAATAATTATTCATAACTTTAGCGAATACCTTGTACCTTAATAAATTTTAGTCAAACACAATTGCACACCGGAAGAGGTTAACGTTCAGACTGTCGAGAGGATGCGCAGACACGGCGAAGCGGCATGTCGTTTCCGGTGTCGCGATTATACTTCCGAATCGAACGAATAACAGTGTGAAACGTAAGTTTTCGTATATAGTCGTAACGTTATTATCGAAGCATGCAATCTCCGCGTGTATCGCTAACGTTTCTACTTTACAGGACAGTCTGCCGTTTTCCACGTTTCTTCTTACATCTATCAGGAGTCAAAGTCGTAACGATTTATCATACTACGAGCCAACGCGAAGTAAGAAGAAATACTCGACACGCGTTACTAAAATGTAACATTTTAATCGAATCTTTAATGTTGCAGGTTTTATGGCGGCGTTTCTACTGCCACCTACCGTGGCGTTCTTACGTAAACAACCCCAGACGCTTTACGATTATCGTACGATTTATGACACAGTGAATGTGTCGGTAAAAAAATCTGGAAACATTGAATTTATCGCTTATTTTTGTTTTACGTCGATTTATATCAGTGGTAGCCAACCTTGTATGATATAGACTCTAGTATACAACGTTTCAACTGTCGTATATTGGTTCTAGCCCATATGGATTTCGATTACGGTTTTGTGTATATTCTTATATCGTTTTCAATATACTTTGACGGCCGCTGTCACGTATACGTGATTTTACTTTTTCAGTCACGCGTGCCTCGTTACAATATCAGTATAAAAAGCTGTTCAGGCTGATATATTTCATTATATAAAATCGAACCGTAATCGAAATAGAATAAAAGGTTGGACATAGTTCTATAAAAATGCAAGGTAGCAAAATCACGGGCAGCCATTTACGTAGATTACGGTAAAGTGGACCGATGCAGATGTTAAAGAATAGCAATTAGCAGGACAAATCGTTACGTCCGTGGCCCCTGTACGTCGGACCGATTCTTTCGTTGAATTGCACACGACGTCTAGCATCTTGCCGTTAAATAAATCAGTCGATCTCTTAACTAACGAACCTTAAAGAATGATAGAGTCGAAGGAGAGAAAGAAGTTGTTCAAATTTAATCGTAGACACCGCGTTTGCACCTTTGGACTAGTAAATATCAACGTTAAACTAAAGAAAATTCTATATAACGTTACCGACATTCGTCGATCCCTCGGAGAAATTGTACGACGTTTCTCGAAGTTCGCGTAACCGACGATTATCGCGGGTCGCGACAGTATACTATCTCATTTCTATCGAGACGACTCTCGAGGCAAGTCGTCTCCACTGATCTTTGGTGAGGCAGTTGGACGTTCGTTTAGGTAGCGGTAAGCGTTTCCAATATGTCTTCGGGGCTCTTGTTCAGCTTGCGAAAGTTCTCCCAGTGCTCTTTGGGTACGGTCCATTTCAGAAATATCTCGAGATTCCTGGTGAGGGTCTCGAGTTCCGTGAGGCCGTCGCGAGCGACCGGATCTCTGCCGGCAGATATCAGCGAGTCGTGGAGGACCTCGTCGATCAGTCGTTTCCCAAATCCCAGCTCATCCAGCCTCTCCTGTTTGCTGATCCTCTTTAACAGGACCGCGAGCAGCAACCTCATCCTCTCCACCGTCATCACCCTATACTTGGAAGGCGGCGTCAACGGTTTCTCGACGATCTCGCTGAAAATCGCGTCCGAGTTGCTCGAACCGTCCGTGTTGGCCGCCCCCAGCTCCGGATGGCACGTCTTCTCGTGGCACTCGAGGTCGTTCTTGATCCTGAAGAAACTCTTGCAACGTCTGCAGGCGTACGGTTCGTTTCTGCCGTGGATACACTTCATGTGCTTCTTCCAGTGCGGCAGCTGAGTGAAACCGGCGTTGCATTCGGCGCATTTGAACGGTCTCTCGCCGGTGTGGCGTCTGGTGTGCAGCTTCAGAGCGGTCGAGTGGGCGAATGCTTGCCAGCAGACCAGACACCTGAACGGTCTCTGGCCGGAGTGGGTTCTCTGGTGGACGGTCAGCTGGGACTTTTGCGCGAACCTCTGGCCGCAAGTGGCGCATCCGTGGGGACGGTCTCGCGCGTGCGTCCTCATGTGTTGAGGTAGATGGCCCTTGAACGTTTTGTTGCAGATGACGCACAGGAAGGACTTTACGTCCCTGTGAAGGCATTCCAGGTGTTTCTTGAGCGCGTCCCGTCGTACGAACGCGCGGCCGCAGATCTCGCATTTGTGATCCTTCTGGCCGTTGTGGCGTTTCACGTGCAGCGCCAGGTTCGCGGCGCACGTGAACGTACCCGAGCACAGCCCGCAACGATAAGGCTTTACCTGGCTGTGAGTGCGTCGATGCTGCACCAATTGGCCGCCTCGTGCAAAGCTCTTGTCGCACTCCGGGCATTTGTACGGCTTGAAGCCGGTGTGCGTCCTCACGTGAAGCTTCAGCCTCTCCTTCAGCGGGAACTCCTTGCCGCACTCGTCGCACTTGAAGATCGGTCCGGCTCCGTGTACGATCTTGTAATGGTTACGAAGGCCGCCGCTGCCTTTAAACCGCGCCTCGCACACCACGCAGCAGTACTTCTTCTCTTCGTACTCGTTGCCGTTCGTCGAGAACGCCTCATCGTCTACGTTGACTTCCTTCTTCGACGATCCGTCGTTGCTCGACGTGTCCAACACCAACGTGGTCGCGCAGATGTCTCGAACCTTCTCCCTGGCCGATCGCAGCACGTTGTTGTTCTCGCCCTCGAGCAGGTAGTTCGCCTCGATGATCGCCTCGATGCTCAGGCAGGACTTGTCGCTCCTCAGATCGGACTCTTGGTCGTCGATCGTTCCGCGAGACGGTATAGCGCGCTCGTACAGCGCCGCGTCGGTGTCCGTCGAATAAAAATCGGTTCGCTCGGCCGCCGGGTCGAACGGCCCGCTGGGGAACAACGGTTCCCGCCGAAACACGTAAATCTCGTCGCTGAAGTCCTTGCTTCTGTCGAAGTCCAGATACGCTCCCTCCTCGTACTCCGACAGAGTCCTCTTCTCCACCCTGAAACCGTTCTCGACCGACTGCCGGCTCGTCGACTCGCCGCCATTCTCCGTTCCATCGTCTCTGTTCGCTGGCGTTCCGAATCTCTTCTTTCGCGATTTTGCGCGGACCACGCTCTTCTTGCAGATGCCCTTCCGTTTCCGTTTGCCCGCCTCGGCCTCGAACGTCCGGTCCTCGACCTTCCCTTTTCCCTGCCGTGGCTTTCGCGACTGTTTCTCGAGTTTCCCGCAAAACGCGAAGTCCCGCAGCTGAAAGTCCTGCGCGTCCTCGATGCAGCCATCGGTGGCGAACCTCCGTAGCACTTTCAACGCGTCCGTGGTCCCGTCGGCGATCGTGTCCGTGTCCAAGTTCTCGTTGACGTTCGCGTCCGGGTCTTTGTAGATGCCGTTCTGTTTCACCGGCAACAGTTCCGTCAGCTCGACGTCCTCGCGCGGCTCGGTACCGGCCGTTTCATTCAGAACGGTTTGCTGCACGTTGAGCGTGGCCATTTGCCTTCCGTTGGCTCTGCCCGGTCCCCGGATACGGCTGCGAAGACCCTCAGCTTCGAGAGACTTCGACGCTCGGCGCCATTTATCGGAATCGTAATCGCGAGGCTCGTTGCGCGCGTCGCGCGATACTGGGGCCGATCGTGGAAGTTTGCCCCGGACGTTCCGGGCCGGGCCGATCCGTATCAAAGGAAGCTTTTTATCGTGCACCGTCGCGACGAGTGACGGGGAACGGAAATCGGTAACGGAGCGAAGCGGAGTCGATTCGTTCGTCAGCCGCCTCCGGTTATCGGGCTCTTATCTTTCCCGATAATCTCTCTCTCTCTTTCTTCTAGCTACGTCAACATTTCTTCCTCCCCGCGTCGTATACACGTATCGCGACGCACGATTCTTCTACGTTCCGAGCGGATCGACTTCCCGGCCGAGGGTGAAACGAGACGCTCGAATCAATCGTATCTCCCTTTCCCGAGGCACGTTTCGTTCTCCAGCCTCTCCTCGCCTACGATTTCGACGCACGGCACGCTCGCCAGCCACGATCTACCCGTCTCGCGTGCTGCTGTTCGTTTCCCGGAAATACGAGGACGGTTCGTGCGCGCATTGGAATCACCGAGAAGGGTTAGAAGAGGATACCGGAAGTCGTGGCGAAAGCGTCGGCCCCGATGGATGCGGCTCGCGGTCGGGCTTTTACGCGCGTACGTTCCCGCGACGGAACGACGGTTATCGCGTCGCGGACGCGTACAACGGCACGTGTCGGTTTGTCACCGACCAGCGAAACGATCGAACGTTGGAACGCGCAAGAGGAGGATTGCTCGCGGGACAACGGTCGGCTGTCGATAAAAAGGGACGACAGAACGGCGACGCTCCGTGTCCGTCGCCGCGACGATCGACCGACTGCGAGAGCTTCCTCTTCCTCGCGACGATACGCCGTTTCCTCGACGGCGAGTGCGCGCGTTTTTCACGCAAGCGCAATTCGCGGTCGATATCGGTCTGATTTCACCCCCCGTAACCCCCTGCACCCTGCTGCCCTGCTGCCCTGCCGGCGACGGCAGACTCTTTCTATACCCCTTTCGTTCTACCGTCCCTCCTGCCTGCGTTTCGTCTGCGACCTCTCACCTTTATCCCCTGCGACTCTATCGCTCGCTACACCCGCCGCCTCTAATTCTACCCGCTTTCCGCCAACCGTCATTATTTCCTTTCTATCAATCGCTCCACACGCTCGCGTTCATCCGCGCGATCCACCGTCCTCGAATCCATCCGCGCGCGATTTCTTACGCATCCTTCGGGGCGCTGCCCCTTCCAGGGGCCGACGGTTTCGAAACCTGCACCGTTCCCTTCGACCACTATCCTCGATTGTCGCACCAGCGATATCGATACTCTTCGTTCCGCGCTGACAAGGCCCCGCAAAGCATCGATGTTACCGGGCCGCGATAGCGATTCCAACGAGTCGTACGGGTTTACAATTCTCTTTGGCGGTTCGCGACTTAAAGCTTAATTAAACGGTTCTTTGGTTACGCATTGCCTTTGGTCGTTTCGACGCGGTGGGAAAAACGTTGTTCGATCCCGATTCGAAACTGGTTCGAGGTCCGTAGCGCTTCGACGACAGAATCTCGACGAGAATTCGTGATACAATCCACTTACTTATCGCGTTCCTGTGTTTACGCTTTGACGTTTCGAGTTCATCGTATAATCGCCCCTTATCTCGGCCGCGTCATAATTTCCTCTTTAAGGAGTCTCTTTCTTTCCTGACTAGACCGCCTTATGCACGAGAACGAGACCGCCTCCTGGTTACGCGCGATTTCATAACCAGTTTCTTTCACTGAAATAATATACAGGTACGATCCATACGCGCTACACGGTAACGTATGCGTACGGATACAATTTTACTCTCGCCTGGATTAGTAAGCTGTGTTAGTAGCCTTAGCCTTCCCCATCTGTGAATCGCTCTCTTGATTAGTGAAAAGCGAAGAACCCGCCACCATCTGAAAGAAACGAGAAATACCGAAGGCATTTCTTTGCTGTCTTTAATCTACCTGTCTACCGATATTTGCGATCCGATTCGTCTCGCGAGTCTAGGCGTTTCGAAACGGAAAAGTACGCGGACCACGCGCGCACCACTTACCATTTCGTCGATTAATTGACCGCCGTTTGCCCGTTCGAGCCAACCCTCTGGGAACTGCATCGATACGCGAGAATTTTTCTTCCTTTTTTTTTATTAAAAACGCAACCCAGACCGTGTCGTATTTACCAGTCGGCGCAAAACAGTGTTGTAACATACCTACGTACTGCACGTTTATAAATCCTAGTGACTCGTCGCTATTTGGACGAACAATCGAAAAGATATTCAACGATCCTAGTTGGCTATATACTCTGTATCAGAAAACAATGATCCTGAAGGCATTCCAAGATATTGCTTGTAAAAAGATGCACCGTGCAACATCTGGCAAACCGCCTTGTGGAATCTCACTCGTTGTTCTACTTCGGTGTACGATGAATTAGAAACTATTTGCGATATGAAAGTACAACTGGACCTCGATAAATCGAAGGGAAATGGAAAATGTTTTCGAGTCTCTGGATCTCTTGCAGATCTATGCATATATTATTTCATATTGAAAGTATCTTAATTAGCTTCACGTTACATTCGATAAAGAAAATGGCGTGAACGATAGCCCAGAGTGGGGCGTACACGACCCACGTGGCATAGAAAATAACTAGACAATGTATGCCAACATAATGTACAAGAAAATATTTAAATCGTATAGTGTCCGAATATTAATTCGCTTGGCACCGTTCGAAAGGTACCTGTTACAACACTGGCGCAGACATTGATCGTTTCCGAGCATTTGCATCGCGCGCGATTGAAAACTCGTACGAGTTACGTGACTCGATCTTTAACCGCGTCGATCAATTTCTGTTGTCGTCGTCCTCCTCGCTGTTAGCCCCATTAGATCGTCAGAGTAAACCGAGCAATCGCGAAGATTAGAACTTCGCTGGTTACGATATCGTTTGCGCGACATAAACAGAACGTCCGAAAATACGCGATACAAGCTTGAAAGAGGTGGCTCGTGGAGAGAGAAAAAAAAAAGGAAAACAATAAGTCGGTAACGTGGAACGCGTTTTTTCGTACGAGCCTTCGTTTTCGAGAAAACGGATCTTGAGAACACACGAGTTACGCTAATTGTCTATTCCCCCTCGTGAACGGACACGCAACGGAAATTTAAGCTCGCGCATCGTTTCTTCGAGCCTCGTTCGTGCACGGATTAAGCTCGCGATCGCTCGCGAATACGGACGTGTTTACGCGCGCGCGTGTGTCCGTGACATTGTTGCACGTACACACGCGCGACCACACTCGCTATAGACCTCGCGCTCTCGTTTCGTCGAGACGTGACACACGTTTGTGCGCATTGAACTTCCCAGTCCCGAAAGAGACGGTTCGTACGTTTCGCGAGATTCCGTCGGTCGGACCGGTGCGAATTTCCCGCCATTTTGACGTCCCACGAGCGACTAGCCCACCGAACGGGTCCACGTTCCCGTGCGTTACGTCGCTACAATACAATTTTTACTCACCAAACCGGAGATGGCTCGATCTTCCAGCTATCACGACGAGGAAAAGGCTTCCTTGCGAAGCGTCCGCTCAACCCTACCCTCGTATCGCCATCTTCGAACCACGTTCAACTCTACCGATGATATTCTCGAACCGTGTAGAAGGGCGAAATAATCGTAATAAAACATCGTACCGTCTTTTCCTGCCAGATGGCGCGCGAAACGCCGGCACAGCAGAAGCAAACGAGTCGTTGTTTTCAGACGAAGCTCGAATGTGGCTTTTTTAACACTGTATTTCATCCTTTTGCAACATCAATTAACGTTATACAAACTGCTTCGAACGTTACGATCGAAAAATTCTCGTCTCTCGTTGTGTCGTTCGCGACAACGTACGTATTACTTTTCGAAACTATTGTCTTTCGTGGCAAATGTAACCTCAATTTGTTCACGTATCGTGTATTCGATAATAGGTACACGATGTCAAGTCGATCCTTGATGATTTTTTCCGAAAAAGATATAGGTGCCGTTAGTCGATATTATAGATCCCTCCACAAAGCTTTTACAGCCACGCCCCAAATTCGTAGTTCGCGATAACATTCGACGGTACGTATCTATAAATTATATATTTACAGTTTACGAGTTGCGCCTAAGAGTTGATTATTGACGCCTGTCTTTATCGTTGGCGCGCATCGACGACAACCACAAATCGTTTCCCCAATAAGTAATATTAGTTTTCACCACGATTTAATGCTCTACAGCACTGATATTTTTGTATTTATTAAAAGAAATAGTCGTAGGTTCATAACTTGAACCCATGGATCAGATTACAACAGTAAACAAATAAGTATTGAAGTACAGGTACCAGTCATGTAATACTAAATTGAGATTGCACAAAGTGCTACGCAGATTCGATAATGGATAACCAGAAATATCAAGATAAGTAATTGTTTAGTGACAAACAAGAAGATAGTATAGTTCACAAACAAACCCATTGCCACGTTGCTGGAATTCGAAGATTAAAATTAAAGGTAACAGTTTCTTAAGTCTAACCTAAGTTAAAAATAAATAAAAATAAAACAGTGATTATACGTCAAGTTCAATTCGATGTAAAATTTTCTTCTAAATTTTCGATTCTATTGCTTATTCTTTGTGCTACCGTTTCGTACAAATTGTCGGTTCACGCGTCACACAAAGTCAGTGATTTCAATGCTTCCAAAATAACAGCTCGTGTAGCAGAATTTAAATCGGACGAAGCGACATAGTACGTACATATGTTTTTTTATCTGTTACGTAAAGGATAAAAGATTATCGTTCCAATTTATACATGCACACGTACGTACGTGCTTATCGAAATAAAATTCGATATTTTATATATAACGAGCTATCACGTTTCGTGATATTATGTTTATTCGTGCTGATGTAATTGAATTAACATCACTGAACAATAAAAATATTGATGGTCAACCAATAAACTGGTTTGTTTGGAATCTTGTAATATCTATATCGATCGTAAATCGAAGCTTCTATAAATTCACTCTAGATGGTAGTAGCATAGTGATATTTCTTGTGAATTCGCGTACATAGATTGTACCATTTGTCTATTTATACTCGTCAAGTTATTCTCAAAAACTAGCAACAAATTCATCAAATGCGAAAAATACGACCGAAATTTAATGGAGGACATAATGTTTTTGCATCTTTTACAATATTTACTACGAGTCATAAATCGATGATTCAGATTTTTATGGATTCGTCTTGCTACGCAATACAGAAGTTTGACAACATCTTTCTATAGATTGTCATACTTTTAATTATCGTTGTTGCGAAAGTGCAGATATTAATGGAAATAATAGAAAATCTTTCTTTCGTAGGTGCCGTATCATTTTGTCGCATCCCCGTTTTGCATAAATAACGTTTCTGAAAAACTGTGTGGACGGTGGCCGTCTTACTTTGCATGTGACCGAGGCAATGAGTATCGTTTGCCTATATAGGCAACTTTTTTACATACCATTAGGTTTGAGGAACAGGAAAATTTCATGGATGTCCTATTATTTTGCCGTGGAGTGTATTTTTAGAAAAGAATGAACGATGATTTCGAAGCGTGACGCGGCGCCATGTTACCGCGAGTGCCGAACAGTTACGGAAGAAGCCGAAGTTGGATTCGACGAGGTCGAGTGCAGACGCGGCCAGCAGTGCGGACGGTACGGACAGTGCGAGCAAGTGTAACGAGGGAGCGTGGCCGTTGCGGTGTATCCGATCTTGCTGAATTTTTGCTCAGCTGTCACTCGGAGCGCCCTACTCTCTCCCTCTCGCTCTCTCGACTGTGAAAGCGTGGTTCGTGGTTCGCGGTTCGTGAGTGACGCACCTACCAGGATCACGTCTTCTCTATCCGTCTCGTACGTTTTTTCTTTTCTTCCCGTTCTTTCGCCCCGTCTGCTCCATGGTTTTTCTTTGTCTCTCTCAGATTCGTTTGCTCCGGTCGTACCGTACGCTCGATAATAGTCGTGTGTTCTCTTACGTGGACGACGACGTCGAAACGAGGACGTCGTCGACCGACGACGCTGTCTGCTGACGTTTTGTTGTCGATCGACCGCGTCGTGTGTGTGCCACCAGTTGCGTGTTGCATAACTACGATTTTACGACAGCCAGCTCCTCTCGTCCGTATTCAGGTTCAACACACGTCACCGCATCCTTTTGCCGGCAAAATTGGACTTGTCGATATCTGCGATTGACCGAACAACACCGGTGAGTTTCTGTCTTTTCTCGCGACTAACGGGCGACCGATGTCACGCGTATCGCGACGCTTCGATACATCGAACGATTGTCGAAAAATCTGTTCGCAAGGCGCGAACGTTTCGCCCGAGGAACGGATTCGATCGATCGTTTGCCGCTCGAACGTTGCGCGAATATTTGAACGAATCTCGGGTATCAGTTTCATAACAATGTTCGTTACGACTTGCGAATTCAAGGTCTTCGACAAAGATTCGTTTCCGCGATATTTTCGATACGTCGACGAAAAGGAATTCGCGAGCCGGAATGTCTGCATTCGTTATTTCTTTCTTTTTTTTCGCTCGATTTGGACTTTGGAAGAGCGTCGTGCGAGTGTGTGTCTCTGATAAACGGTTATGAATTTAAATTAGACGCGATTACGTAAAGTTACGTGGTTCGTTACTAATTTTGCTTACGCGAACCGCCGGATTCGATCGCGAATACGAAATTTGTTTACGGTTCCGTGTTTGCGCGCGATCCACGTGGATTACGCAAATTTCTAGCTTACTTTGTATCGGTATAACCGCGGGAATTCAACTGATTACGAAATGTTACTCGCACGCGAATAGTTTAGAAATTTGGGGAAGCGTCGAAACCGCCGTGCTCTCGATTTTCATTGCGTTTTATTCCACGGTCGTACAAAAGTATGCAAAACCGGTGACACGCGACTAACGCCAAGGAAAATGCTGTACACACACGTGCGTAGAAAAGGAGCAAAGTCGCGTCGTTGTACGTACATACAACTTGCACAATTTACGGACGACGACGCGTACGATCCAATCCGGAGTACGTAAAGGGTACCGTCGCGTCGCGTTGCGTCCCCACCCGTCGACTATCGTGACTGTAACGCTACTTGAATATGCTACGTGTGTTCCTCCATCGACACGAAATTATTCATCGACTGCTCTTTCTCTGTTCCTCTGTACCGCGCTTTACTTTTTTCTCATTGACCGTTTATTCGTGGCTTTTCAATATAAATTGATAACAAATTATATTTATTAGTCCTGCAACTTTAACATCTCCCACATTTGAGTCAAGAGTATGAGCTAGTAACAACATGCTAAATTAAGTTGAGGCATTTCCAGGCAGGTAGGACAATTTTTCTAGCTGTTTCATACTGTTGTATCTCCTATGGAGGTTCACCTAATGATTATAAAAAACTTCGATTTCTTTTTAGCCGATCCAATACAAACTGGAGATATCTTTCCCCCCGTAGATGTGCAGCCTTTCTTGTTAAATATCATCGAATTTATTACGTGGACATACTGGACAAATGGTAAATAAATTTGCCAAAACGCTTGTATCTCACCTCCCATTAAGCGGGGGAAGAAGTTTTTGCATACAAACGGGAAACACTATACGAGGGCAGAAATAAATTTGTTCGTCGAGCGTGCAGCAACGCGTCTGCAAAGTTCGTCTCGGTTCGGCCTTTGTTCGAAATCGATGTTGCCATTTAAGAAAGAAAAAAGAAGAAAAAAGAAACAACGATTAAATAAATCGTATGTACCGCGACGGACTCGGTAATGCTACTATGCACCATCGACGCGTTCGCAATAAATCTCGGTGGCAAGAATGTACGTACGCAGTCAGGTACCACGGCTTACGGCGCAAACTTAACGGACCTGGCTCCTTTTAGTACGCCTGGCTATCCTTCTCTCTCGCTCGAGGGGCGATAACTCGTGTTAATTTGACAGTTAATTAACGCTCATCGAATCGATTCTATGCTCGACGACGCACTTCCGTAATTGGCCCTTTTTTTTACTCGACAACCTACCGGGCGCGTCCGTTTACTTTGCTAATTGTCGATCATCCCGCGGTCGCGATCGGTTCTTCATTGTCATTTCTCGCACGTAGGACTCGCTATGTAGGACAAAATGATGACACTAGTGAAAGGACGTCTGCATATTTTTAAGACGTTACTTATGTTTCGTACACCTTGTGTACATTCCACGTATCTTTACAACTGTGATCATAGATCTAGCTACCGTTGTCCAAATAAAACGATACCATATTTTGTAACAAATGTTTTATACTAGTTAAGACATCACCAATGCCTTTTTAATAGAATAGAATATTTGAAGGGACGCTGAGCTTCCTCGTTCGCGCTTGCGAAACGCGTGCGTTGCGCTTAACTTATAAAACCACGACGGTTACATCGTGTACGGCAACTAATAAGAATGCCGTTGATTAATTCCACGTCGATTTCTATTTTTATCCTTCCTGACGTATAAATAAAAGCCGCGGATTCCGCTAGCGAGCGGCTCTTGAACCGGCGGGTGTGCGTTCAAGACTTGAACTTCGAGTACGCCCTCTTCTTTTTTCTCTCTTATTTTTCTCTCTCTATCTTTGCGTCACGATCGCATTAATGACTTTGATTTCTTTGTACCTCGTTGTCCGTAATTTACGCGCGCGTTAAAAGGCTGCGTTTCTTCAGACACAGCTTTCGTCGCATCCGTGGAGGAGAGATTCGCTTTTTCCCCGTCGATCGGATCGCTTTAATTGGTTACTGGCTTTTGTGTTAAACGCAACGGTTGCTTCCTCTAGCCAGCGTTAACAAACGATAGCCATCGGTCGGAGGATTAGCGCCGCTCCTCCGTTAATTAAGCTTGTATCGTAGAATCTCGGCATGATCGGAATTAACGGGCGAATTCATGCTAGGCGAGAAACTCTCTCGGAGTGGGATGCGCTCGGTGTCGTGGTCCTCGCGCGTAGAAAAGAACGAGGGGGTGTTTTGTATCCCTTATACTGATAATTTGCAATATACTTCTGCTCGCGAATCAAATTTTAGACGATACAGTTCTTTGTGTTTCAAGGACTTAGATCGTCCTTTCTTTTATAGATTAATTAATCAACATAACATGTATTGAATAAATTCAATAGAAAATTAAATTTTTTAAAAATTGATTTCAGGCTAGAATGCCCCCGTTGAACCATCGTCGGTGTTCGAAGAGCGGAGTTTCCGGGATGTCCGTCGGTTGAGAGTCGCTGTTCGCATGAGTTTCATTAATCTGACCGCGCCTGGAGCCTCGTCTTGTATCTTGCCTACGTGTGCACGGTATCGCGCGTTTTGTTGTACCACGTGTACGTGCATTTAGATACACGCGCGCACACAACTCACACGAGTACGTCGCGCGTCTTACACGCAACCACCGACCCCGTCGTTCGCGTGTATTTGCACGCGAGGATCCTTTACTCGCTCGCACGTTTTATTTTTCTTCGTTTCTCCCCCCTCTCCAGACTTCTTCCCTTTGGCTTTTCTTTTTTGCCCTACGCCTCTCCTTTTTTCATCGTTTTCTCTCTCTCTCTTGCGCCGCATCGCCAAGTTTCTCGCATTCACGGTTTGTCTCGGATCCCCGTACACTTTTAATCCGTTCAGTATTTCAAGCCCGTTGACTATTTTATGCGCGCGACCAAAGCACGAACGGTTACGAGCGGCATCCGATCGTTCGTTTCGCATCGAAACGTTAATCCCGCAGGAACGTTATTAAATATCGGGTTGGTGGAATTTGAATCGCAACGCGTACGCAGCCAGCCCCGTCGCGTATACGAATACGGATACCACCGTAACCGTAACTATGTACATATATACTTTCACGTGGCCGCGGACTTTAATCGGAAGGTACTTAAGCCAAGCCGTACTACGGAATTATAACCGATAGCTAGTACAAATTCCCATGCTCGCGAGCCACACGGACTGCGAGTTTCTCACGCGTTCGATCTCCGTCTTCTTCCGACGTTTCCTGCAACCAGTCGAACAAAAGTCATCGATTAGAAAACCTCTCCGTAGTCCGAACTAGCCTTCTTTTCTCGCTACTCGATCATTCGTCACGAAACTTAACTAATATTCAAACTCCGTAAGGTTCGATCTTGAAACTTTCGATCGTCAGAGCCGCCATATTGGTTTCTCGCGCGTTGGAGTGACGTTTGTACTTAGCAGTGCTTTACGAGCCATCGTGGAGAGGTACACGGTTACAATTAAGGTTCGCAGAGTTTCGCAAGAGTCTTCGTTTCCACGGAAATTGTCGAGAAATGCAGTTAGAAATTCTACTCGCGTTGGATCGCAAATCGTTTCGCGAGTGTTATCGTTATAGTTGATCGGCGGTCGAAGTTGCTGAACCGCAAGTAATAGTTGCATCTCCGGTACGGAAACAACTAAATCTCGAGGGTTGTATAGGATGTAGGTATTTAGGGCAGAATTACCAAAATAGTTTCGCGTAATATTTTAGCTCGAAGTCGTAAATCTGGCGTTGAACAACGATCGATTTCCGCAACGGAGATGATTTTGCCTCGCTCCGATTTTGCTTTGTCGCTGGCCCCGATTCGTAGATCGGAGACGGGCGCGATGAAAAAACGAGATAAAAAATCTGGATCCGATCGCGGGATCTCGAATCGTTCCGAAGGGTTCCTTAACGAATGGAGCGAGGCAAAACGAAGGAGGAGTAGGAGGAGGAGCAGGACGAGGATGTGTATGTATATGCTTCTCTCGGCGCTTCGAACTCTCTTAAGTCACGGATTTAACTGAGTTAAGACGCTCTTAAGGCTAGTAGAGGGTGTTAACCTTTTGCTCTCCCGCTAGCTCACCTGCGATAGCTACTTGCCAGCCAACGATACGCCATCATTTTCCGTAACGTTTCAATTTTATACACGAGCAAGCTTCCTCTTTGCACCACTGGAATTCGGTTCCTGGATCGATCTGTTGCTTTTCTCTCGTCCAGCCCTCGTATTAAATGTATTTAATATCAATTGTATTATTCGAAGGTTCCGTACGAAGTTGACCCACCTTTCTCGTTTCATAATTTCCTTCCCACTTCATCCCTTAAATGTTCGATGGCATTTAGGTCAGGCCTTCGTGGCAACGTGTGTGGGACGTTATATAGTGTTCATTCTTTGACAATTTTTACCGAACGTTTCGAGCCATTGTCCCGCTGAGAGTAATAATTTTCTGGTAGAAACTCTCGATAGTGGAAAGTCTGAGAATTTTTAAGCACGAACGATCGTCAATTTAGAAAATCAGCTATGAATTTCTCCGACTTTTGTACGCAGTCGGTGAAAATTTTATTTTCTACCGATACGCTGGCGGTGATGCTTTAACGGTCCATTAAACGTCGGGATAACTATTATTTATTAACCACGCCGGAGGTCATTGGAAGCCTGAATTGCAATGTTTAAGCATGCTAGGCGTACGCTCGAACGTACGGTTATTGCGGAAAATATCGCCGCAACGGCGTGACATTTAATGGTTCATACGAACGTTGAGGTATTTCTATTTTCAATTTACAGACTTTTCTTTCAGCTGTCGCTAGAAATTATATTCCACTTAATAACGTGCTGCGTATGTTTCTATAGATTCCCTCCCACTCTGGGATCGAGACGTTGATTTAAAAAGCATTTTGATCGCTTGTATCAAGGAAATAGCACGATCTTGTTTCCGTAAGATTCGCGTGCATTCCGTTAACGCATTAACGTCCACGTAGGTAAATGCACTCGACCGTTTTACGGATCTCTCTGTTTATATACGTACTGCGATGCGTTATACACGCACACCTAATCGGATAATGCATCTTTCGCGTACACGTATCGATGCAGCATCCCTTCCCCGTTTCTAGAGGCCTCCATATAGCATGACTCAACAAACTTGGATAAAAACTCGCGGAAAAACAATTGCTACACTTTCTAACGCAATTCATGATAAACAAATCGACGATAAAATCATTAAAACTCGATATACATATAATATACATCCCGCATGAGGTTAACATATTATTTGCATGTTTTTTACATATTTGGGCACGATTTGGAATCCGGTACTGTAATTATATCCCGGTGCCTAAAAATAACGGAGACATCGAAGGTGTTCGGTGTTATTGGGCCACTCTGTATAGCCACAGGCGTGTGTGCGGCGTGTTGGGTGATGGTGGCGAGGTGTGTGGAGGCCTGGCAACTGGACTCCCCTTGGGGCCCACATAAATCAGAAACTCAGGTTCAAGCGTAGCCCGAAGCGCGATGCCAGAAATTTAGATGCACTCGGTGTTCCCGAAATAGTTTCCTCTCGATGTGGTTTATGGAGTCGAGATTTCGGACGAAGTTGCCGGAACGTTATCCCTTTTTCGATCTTCGGACATGATTTTCAGTTCTACGAGTATCTGGTCCCGTTACTCTGATTAGGAAATTAATTTCAAATCGATTGGAAATCATTTGGATCGGTCATCTCATTCTGGTTCAAATTTAAACCCTATAAAAGTGTAATTCAAAGTATACCAAACAAACTTACCACTGTTATTAATTTCAAATCGTTACTAACAACCATGTAAAATTAAATCGCGTATAAAATCAAATTAATTAATGCAGCAAGCAAAAAAAACTATTACACGTCTTGTAAAGCGGTACTGCAGTGGAATAACATACGCAACACGTTTTTGCCTATAACTGTACGCGTTGTAACGCTGAAATTTAATTTACGATCCAATAAAATAAAAGATGGCCGCTCGAGCGTATCGGAAGACGAGCGCTCTATGGGGCGTTCAGCGATTCGCTCTAGTCTGCGCAACGATCTGTGCAAATGGATGCAAAAACTAGCTGGATATCGCGCAAGATCGAAAGACCGTGGCGTATCCAGTTCGACCGGTCGCGATATATTTCGTAAACAGCGATACTCGCGACGCGATAACGATTGTAAAAATCTCGATCGTCGAGACGCGCTGATTCGAATCCAAATTCGAATCGAGCACGCTCTACTTGCCCGATTCGACGGCGGGAGGGGGGGGGTGAAGGAACGTTTTACGCGCGGACGACTCGCGTGGACGCGTTACGCTCGTTTTTCTTTCTTTTTTTTGCTCCCCTACCGCTCTTCGCCACGGACTTTCGATTTCGAAGGCAGCGAAGTTGCACACGCGCTCGCGAAAGTGGCGGAGCGAAAGAAAAGAGAAAAGTGGGGAGGTGGGGCGAGCGAGAGAAAAAGTAAAGTAAAAGAATGAGAGAGGAAGAAAGGAGACCCGGAAGGGCAGCTCATCTTCCGCGAATCGACCGGGCCACTGACTCGTCTCCTGTTGCATAACGATTCCATCTCGTTCGAATGCATCCCCGAGAGTCGCGACTTGAGAGCCACTGGACCGTGTACCGGTTGTTCCACTCGTGGAATGCGGACTAGCTCGTCGTGTACGTGTACGTTCGTGTACGTACGTGCGCCTGTGTGTGTGTCCCGCGTCCGCGTCGCCATCCTATTCGTATTCCTTCTTACCTATACACGCGCCATCCTGCTTATTGCACACGTATGCGAACTGTTGATACCTCCGGCAGGCTACGCGAATTCGCGATTATTGCTATTGTCGCTCGTATTGGGCCCTGCGTTTTTAGACAGTCTCTCTATCCTGCAATTCATTGGATTCATTAAAATACTGTTTTCAGACTCTATGAAAGCCTGGATGGCCTCTTTTCCCTCTTCAAGAAGGCGTCTAGATGTTCGAAGATATCTGTAAGAGACAAACCCTGGTGGAATGATGCAGTATTTTATAGCTTAGATCCTCAAACTTGAGAATTGTATTGGATTGTACGAGATCTTGCATTGTTTACGAATGGTGGACGCTCTAGTTTCAAGCTACTAAACAAGAACAATCAACTGTAACCCATTTTTCCGTGGATGAAAACGTGTGGGGTTAATATTTGACCGTTTCTAGCGTGCAAGAACAGCGTTTTGAAGCGACCGAAGTTCGCGATGGAACGAATGGCGATAATGAAACAACTCCGATCGCGTCGAATATGGGCGAAGGGGTAGGAAAAAATGCATGATCGTCGCGTCGACGGACGAACGCGCGAGTACGTTTATAAACAATCGAAGGAAGTCGTAGCGCATAAATATGTAGAGAGTCCGGACGGTTGCAGGCTTTGCAGGGCCACTGTATGCAAATCCAGTTTACCGGTTGTGTAGTTACTTTACATGAGAGCACACGGTATATTTGTTTTTTTCGAAGTCGTCGCGCGGAAGGTGGAAGGAAGAATTCAGAAGGAACCGGGGATATAGCCAGGTGCGGTTTCTACGGCGTGGACAGGGTATAAAGCGACGAATTTAACGTCTACGGGATATCCGGTCGCGGAATCGAAGCTCGTTGAATTTTCAAGCTTCCTTCCTCGACGCCTTTCGATATCATCAAACTTTAAACGAACGTTCTATAATGTTTCTGGCGAAATTGATCGCTATATGAATTTTTTGTATATCCACTGTATGCACGAAACAAATATGGCGATCTGTTTCGATGCATCTATCTGTTGCTTCGCTCGTCTTCGAACTCCCCCGACGCGGACAAGCTTGCAATTTACCGTTAGCTATCCCGCACGTTCAAGGCGAGAGAATTTTTCTATGAAAGTGGCAGATGAAACGATACAGAAACAAGCTGGAACTTCAGAGACGTTTAACGCGATTGGTAGTTTATCGTATCCGTTTGGAAATCGTTCTTCTGCAGGTGTGTGCGGCAGCTGCGCATATTTCGCGAATATTACCACACAAACAGCCAAATTTCGGCTTAGAGCATTTTAACGAACGCTCGAGATAGCCAGATTTCGACGAAAAGAAACAGCTGACCGAGTGCATTTGAACGTTACGCGATAAAGATCTTCCGCGGATCGATTCTGTCGTTCGTTCTAACGATCCGTGCATTTTATCGTTGCAGAAGGTTCACGACAGAAGGCAAAGCCAGACTCGAGAGGAGGAATTCATCGAAAATGGCGGCGGGAACGTGTCAATTGGCCTAAAGAGAAATTCAGAGACGCAAGGTGAGTCGCACCGTCGTCGATTAATACGTACAGAAGAGTTTTACGCGGGAAACTTTTTCCGTCGCGCGGGCGCATGCGCCGTGATTAAGACGCGTAACCGCGAATTCCGACTTGGCACGTATCTACGAACTTTGCTCATCCTTCGCGACTACGAGATCTCTGGATCGAAGAGTCGATCGTGCTCGTAAAGCATCGAGAATTATAATTATTTTGTACATAAAGTCTGATAAAATTACTTTGATATGGATCCTGTTCACCGATTTGGAGACAAACGCATAAACTCGTCTTTCTCGGAACACACGCGACGCACACTCGTAAAATAGAGACATCGTATCGGTGCGTCCGAGCTTGCATACTCGGAGTCTCGGTTGTCCGAAGGATTTCGTGGCTCGTAAGTTTCGAACGGCTAGCATCGGTAAGCCCTTCGCGATATGGACGGGCACCGTTTATCAGACTGCAGTAACTTATGCGTCACCCGTTATCTGACCGCGCTTATTATGCGCGTTATCGTCTCCCTCCCGCTTCGACGAGGGAAAAGCCATAAATTTAATAGCCCGGGCACCGGTCCCAACCTCGGCCCTGCGAAGGAGGCTGTTCTCTTTGAGCATGAAAACCCAAATCGATCTTCCAGAGAGATTCGGTTCGTCGCTTCTTAAACGATTTCCATCCCCCTCTTTCACTCGCTGGCACTTCTCCGTTGGCTTCTTGTCGTTACTCCTTACCTATTCTGACACCCATAGATCACCAAAATCCGGTCTGAATTGAAATATGGCGCAGTGACAATGATTTCGTTACTCCGCAGGTACTTTGGAACAGCGTCATTTCTTCTCATGTTTACTAAAATTCTTAATATTATTTAGATTACTTAATGTTTACTTATCATTTTCTGTAGGTTGAAGAGGCACTTAACGACCTGCACGTGATTCTATACAGACGGTGGTTAAAAAGAGAGAAGACACGATAGAAGAATTTTCCGATCCGGTCGGTGATGCGTTAAGATTCGATGATCGACGATGCACGCATACGTAATTCCTCCCAGTGTTCGTTTCTTCGGACTAATCTTATCTAATAGTACGATTCGACCGCTTATCTATCGAAGATCCTTGCCGTTACAAGGGAAAAAGCCGAGCGTGGAGTTTCTCGGCGCGCGTCACGTTTTCGTTGGTTGGAAAAAACAGACGGAACGTCCTTTGCTCGCTTTCCACCGATAACCTTTTCGATAAATTCTCGCTATCTCGGATTACATACGTTTAACGAGAATTTAAACCCGTCGGGGATGCGTCGTCGGAACAACAAACTCGTGTATGCTCGGTGTCGAAAGAATCCTCAGATCCAAAATCTGTGATTATCAAATTCTTAAAATAATTTGTACTATCATCGATAATGGAACTAGATATTCTGGCCCTCGGTTATGCTTATTTATTGCAATTGCATTTCATCCCTTTCGATGGACAGTTTACATCGAAGGACTGTAGCTTTAGCGTTCATATTTTTCTATAGGACACCTAATCCTCTTCTCCGTCGCGGTTTCTGCACCACGGTTATGGCAGAAGGTCGATGAATGAACCAAAAGAGACAGGGGCCTATTGAAGATTCCCGAACACGCGTGCTGACGGGGAAAAAGAACCTGGTCGAACGAATAAAGGCATTATTGTCGATTGTTCTTTCATATTATGACGCTCGGACAGTGTTATTCGGCGTTTCCGGTAATCTGGTGCCGCGAGCACTGTGCTTCCGTTATTCGCGGATCCTTGTCGATCCCCCTCCACTCTCGACTCGAAAAAGCAGCGCCCTAATCGGAGATTAACCCAAGCAGAAACGATAGAAATAAAGGGCAAGCTTTTCTAAAAAGCAACGATTCAACGTCGATTCAATTCAGTCAACGATAAAGCGTCTAGGCGAGTGACGTCGACCTCTTTCTCGACGCATCGTTATCGAAACGATTCGATTCCTCGATTTCTCCTTTTGCTTCCTCCTTATTCCGCGTAAACAATCCTCCGCTGGTAATAATAATTTATCATTTTCCTCGTGACAAGCGCGATCAAACCGACGGCGTGAAATTTTCCACTCGCGTCTCGCGCCTTCGCATTCGTATTCGTATTCGTGTTCGTGTTCGTGTTCGCGTTCGCTGGACTTAAATACACGCTCCCGCAGATAGGTAATTACCACACCGACTATTCTTTCTTATCGTTCACGTGACTTTTGTTGCAGACTCTCTCGAGTCAACGTTTCGCGTGATTTTTTCCCTCCGTAATAACGCACGAATCTTAACGCACTCCACTACCGATCGAGAAGGTTCTCCTCGTTGTAAATTAAAATATAAGCAGTATTAGACATTAGGTATTTAGCCTCCATTTTAATTTTTCTTACAAATTAAACTTTATAAATTATTTCAATAGAAAAACCACTATTACAGTGCGTTAAAAATTAGTTGGACGAAACTGGTGGAAGGTGTAAAAAGCCTAGCGTCAATGGAGGTAGATTTCAAGCATAAATCAAGCGGTGTTCAGCGTTAAATGCCGTTGGAAGCCAGAGTTTACGCGTGCGGCAATCAAGAGCGATGTACAGATCGTTATCTCGGTCTTCGAGGACCGATTAGCCAACGGAGATCCGTATCCAACGACTGCGGAGATAACGGTGATTAGGCGTTTAATTAAGTCGGTTAATTAATCATTAAACGCGCGTACAAATCTCGACGCGTCGAGCGTAGCGTAATCGTATTATGGTTACACTTCGAACACTTGCAAATAGAAGAGTTGCAAGGTGTTTGGAAAAGGAATCTAAAACAGTAGAGACGGCATTTTTATACAGCTTTAACGAGTGTTTGAATCTACGTTTGCTTTCTTGTTTGATGGAAAATATTTATTTACGACAATAAAATAAGTATCCACATCGTTTTGTAGCTGTTCTTTACGGTGTGGATGAACATTGTCGAGGTTGAGTCGTGCTGGAGCTGCACAGGCGGCAAAATGAACGCAAAGGAAAATATTAGAAAGAAAATTTCGTTCCGTTGGCGTCGGTGCGGTAAAGGTTGGCCGGCCATCGAGATTCTCGGTAGAATCACCGCCATTAGAATACCGTGGGGGCCGCGAAGAAGAGGGTGATTCGAGGAAAGGCACCCGTTAATGGCTACGGCCCTTTTGCACGCTTAAATAAATAACTGCGCCGCCGCATCTCGGCTGTGTAATTACGCGGCCATATATACGCATACGTGTTACGTACGTGTACGAGTAACGCGGCGTGGTTTGCGTGCATTCTGCGAGTAATCGGTACAGAAAGAAAGGAAAAGGGCGGAGGAGTGGATAAGAGGCCTACGGTATGCCGTTTCTAAATTATAGCCTCAAAAAGACCAAGGATCGCGGATAAGAAAGGCTTCGATCGAGAGAGCCTGTCAGTCGTGCTCGATCTCGCGTCTCTCGGTCAGATCTCCGCCTCTTTTTTACTTTTCCGGTAGTTATAAAGTACGGTCGAAGGGAGTGATCCCTCCTGAACAGAACTCTGAATACGATTCAATGATCTTCGCTTGTCGTTTGGAAGCACCTCCACGGTTCTCGTCGTACCTTCTCTAGGTATGAATGCAAAGTCTAAATTCGCGTTTAGGCGATTCCGGTGTCCATCGAACGTTAGAAAAAATGTCACGGGGAAGGAATTCCCCGGGCAGGATCGTAACGGGCAGGCGAACTGACGGACACGGAGTTCCGAGTCCCGGGCAGCGTGCACATAGCCTCTTAGAAAGGCCGATAATTAAGGTAATGGCTACTTTTCAAGTGGATTTCCGTGTGGCTCGATCCCCGTAGCCAGCCGAGAGCCAGCCTCTCTGCCGATTATGGTCACGAAGGGCCTCGACGTTTTGCTCGTTTCTGGTCTGGCCCTTCCCTCGCATCGTCTCGTCCTCTCCTTCTGTTTCGATTCAGCCTCCGCATCTCCCCTTGTCCTCCAAACGATAATTGTATATAGCTCAACTCGATTCTCGATCGCTATCACGATAATTCCGACGGCAGAAGAGTCGCGAGCACGCGTCCTTTCTTTCTCGATATGGATCCCTCGTCCACGACGACCGATCGAGACGGCTCCGAGCTTCCAACCGTCGAATCGAATTGTTCGAATCAAAATTCCGCGTCGGGATCGCGTCCGTTATCGGAGAAAATATGGCGCTCGGCGTGATTTCCGAAGTCGTGTGCCGGAATCGTCTTGACCGAACGGTATCTCTCGATTTCAGCACCCGTGAATCGTCGTTATCGTTGCTCCAGATACTCGTACGATGATATTTATGTACGAAGCTATCTCGACGCTTGCCTTTTTCAATTCTCTATCCTCGTAGCGTCGATCCACGAGCATTATCTTCGCCGGCGCGAAGTGAAACGCGAACGTAAGTCGGATGGAAACGTCAAGAAGTTTCCTCGCGATAATATTCTTCTCGGTTTCATTAACGATCTCCCAAGCACTTCTTCCTACGCAAATCTGCTTCACGATTTGACATCATTCGTTAAACTTACCAGTCCGTAGTTCGAACGTCATTCGTCAAACGATCTTCTTCTTTCAATGGGAAGTTGCCTATATCGAAGCAATACTATAATTCAATTAATATCAAACAAGTCAGACGAATATATCTGCTTTAATTCCTCAGAGCATGTTTCTGTGGAAATTGGTCAATTATTAACGTCGCTGTAATTCGATCGCATTGGTCTTCGCGTATGACGTCTTTGGGTTGGCCTTTAAACTGCGAAGGAAACGAACAAGGGAATAGGAAGAGGAGGATGAAAGGGTGTAGGAGGACGACGAAGAAAATGTGCCGCGACCGCCAATCTGGCACAATGGATTTTGAAGAGTGTAATTTTCGTTGGTAACAATGGCTATACGGACCGTGCCGTATAATCTTACCGTCGGCGTGGTTCTAATTTTCCGCGCGTCATGGGAATTCCTGGCGAAGTCCTCGCGAGCGAGTCCTTTCCAGCCAAGGATCGACCGAGCTTCGGTAGTATCGCGACACTTTCCTCCCAGGATTCCTTTACTTGTGCAATCTGTAACATTTGAGCTAGTCTTTTCATATACAGGGTGTTTGGCCACCGCAGGGAAAAATTATAATGGGAGATTCTAGAAAATAGGACGAAAATCAAGAATACCAATTCGATGATGGAGGCTTCGTTAAAAAATTATTAACGTTTAAAGTTTCGCCCGTACTGAATTTTTTTCTCGAAAATGCTCAGGCTTTCGGGGGTATGTTTGTTGACCAAATATGATTGTAATTGACCCCCGCAATCAAAAATAATTTTTTTAGTATGATTTGAAATTTTTTAATTTCGTCTAAAAATTTCAGCACCTACTCGAATTTTTTTCTTGAAAGTGCGTAGAATTTCGGGGGTATGTCTATTCACCAAAAATGATTGTAATTGACGCCCACAACTGAAAATAATTTTTCCGTGAATGATTTGAAAATTTGAAATTTTTTTAATTTAATTTCTTAATAACTTTTTAACGAAGCCTCGGTCAAGAAATTGATATTCTTGATTTTCGATTTATTTTGGCCCCTAGAATCTCCCATTAAAATTTTTCCCAGGGGTGACCAAACACCCTGTATACACTATAAACCTGTTATGATAAGGCTTTAATCGTACTAAAATATCTGGAACGTGATTTTATTATACTCAACTGCTTCCAAACCTTAGAACAGTAATGTATTTATATCTTAGTCTCAAATATACTCCCGAAAGATTGTTGGTGGTCTCTCGAAATCACCGAGTCGTGATTATAAATCGATGTTCCGATATGAAATACATAATAAAAAAAAGCGATAGGTTGCAGCACGATTCGTTTGAACGTGGTTAGAAACGAAACAGATTTTCCCTCTCGATAGAAAGGATCTCCCGGTCGTCTTCTACGCGTATCGAAGCGTATGCACGCACCGATCAAGATAAAGGTCGTTAAAATATGGTTTACGTAATCGCGCGTAGCCTGAACGTTTCTCTATTCCGATGTTATCGCTGGCTCATGCTCATTCTCCTTTCTTTTTCCGTTTAATCCTATGCAAGATTTTTGACTCGCGATAACTCGACGCGATCGTAGCGTTCGTGGGAATATAGTGACGGCGCCGTGCTCGACGATACCTAAACGCGGGACGGAAACGTCCCTTTTCATCGGTACCGTGGTGAATGTTTCAATTTTCGCGTTTAAAACACACGATCGACCGTATTTAGAGCGCTGTTTTTTTATATAATCAACAGTTTCGAAGTCGTTCGACGAGATCAATTTACATTACGCACCGTGTATAAATAATTGGAACGTAGACAGCCAGTTAATTAGCTATTAGAGCAATTACGACGGTAGAAAGTTTTTTGTTGCGTCTCGATCGTGTGGATAGCGAATCTGTCGAGGAATTAAATTAAAAAAGACAGTTCTTACGATTCTACGGGCACGTAGTGGAATTAGCGCGGAATTGTAATTAGTATCTCGAGTAATTTGATCAGAGTAATTTAGAGTCGGTATACTTATTAGGATTTGTAGTAAAGTCTCTTCGAATAATTATCATGGTCGCATCGTTCGATATAAATTTTCTGTTGCCGTAGTTGCTTCAATCGTCGATTAATTACACAGTTACGTTCCAATTATTTCTAGATTTAACCGGCGGCGCATCGAGAGTAAAATTGAATCTTTTTAAACGGCGTGTATCGAGGTCGTTTCGCAGCAATTTTCCTACTCAATAATTTTCCGAGGTTACCGAAAATTTTCATTAGTTTTCACAGGAAACTATACATTATCTTTCACATGGAGCAGTTAGATAAAGTACGTAGAATGTTTCGTACTGGATAGAAGATTTTCGTAAGGGATCGATGTTGCTTGGCCGTGTATCGGTACCAGCGACTCGATCGGCGTTCAAACTTGTCGTCCTATTACGGTATAAGTAATCGATCGGAGAGCCACGATTATAAAAGAATAATATACAGTGTATTGGGCACCGAATGGTTCGGTAAACGATCGAAACAGCGGCGGTCCGAGCAAAAAGGAGGAATTATATACCGCAGGGGAGATTTCGATTTCAAAGCCCCCGTCGAGAGAACGTTCGAAGCGAAGCAAACATGTTATTTTCTCGTTCGTGGTGGTGGTGGCGGCGTCGGTGGTGGTGGTGACGGCGGCGGTGGCTCGATATCTGATCGGTACCACCCGCTTCGATTGGTCCCGGTTGGATTTTAACCCATCCCACTGCCGGAGCGTGGATCGCGTCGATCGACCAATCGGCATTTTGACCGATAACAGAAGCCATAATTAGCGCGATTTGTTAATGAGTCGGGCAACCACGGTAACGTTTGAATGAAACGCCGTTGTGAATGCTTTAGTCGTAGCCGCGGCCGATGACGGATCAAGCGACGTTTCTTCGCTTCGACGTCCTCGATCGGATCGCGATTTCTCGATTTCTTTGACTACGTCCGGGCTCGCGCGTTAACGAGCCGGTGTTATACATTGTGCAACGGATCGTTACGTCGCCGATCGTGCTCGTGGTTCTCGGAAAAAGTTAACTGGCACCGAGCTTTCGGGAACTTTTCGACGAGCCGCGAACTATGAACGAATCGAACTCTCGCGCGAGAATCGGCCGCCGCCATGCTAGTTTCGGTAGCTCCTATAAAAATATGCACACCGAGGAGCAAAACTGTACGTTGACATGGAATTTTAAATAACATTCTAGTCGGGATAGAACTTAAAACTTTCGACTTTTGCCACGCGTCGATGAAAAACGATGGAGAAGCATTGTGCTCCGCCATATTTATTTTTAAATCTATCCAGGCATTTTATTTTGCATTCGGATCTTGGGCTCGATCGAGCTGTTCTAAAACTTTAATCGCGCTCTTGCGATTGCCTTTGTCGCGAATTAACGAACGTCGGAACAAATCGTGCCTGTGTTGAAACGCGTAACGAACTAACGACCGGCGAGGCGCCATCTTGGACGTGCTTACATTCGAGTGTCTACGTTTTTCGTCGAGAAGATTGCAGCTTTCGTCGTGCCAGGTGAGCCGTGCAAATGGAAACGTTCGGAACAGGAAATTACACGCGACGCCATTCCACTTTTACAAGTTCTACAGCCTCGAAACGCAGGGTAATCTCGTTCCAAGTACCGAGCCTCGTGAAACAAATTGAACATATGTATATCTCGCGTTTTCTCGTCCGCGGAACGCAGACGCGTCTGGTTACGAGTCGAAAGATCTATTTTAAATCCCGCGACCAGCCACGTCGCGGGAACAGTGGACGGAATCTTCGCGGAAACCTGGCGCGCGCCGATATCTTCGAAAGCCACGAGTCCGTTACCACGAGTAATTGGTTTCGCGCAAGCTCGAACGATTTTGTTTTATCTACGCGCGAGGATAAAAGAAAAATAAACGGGAGCACGATAAACCATAATCGATCTTTCGTCTTTTTCTCCGTTCCCCCTTCGTTTCTCTTTTTTTTTTACACGATACGGTTTTACTACAGAGTCGAACTTAATATCGCGAGAGAAACGAAACGGAATTAATTATTTCAACAGTTTAGAAAGAAAGTTCACTCGTCGGGGAAAGATGAAGACGACGACGGAGTGAAATTGTTTCGGGACGCGATCGGTGGGTTCCGATCCAGTTTCTTTTCTCGATTTGTCGGGGTAATCTCGTTAAACAAACGAAAGGTTAAACGCGGAACGTCGTTCGAGGCAAATGACCTTAACCTTTGGGGTAAGTCGGAGTAGAGGCTAGCTGCCCGTCCGACCGACTGGCACGGTTGTCCCGAGGTTTTATTGTTAACGCGATTAACGCAACGCGACCGGCCGAGTCCGAGTGCCAACAATGCCTGTCGCTGATCTTCGATCTCTCGATCCTGTAACCGGCTTTGTCATAACGCCTCATAGATCGTGCGTCCAGATTAACGGCGATTCGAATATTCGATCGCAAAATCGCGCGGGGCCTTCGATCATTTCAAAATCTCGAAGCCTCTACTTTCTCCATCCTGGATCTTCAAACGCTCTCATACTTGGACAGAGTTTAATCAATGCTTCTCTCGATTCCTCCTAGAGTGAGTTCAATGGGAAAATCCTCCTCTTAAATCAGTTACGAGAAGAATGGGGCCGAATAAACAGCCACTATGTGAAATCAAATACACATCTAGATTTCAAGCTTTTCAACAACCACATACAGATATCTCATTAAACCCGTTGAAATCCTTTGTCGAAAACGTTTAGTCGGACCCCCGATTTAAATATTTCCGCCTCGTTTGCTCGGATCTTCCTCCAGCGTTCGCCATACGACGATCGTTGACGATCGGAGGAAGGTCTGGGCGTTCCATATTTTTGCGTTTCGCGAATCTAGCAAAGTATCGTGGCCCGTTACACGCCGTGCTGGCGTAATATCGTGCTTTTATCGCGGCTCCGCGAAGGCTTTAATCGGCTTATCGCATCATTACTTTCCACCATCCACGATACGAACGTCTTATTATTGCGGACGGGACGAATCGAATGTATCGCGTGAATTTCGAATCAGCGCAACGAATCGAGACGTTTTTGTTTGTTTGTTCCCGGGTGACGCAGGATGGTGCTGGTGGTGAACGGGGTCCTGCAGGAGGACATCCCGACGGACAGCAGATCCTTGTACGCGGCTCATCCGATCTATCGTGAGACCGCGGCGCAACTTCACTCGATGCCGGCGAAATTGGTCGGACCGATGGGTCTTCTTTACGTCCAGCAACGAGAAATGGCCGCCACCTTGCCTCACGACAGTAAGTTCACGCACGTACCTACGTCTTCCGTGCGTTTATTTTTCACTAACAAATATATATTGTATATATACACGTAACAGAAACGTCGTTGCACGATAAAAAGGGGGAAAGAGCGCGTGTATGTGTACGTCCGAACAAGCGCGGCGTTGACGCAACGCGTTCTTACATCTTCGTCCATTACTGCAAGAAATATCGAACGGCATTAACATCTACTTATGTATATATCGACATTGACGCAATATGTTGCTAACCGATTTCCAGCTAGTTCTGGGAATCGAAATGCAACGTCTTGCACCGTCGCTCGGTGGGGCGAGGAAAATGTACAACTGGAATTATACGTTTACGTCATATTTTTTTTTATTTTAAAACTGTAATCAAACGATTCTAATATTTTACAATTGGTCTACTTCTACATCTGCTTAAAAATTTACTTGTAACTCGGGCGTTGTCGAATCGTGTTATTTAATCAATGTCTCGAACGAGTCTCCGTCGTTTTACTGTTAAAGATATTTTTCAAATAATTAGACGTTAGTCAACTACTCGCTCGAGGTCGACTAACTTTTTATCTTATTTTTATTTGTAAACTAATGCGAGATAATCGAACCAGGAAACAGAAATATGCCTTAAGCAATGTATATTCAAGTGCTGCCTTCGACTATATTTATATGTACAATGAGAGCACACAAGAACTTTAGATAAAAAACTCTATCTGTAAAAAATAAAAAATAAAAAAAATAGTTAATCGTTGGAATCGTAGGCGATAAATAATCAGTTACGACATGCATTATTCATATATTTGTTTTAAAATAAGCTTCCTAACTAACTTTCAACAAATCTCGCTCGGGCTTCAAGGAGATATTCCGATGTTAATAGATTTTTTTCTAGGTGAATGGGTAAAGGAGATACCGAAGGACAACCTCTTCTTTTTAAACGGAATTACCAGCTTTTTTAATGGCAGAATTCTGAGTGTAGAAGTATTAAAAATGGCCCTGTGTCGGGGATTTGAATTTGTCTCGTTTAGAAATCTTGTATCGATTTTCCGTTCTTCTATTTTTCAGAAAACGTGAGCATTATCGGCTCGGACGACATGACGACCTGCATAATCATCGTCGTGAAGCATTCCGGTGAGCATTCCAGTAGAATAAGGACTCGCGATGGCGTTTTCGCTTCGGTTTTTAAACGTCGATTCACTTTTGGTTTCTCGTACACGCAATCATCGATCCATTTACATTAGAAATACATATAATATTTTCCACGCGTAGCTTCCGACGATACACAGGATATTTTATTAAACACGCGTGACAAAAGTATGAAATGTCAAGGATACGATAACAGTCTCATTCTAAAGCTCATTGATATTTACGTTGTCCATTGATACAAGCTATTCAAAGTCTACTGTTTTGATACGGTTCGATACGATCGCAAGTTACGTATTTGAGTAGTAATTTACGTTCAGTTTCATTCTGAGGCAGTAAAAGCACGATGAGCGATTACGATTAAGTTGTTTTGTTGTTCGACATCGACGACATCGGCGATGGTGTTTGTGTGTGCGTACGCAGGTTCCGGGGCTGCTGCATTTGCCCACCTGGACGGAGCTGGAACGGAAGAGGCTGCAGCGGCGATGGTTCAAAGGGTAACCGAGCTCGCCCTCGGATATCCAGAGGGTCGTTTGGAACTGCAACTAGTCGGTGGTTATTCCGATCCGAGGAACTACTCCGAGGAACTGTTCTGCAATATTCTTTGTAAGTTCTCGATACGATTCGTCAACCACAGTGTTTAAAACCCTTGTTCGACCGCATAGAAGCCATCCGTTGAGTCCATATGCCAGGTTGGTCTATAGTTTCACGCAGTCGAACCCGTGATTTTGAAACACTGTGCAATGCAAGAAATGAGGAACCGCGACAGAACGGATATTTGTTTTTTGTTTCCTTCGCAGCCGCCTTTCACAAGCAACCGGTAGAGATCGATCTGACCCTTTGTTGCGTGGGCGAGTTGAACACCACCGTGAGAGGTGGCATTCATTGGCCGGTGATCTACGGTATCGGCCTGAACGTGAAGACAGGCGAAATTTTCCCGGCAACCTTCCCCGACAAAGGTCCCGATCAGGCGCTAAGATCAGCGAGACACTTGACCGGCGGCCAACAGGTGTGCATTCCTTTTAATTATGCAAACGGAATCGAAACTGGATGTCTTCTGATTATCCTTGTTACGCGTTAAGTCTTCGAGGGTGAATTCCACTCCTTGAAATCAGATATCTGCGCATGTAAAGAGAACAAGCGTTACTTGGTTTCTTTCTAATACTGTAACACGCTATTTTATATTTTTAATCCTTTGCACACCTATGTCGAGTGTGACTCGACATCAATTTTTATCTCAGGAGCTCCTTTGTCGAGTCCCACTCGACATTTTTTCCAAACCAAAGAGATATCATACACCTGAAAACTAAAAAATACAACAATAATGTAAATAAAACAGATATTTAATTGAATTTGTTTGTTCCTCTATTTGTTTAAATTTGCCATACTTTTTAGCGAACGTAAATTTTAAATAAAACACTTAAAAGCGTTGGAAGCTGCTGGTAACAAAATTCAAATATAATTCGGAGTGCAAAGGGTTAAGAGGTACACGCAATTCTTTTCATGTAAGAATATTTAAAATTGTTTGAATAATAAGGGTGGATTCCACTCCTTTAAATCAGATTTCTGCACATGCAAAGAGAACAAGCGTTACTTGGTTCCTTTCTAATACTGTAACGCGCTATTTTATATTTTTAAGAGGTACACGCGATTCTTTTCATGTAAGAATATTTACAATTGTTTGAATAATTAAATTTATTCGCGACGTGGCTCGCGTTACAGGGCTAAACTTCTATCGTTCCGTGCACAGGTTCTGGATGTTTACGACTGCACCCTAGGACTGCTCAGAATCGGTCCGTTCAATTACGATCCTCTGCGAGGGGTCGATCTTTGGTTGGCCCAGTCCGATCAATTTATCCTGCAACACCTCTCGACTGCCCCGGAAGTGGAGCCTCCGCATTTCGTGTCGCAGGTAACGTACGCTTTTCGGGAGCTTTTAATCGTCCTAGTTCTTCGAGACGATAGTGTTTGAGGCTTTCGAACATGGGTCGTGTTCATTAGGAAACACAGAGTGGCGACACCTCTCGCACTCTCCAGCAGAGGGACAGCCCTCTCATCTATCCCTATATGTACACTCCTTGAAACGTTCTCCTTTCCTCTCTGCATGTAAACGAGGTTTTTGAAACTTTTGAAACACAATAACACATCCTCATAAACATTACAGATACTAACAAACATTTTAAGTGCAGGTTATGGGGCTCCAGCCCAGGGTACTGCGGATGAAACAGGAGAACGAGATAAAAAAAGTTCTTTCCTCCTACTATCTCGCTTCCTCGCTTCCCCTCGCACAGCATCCCGTAAAACAAGAAATTTGGTACTTTGTTAATAAACATTGTGTAAGAAACGATAAAACTATGATAATAATGAGTCGTGGTCGTGGTGCACCGAACGATGCAACACAGTGAATCGCTCTCAAAGAACTGCCTTTTTCGAAGGCTTTTCAAGGGTCTTTGGGGGTGGTTTACGATGGGGTTTGACACTCATTGCTGGGGTCCGTTCTCCTACGCGACGCCTTGCCTCTCGTCGTGCCCTTTGTTCATGGGGGAAGTGTCGAAATTTCCAACATTTGAATCGTGTTTATTCTAGATACAGATCCCACAACCTAACCCAGTGATGGACAATCGTGGGAATCTTGGACATGCGCACTGGAGCGCATGATCACGCCCGTATACACCTCACTAAAATGTAGGGTACCGTTGGATCCCAGTAAGGAACAAAATTTAAGGAAGTTACAGGGAAAGAGAGAAAAACAAAAAATTTCCTCTTAATCTACACGAGTATAGCTAGAGAAATACATAGGGGGTCGTCGATAAGTGAATTTTTGTGTGATTGGCGAGCATTTGAAGTAGAAAGTTCAATTTTGTACAAAACATGGGAATTCTCAACATGCATCTCTTTTTGTGCTAAAGATACATCGATGGCAGAAAGGTAACGCATGCGCAAAAAGAAAATTCTAGTGCGCATGTCCAAGATACCCACGGATTGTCCATCACTGATCCCACCATTAAAATTGCAATTTACAAACAGTTGTCTGCTTTTTGATCAATCAATCCGTTACATGTATTCGAATTCATTGTTTCAGATCCGGGCGACGCTGAAGTACATACAGGACAATCAATTTCCGGCCGTCACCGTCTTCCGAGATAACAGACCTCATTACTATCGTCGAGACGAGACCACTGGTGTCTGGCAGCCTATGAGATACTAATACACGACGTCGGCTGTACTTTCGCTCTCGTGGACTCGCACAAAGAGAAAAGACAAAAGCAGTTTGCGAAATTCCCCTGGTGATAGAAAATCCAAAAATAGAATCGCGAGCCGACGAAAGAATCACCGTAATAAAGCGGGGACGCACCACGATCCGTGCATGTGTCGCGTATTATCTTATCCAGCGTTTCTCGCGAAACGTCCTTTTCGGATTATATATTTATTATTCCCCGAAGCGTGGATACCATTATCGCCCCGAAACGATACACGCACGAGCCATTGTGCGCGGGGATTCTTCGTCGTGCTCTCGATCTGTTTCGGTGAGCAAAGGTATAATATTTCGTCGTGTTCCTCGCCGTTGTTGTTACATTTAACGATAAGAGGAACGACGATAAGATAGCAACGCCTTCGTCGATTCGCGGTCGTCCGAAAAAGAACGAGAAGAAGGTGGTTCGAACGATCGTCGTTAGGGTAATGATAACTTTGAAAGATCAATATGTACTAGGAATGGTAGTTTAAGGGTTAGCAATCGCCGGTTGTTGAGTTTCATTTACTTTATTAATTTTCTAACTCCACTTCCTTTTCGTCTCTGTTTCAAGATATTTTTATAACTACGTTCACGAGCTGCGATTCCAAGACTCTTGTCGTTAACACTAGATTTACGGAAGTCTGATTCCATATTTAAAATTGCAGAACGCGTAAATATTATATTATATTTGTTGAATTTGATCGATGCACTGGCATGAATACATATTCCAATTAAAAGAAAAATCGTATTGTAGGGTAAACGTCGACATGAAAGGTATCAATGAATATACGTGCGATCAATGCCCGTAAATCTAGTGTTAATAGCGGTCGCTCGTTCTCGAGCTAATAGCGCGTTCCTGTCGTTGAATACGGACTTTAACGCGTCCAATATCGTATCATTTTTATCGATGTACATATTGTGGTGGACATTTGGTTTCCGTGCGAGCTATATTTAAACGATTGCGAAATATTCGACCCGTTGTATGGAGAAGGATCTGAACATACGATGGAATCGATCGAGAAGATACTCGCCGCAGCTCGTTCGAAAGTATATATTTTATGTAAATCGTTATTGATCCTCGATGCGTTTCCGTCGAGATCAAGAATTTGTTCCGAACGATGATGCAAAGTCATCTGTAAAACTGCGATATTACGTGTCTTCTGTTTCTTTCTTCTTCTCCTAGTTGGATCAGGGAAGTTCGCAGCAAACGAACATTCCGTACTTGCCATAAAAGAAAGGAAAGTTAGAGAAATTAGGGAACGATGTAAATAATTTTTTAAAGGTTATACGCGCGACTCTTGCGGGGAAGAGAGAAAGCTTCTATTAAAAATAAAGGAAAAGAACCTGTTGTTGAACTCGTATCAGTTTCTCCTGTTATCTCGAGATGGTTAAAAATTAAACAAGACGAAACGCCACATATTTCCGTGTCTACGTGAAACGAAATTCGAGCTTTCTATTGTCTCCGTGCGACTCTGTTACGAAAACGCTTTAGTGGAAACAACTTTTAATCGAAATATAGAAAACGTTAAGGAAAAGAAATGAACGTGAAAATTCCGGTGTTTCTTGACCATAGAATACGACGGTCCATTTTCATGGTAAGGGAAGTGAAAAGAGTAACTATTTTCCATTCTTCTAGCGATATACGAAAATGGCTAAAAATTAATATCATCTATAACGAGAATTTCCTAGAGATCGAAGATGTATATATTGTTATTATTATAGGCGAGGCGAGACCTCTGAATGAGAAAATATAGGAACGGAGTACAAGCGTTCGGGGAAAAGAATAAAAGCTACATTATGGCGTACACTGGTATTATTGATAGCCACGATGATAACAATGTACTAACGAATATTTTAATTTCGTACAATGTGCCTAGGCTCATTCTCTCTGCTCGTGACGCTCTTATGTTCGATCTCCTACGTTCTGTTTTTTTGTTTTGTTATGCGGAAACCGATCTTTTCACAACATTATTTGGTGATACGTATACATATTTATACAATAAACGATAGATTAAAACATGAATGTATCAATTTCTTCATCACTCACATATATCTACTATATATCCATCGCATTACAGATCCTTTGCAACCAAAACGTAATAGCTAACAGCGACGTAGAGTACGTAAAATTACTAAACAAAATACGCGTTGTTTGCATTTTGAAACATTAAAACACAGACGAGGTATATACTTGGGCGTTTTAGCACCAGGGGGCCTGAGGTCGACATAAGCGCCATCTAGCGTTGAAAGTAACGAACTATTCCACGATAAACTTGGGCGTAAATGCCGTCTTGATATATATAGATATACCTGTAGAGTAGTACCTATTTAAGTGTCCGCGATCGGGATAAGGGGCAAACTATTCGGATGTTTAAGTGGGCAAAATTGTGGTCGCTTATGTGACACTACTGTAATTATTATAATAATAATGTTTTAGACACTGTGGTTGCAATCCTTCGTATATCAATGCATTCTTTTTTATATCGTAATAACAATGAATTTTTGGGAACCAGTGCTTGAGATAACAAAATTTACTGTCTAATTTCTTACCTGAATTCATTTCGGTTTTTCGTCTTGCATTGTCACTCGCATTACCGAGTTTATTAATTATATAAAGGCGGGATTAACCTGGTTGATTTGCTCTCACGGTGAGTTATATTACTTCGGTTGAACCGATCCAACAGCAGGTTATATTGTTACGCCACTGTAATTTTTCAATGCCAACGCCAATGTAATAGTTTTAAAAAGTTTAAAACTCCTGTATTGAAATCCTCCTATATTGAAGCTTCCACTTGCGATTTTGTACAATTTCATTTAACCTTATCAAACATTTATGCTTACTTATTTTTTAAAACACTTTATTGTACATTTTAAGGTTAACATGATAACTTTCGTTTAAAATAAGTAACTGTTCTGATTTAATACAAATATTGGTTGGTATCATCGATAATATATATAATTGACCTTTATTTCCTCTTTCCAATTACGAAAATTGGAAAACTAAACTTCTGCCTTACTCTTCTTATCTTATTGTTGCATTGCCATTGTCATTCACTTGTACAATATTGCATTTTCTTCGACGGCTAATATATGTATACCAAAATGTAGCAATAACATTAATTTAATGCAGTAGAAACAGCATATTTCTTCGACGAAAATATGTAATATAACCGATATAGTATCGGTTCTATGTAACAGTTACTGAATATAAAAATTCTACGTTCCTTTTTCTACAGCCGTTTCGAAGAACTAAAATCATGACGGAGATTTTCGATCAGTTGAACTGCCTCGATATGCTGTCGAGAGCAGAAGAACCATTTAACAGTTATGCATTAACGATGAAATTCCTTTTTGGCGCTTTCGATGCATATCGACGGAAAGAAATACCACTTCCTGACGATTTACGTTGCAAGGTGCAGCGACAACTATTGGTAACTTTGCCAATGATCGAGGCTGGATTAAAAAATATATATCATTCTTTAAATACCGATAAACGCGTCGAAGCTCAGTGCGTCCTATCGGGATTGAAATTTGTCGTAGACGATTTGGCAGTCGACATAGGCGATAAAAAGGAGGAATTGCACGATCTTATGTCTTCTGATATAGTACAAGACATCGAGGAGTTTGTTTACAATACCGTCGATTCTTTTATTTATGAGGACGTTGAACTTCCAGACCTTACCAAAGTTCCGACAACTCATTTCTGGTGGAAACACGAATTTGACAAAATCGAAACAATGAAAATTAAATCGTTTGCCTTAAAAAAATGCATGTAACACGTTCTAATAACTGTTTCAATATTAATAAATTGTTACAAATGTACAGTATCTAAGTGTTCATTAACCAGCAACAACGACAATTTCGTTTTTTGATATTTTCAAGCAAAACGTATTAATCGACACGGTTTATTGGCAACTTTGAAGATACAAAAAAATTAAAAGAATTCGCTAATTAAATAATATTATATTAACATGGTACAGTTTTTACAGAATTACAAAAGTCCAAACAATAATATATTATTGTTTAATATCAAAGGTTAATCATTAACATGTGTCAAATTTAGTCGTGCAGCTCTTTTGTTGCTTACAGTATTTCTATTTATTAACATAAAAAAATTAAAAGTAAACAAAATTGACGAACGGTTGAATTATTTTACACGATGTCGGACAAGAATATTTAAGTACTGTTATAAACCTTGTATATTAGATTGATTCCATACATACATATTGTTTAATTTTATTCTTCGTTCCAGAGTAACATTATAAATCTATAAAATAACAAGTTAAAATTAGTCGAAATAAATGAAAATTCGTTCGAAAATGCGTTTAATAAGATACCTTTTTAAATGTCTTGAAACCAGGTTTATCTCGAATAAAGTATGATCTACATTTCGGTAAATCACTGTGATTGCTGTGATCGTCCTAAAAGTTTGAAATACAAATTATCCATTTGTATTATAACTTTTACCTATCGATGTTTACATTTTGTTATAAAGATTAAAAATAATGATCTTACAGTGCCCGATGAATTTGTTGTATCTGTCGTACCCGATTTTTTCGTATCAATTGATTTTCTAGGAAGTATGCTGTCGTCGTCACTTTCAAAATCGTTAGAACGTTTACTTCCTGCTTTTAATCTTACATCGTTCTCTGTTGTTTCTGACGACGAGCTCAATGGATTTTTATTATCGTTGTTGTTATTTTTTTCGGACAATTTCATTTCTGGGATTTCGTCTCTTTCGCTAGTTGCGACTAATAACAATTTATTCACTTTTTTTTGTGTCATTACTATATTAGGAATTTTATCACATTCGTCTTCGTTCACTTGTGTAACTTTTAATTGAATATGCTCGTTTGGGATTAAATCCATTGCTTTATTCAAACGAGTTTCTTTTTCTGTATCCTGTTTCTTTAAACTTAGGGTTTCCTGTACGGAACATTGCAAGAGCTCTTGTGAAACATTTGATATGGACGAATTATTTGTTTCTGGAATGTAGTGTATAACTTCTATTTCTCCAATATCTTTTACTGTTTTGTTTGTATCTAAATCACTGGTACTATTGGCACCTTTTGGTGTACTAGTTTTGAGACTTTCTTTCCTCTGAGAAATATTACTATTATTTAATGAGTCAATATCATACGATTCAGGAATAATTTTGACTTCTCTATCTGAAGAAGTTGTAACTTTATTTAATGAGTCAATGTTAGTATCATATGATTCAGGAATAACTTCGGCCTCTCTATCCGAAGAAGGTATTATGACTTTATTTAATTTTATTGGAACGCTAGAAACTACTTTTACTGATCCTTTATTAGATAACACGTCTTGTGTATCGATGACTAAAACTTCGGACGAATCACGTATCGGTTGTGTTCTTTTTAAGAGCTCTGTAAACGTAAACTTTGGATTGCAATATTTGTCCGTACAACAATGCAAAATTGCCAGAGGGATTTCAGATTCTGATATCATTCTACGTTTATTTGCTCGTAATGTATTACCTAGAAAGCAAAATTAACCACACGCGTGAAATAATATGTGTATAAACTTAGGATATTTTTTCGAATTACAGTGAATACTCGATAAATGTCCTCAAGAGCTGTTCCATAAATGATACATTTTTATCCCCACCACTAGGGGGATCCCCCTTGAACCAGTGAGGCGAAGTGTAACCGGAGACGAAGCGGCTTTCTTTAAATATCTTTATTGCCTTCGTCACCTGCGTTTAAATGTCCCAGTCAGTGTGACCACACTACTGTACAGAAGAAAGTTTTTTATTTTTTACTATTTTTTAATAATAATTTTACTATCATGTGGGGGAGATTTTTCTAATTAAAATGAGACTAAACACGATATAAATCGGCTAATATTTGTTACCATAATATTGAATTAAATATTGTGTACTCGTATCTTCGCAAGGTCAGTGGATTGGTATATTTATCGAACAGTGGTAGCTAACGAAACCCCCTATTTCATAAGTGTTGCAGTTTTTGATCACTTACGAAACGGTGGAACCGTTCCGTTTGAAAATAGCTACCTCCCGTTCGATAAATATAGCCAGCACCTCGATGCGTCGTTCTTTGATATTTCCGAACATAGAAAAGGACAGCACAAGAAGGATAAATAAAGAGAGAAAGACTCGCAAGTACAATATTTAATTCAATATTATGCTACCAAATATTGACCGATTTATATCGTGTTTAGCCTCATTTTAATCAGAGAAATCTCCTCAACATGATAGTGAAATTTTTATTAACAAAAAGTAAAAAATAAAAAACTTTCTTCTGTGCAGTAGTGTGGTCACACTGACGCGGATATTTAAACTGGGGCGATAAATCCGAGTTTCAGTCCCTCTTTCTTCTTTAGCTACTGACTCTTTCTACGTTCGAAGCGTCGGCAAACTACAATCAAATTCGAAAGACGATTCTCCTATTCCGTAAGTGTTGCTGACCGGACCCGGGGTAGCGACATTTATCGAGTTTTCACTGTACATGATAAACTTATATTAACTTACATATTGAATCGTACTCGGGTACAACACATTGTGTCGATTGTGTTGCATCGTTGTTAGAATATTGTAATACAACAACGTTTCCAGCACAAAGTTCATCATTAGTTAAAGGTTTTTTTGAATATAAAAGTAATTTACCATCTGAAATGTATTTCTGTTATTAAAACTAATGAAACGCGATAACCTTTCTCGGACTATTTACTACCTACCTGCCATATTAATCATTCTTCCGTATATTTTATATTGACGTACATTAAAGAATACAAATATTAAATTTTGAAATAATGTCTTTCGTTTCTCATTTGGAAACAATGATACGTTTCCTTTGATAATTAATGATTCGTTAATTTGTGGAACAAAGCTATCCACCTTTGGGAATTTATTGCCATTATCAATTGCATGTTTAACTTTTTCCCAATAACCTAGAGTTACTATTGGCACAACAGAAGCCATAGCCCAAGTAACCTAGATTATACTCAAACTGATTACATGTGTGAAAAACCTCTTAATTATAGCAGTCTTGTGTCATATTGTGTCGTTGCAGTTTTGTATCGCATTTTCAATTTTTGTTCAACATCTTATATTAGCATAGCAATGTAAAGCTAATACCGATAATGTCAACGCAGATATATAATGTAACATCGAATATAAAAATTTATTGATAAAAACCTTTTCAGTTAATGCAGCTTTCGATACTGTCAAATGAGTACAAGCGGTTGTCCAATCAGTGGTAATCATCCCATCAATTTCATCGATCAATTCTTGTAATTTGTTCTTATCGTTATCGTTCAGAGAAGATATCACAATTATTATAGGCATGTACATCACACTGAAATATAAACGTAATTAATAAAAAATATTATAAACTGTAAAAGAAAAGAATTTAAAATTGAAGCCTTACGTAAATATGTGCTGCTGCAAACCAAATTGTATTTTGTCGTTATTCTTCAAATTATACCATTCCTTAGATATCTCAAATTTGTCTTCCTCATCCAAAATAACGTATGTACCATACTTTGAATCCATGTCTTTCAGCTTACACATTGATGTAGGCTCATTAATCTAGTAAAACAAACATTTATGTATAATAATTACCATTACATCAAGAATATATTCAGTACTTTCACACGTACCGTCATCGTTTCTCTAGGTTCAATGTAAATGGAAGCATGTAACCTACTAATAGACTCATCATTTTGCAGAAGAATATCAGCCTTCTTTCTACCGAATGTTAATTCTGCATTTGGTTTCAGGTACAAACGATACCCTGCAATTGTAAATGGAAACACCATTCAATTATAAATTAATAATTTACATATTATTTTAACAAAAGGAGGGCTTGTACCTGTAGAATTTACCAAATACCACATTCTGCTAGATATTGCACATTTACAATCACTCAATTATTTTCGTTACTAGTAGATTTCTTTTAATTCAAGTAACTTCAAACAATGTTAATTACAAATCTACACGCAGAATCGAACACTGTTGTGACGCACTATGCTACAGTCGACTGAGCCATGCTGAGAGAGTCCGATTTTGCACTGGATAGACAGAGACGTACAAATATTGCGTACTCTTTCTATCTAGTGGAAAATCGGACTCTTGCAGCTTGTATCTCATTCCCAACAGGCAGGAAACTATGGTTATGGTACGTATGAATGCAGGATCAGAGATGCCGGTTCGAGCATCGGATGCACTACTCACACTATGCCAGATCACGCGTACGTGAGCTCGTGGAGTTACGGAAAGTCGACAAAGACAAATTGACACATGCTCTCTTTCTCGATTCTCCGAAGCTACCCGAAGTAATTTCGGACCGCCTCGTGCGAGTCGAGAGAGAAAGGCTCATATTTGCCTCTCTCTCTTGAACTTCTGCGATTAGAAATTTAATTGCGAAATGTAATTATGGCTGACTGTGATTGCAATTACACGATTGTAATTCTTCAAAAGATTGGGAAAATAATATTCTAGTATTCTCAGATCCCTGATTCCCGAAGAATACTTTTTGGGAAAATGTTGTAACGGTTAACAAATTTATTCAAAAGTTTTGAGATGTATTAATCACGATTGCAACGATTTAATACTCGAGACGAAATGTTAAAATTACGCGTGTCATTGGACTTTAAACTAGAGGGAGATCTCAGAGAAGGAAAGAAGCAACCCCTCGACACTGGGTACAATTATTTATTTCCATTGTCATCTTTAGCTCCAATACATGTGATACTGGATATATAATGATTTAATAATGTTCATTAAATACGAAGTACGAAACCTATCTACACCAAAACTTGTTCTACGATCCATACATTTTTGTTCTGATATCATCATACAAATGAAACGTTTGGTAAATAAATTACCAGACAGGTAGGCAAGCGTTTTGTTTCGCCGTTTCTCGATTAATAGGAGAAGCACGACTGTCAAGCGTGTCGAACCTACCTCGGTTAAACGAACGTTTTTTTTTCAAAAAGTTCACGTAGAAATCACGCCCGTCGCGGCTTTTCCTCTCACGCTCGCGTCGTTATAAACGTTTTTGTAACGCGGAAACGTTAAGCATCGATAGGAAGACCGTATGAACTACGAAGGCGTATCAAATTCGAACGAATCACGTGGTTAAATTGTCGTCTTCGCGGCGAAATTCTATCGATTCGCGCCAACGGGGGGGGACCATGGCGATACGAAGTTACGTGTGACGTTTTATCAAATTATCTCCGCGATGTGCTATATCGGCCGTGTGTTTCAGTCGACGATCACAGCCTCGCGTTCAAGAAGTCGAACGAAGGGAAAGAAGCAGCGACAGAATCGAACCCTTCGTCGACAAAGTTTGCCTCGTCGATTTACGAAAGCGCATTGTGTTCTCTGTCGATGTCGATAACGTTTCGCAAATACTCTCGGATACGTATTAAATCTGACTTTATAGTCGATCATCGACAAGCATCGAAGCGAGTTTCGTAGCTTACATACTAAGGTAGATCGTGGCGAGAGCTCGGGCAACGTTGACTCTCGTTTCTCTCGATAGTTTGCTCTAGGCGTGGGAGTAACGCTATTTCTCGCGAAATACATGACATCGTTCTCGCATGACGATCGCAGACTATGCAAACGCGAATCGGAATACATCCGCGTCATCAACCCTCGATCGCCAGTCCTTGGAAGCGCTTGGTAACATTTAATTAATTTAATCCACGTTCAGCAGTTTCAAGACACCGACAATATAAGTTTAGAATTGTCAGCTCTTCGAAAAATAGTTAATCGTAGCTTGCACGTAACTGGTGAAACGGGGTTGAATGACAGAGACGATCGGATTTATAAAAGCGATTGATCGTCGAAGACAACGGTAAGAGATCAAATTATAAACTTGATAAAACTATCGATGACTAACAAGCGGTTGTAGTTATTTTAGCAAGACCGACTGATCGTTAACGAGTAGTCTACGAATTCTTTTGCGACTGCAATTCATTGAAAATTAAATTCTTTTCGTATTACATTGCCAAAAGTAGTGTCTCTTATCAAGTCCACTTGATTCTTCCTCTTTTTGTTTCTGTACGACAGCGATTAAAAATATTTTCTGTGCACGTCATCGCGCGCAAGGATCAATCGTCAACAAAGTGAGAAACGATCAGTCGGGAAACTGGATTTGCTAGAAAATATTTTCCTCGATCGCATACATCGTCGGTAGGCTGGTTACAACAACGGTTGTACCACGTTTTCAATTTCGCTCTAACAGTACAATAAGAAAGAAATTGAATTTAAAAATTATAATCACAGAGATCGCCAACTGTTCTATCATAAGTTCGTCAATTACTGATAAATCATGCTTGCCTAGTCTGCATTCACTTGGCGTATTTTTACACGTAACGTGTACATCGATTTCGCGATTTCCCTCCATCCCTATTTATACGTTTAAATCAGTCGGACGATTCGTCCCATCCACTCGTCGAGAATTCGCTTCGTCGACGTCGTAAGGCTAGAAATTGATTCGTGACACATATACTAGGACACTTTGCTTAAATGTGTACGCACGTTCATATCAAGAGAAATACCTTTCATCGAAAAATCGTCTAAACGTAATCGTCGATCTCTTTCGCGAAATGGAAGATTCGTCCATGCGATCGTTTCGGGGGGTGAAAACAACGACGATACCCGCGATTCGAGCCAGAGAAAGGATCGCGACAAAGAAATGTTCTTTTTTTAAACGTTCGTCGTGGATTGTCGTACAATTGTTCAAGTGTACGCGTTACTTTCATTTACATATACGCTAATTTGCTCGACAAGCACCCACTCGATCTTGCACAACACATAAAGACTCGATATACGAACATACCGGGGAACTACCGGATCCTCTAAATGAATTTTACAAATCCCTAAGTTTCTCCCAAGACTCGAAATTTTACTAAACGAAAAGGAACTTCCATCGTTGTGCAATGAATGGTGGAACCGACAATTTCTAAAACGATTTTATCATCGAATTAGTTTTAACACGCGTTAAAAAAGCAAAACGAAAAATTGTACGCTTCGTTTCTCTGTAAAATTATTTATTTTTTGTAGGAATTTCACGTAATTGTTATCACCGCTCGTCGCGATCTTGCACCTTCGTGTTAATTCGCGCTTTTAATATTCAAGAGACTCGAAGCAAACACTTACGTCAGTAAAAAAAATAAATTAGGCGAACGCTCGAAAATTCCGAAAACACATCGCAACTGTTTTTTTAGCAACGTTACGAGTAGGGACAAATTACTATGACTACGTTTGCGAACATTTACATTGAATTTATCGTCCACTGGATACCGAGGTTCAGTTAGTTCTGAAAAATGTTGATAAATTTATATTTTAATTCCTTTCTCACGCTGAGTTTACTGCTGACTATTGTTAAAAATGAAATTTATTGAACGAACTATTCGATGATCCATTTTATCGATGAATCAGAGTGCTACAAGCTCGTATATGTGAATTTTCGATTGATTTTCTAAGCGTCGGTACAAAAGTTTAATAATTAATAATAGATACTTGAAGAATTTGTCTCGCTCATTTTCATCCATTTAGTTGGTGAACTTTTTTTCATTTCATTATGTAATTATACAATACGACTGAATATTCAGTAGATTTATAAAATTTCAGTGTAAGTTGCTCTGAAAGTGAGAAGTAAATCACATGAAAATGATAAAGTTAGCGTTGCCAACGCAATGACGTTAGAATCATTTTTAAGAAAATTACGAACTGCATTCATTGTTTCTTAGGTTAAATATATAGCTCGATTAAATTAACTTCTGCTATCAATTAATGTATATTATTAAGTACAACGTGATAACAAGCTGAATTAATATGCTTGTTATTAAACTAGCTGTAACATAAAATTATTATCTTTATTACCAATTAATTGTAAAGTGTACAATTTAAAGAAAAATCTTTCATTTTATAAATAAACTCGTTTAATTATTCATACTGAAATGGCTAGCTATTAAAATACTAATCACTATTAAAACGCATCAATACACTATACAGTCCATAATTTCCCTAAAACAGAGATTCTGACATGCCATTAACACTGACTTTACTTTCAATTAGATCACCAGTAGTAATATTAAAAAATACTCGTATTCTATCCCCATGATTATAATGAATTCCGTTCATCTATGAAGATCGAAAGTTCTACAACCGACGTAAAATTGACTATAGTCGGGTGAAAGAAAGAATCGACTCGAGAAATTTCCCACCACTCGTCTAGCTAGGTGGATCTCTACCTCTTCACCCACTATATGGGTTGAAGAGTAGCAATGGGATTAAGTATGTCACAAATAGCAACAAATTTAAACAAAAAACCATTTGTTTCAATACGATAAATGTACGTGCAGACTTCTTACATAATTAAAAAAACATTTTAGGCATCTGCAAAAACTAGTGCATAGTACTACTTTCCTAGTTGGAGCGAAATGTAGAAACAATCAATAAACATATACTCTTTAGCTAGTAGAAATATTCGTTTTATATATGTTTTACATTCTTAAATATTATTTCTTTTTCCACGTTACTATATAAATTGATTAATTACGATGTAATTTGTTTTTTATCAAGAAAGGTCGCAGAATATATTTATTAAGACATGTTGGTTAACTTATTTACTTTCAATTCCTACCACATATTCCCCACGAGTGTATCTAAATAGTTAATATTTGTTATTTATCACTTTTAATGAAATTTGTCAAATCCTTTATGAAATTTCTATCGCAATGCTAATAGTAGATTGAAAGATGCTGTGAAGTGCTGACTGAAAACTACTGTGTGTAAAAAAAAGAAAAATATTTGACTTGCAGATATCTAGAATGCTGGTTGATGGGGCTAGACATTTTTAAAAATGACGAAAATTCACACAATTATCAAGGCAACCAATCCAATGAAAAGAATCTTCACTTTTACAGTATATCCCCACTCTTTATGATCGCTACTA